TAGAAGGCACCATATATATATATATATATGGCAAAGGCTAGCGTACGTCAGTCGTACGATGTACGCCTGTGTTCACACTTGTTTTTGCACTTCAATATATTTCGCTGAATCAGAACCGTCGGTTATTATTTTTTAGATTAAATGAATCTTGTGGCTTGAGTTAGAGAATTAGGGACCCTCAAATACTTTGAATATTTGTTGCACTGAGTCATGAATGTTATAAACCAGTTGGTTCCAATAATTTGATTTATTGGAAGAGGGTTATGTTGGATCTTATACCACTCTCTAACACGCCCCTCAAACGAAAACCAACTCACGAGCTTGAAGTTTGCACAGACCCTCCATACATTGTGCTTTAATCAACTGTTAATATTGCGAGTCATGGAGATTCGAACACAAGATCTTTTGGCTATAGAAGGCTCTGATACCATGTCATAAACCAGTTGGCTCCAAGAACTCGAGTTGTTGGAAGAAGATATGTTGGATCTTATACCACTATCTAACAATTGCCACATGGTTCATGAAATCGTAATGTACTGGCGGTTCAACCACAAATTACCAGCATCAGAGGTTAAATCGGTATGCGGTATTTAATAGTATTAACGGTTGAACTATGATTAAACCACGATTTTATCATAAAATACGTACTCTATCGCTGACTTTTCAAGTAAAGTTTCATCGACTATGCATTTATTTATTCCTTTTAGTTACAAAAATGCATTACTAGTATGAATTCTGACGGCTTAATTGCAAGTTTGGTCACTCGAATTGCTTAAAATTTCACGTTTGCCACCCGAATTGATTTATTCCATTTATAGTCACTCAAATTAGTTGAACAGTCCAAGTACGGTCACTCTCCGTTAACCTCCGTTAACCTCCGTTAATGACGACCGTTAAGTGATGACGTGGCTAACAGAAAGACACAGTCAGCACATTTAAACATTAAAAAAAGACAACCCGACCCGACCCGACCCGCCAGCTCACCCTTACCCGCCCAGTCAGCCATTCTTGCCCAAACCCGCGAACCAGACCCAATTAACTGACCCTAAACCCAAACCAGTGACCCAACCCCCCCTGAAAACTAAATCGCAGACCCAATTAGGGCATTTCCCTTCCTCTCCATCTTCATCCTCTCATCCTCCCGACCGCCTCTCTACTTAGCGCAATCTTCTCAGTAGAGGTGGAAATGAGCGCTTCAAGAAGCATGTCGATAAACTGCACCGAATACCATCCAAACCCTCTCGCCGCATTTGCTTCATTTGATTCAGAAGACGAGATTACGCGATGAAATTAGAGAGGAAGAAAACAGAAACGCTCACTACCGATCTCCCTACCAACCATAATCACTTCTGCAGGCCATGCGAGCATCAATCGCACTTACGTAAACGGCACGAGGAGAAAAGGGATCAGAGCTTACCGAAACGGAGGAGAGAGGCTGAGTGGGATTTATCGGAGAGATGATCGATGATGGCTCAGTTTCTCCGTCGGAGCGGGGGAATTGCAACGCCGGCGTGGGGACGTGGTGGTGGTGGTATCCGCCGGAAGTTCCGAGAGCTATCAAACAGACGAGGATTCCAATTTCCAACCCTTCGACGGCGATTTTCGCTGGTGTGCAAAGTAGAGAGGCGGCCGGGAGGATGAGAGGATGAAGATGGAGAGGAAGGGAAATGCCCTAATTGGGTCTGCAATTTAGTTTTCAAGGGGGGGTTGGGTCACTGGTTTGGGTTTAGGGTCAGTTAATTGGGTCTGGTTCGCGGGTTTGGGCAAGAATGGCTGACTGGGCGGGTAAGGGTGAGCTGGCGGGTCGGGTCGGGTCGGGTTGTCTTTTTTTAATGTTTAAATGTGCTGACTGTGTCTTTCTGTTAGCCACGTCATCACTTAACGGTCGTCATTAACGGAGGTTAACGGAGAGTGACCGTACTTGGACTGTTCAACTAATTCGAGTGACTATAAATGGAATAAATCAATTCGGGTGGCAAACGTGAAATTTTTAAGCAATTCGAGTGACCAAACTTGCAATTAAGCCGAATTCTGACTAATCTATCCCTTTTTCCAGAGAATATCATGTACGAGTGATATTGGTCAGAACGTACAACTATAATCGAGCAAATGATCACGATGATCGGGATTGATCCTAACTTCGATTCAAAGGTACTTGATCACAAAACACAAGGATCTGAACTAGCTTGTGAGGACATCCCAAAACTAATTGAAGATATCTTTCTAGACAACAAAGAAATTAAAGTTCCTTTTACTTATATAATTCCTACAAATTCATAAAAACATGTGCAAAGTCGTGCGATGGCTCGAACTTTAAAGTCAAGAAGGTTAAAGAGTACCATGTACTTATAAGTTCCAACTTCATGATTTATTGTTTAATTTATTGCACTGAAAATGAAATAGAAAAGACTTGGATGATGGATGGTGACTTTATATATAAATATATGTATGCTTGTTAACTAATTTTATTATTATATATTGAAAGCAACATTATTGAGGCCTGAAGGGGGTCTACTTCTTTGCTGTACAGATTATAATTTTAAGTTTCATTAATTTTCAAAATTGATGTGAATTAGCAGAAATAAAAATGGGTAAATATTATTATTATTATTAAAAAAAATGCATGATAATTTTTTTTATATTCACAAATTTATAAAAGTAAATTATGAATAAGGTTTCATTATTTTTAGGATAGTGGAGGAAATGATTAGAGGTGGATTCCATCCACCGCTGGCTTGGGATACCTTTGCTGTCTATCCCATGAATGAAGGAGAATCTTTGGGTTTCCTTTTTATTTTCATTTTGGGAAAGCAAAGTGAGAAAGCGAGAAGAATTATAAAGGGCAATGTCTATTTTTTACCCAAACCCTTTTCAAATTCTTTTATTTTAACCAAACCTATAGAAATTCTATTTATTATCCAAACGTATTATAATTTATCAAAGTCTGGGCATTTATTCTGTTACCGTTACTTATTTCGTCCACGTGAGGGGTGGGATTTTGTTTTGTTTTTTGATAATCTTTTTATTAAAAATAGTAAATGATGGTATTCTGACCGTCACGTAGGAAGTCAACTCATTATGGTCATACTTAGTCAGCATTACTAACAGAAAAGTTGACGGAGAGTTAACGTTTGGATAATTTTTAGGAATTCAATAGGTTTGGTTAAAATAAAAGAATCTGAAAAAGGTTTGGGTAAAAAATAGACATTGCCCAATTATAAACTAATAACCTTTTCGTTTCACGCGTATAATATTATAAACAAAACGAAGCCTTTCTCTAAGCTCTTAAAAATCCGTCGATTCTAAAGTAAATTAATCACTAATCCTGTTTCCTAATCCTTTTACGTTCGTAATCATGGATAACCAAACGGGGTCGTTTTATTTAGGTTGGGGAAAGGCGGGCGCCTGCCAGACAGACAGACAGCCATTTCTGTTCTTAGTTTTGTCGTCTTTTTAGTTTTGTCCTTTCACACCCGAACGGAAAACGACAATCGGCGGACGGAGCTAGCCTGCTGAGAGATGCTCCGATCAAGCAACCAAGCTAAAGCACAACGGCAACAAAGGTCAAGAAAGGGAGGGAAAGTTCTCTACTTTTTTTTTTAGTGTCTGATCTGGTTAATGAACCATCTAATTGCATACTTAATTAATCTAAAGAAAGCGGATGTAAAAACCAACGGCCAAAAAAAGGGGTTTTGTGTCAAATTGCTCGAGGTGGCCCTAATCACTCATGATTTTATCTAAAGAAACGGCTGGAGAAACCAACGGCCAAAAATGGATTCTGTACCAAGTTGCTAATAGTGACCCCAATTATACACAAAGAACAAAGAAACTACCAATTAGTAATTGAATAAATTTTATTGGAGATAAAAACACTTGATTCACGCATTCTTTTATTTATTCGCGTAAATTTGACCTTTTTTATTCAATAATTATGGTATACACGTAAGAATGTTGATTATTTACGCAATCAATACTTTTAGGTCACACAATCTGGTGTTTATTCACGTCATTGTAAAATAAAATTTTAAAATTCGAAATATATAAAATGAATGTCATTATATATATATATAGATCATCGGAAGTTTCAAAGTGAGCATCCACACAAAACAGCAGCTGCAGGCGCAGAATCCACACTTTTCTTTGTACAAACTGCCTGTTTTGTTTGCTTTTGCCGTTTCCACCAAGTAACAGTATTCAACAGCAGTTTCTTTTCCATCGCCCATCAGTTTCTTTCATGCCCTCTTATCTCCTTGCGATTTTCTTAAACTGGGCTTGACGTCACCTCGGGTGCTTTTGTCAAAATATTAAGGATTTCGATAATAATTTATTTAGATATATTATGGGGATGGGGTTGGGAATCGGATTAGTATGAACAATCAAAGTCCACAATATAGATGATTAGCGTGGTGTTGAGGACAAAAAGGTGTCCATCTTCTCCTTTTTTAGACCAAATTCCTTTCTTTCATATCTTGTCATAAGCATGGTATCCACGCCTAATCCCAAACCTCTCCCGCAATTGATGGGCAACTATATTATTGGATAGGAGTGGGGTTTCAGTTTCACCCGTGTATTAAGAAACTTGATCATATTGCGGAGTACAGGTTTACTGCACATATTACCACGGTTATACTATTGTGTTGTGATCAGTCTAGTATTTTCGATTTGATTTCTAATATTAACTTCACCAATATTCGATTTGACTTTGAGGGCATGACATTCCTGTTGATCTATGAGTACAATTTTCATCGATTACTACAATTTCTAAGTACAATTGCATAAGTACTTTTTAGGATGGTTTCATAATGATAAGGGGCTTGATTGTCCTTAAAATGAATCGACATATCTAATGAAATGTCTGATAACGAAAATTTTACTTGTTTGATTTAATTTAATGTGATCAACTAATGCGCACGATGCTATTTATAATCATTAGATTCATACTCAGTTATTCCGATGTAGACATTTTTTTATTACTTCTTTTTATGAAATGATACCGTGTTAATATTACGGCACAATCGAACTCTACCATGTGTCATAGAACAATCTAAATGTTTGAAGTAAAACTTCATTGAATAACATGAAAGAAGACTGGAACTATACACAAAATGGATCGCTGGAACCAAATTTTACAGCCAGATTAAATTATCAAAAGGTAAAAAATAAATTTTCAAAGCAAACCTCCCCATCGGCCATCGTCACAAGATCTCACATCAAGTATTCATATATAACATCCATCAGCCATAAATTCATCTTTTTCTTGAAGTTGAATCCAACTCCAAAAAACCCCCTTCTCCCCCCAACTATAAATATCATCAGATCCCAACAGAAATGCCACAAATAAAAATGAATAATCACCACCACCACAACAACAACAAAAAAAAAATTTGGAAACCCCACCTCCCTCTGTATCTTGGTCCGAAAGAAAGAAAACAAATAAGAACAACCACCACCTTATGAAGAAACGGGCTTGGTCTTAGTCCTGTAGAGCAGCTTCTTCTTCTTGCCACTCTGGTTATCAATGGTGATCACAACTTTCCCCGCTTCCCCTGCCTTGAAACTGTCGTAGATCACCGCCTCGTCCGTCGGCCCGAGCTTCCTGTTCTTCGACACGATCACCGTGTATCCATTCTCCACGCTCGGCGAGAACTCCGCCCCGTAGCTCACCTCCCATCCCAACACCCTCAGCTCCCACACCAATGTGCAACTCTGAAAATGTATTCCATGATACAGATTGTAAGAATGAATGTAATCCGCGAAATCAATGCATTATTGTCAGAAACCGTGAATTCGATCAGAAACCAAAAGCGCGGCAGAGAATTTTAAATAGAGACTCGATTTACCTCGGTGGCAGGGAGTTCAATAGTGTGCTTGGCGGCAGGCTTGATTACAATCTCAGTCACAGCATCAGAGGTAGTGAATTCATGGTCCCCGTCTTTGCTCAGCCCGCCGTACTGAACAGGCACTTGCTCTGGGGCTATGTACCTAACAAAAATTTTGACCAAATTCAGTCCCAAATCTCTTCACCAAATTCAAATATTCCTTTCTCCTTTCCAACAATGATCCAAAACAGAGGAATTCTGATGAATTCTGATTCAAAAGAAAAAAAAGAAAGAAAGACTTACTTGAATAGAGTCTCAGCAGATTTGGACGGTCCAGCAAACACAAACTTGCTCTTGGTTCTCTGAGTCAGAAATGGGCTGATCATCTTGTTGAACGCTAGGTACCACCACGGGACGTTGATGAACACCTTTGGAAATTGAAATCGACTTCAATCAATCACGTTCAACGGCAATTCGTTGTTCGAAAATCACACAACACTTGCAGTATGTTACAGTATTACTGTACTAGTTTACCTGTCTGGCGACGAACTCGGGGTAGTTGTCCTGGAGGATTGTTAGGGCTTGATTGGTAGCTTGACGGAGCTCGCGCTTGAGAGGCCCAGGGGAATTCTTCAGATCGTTGATCTGAACGATGGTGCAGATTCCGGTGGGGCTGAAATCGAGGTTCCGGATGCTCTTCTCGAGGAATTGGATCCTCCATCGGAGGAATTTCTTGCTCTTCTCGTCGTCGCCGAAGCAATTCTGGTAGAGCTCTTTGTCCTGGAACCCGCCGTAGACGTTGTAGCAGACGGAATGACCTTCCTTGTCGACTCCTTTGGTGAAGACGACTTTCTCCAGCTCGTTTCCGAGGTCTTCTTCCAGGAGGGAATCGATTCCGAATTCTTTCCTCCAGCGGACGGTGTTCTTGATCATGGTGAAGGCGTCCTTCACTTTGAAATCCCTAGCTCGGAGGAATTTCAGGAGGATGACGTCGCTGCGGTCGTCGCCGAGGAGCGGGATCCCGTAGATGAAGACCTCCTCCGGCGGCGGAGGTGGAGCGGCGGGGGCGGCGGCTTCCTCCTCTGTTTTCGGCTCCTCTGTTTTGGTCTCCTCTGGTTTGGTGGAGGATGAGGCGTCTGGAGCTGATTCAGCAGCTGGTGGATCGGTGGAGGCAACGGCGACGATTGTCTCCTCGATCGCCTCAACGGTTTTCGCTCCGTCTTCATCGACGGCTGGAGCGGCGATGACGTCGGCGACGGTTGTGGTGGTGGCCTCTTCCTTCACATCCTCTTTCTTATCTTCAATTTTGACTTCCACTTCCTCTTCCTTCTTCACCTCCTCCACCGCGGCGGCTGGAGCTGCTTCCGCTGCCGGAGCCTCGGCGGCCGGAGTTGCTTCAACTGCTGGAGCCTCCTCCTTCTTCTCTTCAGTTATCGGAGCTTCTTCAGCGGTTTTCTCCGCCGCCTCCTCCTTGATCTCAACAACCTTCTCTGCTTCTTCTTCCTTCTTCTCTTCCTCCTTCGCCGGCGGGGCCGGCGGCGGAGCGGTGAACTCGTGCTTATTCAGAGCCTCCTGGATGAGCTGCTTGAGCTCCTCCAGAGCCTTCTTCTGAGCTTCAGGAAGCTCGGAGACGTCGTTGGACTCCTCCTTGAACGAAACCGACTGCGCAATTTTCAGCTCAGGCTCCTCTGCGGCGGCCGGAGCAGCAGCTTCCTCCGCCTCCTTCGGTTGCTCCTCCACGGCAACGACCTCCTCCTTCTCCTTGGGCTCCTCGGCCTTCTTCTCCTCCACCTCCGGCTCGGGAACTGGAGCCGGCGATTCAGTCACCGGCTTCTCTACCACCACGACCTCCTCCGTCGTCGCTGCCGGTGTGGAAGTGGCAGCCGGTGCTTGAGTCTCTTCCGCCATGGATTTGTTTGAATTGTCTTAGAGAGAGAAAATTGGGAAAGGGAAAGAAAGGGGAGAGAGGAAGGAAGGATGGAATGAATGAACAGAGTGATGAAAGGGGAAAGGAGGGTTTTTAAAAGGGAAGGAGGGGGAAAACTAATTTGGGGGCGGGTGGGTTTATGGTAATTGTTTAGGGGGTGTTTTGTAATGAATTAATTGTTTGGGGAGTAAGTGGGGTATTTTGTAGGGCATTGCTATTCGTCGCCCTAAAATAACTTTTTCGTCACCCTAATGTTTATTAAATAACTCAAATATCCTTAGTTTAGTTTGTGTCTCATCTCTATTTCCTATTTTCAAAGGACTTTCCCTATCCGGGCATGTTTCGTATCCGCCGTTGGAATTGCCGAATGGATTGGAAACTCATTTCCGACGAGTTGGGGACAAGTCGGCTTTTCTTGCTGGTCGGCTGGCTTGATCCCTTTCCTTCCAATTATATGATATGCATAGGCACATAGCTAATGTGGACGGCTGCAACTACAACTGAAAGCATAAATCTGTCTTTCTCCAATGAAATCAGAATCCTAATACTGTGAATGGTTTAATTAAGAAGAGGAATTCCAAGGAATCCAAAGACATTATTAAATGAATCATATATACAAAGAGATCCAAGTCTTGACCACTCTTTATCTTATTGTACATATATTTAAACAGTAGAATCAGGCAGCAGTAGTGAAGCGGCGGTGGTCAGCTGTTGGCAGAGAGGAATCTGGCAACTGCAATAGCCGGCGGAGAACAAAGGAAGCTCGGCGGCTAACAGGGTAAGAGACCGTTCGTTTAGGGTTTTGGTTAGAAATTGAGTCGGGAGGGTAAAAGGGTCAATTAGGTGCATTTTAGGGCGACGAAATTTGAATTTTAGGGCGACGAATAGCGATTCAGATTTTGTATTCTTTTTAGTGTTTTGGGAAAGGAAAGGCGGGGTTGGGGTTAGAGGAGGAACAGACTGTCAGACATATTTGCCAGCTGCTACGCCACTTCGATTAGTTTTAGTGGGACCCGTCCCCACCTTCTCTCTCCTCTCTGAAAGGCATAGATTAGAGAGAGAAAGAGAGTGATTTGGTTCAGATTAGGGTTCGTCCGATATAACCGCTGGGTCTGGGTTGGTTGGCGTGTGGTCACTTTGGGTAACTCCGAGTTTGCTCTAAAAGACTAAAACCGAAGCTATTTCTTGTAAGATATTATTTTCCATTTTGGCAAGAATTTACCTAATCAGCCTATTTTCTGGATTATGGTTAAATTTACCTATTTTTGATTCGTCATTTACTTATTTCATTAACGAGTCCGTTTATTTTACCATCATGTGAATTTGATAACAATAGAGGTTGTTGTCCATTTTATATATGTTGACAGCTAAACCGTTTTTCATATAATTTATATTGAGAAATGATAATTATTATTATTTTTTTTAAACTCAAGACGATTTCATTGAAATCCAAATTCATCCTCTTGGGCAATTACATCAGCTATTTGAGCTGGGTAACAGCCTTGCCACATTCTTTCTCCGACACTATTTAACGTCTTCTCGATATAGTGTTTGCTTAGAACCAAACCACGAACTTTCAGAAACTTATACGGCTTCCGACTATTAATAAAAGTATATTTTGAAATGTATTGAAATTTACTTACTTTTTGTGTCCTTTTCCTCATTAGTAGATAATAGTAATTATACACATCTACGAAAGTGTCATTGTGTTGTCCAAAATATTTGATGAAATCAAAGCCTCCAATCACAAAACAAGTTAGCAAGTGTTTCCATGTTAGGTTGGTTTCTTTCAATAAATACACAATAAATTCTCTCTTTTCAATCAAGCATATGCTAAATGCCAGGCGCTAGCTATTTTGTGTGTTCCCCCTTGTTATGGGAGACCCGATCCATATGCTGTAATTAATATGCTCCCTGGTGGTTGAAATAAGTACAAGAGGACACAATCCAGCTTTCAAGATAGACGAAGAGAATAGTATACACACAGATTTATATGATTCACTCATATCAGAGATGGAACGAGCTTTTAAGTAGGAGGGTTCACGTACCCCATTTAGCAAAAATTTGGGTATAAAACTCTTTTAGGGCTCAAGTTAGGGTGCATAACCATGGGTTATGCACCCATAAATAATCAAATCTGGACCCTTCATTTAGAAAATCTAGATCTAAGACCAACTCCAATGCAAGACCCCAAATTTGGGGACCTTCATCCCCAAATTTGGGGATTGCCCCCATTTTTCACAAATTGGCTCCAATGCTACCAACCTCAAATTTGGGGATCTCTATTTTATCCATGTTTACATTTACTTAAAAATGCACTTATCGAAGCCTTAATATAATTTGTTAATCTTAATTTTTGTATAGTTCGTCATTATTTTAAGATACAAATTTTCCAATAGAATTTTTTCAAATTTCGACACCGAATTTTTTTGGCGAAAAAATTATGGACCTAATTTTGGTTTACACACAACACTTGAAAATTATAAAGCTAAAGGAGTTCACATAATAATTTAAATGATACAACTTAGAGATTACACGCAACACTTGCTAATGATAAAGCTTAAAAATAACACACAACACTTAGAAAATGAATTCTTAGATAATAAGCATAATTTTAAATAAAATGAATTCAATTTAAATCATCTTAGAAAATAAAATAAATTAACCAAACTATTAAACACAAATTAAATAGAAAACCTTCCCTTAATTAATACAAACATTAATTCACTAACCTTCACTCATTAATTATATAACCATCATTAATAAAACACTTAATAAAAAAAAAAAAAAAGAAGGGCGGAACAACCGCCAGGGCTGGGCGGTGCGGCGCACGCGCGCGGGAGAGCCTGCTGGTTGTCTCGCCCCACCCCCAATCTGCTCCCCCATCTCCCCCATAAATGGCGACTCCCCTATATCCCCCTCCATATTTGGAGACCCAAATGGAGGCCACCTCCATTAATGCAGTTTTTTGCTTTTTTGCAGGCTGCATTGGAGAGCTCCCTCCCTCATTTATGAAGGCTCCCCCATTTATGGGGGTTGCATTGGAGTCAGCCTAAGGATGGAGAATTAAAGGCCATTTTTATTTTCACTAGCTTTCTTAATTGACTCATATCTTTTTTGTTTTAACTCGGATTTTAATTTTTTTTGCATGGATGGAACGAGTTCATCGTGCTCTACAAAATGAGATCAATTTTAAATATTTTTTGAGCAAAAAAAAATTTTGGCCTCTCGGTACCAACTGCATACCATATGGTATTTTCTTCGTTTTTAATTCGTTTTTGAAAACGTTTGCATAAAAGGGACAAGTTCATCATGATCTATTGGATCTACAAATTTCTGGGTGAACAAATTACAAGACAAAAAAATACCACACAATACCATACAATACCACCCTGGTACGGGGTGGTATCTTATGGTATCTTATGGTATACAATGTTAAAAGTCGTAAATGACAATTAATATACTTCTACTATCATGTATTCAACCATCATACAGTTTTGGTTTGTGTCATACCACCATGGTACGCTTTTCAAACCATAGGTATGCTCTTATTTCAATACCAGTCTATACCATAGACTGGTATAGACTGGTATAAAATGGCTCAATTTTTTTTGTTCGAAAACTATATTAAAGTGGATATCATTTTGAAGAGCACAATTAATCTGATCTAACTGTGCAAAAAAAATTAAATTTTGACTTAAAACGAGTGAGAAATCGTCCGTCAAAGATTAAGGAGGGGAAAATTAAAGGCTTTTCATGAGAGAGAGGATGCTGATGTCATGCTGATGTTGGCGGGTTACTCATAGTTACTCACCATAAGGTTACTGACCTGATCCATTCCCCTCTTTTAGTATATGCGTTTTAGCATGATTCTTGAAATGTAGGACCCCATAATTTTGTTGATATTATCTCGCATAAGGATCCCAATTAACTCAAAATTTCTAAGGATCCGAGTCCATTCAAAGTCTGCCTACGCCACTAAATTATATGATGTGTATAAACTAATTTATAAGAGGAGAAATCATATTCACTATATTTGAGGAGATACAGAAATTGAAAATTTATATATAGCAACAAAACCTTCTCTAGACGGTCTAACTATAATCCAATCTGAAAAGGAAAAAGATTATAGACCATGTCCAAAACCGTATAAAAAATGTGTATGATTAAGCCCATGGCCTCCGAGCCCCCATGACTTTCAGGCTCACAGCACTGCTAGCAACTATCGATGAATTTTTCTCGTAACAATAGATTGTGTGAGAATTGAATTCAGAAGCATATCGCGTCACAATCGCTCGCCCCTTATCATTGAGCCCGCCATTGATGATTGTGTCAGGGCTACAGCTTACAAGCTATATGATCAGAAAGAGATCGACAGTTGTGATATGGTTGTCTGGAAATGGAATTAGCCCTAGCTTTCCCCATCGTGCTCTTCGTGAAGCTGCAGGCAAAGTGATTTTGCTCTGTCTAGCTGTCTGGCTTATTGATGGCTTATGTTTGGGCTTTACTCCCTGTTTCTGCCGGCGGATCCTGGAATTTAGCTTTGAGTTGGACAAAGACATGATTTTCTTTTCTCTTTTCCCTGTCTTTTGACCTCAACTTGGTCCATGATTCATTCATGCCCTCGTGGGACTGCAGAGGTGGTGTTGTATTGGAAGAAATCTGCGGCCTTTTGGAGTTGGGTTCTCTTGTTCATTTACGATTTGTTGACAGGTATGCAAAACAATAGGGTAACCCATTTGGTGGTTAAGAAGATTCTCTCTTTGTTCTTATTAGTTGTGCTGATTTTTATTTCTGCTTTTGGCTCTGGGCAGTAGGTAGGGCATTGTCGATGTAAGTCGTTTTCCTTGGTAATGCAAACATTCTTAATAAAGAAAAAAAATTAATGACCTCGAACCTAAATGTTAGTTTTTTTTTTTTTTTTTTGCCTTAAAAGTTATTTTTTTCTCCAATAAGTTGTGGGAAATGAGGAGGGTATGAATATGGGTTTTCCTGAGTTTTAACTTTTAACCCGTTGAAAAATACTATACTTGAATCTTGTTAATTCTCAATATTATTAATCAATCATTTACATACATAGAAGGCCTGGCGGACTCAATGAACAAACTTCAAATAAAATTCATCTACGGGAGGTTGGCTTTTATATAAGAAGACTTGTAATGGTGTAATTAAAAATCATAATTAAACTTCTTCTAACAAACTATCTCGTTAAAGTGGTGAATTGAGTCTAGTCTCTTCACTTCAATATCATAAACTTAAAATATTTCTTTGCAGAACGTTGAACTTCAACTAAAATTTAATTTGAGCAGTAAGTTAATGTGAATTATCGACCCAAACAATTGTGAAAAGGAGTTTTGGGATAATGAATTACGGCCCAAGTTAAATTATATAAATAAAAATATTAGCATGATTGACAACACACACAAATTGATAGGGCAAGCCATCCAAATCCACCCTTTTTTTTCTCCTTCACCTCCTCTCTCTTTCAAAAGGAAAACAAGTGGCTGGGGTCATCAAAACACCAATCACAATTCATAAACATAACCATGCCCCTTCATGGGACCAAAAATTTGAGTGACAGAGGTTCCTCCAAATCCAAGGTTTGAAATTGAAATCGATTCGTTGACTCGAATTAACATATATCTAAAGTTAAAATAAATCATTTAGTCTGCCTGATTGTAATTTAAAGATGAATCGAACGTAAAGAATCGGATGAGATAGTCGGTTAGTATATCGGGACCGATTCGACCAACTGGGTCTAAACCCTGTTTAAATATCAAACCATATTTTGAATTTGATTTCATGGGGAAGGTGGGCACGTTAACAACGCATTCTCCATGATTGTTTGTATTGCAGGTAGGCTCCCTGAGAAAAGAGAAAGAAGAGAGAGTCGTAAAAGGGCCAGATGGATATACATAATCCACCCACCTCACCCACAGCCCACAGATTTTATTCCCTGAAATTTTCCCACAGATTGTTAGATATATAACGAGAGAGATTCTAGCTAGCTAGCTACTACCACTCATGCATATACACATAACATCATGCCCCACTATTCGCTCATATTCAATCATAGAGAAGCTCTCGCTGTAGCCATAAATTGAGGTAAGGCGAATCCAACGTATAAAAAACGGGTCATAATCAGGGGCGGATTCAGAACAGGTTAGAGCACTGGGCCGCATTTAAACAGCGATGAAAAGGGATGGGTCGTAACCCAATAAACACTGAATATATATCCCCCAAAATCGAAAATTTACAAGTATTATATGACCTTTGGATCCGGGGAAGGCTGGGCCGTGGCCCGGGGGCGCCCCTCCCCCTAGATCCGCCGCTGGTCATAATATAACTTACATTAATGTTCGACTAGTGAACTCATTTTGGTACTTGAAACTCGGGGCGTAGAAAGACACTATTTAGTGGCCTCTATGATACTCGTCAGACTTATATGTTCATGTACAATACAAGTGAGCAAAAGAGTTATGGATGCTCGGACTCTTGACAAGAGCAAGATATATCAGAAAACTAAGCAGCTATAGAAGACCAGACTTTCGATTACTATCATATTCTAAAATTAGACACCCACGATTCATAGCAGTCGGAGAAATACATTACATGATAAAAGAATACAATGACTTAACATGCATGGAAGTATCAAAATAGACAAGCTATTATAAGAAAACAATTTTTTTAAAAAGAATCCAAATTTAACTATTGAGATGTTTAATTACACCCAACTCAAATAAGAAAACCAATGTGGGTATGTCCAATCTGAATGCACACCAACTTGATCACTAAAAGTTGTTTGTTATAATAACATGACACCTCATACATAGTTAGCTGATGCTTCCATGAATCATTAGCGTCGTGTAGTGATTAACATTAGAGACGAATCAATGGAGCTGCTTAATTTTAATACAGCAAACAAATTGCTTATTTAATTAGAAGGATAAAGGAAGAGATTAACAATTCGAAAGGGACGGATGGGTAATTTGACATTAATTACGTGCACCGTATCTGCGGAGGAAATGCCGGCCTCCATGGCCGGCTGGCTAACAGATAGAAAGAAAGAAAAATATGGCATTACGAAGTGAGAACTCAAAACTATGGGCCCCCACCACTCCAACCAGCCTTTCTCCCAAAAGCCCAACCAAGTCCACTCTGGTTTCTCCCTGGCATTTCCTCCCTCAAATTGGTTTTGGTGGTTTATTTAATGCAAACTTGCTTGCCAAAGGGAAAAAAATGGTATTTTCTATAACATTTTAGACGAATCCCACATCGATAAAGTATAGGAGAGATTCATGGTTATTGGTTCATAAGTAAGAAACCGGACTTAACTGACAAAACGCGTTTTGTGGTGTAATGGAGAAGTTCTTATGAGAACTCCGAAGTTAAACGTGCTCAGTGTGGAGTACAACAAGGATGAGTGACTTTATGGGAAGTCACATTGAATTGCACCCCAAGTCGAAATCCGTGCGGATGTAGAGGCCCAAAACGAACAGTATCTTGTCGGGAAAAGGTAATATGTCAATCTCATGTTACCATCCCTCGACTGTCGAGTCCATGGTATGGAGGAACCATCTGAGTTAAACTATGACTCAATCTTATAATACCGGTCTCCACCCCACATCTATATCTCGACGTGATATCACAATCCCCAGTTCTGCCTTTCTTGAAGAGGTGGTAGTCAGGGGCGGAGCTACATTGTAGCTAGGGTGGGCCCCGGCCCCCCCGGGATTGATCCCGGCCCCTAGGTTTTTAAAGATATTTCGTACAAATTTTAGAAGTAGAACATGTTCTGTAAATTATATGATCAAATAGTTATGTGGTCTAATGGTAGCCAAGCTTAACTTGTGTATTATAGCACATGGGTTCTATCCACATTGGTTACATAATTTTTTTTTAATTATTTTCGGCCCCCCCGGTCTCGAAATCCTGGCTCCGCCCCTGGTGGTAGTGTCGATTGAGATTCTAATCCAAACAAACCTCTAATAACATTAAACAAGATTTTTATTTCTAATTCTGAACTTGGCATGTTTGTTTGCTTGCTTCGAGAAGCAACTAAAAGCTGTTGAATGGCATTTCTTTGCTGTCTTTTTTTCAGTTTTTTTGTTTAGTGAAATATTCCTTTCCTGTTTTTATCATTTTAAATATCTTAACAAAGAGATCAATAATCCTTTTCCTTTCCATTGACAGAAATCATGATTAGCTTTTGTGCTGGGGCTGGGCTGGGACCAGAGGCTTTCTCGAACAGAATATTTTTGGTGGGAGAATCTTAGCGCATGATGGTTGTAACGTTAGGTTGGTTGGTGAGTTTCGATCAGACCTATTTGATGTGTTCTTCAGAAGAGGAATGATAAAAACCAAGGAGAGTCCATAATTGATAGCTCCTTTGATAATTAGTCTTACTCATTTTCAGAATATATGTTGTTTTAGTATTACCAAATTCATTGGTATTGTTAATGATTTGATCAAGATTCAAAAACGAACTAGGCGATGGGCAGGTGTTGGGGTCCTACCTAATGCCTGGCATGTCTAAGCGGTTCTTGGACGTTTTAGCGAAAATAACAATTTTCAATAGTAATACCATTTTTATATCACATTTTTTCTCGAGTTCAATTTTAAATGATTAATAACTTAACTAACCCTAACAACAAACTTGTCATGATTTTTAGAATCACTAGTTTATAGAAAGTCGTGGGGTGTGAATGATCTGTAATGGTGAAGAGCAGGGCAAATGGTCGATTCGAATATAGGGTAGCTAGAGATGACATCATTTTGAAAAGATCAGCTTCAAATTATTTCAATAATTGTTCTGTCAGCACGTTTAATTGTTCTATCAATTAATCATGTCTAGCTTTACCTCACCATTATGAACACCTAATTGTGGCCAAAATCCTAAATGAGGCGTTTTGTCACTACCTGATGCCTAAACGGACACAGAACTATGCCCTCTTAAACCCTGATTTTGACCTATAATGATTCATCGAATCGTACGAGACTCAATATCATAGATTCTTACAAATCAAACATCATCTTATGACATTACATGAATTCTTACAAATTCAACCTATAAAATACACGAATTCTTAAAAATTCCTTCCTATATACCCTACCTTACGTGCTGACCGAACGAACCTTAAGCAACAGTCCCAACTCCAAAGTATACATACAATTACAGAGGTAAATGGACCCTAAACCATCACAAGAAAGAGCATGGAGTAATTGTTACACAGAAGATCCCTTGTTATACACGTAAGACTTGGCAAACCACAGGTACAGGACCAACTGAACCGCACTCATCCCAGCAAGCAGCCAGTAGAAGTAATCGAGATGCCCCCGGTTTATGTTATTGGCAAACCAGCTATCCCCACCACCATCTGCACCAGTCGTTGCTCGATCGATCGCCGATATCAGGAAGCTACTGAGAAAGCTGCCAACCCCGAATATACTAAGGTATAGGGACAACCCCATGCTACGTAAATCGTTCGGGACCTGATCGTAGAAGAACTCCTGCAACCCAACCATTGTGAAGACGTCCGAGACCCCGAACAGGACGTACTGAGGAATGAGCCACCAGAAGCTCATGGGGACTGTGACTTCTGGCTGGTCGACGATTCCATGGTCGACTGCAGTCTGGAGTCGCTTGATCTCGACCAGTGCTGCTATGGCCATGGAGAGGAAGGAGAGGAATATTCCGGTCCCGATTCTCTGGAGCATGGAGATTCCTGAGGGCTTGCCTGTGATGATCCTGGCGAGAGGGACGAGGAGGCGGTCGTAAATTGGGATGAGGATCATGATGGAGATGGTTATGAATGATTGGAGGGAAGCTGGTGGGATTTGGAAGCCTGGGAAGACTGTTCTGTCCAGGGTCAGGCCTTGCTTGGTGAAGAAGGTTGTGGATTGTGCGAATACGATGCCATATACTAAACATGTCGACCATATTGGGATGAGTCGAAGAACTGACTTGGCTTCTTCGAGTTCATTGAGGGTGCAGAGTTTCCCACCGGTTTTGGTATCTGCTGGGGCTAGCAGAGCCTTGTTGAGAAACCTGGGCCACACAAAAGACCCGAGTTAAGTTGTTTGCTGCATGATTAGTATAGTGGATCAAACTGGTTAGACTGATAGGTAAAGGTATGATAATAAAATTGTTTATGGAGTATAGTAAAGTAGTCGATACAGAATAGTAATGAAAAGCACTGCTCATCCTATAAACATTAAACAACAGAACGCATCAGTTCATCCAAGAACAAAACGGAGGCTGCATTCCCTTACCTGAATTCCTCAGAGTGTTCGTGTGGCAGACTCCCTCTCGCTTCCTCCTCAAGAGCAACAGCAGAAGAATCAGCTCGCCAGTTCCTTAACGCCGCACCAAACACCTTCCCAATTCTCAGGAATGGATTCTCATCATCCCTCTTGGCGCTATACCTGTAGGTCCTCGTCCCAAGCAGGAAGATCACAAGTGCTGCAACCATCACGAGACATGGGATTCCAAATCCGAGCCCCCAGTTGACGTTGTCCTGTACGTAATTCAGCACCGCTATAGCTACAAAGGTCCCAGAACACATGCAGAAGTACCACCAGTTGAAGAAGGAGCTCTTGGCTTTGCATTCTGCAGGGTCTTGCCCATCGAACTGGTCCGCACCAAATGCTTGTACGCAAGGCTTGTGGCCTCCTTGTGAGAGTGCTACTAGGTACAGGGAGAAGAAGAAGAGGACTATCTGGATTAAACTGGAAGACACACCAAGGGCGGGAAGAACGGCTGATAGAGTCAGCAACCCGAGTCCCTGTTCAATTTGATTCCAACATTTGGGTTATGAAGATTCTCATTAAAGTCTAATGTAATGAAACAAATGTAAGGAGATCATTGTGTCTGCCAGATAGTACTACTAAATTTGCAGATCCTGGGAAGCTTTCATATTAAACTGAATCCTAATCGAATTTAAAACCAAACAAAGCACCCAACTTTAAGAAAAGTCGATCCAATCAACCTAACAACTTTAGTTAAAGCCATGGGTGCTTGCCCACTACTATATTTAGCAAGGAAGATGGAATTACCAGAACGTAGCCAATGGAAGCAACAATTATGGTGCGGTACTTCCCGAGGAAGGTATCGGCGACGAAGGCGCCGAGGAGAGGCAACAGCGACGCGGCTCCGGACCAAGCGTTGACGTTCGCCGCCGCGGCGGCCGTTGACTGGCCGAGTGGCCCCGTCAAGTAAGTGATGAGGTTGGATCCGATCCCGTAGTACGCAAATCTCTCAGCAACTTCTACTCCTGAAAAGAAATCAGAAAGTTCATTTATCAGTCTTCAGTCAACAGAACTGATTGAGCTCAAATCGGATTTCCAGGGGCAGAGGAGGAGGCTTACCGATGATAAAACCGGCGGATCTCCAACCGCCGGAGCTCGAGCGGTGGACGGGGCGGCCTTTGTAGTCGACGGCTCCATCAACGGTGTCGTCGTAGAGAAGTGGAGTTTCTGCGTCGGTGAATCCACGAACGGCGGCGGAGGTGGACATGGTGGCTGGCTGGATCGCGGTGGCAGAGACACCGCGGGGATGGCTTTTTCTTTCCAGCTCGAATTCGGTGGCTGGCGGGAGACGTTAAAGCTGGAGAGCATTTTTAGTTGACTGGTAATGCTTAGCAGCAATTAGCCGAATCTCGACCGTCCATCTTCGGTGGGACCGAAGTGATGGACGATTGGTATTCGTTTCAGAGATTTCATGTGGGAGGGAGTAGGTGGAATAATTAAGGCCGCCCGCAAACAGGGCTGTCACGTTTTCACTCTGCCTTAATTTGGCTATTAAATTCGTGATTAAGCCCTTAATATACTCTTTTTAATGCAAATGAGAGCTTTCATTAGTCATTATTACTTCATTAGTATTTGGAATTGGAGGTATGCTTATGGATGCAACTTTGCTTTGACTGAATGACTCATTAGTAATATACTCTTCGATTGAGTAATTACCGTTTTGACCTGTACAGAAAGGAAGCAAATATGAGTTGGAAGGAAGTATTTCTTTTTACCAGTTTCGACATGTTTTTACTTTTTACAGCTTACGACATTCCGAGAGATTGAATGGCGAGCTTTGCTGCGACCATGGAAATGTTCTGACTAATTAGCTTCAGCGAACCGTCCAGCCTCTGCAGTGTGTCTCTCATGTCCATTGCTCGTAACTTCTCTTGCTGCAGATTGTATAGTTCTGACTGCGATGAGCCTGTCGAAAGAACAAGCACAACGGTTCATCAACCTCGGTTCTTGTTAAATGGTACAGCTACACCGTGCTGAGAAAGAATGTAGAGAAGAGATGTGAAGGACGCAGCTTGCCTGAAATTGGTTGCAATGCGGTGAAGGAAATGCGTTCTGCAAGCGATGGGATGAACGCTTCATCACAATCTAGTTCGGGTTCCTTTTCAGCCCACCAAAGAGCATTGGCCAGTCGTGTCTGCAACAATTCGTCCTTGCGAGGCTATAAACATGTGGCACCAGTAAGTGGAAGCACAGTAGAACAAGTAAGAGTAAGAGCTGAGATAAGCCGAAACACGAACATAGGCCAAGAAAGTTTGCTTAAAACAAAGCATTGTGAAAAAACTATGTCGGTGTTCTGATAAAATGTGGCATGACTACATCTAGGATGAAGATCAATCAAGCTCGGTAGTCTCTTCTTACTTCTATAAAGCTTTCATATACAGGTGAGAAGCATTTGACAGTGTGCCATTCAAGAAATTCGAGATCATCGGGTGTCTAGTCTCAAGTTCTTCCAAGTTCTATAAAAACTTTCTATGTTTAGTCACACAAGGTCATGCATAACAGGATATGTGTATATACCTTCAGTTTGATTTCTAGGCTATTTAAATTGCCAAGAGCTTCTTTCACTTGTGTAACTTTTGAACTGATCTCATTAGCACTGTCGACACCGATGTCCTGCACTGGCTTCACTTCGCCTCTCAAGTAAGGCTCCGACTGCAAAGGGAACAGAAATTTCATTAGAATCAAACAGGACATTTCTCAGCTGGATTTCTTCATCAATCATTAACACTTAAAAACTACCAGCAAAATGAAGGAAAGAGATAGGGATAAGGTACTACCATGCAGATTCCACATATACTAACTAGATACATGACCTCCTTACACTATTTTGAAGTAAATGATGTTGTGCTGTAAGAATTTTAGTACAATGGCAAGAGTTACAGCACCTGCAAGAAACCAGCAAGCTTGACGCGGCCAACTCCACGAACAGACACCAATGCTCCGACATCTAGACGCTCAACCTGCAGATTACGTAGACATAAACTCTAGTTGAAGATATGATCAAATTTCCAACTATAATGGTTTTGATGCCAAGTATTTGGGAAGCTTACACTCTCTATATTGACCAGGCAGCCATATCTAGCAGCAAATGAAGCTTCACCTCCTGAATCGCTGATGGAGATTGGATCCAACACAAAATGCACAAACATCTTCTTCTGCACCAAAGCCTATCCCAAATCCAATAAACCAATAGCCAATTCAATTCCAAAGAGAACATCGACAGAGTTCCAACCATACAAGAACAACTACGATACTAAAAATTGGTACAATTAGCTTAATGACAGAATCGAACGACCACAGTGAAATTCGATTACCTCTTCTAGCAAAGCCAGATACCTAGCTTCATATAGATGCAGAGTCTTGCTCTCTGAAGGAACTAAAACCTGATTCACCGCATAAACAAACAATTGAGCAATCAACTGAAAATCGAAGAGACTCGATTTCAGGCCAAAAGCCTAAAAATGCGAAAGCGGACCTCGTTCGAGTTGAAAGGAAGGAGCGGGAGCTCGAGGGAGCTGAACTTCAGCGACGATCGACATCGCCATTTCGGCGTTCTTTGGCGGTGAAGATATGTTCGCTGAAAATCGAACGGCCGAAACGAGTAGTGGCGGGAAGAGTACATTACGGCCGAGTCGCTGCTCCGGCAACCACAACATTGAGTCGGTTGGGCAGAGAAATGGAGCGGTCGCCGGCGACGAATTCGTGGCTCGAGGAAGCCGGGGAGGCTGGATGGATTAACGGAGCTCGCTCCATATCCCATGGAGTTCGGATTTTACAGAGAGAAATCTTTTGGCTCCTGAATTATCCTGTAAATGTCTACGTGTCCTTGTTTGTGAAGTACTGAAGTACAAGAAGCAGAAAGGATTACTCCTAGCTGCTAAAATTGTACCGGTTTACCAATTTAGTCTCTAATTTTAGAATGTTATCCTTTTGTACTGGATTCTCTACACTAACTAGGGCCCAACCCAACACAAATTGGGCCAAAAAGTGATCTCAGTAGGCCCAAATAGGCAAATACGGCTCCACGCCCGACCGTGAGAAAGAAGCAGAGGACGGAACGGAACCTCATCGAACTAACCAGAGAAAAGGGAAGGACGGAGAAGAAGAAGAAGAACAGGACGAATACTGAAAGCGAAGAACGAAAGGCAGAAGAAATCCGAACAGAGTAGCGCAGTTAGCAATCGAATATGGCGGAGGCCGTTGACGTGAACGCGAAATGGGACGCTTGTATCGATCTGACCGTTCGCCGCTTCGTTTACTCGTCCATGGCTGGTGCCTTCGGCGGTCTCCTCTTTTTCAGTCAGTTTTCCTTCTTCTTCTCATCTCTCCCCCATTTATCCGTTTACCAATAGATGTTTAAACGCCAACTATACAACCTCATTTCAATTAGCTCGGAAGGTCTGAAAATGGTGGAACGGGCCCGTACTTGGTTGCACTCTTCGGATTAGGTTTTTTCTTCTGGTGGGTGGTGAAATTTTGTTTCTACTAGATGCTTGGCTAGAATTCCTTTCGGTTTAAGGAAATTACCAGTTCTGCTTTGTATTTGTTGGTTTCCCATGAAGGATTGATTGAATGAATGTGGAAAGCCTTGATTTTTAGAATGGATGAGCGAGAGAATGTAAAGATGCAGTTATGCTGGTTGTGTAAGGTGTAAGAAGATGCACACACAATCACGATCCTTATGCGCTGTATATCTGTGGCTTGCATGAGTTAGATTTATGCTTGTTTTTATAAATTGAATGCTGAGGGGATGTTCTAATAATAATGAGTTGATGATGTGATCTTCCGTTTCGAAATAGGGACACCAGTGACTCGCTGGGCTGCTGTAGCATTTGGTGCAGGAGTGGGCGCTGGAGCCGCGTACACTGAGTGCTCTCGTATTTTTGAAGGGTCTCCTGCAACATCACCAGCTCTTAAGGTGGCGAGTGCTCCAACTCCCCAGGTGAGATGGAGTGATTGTTTGTTTGTTTCTCTGATACATTGCATTCAGGAAGTTCCATGGGATTTCGTGCAATATGAATCTGTATCAGTAGATTTCTCCTCCACTGGGATTAAGTTCGGTGCCAAAAACCACAATTTTGATACACATGTAGGCCGAAATCACGTCATTCTCAGGGTAACTCGAAGTGCTTAAGTTAGTAGATAATAAGCAAAGAGGACAAAAGGAACCATTGAACTTAACATTTCATCATGATGAGGCAAAGCATGTGTAGCAAAAAGGAGTGTTGCCACATCAATAGTCTGGAAGGCTGTCTTGACTCTTGATTCTGATGCCTGGTCATTGAATCGTGGTATGGGCCTCAGAGAGAATATTACGGGTAACTGGTTATGGTATTCTTCCTTTTGGAGTTCTATGAACTTTGATTATCCTGCTTTGTAGCTCGGATATCCTATTATCAGGTTACAATGGCGCGGAGAGCCTGAATGGTTGATAACGTACTGATATATAGATGACCAAGTTGACTTTTGGCTGTTTTGTTGAGCTGTAGACTCTTTGATCTACTTAGTTGTGTCACTTAGTTAAGTTGGCCAAGTGACAAAGGAAACAAAGAGCTGCTGATTTTTTTTGTAAGAACAGTGTGATGCCAATCACCACCAATGAAAGATCTCACATTCTATTATGCCGGCTTTCTGATATTATACTCATGTGTATTTTTCTTGCTCTCCATATGTTTTGAGTTGTTAGCTTACCAGTTACCGTTTAAGGTCTACTGATACCTGCCTTGGTAAGATAGTATTAGGATTTAGGACAGTCAAAAGGAGCTCGAATGTCCATATCGAACTTACTATGCTTGTGTCTTTGAGTTCCCCTACTAAGTTCCCACCTGTAGAACATGTGACTACTATATGATAACTCTAGTATTTCATTATCAAACTAATGCTGCTCACCATGCCTTTCTCTTCTTATACACGGGTGCTTCGCCCAAAGTTCGTTCAGTTGATGAATCTAACGCCCCTTTGTCTCTGCTTGCATGAACCTACTCTCTGCAGGAGGCACAGGACTGAAACCTTGAACGAGACTGAGAGACTTATGGATATAATACGATGATGATGGTGATCATGGGAAGACCCTGATGAGGAATTTTTTTTTTATTTGAGAAAATTTGAAGGATTAAGAACGGTTGTTACTCCAGCTGCTTCTGCAGAGACTTAGTACAAAAATGTTGCTCCATTCCTCTTGGTTGATCACAGTAACTATTTAGCCTGACATTTTACTGCAGAGTTTTGTAATGCATTTGACAGTAAAGTCTCTTTTTGTCATGTGGATTCGGTTTGGGCACCATGGAAGTTCCAGTTCTTGAGGCAAGGAAAATGAATCGAAGAGAATAATTTCGGCTCTATGAATCGAAGAGAATTATTGGAATCAATTGATACTTAGATTTCTTTTCGAACCAACTTTTTTACTGCCAAATGGATGATTGGTTCCAGTGGAAGTTTTCAATTTTTTTTTTTTTTTTACCTTGGAAAGCTTTTAATCGAGTTGACTTTCATATCTCCACACAGCACCAACTCCATATCCACACTCTTATCCTATCCCCAACCTTCACTGACCAGTATCCCGGTTTGACTTTTTAGGAGATGGATTCATCAATGTTTTGGCTGTAACATATTTCTTTCTGAATTCCCTAGGCACCACACTCTGACCAGTGAAACCCGCCAGGCGCAAAAGGGAGGATATATATATAAATGAGAGTCCATTCAATGACCCCCTTTGACTCTTTGCTCCTATTTATTTTTCTCCATGCTAAGGTACCGGTTTTAATTAATTAACAGACACGCAAACCCACCTTTGACCAAACTAGATTGGCTAAACTTGTCACAAAAATTATACATGCATCCTCATCATGATCAAAGTGCATAAAAACCAATCACTTTGTAAAAGAATTATGGAATTACATGATCCATGAGGCCATCAATTTATCTCAATAACGTTAATACAGGATTGATCGAGTGGTTGTGATGTCAGACTCTGAAATTCAGAGATTGTGTCGATATGATTTGAATCGGATGATCGGGAGGTCACGAGAGCAAGATTCTCCATGATGATTGGCTTGTACACACTTGGGTTTATGTTTTGGGTCTGGTTTGTACGTAGTCTTATTCTTTACTATATTGAATTAGGGTTAGACCGTTGGAAAAATACTATATATACTTCTCTCTGTTATCTGTAATCTTCTCAAATAGCCAGCCAATGCGATGATCAAAGAGAGTCATTTGTGTATATATGGTAATTGACACTCCATGATATACTGATCTTCAACTTAGCATAGACCATAGTCTCACAAATTGGCCATTATAATGATGTTAAGATGGAGCTGGGGTTCTACAAATCTCTTATTGGTCCTATTTATTACGAGCTGCTGGGTTTCTTTCTTTCTTCCTTCCCCTTCTCCTCTCATTGATTCACAGTGGCTGCACGTGAAAAGAGAGAAAACGCTCCCTCTGCCTCTGGCCTCCTCCTCGAAAAGGGAAAGCCAACTAGTCCATCCACACAGCCATAGCAATTGGAGCAATACCCTGCTCCCTCTCTTTATACCAGCCTGCTCCAAGATCATCACTCATCAATAAATAACATTTCTTCATAAACAATGTCACTAGCCACTAGCTAGTTAGTTTTCTTTCCTTTTGAATGAAACAATAGCATGAAGAAATTGAAGATATATGATTCATTCAATAAGAGATGACATCCAACGATCTTATCTGCACCTATCGATCGAACCACACTATTAACATTCCAGCCAAATTGATCCGCATCGCTGGTTCATTTGATATAGCTTTCATACTGACACGTTGCTTTTTAGTTTCAATCTCGAACCACGACCAAATTACTTGATTGGATCAACTTCAAAAAATGATTATTTCTCCCGATTCAGATCTTCCTCTCTCATATTGATTCGTTTCCATCTAGTCTCAAGGGTCTCTCGTTACAGTGAAACTGGTCTCCCATGTCCATTGACGTTGATAAGCTAGCACACATCGTATAATCGTGTTAATAAACCACGTAAAATCTATTTAATTTTTTTTACTTTTTTTACATTGTCGATTTCTCGTTCCGGTTACTAACACTATGTACCAATTCTATCCAACTACAATCCATCCCAACCGCACTCTATCATCTAGGGACCTCCCAACTAGGGATGGCAACAAAACCCGAACCCACTGGTACCCACCCGACCCAACCCGGTCAACGCGGGTAAAACCCCTGTTGACGGGTTTTGGGCCGGGTTCGGGTCCCGAGGGACGGAGGAGGCTAGGTTAGCCGAAAGATGGTTATCGGTTCAGTTTAAACCCGCTACACTATTCACCGGGTCGGGTTGGGTTTGGGTTTAGGTAAACCCGCCCCATGGGTACCCGCCCACACACATATAATTACTTTCCTGGTATATTTAATATTCTAAATAATATATCTTCCTTAAACAACTAATATTCTATATGTTTGTGGAGACATGTATAATTTGTTCTTTATAATTGTTTAGAATGAAGTTGATATTATGAAGTGGAGAGTGAAGAAACTTAGTTTACGAGGAAGAAGCTTTCAATTAATCTTATTGTTTATATATGTTTATCTTTAATTTTGAATAATTTGTATTGATCATTTGCGATTTGCTTGTATGCTTTAGATTGGTGTTTTTTGTATGATTAATTTGTATGAGAAAATTGATGTTAAACTTTTATTTTGAAAGAATCTTGTTATTGTAAATTTTTACCACAAAAACCCACGGGTACCCATGAACCCGCGGATACCCAGCGGGTTGGGTTGGGTTGGGTTTGAGTTTTTCAAACCCAACGGGTTTTACCCCGGGTTTTTTTGACGGATAAACCTATGAGTTTGGGTTTGGGTTTGACAAAACCCGACCCATTGCCATCCCTACTCCAACCCCAATTAGAAAGACCTAGCTACTAGCAAAAGTGAATAAAGAAAGAACATATACGATCGACCCAGAAAATAAGGCAGGGTAAGGGTAGAGAAGGAATCCACAGCAATTACTGCAAAAGGGAGGTAACAGCTGAATGCATTAACTTCTCACCCTAACCACCCACATTCAATATTTCACCTCAATCTTCCATTATAAACTCACGTCTCTTTCCCCCAATTCCTCCATCGCCGCACACCAACCCTTTCTTCCACTTCTCTGTTCAACCTCTTTCCCAAGTGGGCACCTACAATGGCTTTGACCATTACAACCACCAACCTCTTGGTCGTGGTCGTTTTGATACTACTCGCGTTTTCCCAAGTGGGTCTCGCTCAGTTCTTCAACGGCACCGTCGGCGGCGGCGAGGGAGGCGATGGAGACGCCGGGGAAGTATCCGCCGGCGGAGGGAGCAGTAGTACTAGTGCACCGACGAAGGAAGCATTGGTCCCGGCATTGTTCATATTCGGCGACTCGCTGATCGACAACGGCAACAACAACAACCTGGCTTCTCTCGCCAAGGCCAACTACCTGCCGTACGGCATCGACTTCAACGGCGGCCCCACCGGCCGGTTTTCCAACGGCTACACCATGGTCGACGAGATCGGTACCGCTCGAGTTTTTCCCGAATCGAACGTGACAACCTAGGTTTTAATATGTAGTGACACTGACTCGTTGTGGTGTTTTGGGAAAATGTGCATGCATGCAGCTGAACAGCTGGGGCTTCCGTTGATTCCGCCGTACACAGAGGCGAACAACGGCGGCGACGTGACCCGGGGCGTCAACTACGCCTCCGCCGCCGCCGGGATCCTCGACGACACCGGCAGAAACTTCGTAAGATTCTTACTTTTAATTTCAGACTACAGATAGTTTTAACGATACGAAATGGTTTGAACCAAAATTTTAGTGCAAAATACTCTCTTTTTACCGACTAATCCTGTATCATTTATGGTGAATTGAATTCTGTTGATATGAAGGTAAATTTTGCATTTACATTATAACATAGGGTAAATAGATGGGGGGGCTACAATGGTTAGATATGTTTTGTAATTAAATGATTGGGATATTGACCCTTCTGAATAGCTTCAATAAATTACACATTTATTAAATGATGTCAGGAGATGTTGTTACAACCAATTAATTGCTTCCCATAATGGTACAATAATAACAGATTCCTCACTCTATGCATGCAAAAATTCCGTTTTGGTCCCTATTTTGTGCTTCTTTTACTTATGAGTTTTCCGGGTGGGTCGGATCCATACAGGTGGGTCGGATCCCATTCGACCAACAAATCGAAAACTTCCAGAACACGCTGGACCAGCTGACCAGCAAGGTCGGCGCCGTCGACGCCGCGCAGGGTGTCGGCCGGAGCATATTCTTCGTCGGAATGGGCAGCAACGACTACTTGAACAATTATCTCATGCCCAATTACCCGACCCGCGGCCAGTACAACGGCCAGCAGTATGCTGATCTCTTGGTCCAGCAGTATACCCGCCAGCTCAATGTAAATTGACCTCCTTACCCCTCTCCAGCTTCAGATTCACCTATTCGGAAGAAGAAAAAACTGTAATTTTTTGTTTTTTTTTTACTGCAGACGCTGTACAATCTGGGAGCAAGGAAGTTTGTGATAGCTGGGCTGGGAGTGATGGGCTGCATCCCGAGCATCCTGGCCCAAAGCCCAGCTGGGCTCTGCTCCGAGGAAGTCAACAAGCTGGTCACTCCCTTCAACCAGAACGTGAAGGCCATGATCAACAACTTCAACGCCAATCTCCCCGGCGCCAGGTTCACTTACATCGACATTGCCAAGATGTTCCGCGAGGTCCTCACCAACTCTGAACGATACGGTACGAACCAATTTCATCGTCGAGACGTGACATTGCTTCGAGTTCCCGTTGCATTTCGATGAGAGTAGTACTGCATGATGCAGGGTTTAGCGTGGTGAACAGAGGGTGCTGCGGGATAGGGAGAAATGCAGGGCAGATAACGTGCTTGCCGTTCCAGACGCCATGCGACGAACGAGGGCAATACATATTCTGGGATGCGTTTCATCCGACGGAGGCTGTGAATGTGCTGATGGGGAGGAAGGCTTTCAATGGCGACACCACTTACGTCTATCCTATCAACATCGAGCAGCTTGCCCGCATCGGATGAGCAGTTCCGAAAAACAATGAAGCTTGGTCATGAATATGAAGTTTGGTTACAATCAAGTAGTGTTTCTTTGTTTCTGTTCCCATCCTCCCAGAACTATAGTTTAAGCAATGTGATGAAAGGCTTCTTTTGTTGTTGTTGTTGGATCTGGCCATGGTGTAAATGAAGAAGCTTGGTTGCTTGTTACTGTTTATTGATACTTGTTCAACCTGTCTTCTGGGGGGTTCTGAATGGGGAGGGTTAGAAAGAAGGGTGGCTAACCAGTTTCGACTTTCCGGTTATTCGATAATTATAAGCACCTAAACATTGCCATTGCTACTCATTGACTGGATTAAGAACAAGCTCACAACAATTGCCATCTTTCAAAAGGGATCACAGTGGATGGTCAACTGCAATACTGTCAAGTGCAATGATGACAGTGTACTATAAAGATCAAAACTTGTTGGTGTACACTGGTTTCCATGTCCGGTTTTCTGCTTCTGAGAATCTAATCTCAGTCGAGGAAACCACGACGCACCATGTGGGCTTATTACATCCCTCTCATGGGTCATTTTTCAGGCTGAAAGGCGATGAAATGCAAATGATAACCGCACAGGTTCAACTCTCTGGGCTACAGATGAATCATCGTTAGTGCATACCTGGGCGAACCCCCCTGTGATGCTTTAGAGATAATTGGAAAGCATTCATCAGTCGTATGTGTCCGTTAGTTCACACACTCGATGCCAGTCAAAGGATCCCCTGCATGGAGTTGAAGGGCAACATCTCCAACAACCTGGAGTTGACCCAAACATCAATAAATCTGATAGGGTTGCTAACAAGTAGCCTATGAGTCTATAAGCCAACTCTGAATTTCATACCTTAGCCATGGATCTGTACGAGTGTTCTGTAACCCCTGCTACATGAGGAGTGATGATGACATTGTTGAGCTTTAGAATCGGATCATTTGGATCAAAAGGCTCGGTCCATGCCACATCAATGCCCAAGCCACCCAAGTGTCCCGACTTAAGGTGGTCGAAAACAGCTGAGTAATCTAGTAAGCCTCCTCGAGCAATGTTTAGCAAAAGGGAACCCTTTCTCATTGAAGATACGAATAAATTGTTTACTATACCTACCTGAAGATTAAAATTTACCCAAACCAATAAGGATTATAAGATGCAGCAGGAACTGAAAGAGATGAGGGAAAATGACGGTGAAGGCCAAGGACAGAAGGGAGAAGATCTTACTGTCTCTTTGTTCATACATAAGCAGCAAACAACTATGTCCGCCTTGCCAGCGAACTCGTGAATTTCTTCATGACTACCCTTCTCGTCAACCAAATCATGAACAATGCCACCTTGAGGTGGTGCACATATTTAAGGAAAATGTCAAAATGACGTAACATCCCATACAACTTCTCCATGCAATTTAAAGCAATATATTACCATTGGAATGCAGGGCCCAACTCCTCTTTGTGGCAATAATTCTCACACCAAATGGCTTCAATCGCTTAGCCAACTCAATCCCTATATTTCCATATCCCAAAATGAATACCTTAAGAAAAGAAACCGGAAAGTATGAGAGGCGGAACAACCAACCATCGGCATTTTCAACTATTTCCCATTTTGTGGCACATTTCGAGAACCCTACAGTTCAGAGGCAGGCAAGGACAGAACCACTCACCGTTTTGCCAAATAAAGTGTCACCAATTGGTTCTCCAAGCTTTTTTTGCTGCACTGCAGTTTCAAGCTCATGCTGCAAATAACAAGCATAGTCTCATGTTATCAGAGGAAGCCATAATAAGCATAGTCCGACGATATCAGAATACCCACAGTAAGGATCAAAATGCAGAAAGAAGAATCCATGGAGTTATCAGTTTCACACGTCTCATAACAGTAAACCGAAAACCAACCTGCTTACGCAGAAGACCCAACATCAGATATATACTCATCTCTGCACAAGATGTCGCATTTCCAGTCACATCACTGGGGATTCTAGCTACCTTGATCCCACATTTCGTAGCAGCATCAATGTCCACACCTTCATTGAACAAAATTCCAAAATTCCAACAGCTAAAACGAATGCAATGAAGGTAGACACTTATTCACAAAACCACATAGAAAAACAACTCTTTCTCACCTTCAAGCCCCACACCATACTGCATCACCAGCTTCATCCGATTCGCCCGCGACAGGACATTTGAATCCAGCCGCATGTTTTTCACCACGCAGAGGTGGTAATTAGCTATGACATCGGGCACTTCACTGAGAGGAACATCATCAACCTACAATGAAAAACTTGGCAGAGCAACGCAAAATTACAGACTCCAATTGGATGTTGCAATCAACTTTGTGATGCAAAAGCACAGTGAGTGAGTGAATGAGTACCTGAATGAAAGGATACTTAGCCAAGTAATCTCTGGTATAGTTATGAGAAGCAGGAAAATAAGGCCCGCAGAACAGAACCCGAGTAATTTCCGTTTTCTCACTTTCGCCAACCATTATACTCTCCTCCTTCGGCAGCGAATCTGAAACCATGATCGGAGAACATAAATTAACGAAGGCCTCATTTCAGGGGGAAATCAAACGAGAAAATCGCTAGCTAGCATAAGTTCAATCGATAACTAAAGAGAAGATTCGAACGGGAAGAAGGGGGGAACCGACCTGAGAAGTTACGGGGGAGGAATCGGCGGCGGGAATCGGCGGCGGCGCCGGTTCGGGTTGAATTCAGGAAGGCTCTTCGGAGATGCTGGCAGTACATATGGATTTTGTACCGGCGTTTGGCGATTGAGAGGGAAGAGAGCGAGCGTAGTTTGCGGATTGGAAGTTTCAAAAACGCAGTCAATGGCCAGCCGGCGGCTCATTCACAGCCGCAAATCCGGGTTCGATTACGACCCGAAACCACCTAGTGAGTGAATCGGTTCAACCAATACAAGCTGGCGGCATATACATACACCGTTATTCTTGGGCCTGGGCCGGCCCAAATACCTGCTGATCACAGACTAATAAAGCTAGCGATTTTAATAAATAAAATAACATGATCGCCGCTGACCGTAAACCTAATTACTCAAATCTGATTCTTCCGATCTCTCCAAAGATGTCCACCGGCGACGGGAAAAGAAGGCAATTCGACGAGTGGTTGCCAGAGGAACTGATGACCCAAATCCTGTCCAAGCTGCCGACGCCCTCCGCCGTCGGACGAAGCCGCTGCGTCAGCAGATCGTGGCGGCGCATCCTTTCCGACCCCCAAATCATCAAAAAATCCATCACGTCGCCGCTGCCATCCGCGGCCAGGTTCCTGATCACCCACTCCGCCTCGTACACCACCCACTCCTCCAGCGACCTCAGCATCCTCTCCTCCGGCTCGCTGCCCGCCGACTCGTTCGTCGCGGGCTGCGCCGGCGGGATCGTCTGCCTTGGCGATGGCAGGATCGAGGGCAAAATCGTCCTGTGGAATCCGACGAGCTCGGAAACCCACACGCTCCCCTCGATTCCGCGCTCCCTCCGCCGCCTCCGCCGCCGCTTCGTCTCCCCGATCGGGTTCGGCTTCGACCCGGCGACGAGCGACTACAAGGTACTCGTCTCGCTCCCCGCCGTTGAACACAAGCCCCGTAGATTGATTTCGTCACCGACCCAGAAGAACACTCTGTTTCTGGTGTACAGCCTGGGTGGAAATTCGTACAGGAAAATCAAGTCCGCGCCGGACACGCTCGGCCGCGAATTGGACGCCGTCCAGTCGCTCGGCTGCTCGTCGTCGTCGGCTAGATGCCACTGGATCTCGCCCTATTATTACGGCAATCGTCTGGCCCTTTTCACATTCGACATGGGCAAGGAAGCGTTCGCGGAGCTGCGATTGCCCGTGCCCATAGATCGGGTCGCGGATTTCTTTCGGGCGAGACATTCTTTCCACATGGTTAAAGAAGAGTCGTGCCTGGTGGCGATTTCGTCCAGAATTGAAGTCTGGAAGGGGACGGTTTGGGAGGTGTGGGCAACGCTGAGCTACGCTGCTCTGGCGGAAGGGAAGTGTTCTTGGGTCAGGTTGTACGAAGTGGTGGAGAACTTCCCTGTTGCTCCGTTCACCTGGCTGCGATTTCCGAGGCTGTGGAAGGACGGCGAGGTGTTGGCGCGGTGCAGCGTGAATTGTAAGAACGAGCTGCGCGTGATGGATCTGGAGACGGAGCGCTGGGTTCTGGAAATCCAGATGAAATTGCGCGAGTGTGACCATTTGGAACTCTTTACTTATCTTCCATCTGCAATGTCTCTGTCCTGTTTGCGGGGAAGAAAGGAATGTCCTTAGAGGTAACTTTATTGTACCGCTTCAAATTGTACATATATTTTTTAACAAATCTTTTTATAATTCAATCTAAACTTTGTCTTTAACGTTATGATACAATTTCAATTTATACATCGAATCACCAATACTTTAAAGTATAGTAGAAATGCTAGTAAGTGTAATTGAAATCATGCAATCAATCATTTTTCTTATCTTATAAATATTAAAACGACTCAATGACATTTTAGCACACCAAAACAATGCAGATTTGGTAAAGGTAAGAAACAAGGAAGTATTCCGTACATATCTGTTCTATCCCTGTGTTTGCAAAATCGTACAAAACTAATGGGTAATTTTTATATATAAGTGTGATGACAATACTGACGGTTTAAATGTATGAAACTGTTTACACCAAAATTAAATCTGTATCACATTGTTTAAATACAAGGGATTAAATTGTTTTTATAAGATCAACTTAATTATAATAGTTCAAATTAATTAAAGCTTAGTTTGTCCCTGCTGTAGTTTTTGCAGAAGCAGCTTCTGGCTGGAGCTTTTAGATAAGTACTTTTAAAAAAAAGTAGTTGAGTGTTTGGCTGTAAATTTAAAACTATAGAAGTGCTTTTTAATATAAGAGGTTGTGTAAAATGACTATAAAGGATTTATAATATAAAATATGAATAAAAATTCTAAACAATAACAAGTAGTCAAAATGGATCTTGTTATATTTCTTTTATATTAAATAATATGATTTTATAATTTATTTTATTTTTAAAATGATGTTAATGATAAAAAATTATATTTTCTGAAATAAAATTAAAATATGGTAAGAATAATCTTGTATTTTCAAAACAGCTTTTCGCAGAAGCTCCAATTTTGTTTTTATGTTATACAAAAGCACTTTTTGGCTTTTCAAAAGCCGAGCTTTTAGAGGTGTTTGGCTCTGCTTCAGCTTTTGAACTCGAAAAGCACTTCTAAAAGCCGGGCCAAATATAGGGTAAGATGGGTCACACATATTAGATTCTTGGGACCATTACCCCATGTCATCGTGCACGCTGCTCTAGTCATGCATTCCAAAAATTGGCTAAGTGTTGGGCACTCCATATGGCATGATCAGCAGACATACCACCCCCATGAGGTGATCACTGGTATGATCAGGGGTTGATGATGGACATATGCCCCTATAGTGTGGCCAAGGGGTGATCAACATAGTGTAGTTAGGGGGTAATCAGGACACCCCTTAGGGTGACTAGGAGGGTAGTATGGTGGAGCGATGACGTGAGTTTGGTTAAAAAGGAATTGATGGCCGAATTTGACAAAGGGGTGATCACCAACCCCTTAGTGTTGGCCAAGTATGGAACATGATGAGTATGGCAAGGAGCACCCACCATGAGGTGGTCAAGGGGGTCATCAACGTACGGCCCCCTCGTAGTGGTGACTTATTATTTCCATTTTGACTCAAGAGGAGGGCACTATCGTCGTAGGGGCATCGATGGAGCATAAAAGCGTAACCGTCACTCCATATCAGCAGAGCGGTTTTTAAAGAGAGTTACTTCTTGTGTGGGGAAGATGACAAAGAATGAGTTCGTCAAAATCACGCCAGACAACCTAATATCTTCTTTATCTTTATGTTTTGAACTCGCCAGTTCTAGCAAAGAGAGGCAGCAGTATTGAGGCAACAACTACAGTACTTGCAAGAAAACTATATGTATGAATCTTTCCCCTTTGTACACTTGCATTTATGAGTAAAAGCACATCAGACATATTAAGAAGTTCTCTTCTTCCATTGATTCACTGCAAGTTTAGAATCAGATCAAATCGAGGAGGGTACTCATGTTTGCCTCACTCGCCTAAAAAATAGGTATTACTCCACACAAAATACAAAAGAGATCAAGCAAATTGGGCAAAACAAATCATATTGAAATTGGGTAAATGTCACATTTGATCACTGAGATTACTAAATCGTGTCATGTTTAGTCGCTCGAAAAATTTAATATCAATTGTGGTCACTCGAATTACTGAAAAATGTTACATTTAGTCAGTCTCCCGTTAGTTTTCGTCCAACTCCATTAATAAAGTTGGATGGGGGCTAACGGGAGAGTGACTAAATGTAACCTGTTTCAGTAATTCGAGTGACTAAATGTGACATGTTTCAGTAATTCGAGTGACCGGAGATGGATGGAGGCTAACGGGATAATGACTAAATGTGACATGTTTCAGTAATTCGAGTGGCCAAAACTGATATTAAATTTTTCTAGTGACTAAACATGACACAATTTAGTAATCTCAGTGACTAAATGTGACATTTACCCTATTGAAATGGGCATTGCTATTCGTCGTCCTAAAATACCTTATTTGTCGACCTAACCGTAAAATCGATTTTCGACGGAATTACTACTGTATTTCGTCTTGGGCCTGGGCCGGCCCAAATACATGCTGATCAGAGACTAATAAAGCTATCGACTTAAATAAATAACACGGCCGCCGCTGACCGTAAACCTAAGCACACGATCTGATCATCCCGATCTCCAAAGATGCCCACCGGCGACGGTAAAAGAAGGCAATTCGACGGGTTGTCGGTGGAACTGACGACCCAAATCCTGTCCAGGCTCCCGACACCCTCCGCCGCCTGCAGATGCCGCTGCGTCAGCAAATCGTAGTGGCGCATCATTTCCGACCCCGAAATCATCAAAAAATCCATCACGTCGCCGCCTCCGTCCGCGGCCAGGTTCCTGATCGCCCACTCCGCCTCGTACACCGTCCGCTCCTCCGTCGACCTCAGCATCCTCTCCTCCGGCGCGCTGCCCGCCGACGCGTTCGTCGCGGGCTGCGCCGGCGGGATCGTCTGCCTCGGCGACGGCAGCATCGAGGGCAAAATCGTCCTCTGGGATCCGACGAGCTCAGAAACCCACACTCTGCCCTCGATTCCCCCTCCCCTCGGCGGCCACCTCCGATTCGTTTCGCCGATCGGATTTGGGTTCGACCCGATAAGGAACGATTATAAAGGTACTCATCTCGTTCCCCTCCCGGAAACACAATCCCCGTAAATTGGCATCGAGTCGGGGCACTCTGTTTCTGGTGTACAGCCTGTGTCTAAACTCGTACAGGGAAATTCAGGGCCGTGGTAGACACAAAAGGTCGCGAATTGGACGCTGTCCTCCAGTCGTCTCTCGGCGGCTGTAGGTGTCACTGGATTTCGCCGGACTACTGCCGCAATTTTCTCGGCCTTTTCACCTTCGACATGAGCAAGGAAGCGTTCGCGGAGCTGCGATTGTCGATGCCCGTGCCGGTCGCGAATTTCTTACCGGCGAGACATTCGTTTCACATCGTTAAAGAGGAGTCGTGCCTGGTGGCAATTTCCTCCAGAACTGAAGTGGGGAAGGGGATGTTTGTGGACGTGTGGGCGGCGGTGAGCTACGTTGCTCTGGCGGAAGGGAAATGTTCTTGGGTCAGGTTGTACAAGGTGGAGGGATTCCCTGTTGATTCGATTACTTGGCTGCGGTTCCAGGGCTATGGAAGGACGGCAAGCTGTTCGCGGGGTGCGCCATGAATTCGAAGATTTCGAAGAACGAGTTGCGGGTGATTGATTTAGAGACGGAGAAATGGGTTCTGGAAATCAAGACGAAATTGGAAGAGCGTGATAATTTGGAGTTGGTAACTTATCTTCCACCTACAATGTCATTGTCCCGCTTTGCAGGAAGGAGGGAATGTCATTTGATTCCTTAGTGCAAACGAAGGATGCACAACAAAAGTAGAGTAATGTTGGTTTGTCACTGCAATTGAAGAAAGTTTGTCTAATGAATGATTATTTCAGTTCAAGGAACTACAATGTTTTATGTACTCTGTCCCGTTAACAAACCGTTGTAATGATCCGCGAATAAGAGCTTGATCCAATGATAGTACCACTGATTTTGAATCTAAAGGTCTCATTTCGTGTGTTCAATGATGCCGATGATTATGCTCATTCTTCATATGGCCTCCTCGAAAGTGACTTCACTAAGAATGAGGCAAAATTAAGAAGATATCATATCGTGTTAAACAATGCACCACTAAATCTAACATAGATTTATACGAGTGCAATGGAGATAATACAATCAACCATTTTTCTTATATCTTATAAATACTGAAACGACTCGATGATTTTAGGGCACATAAAAATAAAGCAAATTCAATTTGGTAAAGGTAAGAGCTAGGAAGTATTTTTGGACATATGTATTCTACGCAAGTGCGTCTCATGCATCTACCTCAATATATACAAAACCATGCAATACAAACGGTTTTCTTTATAAGTGTGATGGCAATACTTGCAGTTTTAGCTATATGAATACGGTTGAAATACAATCAACATCACAATTTCAGCACAAAATTTCTTATCACTGACTTTTCGCGTACGGTTTTACAATTCTTGATGTACTTTATTTTGTTACCAAACAATCCCACCAAATAAATGCATACATTTACACCAAACAATCGCATAGTAACACATTTACGGGTAAAAAACACATAGCCTAGCTTGTTGGAGAGGCAAACTTTTCGAGATCTTAAAATCGCCAGTTCCAACATGTACTTTACAGTTTTGCTTCCGTTTTGGTCCTCTTAATCACTTAGCTCATTAATGACTCTTAATTCCTTAATCATCACTCAATATTAATTAATCTATTATTAACCAATTAATCTCCATTAGTGATCAGTGTAACTTCCAATTTCCCCATCGCTAGATCCACGTCCACCAATAACCCCAACTGTCCACAGTTTTATACACTACTCCCTTATATTAAAATGTAGCATTGTGCAGCCTCTGCGGTGCCATTTCTTGGCGCCTTTTGCTAATTACTTCAATTCCATCGAATATGACACTCAAGAAAAATACTAATATAATAACTATCATTATTAACTTAAATTTAATTCCATGGATCGTCTCGTCCAGCTATAAATGAACTGCCCCTCACAAGCTTCACCACTTTCACCTTCCCATTTCCCCCTTCGCCAAGAAAATTTCAGGGACTCAGATTTCTTGAGTCGTGGTTAGAGTACTTGTTAATAATAATAATAATAATCAGTATGATGGTCACTGTAGTTAGACTACTTGTTAATTTGGTGGTAGCCTTGCTGATGGTGGCTGCTGCTGCATCGGCGGCGGCGGCCGGCGGAGAGGTGACGTACGACGGCAGGTCTTTGATGATCGGCGGCCAGCGGAAGATGTTGTTCTCCGGCTCCATTCATTATCCAAGAAGTACTCCCGAGGTACGTGTATCACAAAGATTAACCTGCATTCTTTTCAGAATATGAAATTCGTTCTTAAGTATCTCTAAAAGGATGAAATTTTTGTGAATGAACTAGTTCTTCGTATGATATCAGAGACGCAGGAAGTAATACAAGTTTTATTAGAGGTGCAGAAAGTAATATAATTTTTGGTTATATTTATGAGAGTTTTTTGTTTTTCTTTTGGTACTACTGGTAATCCACCGGAATGAGAAGGAATGCTCTATTTGGCATTTAGTTATATAATGAAGAAACCAAGGAAGTTTTTTTTTAATAATTAATTGGAAAAATACAACTTTCAGTATCTGTGGATTAGGGAGTTCCAACTAAGAGTACTTACTGAATTGGGAATGAGAATGTACACCGAAATATAATAATAAAGACAGGAGTAATAGACAATTTTGCTGTTAATACCCAAGCTAGAATCAACATTTTTTTTTTTTGTTTCAATGGAGAAAGTTAAAACTCAAGTCAAGTTACTTGGATAAAAAAAAACTAACAAGTGTCTAAAACGAAGGTGCAATTAATTTTTATACGCGTAAAATGTTAAACGAAGGTGCAATTAGTTCTTATACGCGTAAAATGTTCCATCCTGTGAAATATATAATATTGCTAATAAAGCTATTTTTACATATTCAGATGTGGCCGTCATTGATCAGCAAAGCCAAGGAAGGAGGCATTGACGTTATCGCGACCTATATTTTCTGGAACCTTCACGAACTCCAATCTGGTCAGGTATGTTACTATTACACAACAAATGAAAATCGAATTAGTATACACATTTTAAGTTTTATGAGGTACCCTATTTTGACTTACGATGAAGTAGCCAAAAAATTGAAGATTTCAAACTCGAATGACTAAACACGTTTAAGTTGTATATACTATAGTTATACCCGAATTTGATGCTTAATTGCTTATGGGGGGGAATTTATGCAGTATGATTTCAATGGAGGCCGTGACGTTGTTGGGTTCATAAAGGAGGTCCAGGCCCAAGGCCTCTATGTTTTCCTCAGAATTGGGCCCTTCATCGAGGCGGAGAGGTCCTATGGGTAAACTACATTTCACTCCTTCATACTTCAACCAACTACCATTTCATACCCAAACTACAATATTTTATCGTTTCACTAGATTTTTATTTTCAAATTTCCGCACATGATTCTTGCTTGTTTTGTACTCCTAACCAAATGAAAACATAAATTAGTATAAAAAAAATATGGTGGGGGGAGAAGAAAGGGAATCTTTAGGACCTAATGTGTAAAATAAGAAAGTGTTGGTGTGACATTGCAGAGGGCTGCCAGTCTGGCTACGTGACATCCCAGGCATTGTTTTCAGATCCAACAACGACCCATACAAGGTACGTGTACTGCCACTTGACATGTTAACCATGTGCGCTGCAGCGGCGATCAGTGTACCGGCCTGTTATTCGAGTAAAAGTTCGAGGAGGAAAATGTAATATGTACCTTCGAGAAATAACGTCCGAGTCTTACTATGCACATTACAATTAGTTTGGTCGCAGGTTTACATGCAGAACTTCACCACCAAGATAGTTACCATGTTGCAGTCGCAGAATCTGTTCGCCTCACAGGGTGGCCCCATAATATTAGCTCAGGTACTGTTAAATTCCGAAGACGTCGAATTATTCATCGTATTATTTCGTGTTTCACGATGGTTTATTTTATTTTTGATTGTGGTTTATAGGTTGAGAACGAGTATGGTAACGTAGAAGAAGCGTATGGGGAAGAGGGTAAATCGTATCTCCGATGGATCGCGGAGTTGGTTGTGGGTCTCAACACCGGCGTGCCATGGGTTATGTGCAAACAAGATGATGCTCCTGAACCCTTGGTAATATTATATTCGATATCTATATACTTTTTTTTCCTGAAAATGTACGAATCGTATAAAAATTGTATTTAATTTCACGAAATTAAATCGGTCAATTATTAAAAAAAATGAAATGATCATTTTTCAATTAGGATTGTTTAGCATTGATTCGATTTAATTCACATTTGCGTGGATTCGCATGTGTAGATAAACTCATGCAACGGGAAGAAATGTGGGGAGACGTTCGTTGGACCCAATTCTCCGAACAAGCCGTCAATATGGACGGAGAACTGGACAACTCGGTGATTATCTATTTTATCGCCAATCCTAATGTTGAAAATAAAGTGATTATGGCAAAGATTTTGAGTGAGCAAAGTGATTAACTTTATTTTCTTGGGCTTAATCTCTCATTCTCAGCTATCAGGCCTTCGGCGAGGATGCAGTTGTGAGATCCGCCACAGACATAGCCTTTCACACCTTGCTCTTCATCCTTGCAAAGAATGGAAGCTTCATAAATTACTACATGGTAATACATATTAATCCTATAGGTCAAATTTCTGTCTTTCTTCCGAGTAGTATGTTAGAGAGTGGTATAAGATCCACGATTGAACCTCTCCCAACAACTCGAGTTATTGGGAGCAACTGGTTTTTGACATGGTATCAGAGCCTAGAACCGAAAGGTCATGTGTTCGAATCTCCACGACCCCCAATATTAACCGTTGTCTTTCAAGCACATGGTATGGTGGGCCTGTGCAAATTTCAAGCCCATAAGTTGGCTTTCGTTTGAGGGGGCGTGTTAGAGAGTGGTATAAGATCCACGATTGAACCTCTCCCAACAACTCGAGTTATTGGGAGCAACTGTTTTTTGACATAGTATCACTTATCACGATAATCGGAATCTACCTTAATTTTGACAAAAAAAAAAAGAATGCATATTTTTTTTTTATGAATTTTGGTACTTGCTCTTTAATGTTGTTGGTTTGTATATGCAGTATCATGGTGGAACTAACTTTGGAAGATCAGCATCCGCATTCGTTACAACTAATTATTACGACCAAGCACCCATCGACGAGTATGGTATGTGCATCACCTAAATCCCTAAATCCAAGCACTCATTGGTTTTCTAATTCATTCTTGTCCTTAATTTTATTGATCTAATTAATCGGTTGGGTTTGACTTTAGGTATGGAGAGACAACCGAAATGGGGCCATCTGAAGGAGCTGCATGCAGCAGTAAAGTCGTCGGCTGGCCCGTTGCTTTCAGGAGTGCAAGTTAACTTCCCAGTAGGCCCAAACCAATGGGTAAAATTATTACTAAACTTCCTTTAGCACACACTAATCAACACCTATAATGATTGTGCAACACAAGTCTTATAGTATAAAAGTGTCACAATTACCAAACACATAATAAAAGTAGTAAACACTTGATTGTTGATTAGTTTGTGGGGTTGAATTTTTCAGCTAAGTTAATCTGTTGATGAGGAATAAGCGTCGGTGTGTTCTAACATCTTCGATCATATCGTCCTGTCTAACGATCTTAGTTGTTGGATGTACGTGATAACATTAACAGAGATGCCTAATATGATCATATCATAAGGTTCGAATCACGGTACAAAATCCAAGGACTATAAAACTCGAGTCTTACCACACCCCTGATATGGTCGTATCATATCAGGCCGGTGTGATATGATTTGTATAAGAGGTGGTCAAACACGAGATCTCATAGAATTTTTTCGTTATGGATTTTCTACCCCGACGTCCTTTCCTGTATAGTAACTATATATGGTCTAATTATGTTTTATAACGATGTAGGCATATGTGTACTACGAGGATGGGGGAACAGGGCAATGTGCTGTGGCCTTCTTGGTCAACCCTGAGAAGCATGGGACTCCTGTTCCAGTCACGTTTCAGAATGGCTCATATGTCCTGCCACCAAAGTCAATCAGCATCCTGCCAGACTGCAAGAACGTTGTCTTCAATACAGCCACGGTAAGGTCTTGTCGTCGTGTATGAATCTTAACCACTTCATTAGTATTAAATTCGTACTAATTGAGTGATTAAATAGCTAGTATTAGCGCTTAAATTGAGTCGAAATGTATGTTGTTTAATTTTGATGTTAATGGACGACGGATAATGGAGTTCAGGTCAGCGCTCAGTCCAACTCGAGAACAATGAGCAGAAGCAAGATCTTCGACAGACCAGAGCTGTGGGAAGAGTACAAGGAAGCCGTTCCTCGCTACGATGATACGACGTCGGTTAGATCCCAGAAGTTGCTTGACCACATTTCCACGACCAAAGATGCTTCTGATTACCTTTGGTACACGTTTAGGTACGTACTCGTTACTGTTACTTAATTGTACTAATGATATTAGACGTAGCGTCATAGACACAGCAATTAAGTTTAATTCATAATTATCTCTATCTTAATCATGCTTAAGATAAGGAATTAATTAATGTTGATCATGACGTGTAATTACTTGTTGACCACAACTGCAGGTATGATAATCAACGCATTAGTAATGGAGGTTTACTCAACGTGACCTCCTTAGGCCATGCTTTGCATGTGTTCGTCAACGGTCAACGCGTAGGTATGGCCCGGGATACCTTTGTCCTCTCTCGATTTTTTTTTTCGTAGTGTCAAGAGTTACGATTCTCATATATGTCGTACGTCGATACGATATTTTGTACCTATACCTGATTGACGATGTTAAAGCGATATGAATGTTTTAATTGAATCGAATAATTGGGCAGGATCTGCTCATGGGAGTCATGAGAAGCCAGGGTTCAACCTCGTAGCTCAACTTCCTCAGGGTGCTAATAATGCTGGAACTACCAATGTCTCTTTGCTCAGCGTCACAGTTGGATTACAAGTATTATATCAATTCATCATCAAACCAATTCAATTCAATTCAATTCAATTACATACCAAACAAATGAAGATATTTAATGAAGAAATGCAAAATAATATCTACCCTCAATTGTTTTTAGGACTCGGGAGCATTTCTAGAGAAGAAGGCAGCTGGACCAATCAAAGTTGTGATTCAAGATCAAAACAACGTCGTACATGATTTCAGAAAGCATCCTTGGGGATATCAGGTAGGAATGGTGGGGGAGAAATTACAAGTATTTACTGAGCAAGGAGCAGGGCAGGTTCAGTGGAGAAGCTTTTCCAATGGATTCAATCCAATCACTTGGTACAAGGTAGAATTCATTTATATATATTAATCACAAATTCAAATTACCATATATTAATTAATGGGTTATTAGTTAGCTGGAATGGTTAATTAGCCTGATTTTGTTACATGTTGCAGACTGTTTTTGATGCACCATTGGAAGATGCCCCAATTGCTTTGAACTTGGGTTCCATGGGGAAGGGTGAGGCTTGGGTTAATGGCCAAAGTATAGGCAGATTTTGGGCCTCTTATCACACCCCAAAAGGTTCATCACAAACATGGTATGCATTTCCCCCTAAATCTCATTAAGATCATTAACAATTTTGTTAAAAATTAAAGTTCAATAACGAATTTATCAGCAACCTTGAAACTCAAATGTGTTTTTAGAACATTTGTAGGCTACAATTAATAGCTACTACAAAATGAAGCACTTCATGCCAACCATTCTAGATTTGATGGCAAAAAGGACCCAACATTTGGGTATTTCCAAACCCAACTTATTATGAATCGAATCAGGTTTGAGTAATTTTAGTTTTGGGCAGACTCATACCCAACTTTTTAGTTTTGGTTTTAAATTTTATCCGTATCATTGGATACCCCGAAATAAAAATGAATATTTGGTTCAAATGCAATATGTATCTGCCTCATTTTTTTTGTTAGGGAACAAACAGAAAGGTGGAAACACAAACATTGAAAAGTGTAATCGGGTTAAAAGACAATTAACGAGACTGTCGATACTGTCTTTTGTGTATATAATCATCTCGACCTAAATAGACTCATTTGGGTCCGACTCAAATTAGATCCGATTTAAACCCAACTCAAGTTCAAAAAATTACTAAAAGTGCATTTGGGTTCATTTGCGTCGGACAAAATACTCATAAAAACCATAACAATTGAACCAAAATTACGACGAATTCATTTGCGTCGGACAAAATACTCATAAAAACCATAACAATTGAACCAAAATTACGACGAATTTCCATCATGCATGCATACAGCATATATATGATATATCTCACAACTAACCAAACACCTCAATTTCCTCTTTCTTTCTTTGTTTTCCTCCACGTCAAGGTATCATGTGCCGAGATCTTGGATCAAACCTAGCGGGAACCTCTTAGTGGTACTTGAGGAAGAAGGCGGGAACCCGCTGAACGTTTCATTGGACACAGCAACGCCGACCTCTTTCTCCCAACTCTGCACCCATGTGGCCGCCGGCGTCGGCTCTCTTGATCGCGTGCCTTCTGACAAAAGTCGACGTACTAATACGACCGGTCGTTTGATGAAGCTCAAGTGCCCTAAGAAGACCAGAATCTCCAAGATCGCTTTTGCAAGTTATGGGACTCCGATGGGGAGTTGTAGCGGTGAGAAGGTGTCGTCGGAGTACTTGGAAGGGGCTTGTCACTCGAAGAACTCGATGGCTACGCTTGAAAAGGTACGTTATTCTTCTTTCTATACTTTACCCTTTTAGTTGCGTTCGTAAGATGGTATTTGTTTGAACCTAACTGAGTGTAGGAGTGAGGTTCGGGGGAGAATGAGGGTCAAGGAGAGTAAGCAATGGGAATGGATTATGAAATGAAGAAACGAAGATAGGGAAGAACAAGGTTGAGAGAACAGAGTCTTAGAGAGAGAAGTTGATGATTGTAGAGATAGAGTCTGCCCAAAAAATGCGATCCCCCTCACCCACCGGAGTAAATGCCATATTTATAGGCTACATGGTAGTGGGTGAGTGGTTGAGTTACATGATGGGACAATGACATGACCACTGACATGTCCGGGATTTAGGCCATGCTTCTACCTAGGACATGTCAGAGGCTTGTCTATGACTGTGTCTAGTCCCCTGATGTGACTACCCTTCGGGAGGCGTGATGACGCTTTCTGCGGCTCTTTGGTTTGGTCAACGCTTTGATCTTTCCACGTGGGCGTAGCCTGTGCCGCGCTCGAGGTCTCTGCGCTCAAGGTCTTCGCGCCGAGCCGAGGTGTCGCGCTCGAGGTCTTCGGTCGCATCGCGTCTTAACGGGTTTGGCGGCCTCTGGGGTAGTGTCAGTGCGCTCCTCTGGCGCGGCTAGGTCCGAGTCACATGCCCAACAGTATATGATACATAATTGAATCCCTCTCAATAACGCGAGAGCTATTGGAACTAATTGGCTCTCGAACCGTTTAAACATGTCCATATTCACTAGCTAGCTTTGTTGGCTCTCTTTAATTGCGTGGAAGCATTGTCTTTTATGGTTGGCATAGGTTGTACGCTCAGTGGCATAGCCAGACATCGAGTCCACTGGGGTCCTTAAAATTTACTAACACTAATGCTTGTATACCTAATGAAGTTTGAGTTAACCGGGGTCCTTGGTTAGCTAACATCGTTGAAAGTATGTGATCCTAAACTTAAATTATCGTACTAAAACCTATGTATTTAAAGGGTTTTGTTGCCCAATTATTTGCCAAGTGGGGTCCTAGGACCCCTCTCCTCCTTACCTCCCTCCGCCACTGTGTACGCTAAATTGAAGAATTTGTGATCAATGCATTTGAAAAGGGATATTTTACAACGAAGGTATTTAGTTGGGTATTTCGATTCATAATTCGCCGAATGAGTGATAGATTCTGAACAGTTAATAATCAATTTCATCCAAATTCTTTGTGCTCTTTTTATCTAGAGACTTATCTGTCAAGCCTTGATATATTAGAAACCATTACTTATTCGCGGTAACCCTCGGATGTACTCATCGACTATAAAAGTGGTCGGAGACACGTTACCTATTATGAGTGTAACATATATGAAGTAATTTTACTTGCCAATGGTTTTTGTATTAAAAATGATCATGTATATGCTTTCTTTAATTTTAAGGATGTTGCTTCAATTTGAAGGGATGATTTAAATGTGTTTTGTAGGAGTGCTTGGGGAAGGAGAGATGTTGGACTTTGGTTTCAAATGAGCAGTTCAATGATGATCCTTGCCCACATACCCCAAAGTCCTTGCTGGTTGTTGCAGAATGCACATAATTGAGATTAATTAGTCAGCCAACAACAGGAGCAGCATCATTAATCAAGCTAAGCAGATGATTAATTCAAGTAACTAATTGCTTTGTTGATTAGATGTAGATTAATGGTGTTAAATATATTGATTGATTAACAAGGGGCAACTAGCAAAGAGATTAATATTTGATCGGAAGGAGGAGAAAAAAAAAGGATTAATGTTAGAGATTGTTGCTGGAAATTTGTAAACCTCTTGTAATCAATTGTAATACTAGCTATTAATTATCCCCCAAAATAATCAGGCATGTTATCAAAGTTGCAATTTTTCACAATTGAAACTAGAGTAACTCAAGTATCGTGGTTCGACTTTTGAGTCGTATTACTAACGTACTATTATTGTATTGATTAATTAATCAATTATATTACCGCTTAGATCAGAAATATTATATTATTAACTTTGTTATGGTGACATGCAAGTTACTATAATTTATCGAAAACGGTCGATCGTTTTCGAAACTACTCTATCGGTGTTGGAACACGAGTACTCCACCAATAATAAAGGTTCGCCAATGCAACAAGACTTCATCATTACAAAAGGAAAAATAACAATAGAACGAGACAACAGAACGGACCATCCATCGGTTGACCATTGCCTTACTGGTTTCTGAGTGGTTTTCCAAACCCCATTCCTAGTCACACTCATGAGGTTGTTAAAAATGGAACATGAGACGGACAGGAATGGAAGAAGAAGATATTGATCAAGAAAAAGGGAGGGGAAAACGAAGAAGAGCAAAGGTAAAATATACGCTGTGGATGATGGTGACAAGTTGGTGGACTGGAGGGGGTGAATTGTTGGGCATAGGATTCCTCTACTATGATGATTTTGCTGGTTTCATATCTGAAAGCTACAACGCCTTCTGCTCTGCTGCAGTCTCTTTGCAACCGCAGCAGTTCTGCCTCCTCGTCCATTTCCTACCCAACGGTCTCTGTCCCGTCGCTGGGATTCTCCCTTCAGATTTATTTTTCCCCTCTTCTCAAACAAGGCATGAAAAATGTTAAAACCTATATGATTAATAAAATAAAATCATTTCGACCAAAAAAAATAATCATATCATAATTCGAGCCGTTGAACGAGGTGATATGTGGGCCGTGGGCCGCGTGACAATAAGAAATGCTGGGCCCGCAGTAACCCAACAGTCTTTTTCAAAATTAAAATATTATTAAAACGTTTATTAAAACAATCTCTCCGAGGCTGCAGTTTTCACTTTCTTCTACTAGTTTTTCTACCGACCGAACGCCAGAGGAAAAGAAGAAAACAGAGCATCGCTTTACGACAAAAAGGAAAGGACTGCAAAAATGTATTAAACAAAGAAAACCCAACACTTTACCGTTCACTCTCAGCTCATTCTCTCATCTCCACCGAATAACAAAGAACCTCAACAAATATGGCTGACGAACCTCCGCCCTCCGCCGCTCCTCCCCCGCCACCGCCTCAATCCGCCGCAGAAGAGCTGCCGGTAGCACCGCCACCACCGCCGGCTGCTGAGGTCTCCGCCGAGGATTCATCCCCCGCACCGGAGGCATCACCTACTTCTGGGAAGGAGAAATCGCTGGCGTCTATGATGGAAAAAGACGAGGCTGCTGGCGAGAAGAAAGCAGAAGAAGCGGCGCCGGTGAAAGCCCAAGTTGTAGCGAAATCGGTGGTTATCAAAGAGGAGTTCACCGGCGAGGCAGGGGCGGAGAAGAAGGAGAAGCTGAAGGTTCCGGAGTCTCTGGTCTCGTTCAAGGAAGAGAGCAATCGAGTCTCTGATCTGTCTGATTCGGAGAGGAAGGCGCTCGATGAGTTCAAGCAACTTGTCCAGGAAGCTCTCGATTCTCGCTCCTTCACCTCTCCTCCGCCTCCGCCGCCGCCAAAGGAGGAGATTCAGACTTCCTCTTCCGCCGCTACCGCCGCCGCCGCAGCAGCTACGGAAGCTCAGAAAACTGAAGATCAAAGCTCCGATGCCAGCACAGAGATTACTCCTCCGGTGGCTGAAAAGCTAGAAGAGGAATCTACTGAGCCTGCCGCCGAGCCCGCCGCTCTGGTGGAAGCTGCTGCTGCTTCTTCGTCGTCGTCAGAGGTGTCAATTTGGGGGATTCCGCTACTCGAAGACGACAGAAGCGACGTCGTTCTGCTGAAGTTCCTGAGAGCTAGGGATTTCAAAGTGAAGGAAGCGTTCGCGATGCTGAAGAACACGATCCAGTGGAGGAAGGAATTCAAAATCGATGAGCTCGTGGAGGAAGATCTCGGCGACGATCTGGAGCAAGTCGTGTTTATGCACGGCCACGACCGAGACTGCCACCCGGTGTGCTACAACGTGTTCGGCGAGTTCCAGAACAAGGAGCTGTATCAGAAGACGTTCTCCGACGAGGAGAAACGGACCAAGTTCTTGCGGTGGCGGATTCAGTTCTTGGAGAGGAGCATTAGGAATCTGGATTTCAGGCCCGGCGGCGTCGCCACGATCTTTCAGGTGAATGATCTGAAGAATTCGCCTGGACCGGCGAAGAGGGAGCTCCGATTGGCTACCAGGCAGGCCGTGCAGCTGTTGCAGGACAATTACCCGGAATTTGTAGCCAAACAGGTAACTTGAGACTGTCTCGCTTGATTTTCTCAGTATGATTCAGTGAATTTGAACCGATGAATGAGGTAATGGATTGGATGGACAAATTGATATTTGACCCATAGGATTGAATGATAGTATGATGCAAAATCACTAAGCTGTTCTGTTCTTGATTGGGGGTTTGTAGGTATTCATCCATGTACCTTGGTGGTATCTTGCAGTCTATACCATGAATGCTTGTATAATGCAAAATCTCAAAGCTTCTCTGTTCTTGATTGGGGGTTTATTGTATGGTTTGTAGGTGTTCATCAATGTACCTTGGTGGTATCTTGCATTCTATACCATGATGAGTCCCTTCATGACCCAGAGGACTAAGAGCAAGTTCGTGTTCGCCAGCACGGCGAAATCTCCCGAAACACTCTTCAAGTTAGTTGGTTTTGCAGTTTCTTCCTTTCTCTACTATTCTTTGGGGTTGTTGTTTCTTCCTGTTCCATGGCTATGTTGGTTTGAAGTCTGACTGTGTGATGTGATGCTCGAACCAGATACATATCTCCGGAGCAAGTCCCAATCCAGTACGGTGGATTGAGCGTGGATGACTGCGATTGCGATCCAGAATTCACATTTGCTGATCCTGTTACAGACATGATCGTCAAGCCGGGGACCAAGCAGACGGTGGAGATCCTAATTTATGAGGTAATGACCAGCGCTGTTCTGTAGCATTGGTTGGGTACTTGTACTTTGACAAAAGCTTCAAACTGATGGGGTTGGTTGGTTGGTTGTCTGCAGAAATGCATGTTCATCTGGGAGATACGAGTGGTCGGGTGGGAAGTGAGCTACAGCGCCAAATTCGTCACCGAAACAGAAGATGCATACACGATCATAATCCAGAGGCCGACGAAGATGACACCAACTAGCGAGCCGGTGGTGTCGAACCAGTTCAAAGTGATCGAACAGGGGAAGATACTGCTGACGATCGACAACCCAACCGCGAAGAAGAAGAGGCTTCTGTACAGGTTCAAGATCATTCCCTTGTCTGACTAGTGTTCAGAGAATCAGTGACTGTGTTGTATTTATATTTACTAAATTTTACATGGATGTTCTAAAAATTTCGTGGTGTTAAAGGTGAGTGAGAGATGTATGGACGAACTCTTGAGGGCTCCTTTCTGGGTTTTGTTTTTGGCCTATGTGGTTGTTGTTGCTTCTGTTTTTTGGCATGTTGTAAATTGATGGTATGAGAAGTGGATTTTGTGGAACTTAATTTCTTTAGAACATTCTTGTACCGGTTGGATCCACATGTTTTCTAGTGCGGCAAGGACAATCTCTACTTCCTGATTTCATTTCGCGCAAGTCATCGATCTTATATTATGTCAATAAACTTTGTATGATTCATAGGGTTTTTTGAATCATGGTTGATTATGAATGAAAAATAGGGTGCGCCATGCATCAATTTATAAAGAAAAATTACCATAATCCTCCAAATTGATTCACCCTTTTTCCTTAACTACTTTGGAGAGTCTTTTTTTCCTTAATTATTTTTGCATAATTATCCTTCCCAATTAACTATCATTTTTGCGTAATTACCCCTTAATTTTCGTATATAGCAAAAATAGGAGAAATTTTCTTCTCAATAATGAATACCGATTTTGCTCACAGAAAGGAAGAATGACTAAATGAGAATCGTTGGCAAAAACATCTTAAATTTCAATCTTGAAGTTCTAACTGTAATACTAGTACAAATAATAACGAAACTAAGCTAGCGATTGTCTCAAAACTAAATAAGGCAAAAACTATACTAGCTAGGGTTGGTAGTTTCCTTACCAAATTTATTGAAAAAAAACAATTATTTCTACCTCAAAATAAGCATCTGGACGTTTTGACGTCAACAGCGAAACTATTTCAGGTCGGGATTAGCAAGGCCAGTCATACTTGCAACACAGTTTACCGACGAAAGGATTGCAACACCAACTGCACCATGGATACCTACTCCCTTCTACTTGATAATCCGCCGCCACAGCTGGCTTCTGTGTCATCATCGTTGTTGGCGTCGTCGTCGAGTCGACAAACACATCTCTCACCGCGCTACAAGGACGTTGTTGTATCGATACAGAAAGAAGCAGTACCGCTAAGAACACGATTGGAATAAATTGCCTCGTATTTTTCCACGCCAAAGCCGCCATGATTTCTGTTCTATATAATGCTCTCTATATAGTGCTCTGTATACTGTAACAATTAGCCTCTGTGTTGTACAAGTGAATACGGTGGAAAATTTTACTTTCTTATATAGTGCTCTGTAAAGTTGTATTCTGTAATAACAAACTCCGATTTTTCCTTTCAACCAATTACCACTATGTATTACTTTCTGTTGTAACAAAACCCACCTTCTACCCCTCGTATTCAGCCTGTAATCGAGCACTCCCTGATTCAACTGGGTTACGGGTCGGGCAGGTTTGGACCGTTGGGCATTTTAATCAACTCGACTTGCGGGTTGGGTTGATGGGATGGGTCACTCGGGTTCGGCTAAGATCAGAGCCGAAGACCATGCATGGAATCCTACCGAAGTCACTTCAAGCCACAATGCATAAATACCACAAACGAAACAGATCAGAGCCGTACGGCACCGCAAGAGCAGAACGACGGAGGATATCGATCAGTACAGTATACATATCCATGTGTAAAATCAAAACTGCATCAACATCATCACCATTAAACACCATCACGATTAAGAGAGAAAAGAAAAAGGGTCAGTGTCCACAATGATCAGCTGGAGGAAGCAGCCTGTGATCACCATAGTGATCATTGCAGTTGTTATCATGGCAGGACTGCAAATCAGTGACGCGAGGATCGTTAACATTGTCAACAGGGTAAGCAGCAAGAAGATACTGATAGTGCACTGCCAATCCAAAGACGACGACCTTAGCGCCCGCGCCATGAACTACGGCGAGAGCTACAGCTGGAGCTTCGGGGACAACTTCTGGAGGGCCAGAGTGGGCCTTTTTTGGTGCCGCCTCGCGTTGGAAGACAAGCGCCTTTCGTTCGATGCGTTCACTGAGCAACGCAACGGTGGTGGCTATGCAGTCACGGGGTACGATGTCAATGAAACTGGGGTTTATGGCCCTGATGATTGTAACAAGTGGAGGAGGTCTGAGACTGAGTCTGAGCTGCTTCATCAATGGAAGCAGATTCAGCTCCATTAGAATCCGTGGATCGATCAGTGAAATACAAAACGTAGATCTCTCAATAATAAATTAGTATACAACCAGAAAACTTATCCGCACTGTAACATCAAGAAAATTTTAGGTCGATCTCTTGATAGAGACGGCTGCCTTTGCACTCATGGAAGTATGATAATTACTGCTCCTCTGTTTCCTATACGACGAGTATACATCATCATACTGGCTCACCTCATTAGGGTCAGCGGTTGCCCCCAATCCAAGTCTCCCGGAACCCAATGCTCCGGGTTTTCGCTCCACACTTCCGTCGGGATAAGTCCCGGTCTCGGGGTCCACAAACTGCAGGTTTGGAGGTGGAGGGATACAAGCCCCACCCTTACGTATAGGGGACCGGTCCCTCTCATAGTCGCTGTAATCGTCTTCGTCGGATGACTTCATCGGCTCTTCTGAAGGGTTGAGTTCTCCGATGTCCTTGAAGTATTTCGACACCCTCTCGAGGAGGTCGGATGGAGATACTGCGGATGGTGGGATCATGGTGGGGATGTCGAGAGGGCTTAGAGGGGAGTATGGGACGCCACTTCCGATCTGCATTTTGCGGACCATACCGGGGACGAGTCCCGGTGGGAACAAAGGGTATGGTGGTAGTTTTTCGGCGAGGGTTTGGGGAAGAGTTTGTAGCAGAGGTGATTGACTAGCGGAGATTATTGGTAGGGGAACAGCCAAAGCACCAGCGGAGCCCGAGTTTGCAAGAATTTGTTGGGCAGCAAGCGGTGGCATGGCCAAGGGGACTTGTTTATCAGCATGCTCCGGCTCATGTTGCTTATCTAGCTGCCAATGTGAAGAAGCACCATGGTGGTTCGTTGGTTGATGCGGGAATCCTGCAAAAGAATTTGAAAGCAAAGCTGAAATTGGAGCTCGAGCTTGACCGTATAATGATCACAATTACGTGATATCCTGGTGTTGCAGACACTATCTAAAGGAACAGAATATTGTACCAGCAGCAGGCACTGAATCCGACAAGTCTTTTGGAGCTTCTGAAACCGAGCTTGTTGGTGCCCCGCTGACCATTTCTCCTTCCAGAGAACGAATGGTATCGTGATCATAAACCTCCTCGGAGCCCCAGAACAGCAGGATTTTCTGTAACCGTGACTGATTCTCTTCCTTATTCACAGGGTTTTGGTAAATTCTTGCAAGCATTGAACCCAAGACTGGCTTGAAAGCAAGGGCCTCATTGTCAAGCTCAAGAGGATTAGCCCTTCTCTGCAAACTGTAGGGTACAGATCACCAAAAGGTCAAAGAAGAATGATAATAATCAGAATATAAACACATACAAGCTATGGGCTGTTCTAATGTAGAATTCTCGCCCTTCTCAGAGTACGGAAACCTAGCCACTTTAAACAATTGAGAAAGAATTCTGAAGTTCCATGATTCCGAATTCAGAAGGTGAAATATCAAAGGGAGCCTAACTTCAGCTCAGTTATTCCATAAAAAAAAAATCAAGGAACTATAGCCATTAGCCGCAAGACATGTACCTGTCGAAAAGTATATCATTAGCAAGGTATACAACATGCAGTTGCCTCTCCGAATCATCCACAGAGAAAACCCTGTCTCTCATACCCTCAGCCAAAGCAGGTGCAAAAGGAGATCTCTGCATGAACCAAATCTTTGCCCCTTTAATCGAATCCTTTGTACCATTCAAACTATTCATCACATTAGTCAACTCCACCGCAACATCCGATGGAAGTGGACCAGAAAGACCTCTAAATGACTTGGAAGCCGGATCAAAATCGCCTACTCGCCCGTGTGCCCCAAATGGCGGCTGAGGCGACAGGTGCTGATGCTGATGTGGATCGTGGAACAGTGGGAAACCCGGTTGTTGCATTAGCTGAGGTGGAGGCTGCATCAATGGAACAGAAGATGAAGGCGGGAAAGGAGCATTGTAATGGCCAGGAGGTGGAGGTCGAGTAGACACCCAAAGCTTATACCGATAGTAATTGTGCCCCTCGCCACCAAATAGAAAGCTATAAGCAGGATTATCCTGCTGCTTGTCTCGAATCATCGCCTCGAATTCTGGCCCGTTCTTGGCCGAGTACTCGACTAGCTTGTCAATCCGTTTATGAAGCTCGGGATCAGATGGAGGAGGCGTTGGCAGTGATGGTGGAGCTGAATCGTAAGGACCACCTCCGTGGAAGGGAGATTGAAGCATTGGCTGAGGTAAGTAAGAGGAGAAACCAGGTAGAAGCTGCTGCTGGTGGAGAAGGTGAGGGTGTGGTGGAGCGTGAGGGTGAGGGTGGAGTTGAGGTTGTTGCTGCTGCTGTAAGTGGTGAGGGCAAGGGAATTGTTGTTGCATTGAAGGATGAGGCGGCGGGATGAATGCCGGCGGTGGAGGAAACTGCTGGCCTTGATGCTGCGGGTGAAACCCAAATGGCTGATGTTGAGCATACGCCATTGCTGCAGCGGCGTAATCGTGCGCCGGCGGTCGGTCCATCAACCTAAACCAATCCACAATTTCAACAGACAATATATAACTGAGAAAAGACTTCACCCCGAATAAAAATCGTTACTTTCCAAGATTCTTAGAGCTTTAAAGGAAAACCATACACGAAAACTCATCAATCTATATAAACTATGGCGGCAATTGTTCTTCTTGGCAGTTCACAGTGGAGAGAATCTGAAGGGGAAAGGAAAGGTAGAGGGCGGGAAGGAAGCGAACCTGGACCAGATTAGAGATTGACTAGCTTTCTACGCTGATTTCATCAGAACGGCGGAGGCGGCGGGGAGAATGGGAGAGCGACGCAGGCATGACTGCCGTCGGTGGCTTTGGATTTGGGAAATTCGAAGAGCTCCGACGAAGGTTGTGGAAGAAAGCCGACGGGGAGTTTGCCGGTTAGGGGTTTGAGAATTTTTTATTCGCTGAAGCTTTGATGATTCTGCTTCGTTTAAACGACGCCGTTTCTCGCTGAATATTTTAATAATGGGCTTGGATCAGCAAGAGTAAATGGGCCGACGTGAAATTGAAGCTGAATTTGTTTCTGCCCCGCCGTCGTTAGAGTAGAGAGCTCAGCTGCTCGATAAACCCTTCTCCAGTCTCGCGGCGGAGCGAATCTGAATTTTGGAGCGAAAACAGCGACGGGGAAATGGAAGACATTGAAGATTTATTGATCGGAAGCGGGGGTGGAGCTCCACCTGGATTCCGATTGCCACTCAACACTGTCGCAGTGAAGCCGAAGAAGAATGTTAAGAATGGAGCTAAGCTGAACGGCAGCCTGCTCTCTGAATCGTCTCTCTTCTCCACAGTTCCTGGAACTCAGGTTTCGTCTTCTCTTCTTTCTTCTGCTTTCATCTAATCTATGTATGGCGTATTGGTTCCTTATTTCTGAGCTTGTTCCTCTGATTCAGACGATATATATCAAGACGTTCGGATGCTCACACAATCAGGCAAGTTATTCTGCTCTCTTTTCGTTAGAATTCATCAATCAGTTTTAACTTCATATGATCGGATTTCTATGCCTGGAGCTGAAATGTTTCAGTTTACACTTAGGTTGCTGTATGTTAGCTCTATAGAACTTTTCCCTTCTGAATCCTCATTCCAGACTGTAGAGTTCGGATAGAAGAAGTAGCAACCAGGAGTTCATGTAGGAAATGCAGAATCTCGTCAGCTGGTTTCGCTGATAATATCTAAGTCGGTGGGATGATTTATTTAGATGAGAAACATGACACGAAATCGTCATGGTTTATTGAGAGTAAAAACTAGGGAAAATAGGCGATGAAGAGAGCAGAGAATGAGTGAAACCCAAAAGGTTCTTGGACTTGTTTTATCGGGTTTGTAAGCTTAGACGAAGAAGTGTACTGTGCTGGAGTAATAAATGAGATGGGTGGAGATACCCTGCACCAGTGAAACGGTAGTCACTGTGAGCATATGTTTTACCCTCCGAGAATTACTTGTATAGTTTAGTTCATGAAGAGCTCACCCTAGTATTTTAATCGGGTTGCAGCTGAAGCAGACTGCACTACTTTTGAGGATTTAGTATCTGTTGTTTGGTTGAGGAAACTCGAAATTGAGACAAAATAAGAAGTGGAGACGTGACATTTGAAACTGGAAAGTGAATCTACTCGGCAGTAGTTATGAAACTGGAAGCAAAATTATGTGAAGCGAATTGTCTGTTGATATTTGTTATACAATAACTTTTTTTTCTTGGACCAGACTAAATGAAAAGCTTCTAATTGTTGCAGAGTGACAGTGAATATATGGCTGGTCAGCTTTCATCTTTCGGCTATGGTCTAAGTGATGATCCTGAGAATGCAGATCTATGGCTGATCAACACGTTTGTACCATTGCCTTGAACATTCGCTTAGTTGCATTTTTTGGTTGAAGACTATTTTATAGAACTACTTTTGAAGATTGTGTTACTGTCCATTGTGAAATGTTGTTTTATTTGCACCTGCTGCATGAAGCCAAACTAATCTGTTGCTTGTTAGGATTAAAAGAATTTGTCAACATATGTGTCTTTAAGTTCTTTCTTCGAGATACATTTCTATATGCCGCGACATTATGCTCATAAAAGGATAATTGATATCCTGCTTTCTAGTCTCAACCCTTGTCCCGTGGCATTTCCATGCACCTACTTTCTTTGTGTGGTAGAATATGAAGTGAGAAACAATAATAGATTGTTAATGAGTGAGAGGAAGTTGGATGATCGACCATTCTGTTTGGGTTGGCTTGAAATTTTTGCCATTCAGGAGAGTGAAAGTGCTGAAAGTTTGAACAGGGGTTTTACCCGTTCGTCTTACCCAAAAAAAAAACCCCCATTCCGGATGAAAAATGTTAATCTCTTGCTTTTTGGTGAGTAGTTAGGTACCGTTGAAGAGCTTCATGTGACTCACATGTCTGATGATTGTTCTTTATGCAGATGCACAGTAAAAAACCCAAGTCAATCTGCCATGGACACCCTTATCACAAAGGGTAAAAATGCACAAAAACCTCTAGTTGTAGCTGGCTGTGTACCTCAGGGAAGTCGGAATCTGAAAGAGCTAGATGGAGTCAGTATAGTTGGAGTCCAGCAGATAGATCGTGTGGTTGAAGTTGTCGAGGAGACCCTAAAGGGGCATGAGGTTCGGCTTTTAACTCGGAAGACATTGCCAGCACTTGACCTCCCAAAGGTAGAAATTTCATATTGGGCTAATAAGTATACTTGATTTATTGCTTCTCTTTCTTGTTTTTCCCTTCTGTAACTTTTTTACTCTCCTGAGCAAGAGTATTGTCTTGTGTCATTCACAACCTGTTCTGATGTCTCTCTTTTCTTGAATGTTTTGACCTTTAACTGCCTGACAGGTCAGGAAAAACAAGTTTGTCGAGATTCTTCCAATTAATGTTGGCTGTTTGGGAGCCTGCACTTATTGCAAGACTAAGCATGCCCGTGGTCATTTGGGTAGCTATACCATTGATAGTTTGGTGAGTCCACAAAATGGAATCGTAGCTTGTTTTTCTTTTGTGTATGATTTTTCTCATACAGAAATTCAACTCTGCAGGTAGGACGTGTTAAAACAGTTATAGCCGAGGGAGTTAAGGAAATCTGGTTGAGCAGTGAAGACACTGGAGCATATGGTACTTTTTTGCATTTCCTCCATCATCTTTGTTGTTCGCATGGGGATTGTATTTCTCTTGTCTGGATGACTGCCTTCTAATGAAATGGTACTTGATGAAATCTTGTAGGTCGTGACATTGGGGTTAATCTTCCTACTTTGTTGAATGGCATTGTTGCTGAACTTCCTCCTGATGCAAGCACTATGCTGCGGATTGGGATGACAAATCCTCCCTTTATTCTTGAACACTTAGGAGAGATAGCAGAAGTTTTACGTCATCCATGTGTTTACTCATTTCTTCATGTGCCAGTACAGTCTGGAAGTGATGCTGTGCTGAGTGTAAGTCATTCTTCCTTCACAGTGATGAAAGATATTATTTCTATGCTTTTTTCTTAAGACAGCTTCGTGGCAGATATCTTATTATTTGGTTTGTTTCTTCTCAGGCAATGAACCGAGAGTACACTGTTAGTGAGTTCAGGACAGTGGTAGATACATTGACTGAGCTAGTTCCTGAGATGCATATTGCTACTGATATCATATGTGGATTTCCTGGTTGGTTTGTCTATTTTATTTTCCTTTAATGATGTATTGAGATTTACCACCCTTCTAATTGCTTGCTATTTTGCGCCTTCTTATGCTGTAACAGTTCTGTTGAGTATATGTTCTTTAATGTTGCTCTTGTGAATGGAAAAAAATTGCTAGCACTAGCTATGTCGGGCCACCTTCTGCTGATTTGCGGATTAGTTAGCAAAAATGAAGCACTAGCAAGAAAGAAAAGGAACTTTTATTTTGTAAGATGTTGGAAGAGCTTGTCTAGAACTGGTGATATTGCTTAGGAAAAGCTCAATTTTGGACTTGGGAGAAGTGAACTGTGGATATTTTACTAATTTTTTTGGACAATTCAATTGTTCTTGCAATTGAGATATATACTTCTGGATATTTCAGGTGAAACAGATGAAGATTTTGCTCAAACCGTAAGCCTCATTGAGGATTACAAGTTACCTCAAGTTCACATTTCACAATTCTATCCTCGACCAGGTGCAATAGAGTTTATTTGAAAGTGATATATGTTCATTTTCAAGTTTGAAAAAATTAGATCTCCTTGCATTTAGATACCTTTCTGATTTTGAAGTTGAGCGTAGTATTTGATTGCATCAACATGGGAATTCTTTGTATCTTAGGTGCAGAAGTCTTAACATCGGGTGTATTAAGAAGTTCGTAGACTAATAAGTCTTGTAGATAACTGAAGATGTGTTGTTCATATATATAGAATCAGATATATTTCAAGAATAAAGACCTTGAGGAAACATAAGTTAGGAACTGTTTACAGTTGTTGAACTTACAAGTATTAAGATTTTCCTTATGTGAAATAGGAACACCTGCTGCCAGAATGAAGAAGGTTCCTAGTAACATAGTGAAGAAGAGGAGCCGTGAATTGACTGCTGTTTTCGAAGCTTTCACTCCTTACAATGGAATGGAGGGCAGAATTGAAAGAGTCTGGATAACAGAAATCGCAACTGATAGAGTTCACTTGGTACGCCTACTAGCAATTCTTACTTCGGAATTTTAGATCCTACCACCTTAACACTGTAGCATTATTCTCATTGTGTCTATCCTAACTCTTTCCTTCTTCTGCTAGGTTGGCCACACGAAATCATATGTCCAAGTGCTCATAGTTGCTCCAGAAACCATGCTTGGATCCTCGGCAATGGTTAAGATAACATCAGTTGGTAGATGGTCAGTTTTCGGGGAAGTAATCGAGATACTCACTCAAACAGACAGGAGAACTTCCACCAAGGAGAGGTTGAGTAGAGAAGTCAAGTGTGCCCCCTGTGTTGATCAAGACGAAAGCTGTGCATGTTCTGGAGACAATGCAGCTGCACCTTGTGCTTGTGGCCTTGAGGGTTGTGGAGAACAACAGAACGGCGCTGGAACTGACACTGCTTCGCATAATCAACAGTTGCTAGAAGATCAAAACAATACCAGTCTGATAGGAAATTTTTTGTCGAGAAGGCGAAAAACTCCGACCAGAAAGTTGGATGATAGTAGAACTGCTTCAGGTGACAGCCCAAAGCAAGAAACTAGTAGAGAAGAAGCCCCAAATGAATGGGGCTTTGTAGATAGAGTTTTCCTAGGAGGATTGATTCTCAGCTTATTCACATTTCTAGCTCTCCTCGTACATCTCGGATTTAGGATTAAATTGTCCAAGTAGAGAGTGCATTTTTCCTTTGCGTCAATTGTATGTTACGACACTTATTTGTCATGGAGAAATTTTTGTACCTTTAACTCAGCATTTCACTGTGCTTCTTCTTGCAATATTTCTGCTTGTTAAGTTTTTGTTTTATTGAATTCCAATCTGAAAGTTGCCTGCTTACAGTGTAGTACATACAATATATGCTCGTCATCAGAATTACAGAATGTGGAATCGAAGCTCCAGTAATTGAAGAAGAATAGTGGAAGAAAGAAACTCCAGCAGAGAGTATACAAATCTACAACATACAACCATGGAGGCAAAGAAAAGGTACATTCTTCCTCTTTTACCTCTCCTTTCATTATTCACCTCTTTTTACCCGGCAAGAATATATCAAAACTCATCTCATCACAGCAACAAATCTGATTTCGCAGGCAGCCTCTTGAAGAAGTTGACAGGAACAGAAGGCATTCGACTCCGAAACCTCGGATGCCTGAGCATGTACAACCCAAGCAGCATGGCCACAATTTGAAATGGCGTAACATAGATGACCACAGCCAAGATCAACGAGAAGATGATGAAAATGGCAGTAGCCCTCGGATCACGCCAGCTAAGTAATGCTAGGGCTCTCTCCCCTTGACTAGCCAAATCGCCTATCACAGTCTGCACTCTCCCTGCAACGCTTCTCAGTCTGTCATACCTCATCCTCACTATATCGGAAGGTCGAGAAGTTGGGAATGAATCGAACTCCTCATCCAGCTCATCAGGATGAACATGCTCTGCTTGTGAGAGCCTTATATCCATGTGGGGTGGGTGCCTTGGCCTGAACCGGTAGTTCCACAACCCGATTACAAACAGGTAGAGAAAGACTGTAGGGAGAACTAGCTCTGGGTAGCAAACCAGAATCAAGAACAGGATGTGGACAAGACACGTTGTGATCGGGTTCCTCCAGAAGCAGATATCATTAAACCACTTGAAGACTGCTGTCACACCTGAGAGCACCGACATTATGCGGTGGAAGTTTGCTTTGCTTCTCCTCAAGCTCCACATATGGTAGTCGACGTCGAGCATGTACTCAACCACTTCCCGACGAAGAGGTGGCTCGGATCTGATGAGCCGACCTGCAACAATCTGCATTGCTTGATGGCGGAGCCAGTCAATGTGGCGGACAGGGATTGGCTGGGCATAATGCATCTTGGGGAGTAATGGCTTGCCGTATTGGACCACCATGTTGACCCAAGCCGTGCAGGTAAACCTCAATGCCAGCTGTATCTCTCCGTGTTTTTTCAATCCGTTTGGTTGCAGAACTAGCAACGGATAGTAATGAGTGTAGATTTTATCAGTCTCTAATGTGGATAGCCGGATTCTCACTTTGCCGATTCTCTGATCTCGGATTTCACTATGTCCGTTGATGTGCCAGTTGTCAAAGACTCCAATGGTGATCACAGTACAAGGATCGTAGACTTCCCAGCTGAACTGCTCGTTCCATTTCGGGTGCAGAGTCTCGAGAAGCGTTCTGGTTCGAACCCATTTGTTGCCATACTTTGCCACACAGTAAGAATCAGTGGTTCTGCCTTCTCTCCCTTTCATTGGAAGAAGATTCCTAGCACTGAGAATCCCGAGCTCAAGCATCCCGATGCTCGACTTCCTCAAATGCTTCGATGAAGGCTGAAGATTGCTGCTGAAATGGGTGGATTCATCAAGAACATGGTATCCAGCTTCCAAGCACAAACCTAGAAGAATCTTGCTGCTGAACTTCTCCTTCCTTTCCTTCCCTTCATCATCAGATGAATGTTTCATCAAACTGAACCATCGAGGCTCGGGCATTTTAGTTGTCTCAAGTCTCTGAGGTACATTTCTTAGTGGTACAATCGCCCTCCCGAGAATCTCATCTCTGCCAGGTCCAACTCTATCCTCAACTGATACTATAATGAAATCCTCGAAAGGTTCAGATGCTACATACATAAGTTCTTCATTCCAAATGGGATTCACGGACCTCATTTGAGAAGGCCTCGTGGCTCGGACTTGATTGCTAAGCACAACCTTCACACAAGCATCGGGCACTCTACCTTTATCGTGAGGTACGAGATCCTGAGCTTCAATCACTTGTACTCTAAGGTAATAAAGCTTTGGCGAGAAGTAAACTTTTCCCCTTGTGTTTGCCAGGTTCGTTTGCCCAACGTCGTGAGCATCACTATGCCATGCGTCTGGGAAAGCTTCATCAGCTTGAGTCCCCATCCAAACCGCCAACATGATTTCGCCATCTTTGCCTTTGAATCCCTTCTTGTCTTCGAGCCGATACCATTGCGGCGCCAGTGGGCTATCTGGCGGCACTCGAAGTGGAACCTCAGTAAGATCGAAGTAAACCCTGCCCACGAAATCATCTTTAGCAAAGTCCTTATCTTTCACCATGACTTCAAGCAAATTCGACTGCAGCCTCTCTTTCGAGAAGGCAAAGGTTTGATTCCAGACTGGGTACTGATTCTTCTCCAGATAATTCGTTTTCCCCTTGTAGTTGCCAAGCTTGACTTCCACGTAAGGGTCCAAGCTACCTGAGACGTCCATTACAGGCAGATCTCTGGCTTTCACCACACTGACGTAGAGGAAATGCATCTGCTCGACCAAGTCGTAAGTGCTCGATGTCTTGTCACCACCTCTGTATCTCATTCTCCCCGCCAATGGCGGGCTGGTCTCGACCAACAAGAATTCCGGATTCTGCTTCGGCATGTGCATATGGTGCATTACTGAAGTGCCAGCTGCCGGCGCCGCAGCTCGTGCGTAATCCGTTCTCGTCTCAATAACCGGCGTTTTCTGATGGTGTGCTTCAACGCCCATTCCAAACCCACCACCGGAAAACTGCGATGGAAACGCCGTAGCCGGCGGAGCTCGCGCCTGCTGTGGGGGAGGATGGTGGTGGCCAGCTGCTCCGGTGGGTATAGAGTGAAAGGTGCGAACTTTATCCTTCTCCTTGTGTTTCTTCTTGCTCTTCATCATCTCTTCATCGTCGTGGTTGTGATTGTGCTGGTGAAATTCTTCTTCTTCCTCCTCTTCTTCACCCTTGTTAGGGTCCATCTCTCGGAGAGGAGTAGGCTGCTCAGCCCTTTCTCCAACTCCCGGCATCTCCGGCGCCGGAGTAAAGCTGCTACCACCGGCGTCACCAACCACAGCATATACCCTGAGGGAGATCTCTCCCTTGATGTGGGAAAAAAGCCCACGTTTATCAAGTGGGTATCTCTGGACAGTGGAATCGGGCTCAGAGAAAAGGACAGAGGAGCCTGAGATTCGGACCCGGCCGAGGAAATTCTTCAGCTGCCCGCCGCCGCCACCGCCACCGCCAGGTACGTTCCCTCTGCCGTCGTTATAGACCACAACTTGAATGGTAGAAGTAGGGAGATCTCTAGGGTCGTTGAAGTGTAGGACGAGCTTCTCGTTCCATTGAGGGTTGAGGTCTTTGTGCTTGGTTGAAGTCCTCTGCTTTTGGCCCTCGAATTCCACTTCCACGAACGGGCTGGCCGAGCCTTGCCCGTCTTTGGGCATTAGGTCGCTGGCGTCGGCTACTTCCACCACCAGCTTGGCCATGGTGGAGGTTTGGGTTGTGGTCTTGTGGAGAAGTGAAGAAGGGGAGATGGGAAATTACTTTTTCATACCCGGAGAAAGGGGCGAGAGAGACTAGAGATGGGGAGGAAATGGTGGTGGGTAGTGACTGGTGAGAGCCAAGGCTGAGCCTAGCTCAGCAATGGTGGTGGTAGTGGTGGAAATGAAGAGAGAGAGAGAGAGAGAAGTGGAAGATGGGAAGAAGATGGTTGTCATTTTGGACTAAGAAGAAAGAAGACAGAAAAAACACGAGGGGAAGAAAAGAAGAGAGAGAGAGGTGGGCCAGAGGCCCAGAACCAGAAAGAAAGAAAGAATTGGTGGGTGCATAATGTTAAATGTTAATGGTTGGAGAGGGAAAGCAATGGCCAATGTGTGTATATTTGGAGGGGGTGTCGGTTTTGATTTTGAATTATATTGGTAGTGGGGGCCTTAAGAGGGGCTAATAAAGAAAGGAATACACCTAATTATGTGGATAGGTGATGTTCAGCCTAAAATAGCTCGACAATTCAAGCCTTAAGCTCTAAGTAGTGATTTTGGAACGATTGAGTTCACATATTAACTAAATGAATAAAAGTTTAATGTTTACAATGAAATTGTGAAAGTGAATGGTCTGGCATCGAGTTCCAAATTTGAACTGAATTATATAATAAACAAGATGATTTGTTATCAGAACATAAGTCGATGAACAAGACAAAGATTAGCATTCAAATAATTTTAGTGCCCTAATGTTACTATTTCATATGATAGTAGTGTTTAGTATTTGTGGTTATGAAGAAAAAAGACGAAACTTGACAAGTGATATCAGTTTTTTCTTTCCTGTCTTCATTTGTTCTACTTATACAAATGAAATGAAGACATAAACATCCTTGTTAGCTTGCCTCTATGGTGAAGCATAAACATCATATCATCAGTAACCTTGATGAACTAACTCATGTTACTATCATATCTACCGAGCCTTGTCGTCGGGGTCTCCTTGGCATCCTCGATGGCCTTGGTGACTCTATGTTTAGTCTCCTCGACACTCTTGTATCGCCAGCTTACTCAGCCATATCACCTATCCTCTTGGCCTAGTACAATAATCTCGACTTGGGACCAAGTCTAGCTACTCGCCTTGTTGTGATAAGGACAACCCTATGGCTACATGGCAAGCCTTCGCTTCTACGTACCTTACTTACCAAAGCTCCCCACTCGATCTTGTTGGCTAGGCACCAAACCTGGCCTCATCCATCAAAATTTCATACTTAGCCTTGTGGAATTAGGTTCCAAGTTGTCAATTCTTCATTTTTTCCAACAAACCTCTCATCCTTCAATTTTTATAACAAACCTTTCATGAATCATTATAGTTTAATGTACGTGGATGAAAAAGTAGGTCTATATGTATCTTTTCTCTCTCACACTATCCTCCCTTTCTTTCCTCTCACTTTGTTAGTTGTGAGATTGTTTTGTTTGTAGCATTGTTACAAAAGCATCTTTGGAAGATTTCCATATGTTCATTCATTCATTCATAGGGTCCCCAAAGCTTTTTGTAAAGCTCTTTTGTTTTCCAATGTGCTGGTGGATAGAGATTGACACATGCATGGGATACAAAAATGAAAACACCAATTAATAATGACATCGCATTTACTTTTGTTATACAAAACACTATTTAGTATATTTTAACAAGATAAAAATGCTTATATCGCACTATGAAATTCACGGTTACAAGAAGTGGATTATACATAATAGAAGCTGAAAGCCTGAAACCAAACCAACAATTCAAAACTTTATGCGTCTTTGATATTAATGGTTTCAATTTGGTTTCTCCATTCTTAGTCTTTTAAAAGCGAAACTAACAAAATTCAGAATTCACAAATTTATGCTCGAAGCTAGACTAAATTATATGTTAATTCGATTAGAACATTGAATATTCATTAGATCCAACTCGGACTAATCTTTATTCATCTCAAATTGAGAGCATGTGGTGAAATGTTGCTTCAATTTTGTTTCCTTTCAGGGACTATGATCATGGTAGTCCTGAACTTTGGAGAAGTTGAACTTTTCTTTCAATTGAGTAATGTATACATATCACATCTCCAATAGTGTATTTGCCTCCATCCATGATAATTGGCTATCACTATAGGAACAATAAGTATTTTCACTTTGTTTGGTAGTATCATCACAATAATTAAGATGATAGCCCCTAGAGAGATATGTAGTACCCTTCTAAGAATTGACTTGAGCTTGAGCACCTTTTACTAGTCAATATAAATGGGTAGCTATAGTGATGGTGTTGGTCAATTATTTTGCTATTGAGTATCCACATATACAAATGGATGATGATTCTTTGCTTAATTCTTCAATCGATTGGATCTTATTGATTCCATATGAATGTCCGTATTGATCTATCGTGTTTTTTAATCATTACAATGTAATTTTATGCAAAATATTGTTCTACAATGTAATCACCACAATAATGAAGATATATTATTCTCCCAAAATTATACGAAATTGTAACAAATTAAATGGGGGAAAAATCCAGGCTAGCTAGAGTCTGTTAAAGGAATATAATTGAGATGCATGTTTGTTTTCTATATCTTTTTTGTTGTTGTTTTGGGAACATTCAAATTGCATCATGCATATGCCCATATGAAAGAAAGGCCACATACCCTTCAACCTTTTGGCTGCCTCCCTGAAAAGGAGAAAAGGAATATACTCCTCGATCTTCCATCCAATTCAGAAGAGATTGATGAGTGATGCTTTATCAGAAGAACTTAAGGGGTTATGAAGTTTCAAGAGAGGATAGGGTGATTCGAATTCGTGATTTAGTTCAATTATCTCATTTTGTGACAATCAAATCAAATTATTTCATTTGGTTATACAAGAATCGGATAGAGAATTTGAGTTCGGGAAATTTTGATTTGTTATGAGATTGTTATAATTATCTTAAAGGTGTAGAGCTTATTCCAGTTGTTTCATCACAAATACTTCATTTTGTAAAATGAAGTAATTTGGTTAATAACCTCTTTTTCAAATTGTTCCATGCAAATGATCATGTTTTGTCATAATATCTCCCCTGGATCCATTAGAATCTGATATTTGAGAGGTAAAAGTTGAAAAGTTTAACAAATTGGAGAAGTATGTATGGGACAATAAGTCCACATTCCTAATTGTTAGGAATGACAATCAAATCCACTTGTATTGGACTGTTTCTGATCTAATCAACGCGGTGTAGATAAAATCCGCAAACAGTTTGATGAAAATGGAGAGAGTATGATTTTAGTCTCCCCACTTTATATCCATACTTATACGGTCATACCTGGGTCACCAAGAATATTACATTGTTTATAAAAATATAGAGATTATATTTTAATCTGTCAATGACAGAGGAAATACATGTTGTACCAGGAGTCGTTGTTGAGCGCGAGTTCGTCGAAGATGAACGAGAAAATGGAGGTGCAGGTCGAGAATAATTGGAGGCTCGAGATGGACCTGCCGCGAAGTTGGATTGCGTGCGTGAGATTCTCAGCAATAAGGTTGATCAAATTATAAAGCAAATCGAGCAGAATCAAAACAGGAGAATGAGAACCCGTAATTCATGATTATTTTTCTCCTTTGGATCTCGTGATGAAGTATCGATCATAAGGTTCGCGAGGATTTGTGTAGCAATGCGACAGAAATGAATAAATAAAATTGAGTCAGTTAGTTGCCTTTTAAAATATCATTTTACAGTTATGCGTAATTATCCTTTTATGCGATATTCGTTCTTATTTACCGCACCAACTAATAGTGATGTACATCTTATTTACTTCATTTTGGATATTTATGAACTAACTCGATAAGATAACATTTATGCATATGCTTATTGAAGTTATATTCACTTATCTGCTACCTAAAACCTAAAGGAGTGTACCCGTTGTACACTTTCGATGTTGTACGCTTTCGATATTGTCCATGCATTGCATTGTCATTTTGATCACTAACCCATCTCAAAACGATCTCCATCTTCTTTTTTACTTGTACAATAATAACAATGAGCAAGAAAATATGTGAAAATCATTTTCATTAACGGAGTGCTATTTTGATTAGGAGTATTTTTTATGATTAGGAATAGTAACAACTAACAAGTATCATACCGTTATAAAAATGTAGTTGAGGGACTTGTGCGAGAAACATCTATAATATAGGCACTAAAAGGCCATTATCTCTATCAAATATTAAATAGGTCGCAGGGTCCCATGCCTTTCTCCGTCATTCCCGTCCCCAATTCCCCTCTTCTTCTTCCCGGCCATGAACCGAATCGATCCCCGCCACCGATATCGCCGCCAATCACAATCAAAACCATGATTCTCGCCACCACCGCCGTTTCCTGGCTCCGATCCCGCTGCAGTCGGAGAAGCCGCTGCGTCTTGATCTCCCTCTGCTCCCCGCTCATCCTCCCGCTGCTCTTCATATCTCTCCCTCTGCTCTTCGCGCTCGAGATTTGCCTCTGGCTCCGACTCTGTCGCCGAAGGAAGCCGCGGCGGTGGCGGTGGGGCGGCGGGGGGAGGAGGAAATCGGCGCTGATCGAAAAGGGGGCGACGGTGGCTCCGGATGAGCGACTGCGGCGGTGCGAGGAAGGTTTGCGGAATCGGGAGGCGGATGCGGAGGAGGATGGCGAAATTGGGCGGCTGTTGCAAGTTTACTTGGAGGATCAGCTACGGCTGGCTGGATCGATTGTGTTCGAGAGCGATGATGCGGCGGAGAGCGGCGGTGGCGGCAGCGCCGGCGGCAGATTTGGCAAATTCGGATTTCGCGAGGAGAACAGAGAAGCGGTGGACTCCAACATTGTCCCGCTGTTGACCTAATTTGGTTTTGGGGCTGGGGACTTATTAGTGTCGCGTTTTGTGTTTTCCGAGTTTTTTTTTGTTAGTTCCTCAAATTTGGAGGACTGTTAAGAGAAATTTTATTTTCCTCTGTAAAATTACCACATTTTTGTTTATCTTGGTGCTTATTAATTTTATTCAAGTTACACGAGATTCATGCTATACAACTTTTTTTTAAATAGGATACTTACTAATTTCTCCATAGCCTAATTATTTACTCTGGGATACATGCATGTGTGGCATTAAAGTCGATACTTTCTCATGTACTTCATCTACTGATATTAAAAGCATCTCTTAGGGATCATTTGGATGACAAATCAACATCAATTATTAAATAGAATATGATAAGTACTTTTTCAAATTAAGCTTCTTAGTTTTAAATTTTTTCAATTGTTAAGCATCCAAATCAGCCTCATTTTCGTGACAATTTATTATCTTAACTATTTTTTTTTATCTTTACAAGTTTCTCTACCGTTAAAATAATCAAACATACAAATAATCATTAGTAGGATCGATTTCATAATATGCAAATGCTACACTGTAGTTTAAAGTATATAACCGTTGAGACAAACTCCATTTGATGATGCTAATTAATCACAAATCTAATGTGATAAAGTCAATTGTTGATATTAATCTCAACATGAATAGTACTATGAACTATTGTATCATCATACAGATTTAACATCAACTTCAATTCGCTCAACACTCATCTTCCCGATCGAAATTATATTTAAGCTATACAACTTTTTTTAAATAGGACACTTACTAATTTCTCCATAGCCTAATTATTTACTCCAGGCACTGGGGATACACGTGTGACAATAAAGTCGATACTTTCTCACGTTCTTCATCGATTGATATTGAAAGCATCTCTTTGGAATAACTTGGATGAGAAATCAATATCAATCATCAAACAGAATATAATAAGCACTCTCTCAAATTAAGCTTCTTGGTTTTAAATTTTCTCAATTGTTAAGCATCCACATCAGCCTCTTTTTCATATGTCATTTTACTATCTCAACTATTTATTTTTATCTTTACAAGTTTCTCTATCGTTAAAATAATCAAACATATAAATAACCATTTGTAGGATCGACCTCATAATATGCAAATGCTACACTGTAGTTTAAAGTATATAACCATTGAGACAAACTTCATTTGATGATGCTAATCGTAAATCTAATGTGATAAAGTCCATTATTAATATGAATCTCAACATGGGTGGTAGTATCGTATCATCATACGTGTTTAACGCCAACTTCAATTCGATCTAACACTCATCTTCCTGAAATTATATTCCAGCAATGCAAATATCTCATTCAGAACTTGGATATAGGCGTTGGGAAAGTTCCTAGGATTCTATCATCTGTTCTTTTCTCTTTGTTTGTTTCTTGTTAAAAGTAGTGATAGTTACTCTAGTTCTTACACCAAAGAAGATGGTGTACCTACAACAAAGAACTTCTTCTTAATTACCCATATGTCCACCGTCTTCTCTGTACGTCGTTTCTATGATGCCCGCTCTTCATCGGACTCCCTCTTTTTTTTTTTTTCCTAACGAATTCATCGTCACAAAAGATAAAATAAAACCCCATGTCTTTTAATGACCAAACTCTGTCTTGCCAGCTAGGGATGACAACAAACCCGAATCCACGGGTACCCATTCAACCCAACCCGGTCAACGCGGGTAAAATTCGTGTTGATGGGTTTTGGGCCGGATTTGGGTTTAAACCAGTTCACTATTCACCGGGTTGGGTTGGGTTTGGATTTAGGTAAATCCGACCCATGGGTACCGCTCACATCCATATAATTAATTTTTTGGTATATTTAATATTCTAAACAACTAATCTTATTTATGTTTGTGGAGACATGTCTAATTTTTTCTTTCTAATTGTGTAGAATGAAGTTGATGTTATCGAGTGGAGAGTGAAGAAACTTAATTGAAAAGAAGAAGCTTTCAATTAATCATGTTATTTATAGATAATTTGTGATTGGCTTCAATTTTCTTGAGTTTTCTAGATTGGCATTGAACAATTTGTATAGTTAATTTGTGATTTGCTTGAATATTCTAGAATGGTGTTTTATATATGGATAATTTGTATTGGGAGATTGATATTGGACTTTAATTTTGATAGGAACTTGTTATTGTAAATTTATTACGATAAAAACCTGTGGGTACCCATGAACCCGCGGACACCCAGCGGGTTGGGTTGGGTTTACCCCGGATTTTTTTCACGGAAAAACCCATAAATTTGCGTTTGAGTTTGGCAAAACCCGAACCAATCCGACCCATTGCCAGCCGGCCTAGGGCTATAAATACCCCATCTCTCCCATCCCCACAACTCACACAATTCACATAGCAAAAAAAAAAAAAAAGCAAAGAGAACGAGAACAGGTGAGAGATAGAAATAAGCGAGAAATGGAGAAGCCAACAACGACGACCACAGTCATCTTGTCGCTAATGGTGACGGTCTTATTAGCCACCACCTACGGAGCAGCAACGGCCAATGCTAGGGAACTCAGCTCCGGCGGCTTCACTGCTCGTGGCGGTTTCAACGGTACGGCGAGGATCGATGGCAGTAGTAGTACTGTTGGCAGCTGCGGCGGGAAAAAAGCGAAATCGTGCGAAGACGATCTCTGTTGCAGTCAGTACGGCTACTGTGGCAGTGAGAGCGAGTATTGTGGCGACGGATGTCAGTCGGATTACGGCGAATGTGGTAGCAGCGGGACAAGTAGCGCCCCGCCGCCGCCGCCAAAGCGGTAATTAACTTCAACGTTTTCCTTTGAGGATTGTGAACAGCTAATTAAGAGACGTGATGATCGGAAGTTGGAACTTGGAAGGGGGTATGTGCTTAATTAGTAGTAATGATGATGAATAAAGTTGTGGAATTCAGCTATGAAATAATAATTATTGATAATAATGGTAATACTTTGATATGCTTTCCTGGTTTTTCTTTTTTACTATTTCTATAGAAATGTTATCTGTGTTCCCGTTACCTTTGTATCACATATAGAAGCTGGTGCTTCATTATTGGGAATAAAGAGAATTTCCCAATAAATATAGACAAATTCGGTATATCCCAAATACTGATACCAAACGTCCAGCCCTATCTTAGTGATCATTTGAATGACAAATCAACATCAATTATTAAATAGAATATGATAAGCACTTTTCAAATTAAGCTTCTTAGTTTTAAATTTTCTCAATTGTTAAGCATCCACATTAGCCTCATTTTCGTGATAATTTATTAACTTAACTATTATTTTTTATCTTTACAAGTTTATCTACCGTTAAAATAATCAAACATACAAATAATCATTAGTAGGATCGATTTCATAATATGCTAATGCTACACTGTAGTTTAAAGTATATAACCATTGAGACAAACTCCATTTGATGATGCTAATCACAAATCTCATGTGAAAAAGTCCATTGTTGATATTAATCTCAACATGAATGGTACTATGAACTATTGTATCATCATACAGGTTTAACATCAACTTCAATTCGCTCAACACTCATCTTCCTGAAATTATATTTAAGCTATACAACTTTTTTTAAATAGGACACTTACTAATTTCTCCATAGCCTAATTATTTACTCCATGCACTGGGTATCTGACAATAAAATCGATACTTTCTCACGTTCTCCATCGATTGATATTGAAAGCATATCTTTGGAATAACTTGGATGAGAAATCAATATCAATCATCAAACAGAATATAATAAACACTCTTTCAAATTAAGCTTGGCTTTAAATTTTCTCAATTGTTAAGCATCCACATCAGCCTTATTTTCATGTCATTTTACTATCTCAACTATTTCTTTTGATCTTTACAAGTTTCTCTATCGTTAAAATAATCAACCATATAAATAATCATTAGTAGGATCGACCTCATAATATGCAAATGCTACATTGTAGTTTATTTAAAGTATATAACCATTGAGACAAACTCCATTTGATGATGCTAATCGTAAATCTAATGTGATAAAGTCCATTATTAATATGAATTAATGAATCTCAACAGGAGTGGTACTATCGTATCATCATACGTGTTTAACACCAACTTCAATTCGATCTAACACTCATCTTCCTGAAATTATATTCCAGCAATGCAAATATCTCATTCAGAACTTGGATATAGGCGTTGGGAAAGTTGGTAGGATTCTTTCATCTGTTCTTTCTCTTTGTTTGTTTCTTGTTAAAAGTAGTGGTAGTTACTCTAGTTCTTACACCAAAGAAGATGGTGTACCTACAACATGGTTGTCTACCTACATTAAAGAACTTCTTCTTAATTACCCATATGTTCACCGTCTCCTCTATACGTCGTTTCTGTGATGTCCGCTCCTCATCGGACTCCCTCCTTTTATTTTTTCTTAACGAATTCATCGTGACAAAAGATAAAAATAAAACCCCCGTGTCTTTTAACGACCAAGCTCTGCCTTGCCGGCCAACCTAGGGCTACCGGCTACATGTGTGTATATACTATATATATATATACCCCAACTCTCCCATCGCCACAACTCACACAATTCACATAGCAAAAAAAAAAAAAAAGCAAAGAGAAATAGAACAAGTGAGAGATAGAAATAAGCGAGAAATGGAGAAGCCAACAACGACGACGACAGTCATCTTGTCGCTAATGGTGACGGTCTTATTAGCCACCACCTACGGAGCAGCAACGGCCAATGCTAGGGAACTCAGCTCCGGCAGTTTCACTGCTCGTGGCGGTTTCAAATTCCTGGCCAATGGTACGGCGAGGATCGATGGTAGTAGTACTGTTGGCAGCTGCGGCGGGGAAAAAGCGAAATTGTGCGGAGAGGATCTCTGTTGCAGTCAGTACGGTTATTGTGGCAGTGAAATCGAGTATTGTGGCTACGGATGTCAGCCGAATTACGGCGAATGTGGTAGCAGCGGGACAAGTAGCGCCCCGCCGCCGCCGCCAAAGCGGTAATTAACTTCAACGTTTTCCTTTGAGGATTGTGAACAGCTAAGAGACGTGATGATCGGAAGTTGGAAGGGGGTATGCTTTGATATGCTTTCCTGGGGGTTTTTTTTTACGCTTTGTATAGAAATGTTATCTGTGTCTCCAGTTACCTTTGTATCACATATAGAAGCTGGTGCTTCATTATTGGGAATAAAGAGAATTTCTACTTCTTACATTTAAATTTTCTCTTTTGACTTAATTATTTGGATAGAACGTCCCACACGCAATGTTGCTCGCAAGAATCTAACGTTAAATTAAAGAAATAGACTTAGCAGGATGAAGAAAATTAGAGTTAAATCGAATAGAAATAAAACTCAGGGCGAAACGAATCCAGACGATAAAAGAAGGAAGCAAAAAAGTGATTTTAGGTCTTAATCTTCTAATGATATTAAACGAATGAACAAGTGCAATATTTATAGGTATAAAACATCTTTTTTCTCTTACCTAAAACATGACCACTTCTCATACAAGAAAACAATAATAAAATCCTAACTAAATAATAAAATAGATGAGTATATAATTCCCTAATTTGCCACGATCATTCGTCTTGTAACACTTTATTTATATCGATCTTACTAATACACGAAAAAAGAAAACTTTCTTTTATTCTCTAAAAAAAAACTGAACTTTCTTTAGATCTAGTATGTTGGACTTTTTCACCCAAAAAAAAGTATGTTGGACTTGCACTAAAAAATCATTATTCATCAAGTTTGAAAGTGTATGATGTCCGGCTCAAAATCCAGATTCGCTTGCAGCTTCTGCCCTAAAATCAGGAAAATTTTCCACTGTACACATGTTTTTAAAAAAAATTCTCAAAATACACATGTTATGAAAAAAATTCCCAAACTACGCATGTTTGGGTCTTCACCGCGTCAGACTAAGGCGGTGATTGCTTCACCGCGTTAAACAAGGGCGGTGATGCAATCACCGCGTTAGAGAAAAACGGTGATTGCATCACCGCTGTAGACAAAAACGGTGATAGCTTCACCGCGTTCGACGGCCGCGGTGAAGGCCTGACCTGCGTCGAATCTTTAAAAAAACGTAACTTTGTGCTCGGTTATCCGATCGTGGTGAAATTTTTTTTTATTCCACATAGATTATGCGAATCTCGAAAAATTATGCGGAATCAAAAAAAATTTCATCACGATCGGATAACCGAGCAAAAAGTTACGTTTTTTTAAAGATTTGACGTAGGTCAGGCCTTCACCAGGCCTTCACCGTTTTCCTCTAACGCGGTGATGCATTCACCGCGTTTCTCTACAGCGGTGATGCAATCACCGTTTTTGTCTAAGGCGGTGATGCAATCACCGTTTTCGTCTAACGCGGTGATTCAATCACCGCCTTTGTCAGACGCGGTGAAGGCCCAAACATGCGTAGATTGGGAATTTTTTTCATAACATGTGTATTTTGAGAATTTTTTTTAAAAACATGTGTACAGTGGGATTTTCCCCCTAAAATCATAGCTAACTAGTAACTACTACTGATTCGATTTTACCGAGCAGTGATAATAATGGTGGGAAACATAAGTGAAAGCGATAGACCACAAGAATGTCATCAGTAGTCACCGCCATACAAAACACTTCTCTATCTCTTTAATAATTTCTTTGCCGTTTTACCAGAGGACATGATAGCGCGCGGTTGATGTACGAATTCATCCGAATAAAGAAAACAGAAGCTTTCCGACGCAAGTCCAATGCCGCATTTTACATCCCCGCAGCGCCATTTTCACACTACTACTACTGAAGCACTCACTCCTCCGGGACCATCTGATGGCCGCCGACGATATAGTCGCCGCCGCCCCTTTACTCGAAGACCACGACATCGTTCCTGGCTCCGTTGACCACCGCGGCCGCCGGATCCGCGACCGCCCCTCCTTCGGCGGATGGAGATCTGCTGCTTTCATAATCGGTACAAGATTTCCCTAATTTATTTTTGTTTGTTTCTTCTGTCGATTTTGCTTTTCCTCTGCGTTTTCTGATTTTTTGGATCTACGGATTTCGCGGCAGTGGTGGAAGTGGCGGAGAGGTTCGCTTACTTCGGGATATCGTCGAATCTGATAACGTATTTGACGGGGCCGCTCGGGGAATCGACGGCGGCGGCGGCGGCGAATGTGAACACGTGGTCGGGGACTGCTACTCTGCTCCCGGTCGTCGGAGCTATCGTCGCCGATTCCTTTCTCGGCCGCTACACGACAATCGTTGTCGCCTCTCTCATCTACGCCGTCGTCAGTTTTCTCCGATCCGATTTAGGGAAAATGGAAAAGATACCATTTGACCCACAAAGTTTTACTATGCTCTATTTCTGGTGCATGGAATATTCATTTTGGTCATTCAAGTCCATTTTAACTTTCGCAGGGGCTGGGGCTGCTTACATTATCAGCTTCACTGACATCTGAAGCAGCCACGAAGTCCCAGGAAGTACTGTTCTTCACTGCTCTGTATCTCGTCGCTATAGGGCAAGGCGGCCACAAGCCATGCGTGCAGGCATTTGGAGCTGATCAATTCGATGAGCACCATCCGAAGGAGAGCAAGGCGAAGGCGTCCTTCTTCAACTACTGGTACTGCAGCATGGCGATCGGGATCAACGTGGCGCTTCTGATCGTCGTCTACGTCCAGGACAACTTGAATTGGGCTGTTGGGTTTGGAATCCCCTGCCTCAGCATGGTTGTTGCTCTGTTCACGTTCTTGCTAGGCAGGTCGACTTACAGGTTTAGCAGCAAGAGGGTGGAGGAGAGAAACCCGTTTCTCAGAATTGGTCATGTGATCGCTAGAGCTTTTAGAAGCAGTGGGAATCATAGTAAGGTTTCATCAGGGGTTACAACCAGTGAAGGAGAGGCATACCTGTCGAGTCAGAGCTCTCACCAGTTCAAGTAAGAAGCTTTTTTGCTTGGGTTGATCCCCATTTGTCATAAAGATTGCTGCTTTCAAACTTGTAGTTATGATTGGATTTCACCTTGCTTGCCAAGCAAGTCTCTGCTGATTTATTTTGCTGCTTAACTATAGCTTAATTCATGTGGCTCCTTCTGTGAAATTCAGCCTCATTGACACCTTTTTTCCATTCTCGTAAGGTTCCTCAATAAGGCTCTATTCATCCAACGTGACTCCACCATGGACGAAGAAGAACAGCTCAAACAACTTTGCAGCGTGAAAGACATTGAAATGACCAAGCAACTCCTCCGTCTCGTCCCAATATGGTTCTCCATCCTAGCCTACGCGGTTGTTTTCGCGCAAGTCTCGACCTTCTTCACGAAGCAAGGCGCCACCCTCGACAGAACAATCTTCCCCAACTTCCAAATCCCACCAGCTTCCCTTCAGTTCTTCCTCGGCACCGCAATCATCGTCTTCATCCCTCTGTACGACCGCGTTTTCGTCCCCATCGCCTCGTCCCTAACCCTCAACCCGACGGGGATCACAACCCTCCAGAGAATGGGGACAGGGATGTTCCTCTCCGTTGTCTCCATGGTGGTTGCGGCCACGATCGAGATGAAGAGGCTGAGAATGGCCAAGGATCGCGAAATGGGTTCGATCATGAGCATATGGTGGCTGGTTCCGCAGTATGTTGTATGTGGGGTTTCTGACGTTTTCACCATTGTTGGGCTCCAGGAGTTCTTCTATGAGGAGGTGCCAAAGGAGCTGAAGAGCTTGGGGTTGTCGTTTTACCTTGGGGTGTTGGGCGTTGGGAGCTTTCTGAGTGGGTTTCTGGTCTCTGTGATTGATGAGATGACTGTTGCTGGAGAAGAGGGTAATCAAGGATGGTTTGCTGATGATCTTGATGAGGGCCATCTTGATTATTTCTACTGGCTTCTTGCTGGGATTAGTGGCCTGTGGTTTGTTGGTTACTTGTATTTTGCTAGATCCTACGTGTATAGGGAGAAGTAGGGAATGGTAACTATGTATTGAAAACCCTTAAAAAGGGTAAATCATTCCTTCACTAAGAAAAATGGGGGTTTGGATGAAGAATTTTAGCGGATCAATTTACCCTAATTGTTTAGTTTTGAGATAATCTGATCAGGTTGATCCGTTAGGTAGCACAAAATTTTAATAAAGCAATTATGCATGGAGAATTTAAAATTCACTCGTTTCGAGGAAATTACAACTGTCTGGTGTGGAGACGAACAATTCGAAGCGACTCGTTTGAAATGACTCATTTTTGTAAAATGAGAAAATTGGTCAAATTGTCTCGATCGATCCAAACGATTCGGACACTTGTGAAGTTGAATTTAATCTCACCAAGTATATTTTTTTACTCTAAAAAGTTTTGAACAAGTATGTTATATTTGAATCGTGAAAGTGGAATCTCATGATATAATGGCTGAACTTAATAATTTTAGCAAATTTATGGCTTAATTGAATGTTTTACACTCTCATATTTTTTTTATCATGCATAGTTTTTATTGTATTTTAAGCAAATAAATCAGTTTTATTTTTTTTTAAATGAGAATTCTGCCAATTAATTTGTTCAAGGCAAAAAGGAAAAGGTTTTCCCGGGAAATTGACTGGTTCGCGGGTCGCGGCTGCCGAGGGAGTATAACGTAAATTAGCCCACTTCCCGTTGCTCCATTTTTTTTTTGTCTCCACTGCTCCTCCTACTGTTAGTTACTTTCTCATCTGGCGTTTTCCCCTTTCCCCATCCCATCCATCATCGTTCATAACGTTAAAACTTCCCTTTCATTCCCCTCCCTCATCCGCCAGAGAAAAATAAGAGATTACACTCCGCTCGTCGAGAGAATTCCATCACTTTCCCGTGGAAGAGAAAGGGAGGAAATTGGGTCGCGGCGGTGAAGAAAAGAGAATGGATCTCTGGGGAGCGCTGCAAGTGAAGAACGCCACTCGGAGCCCTCTCCTTGCCGGGGATTATTCGATTCCTTCCGAGCGATTGAGTTGCTGGGCCCGAGAGAAGAAAACGATTGGGTTTCTGGAGATCAGGGTTTTCAACCGCAAGCTCTGCTCCCACTCGTTGATTGTCAGGGCTAAGGCGAAGAAGAACAACAACGACAGCGATGACAATTCCTCTTCATCTTCTTCTTCGTCGCCTTCTCCTTTCGGTACGGGGGGTCTCTCTTTAATGGGTTTTTGTTGATTCTTTCAATTGGATTGGTAAATTGCTTGTTGATGTTGGGGAGTGAGGGTTAGCCGGTTAGGTTTCGAACTTAATTTGGTTTCATTTCGGTAAAGGTGCAAACTTTTTTGGATTCTGCTTGGTTTGGGGGAAAGAGCGTGATTGGATATTGAAACACTTCGCACTGTTAAGGAAGGTGACAATGGTTCATGCGAGTGCTTGTCTACTTAGTTAGGGAAATTGTGATGGAAGTCTGATAATTGTGGTGAAAGCTCGACCCTTTAGCCCGATTGTGAATTTGTAGAGTTGGTGATTCTGTTCTACTACCTTGTATTACTATTTGCGGTTTAGGTTCTGAAGGGGCATTGTACGACTATTTCCTCAGAATTCTGCGAGAATAGAAGCAGGGATTACTTGTTTCACCTTCTGTGCTTACTTTATGTGCTGCTAATGGTGACACCTGCAGAAAATGGTGATAGATCTCGCCCTGATGGAGATGTGTCGAAAGGGAAAAAATCCTATGATGGCAGCAAAACGAACAATAGTTCTTCCCAGAAGCCAATTCGGGGGAATCTGGACTGGAGAGAATTCAGGGCTAGTTTGGTTGCTCAAGAGCAGGTGACATTTTCTTCCTCGGCATGCTACTTCTTCCCCGCCGCTTGGGAATGCTAATTGCACATCCTTATGAATGGGGCTTGATTCTGTGTTTATTTTTTCCATTTAAGCACTTCCCATTTCCTAACTTATGAATAGATGGGGATATAATGTATGGTCTTATATATGGTGTTGTTCATGGGCATTCTCAATCATCTACTAGGCTGTTCTATCATGGAGATTTCTCAAGTAGTTTATTTAGTTATAATTTGAACATGAGTTAGGTCTGGAAGCAAAGTTCGGGAAGAAGATGCTTAATTGATGTTTTGATTTGGATTATAGGTGAAGTTATCATCTAAGCTAGTTTAATAAAAATCATTCTTCATAGGTTCATAATAAGTTCATTTGATAAGTGGGTGAGTTGATCTTGATGATTATTAACAGGCACACAAGTCAGAGACCGAGACTCACAGCAGCCAGAGCGACCCATTCCAAGAGCCGAAACCTCTTGCCCCAAAGTGGGCTCACCCTTTATCAATCCCTGAGAATGGTTGTGTCCTTGTTGCCACGGAGAAACTCGATGGAGTTCGTACATTTGAAAGAACTGTTGTCCTCCTCCTAAGAGCTGGTACCAGCCATCCACAGGAAGGACCGTTTGGTGTTATCATCAATCGCCCACTCAACAAAAAGATTAGGCATATGCAGCCAAACAATAATGAGCTGGCGACCACATTCTCAGATTGTTTTGTGCATTTCGGCGGCCCCCTTGACGCGAGCATGTTCTTGTTGAAAACAGGAGAGAATAAGACCAAGCTTCCCGGGTTTGAAGAAGTGGTTCCCGGTTTGTGTTTTGGTGCTAGAAACAGCTTAGATGATGCTGCAGCACTTGTGAAGAAAGGAGTACTGAAGCCTCAGGACTTCCGGTTCTTTGCCGGTTATGCCGGTTGGCAGCTGGATCAGTTGAGGGAGGAGATTGAGTCTGACTATTGGTACGTCGCTTCTTGCAGCTCAAATCTCATCTGTGGAGGATCATCCATGATGGAGTCTGGCAATCTGTGGGAAGAGATTTTGCAGCTTATGGGTGATGATTACTCGGAGGTGAGCCGGAAGCCTAAGCAAGACATGTAAGTTCATTGAGAACACGATGGGTATGGGTCTGAATGAAAATATGGATGTGGTATTAATGGAGTCAAATGTACAGAAACTCACTGTGCCTAGATAGCCTTGTTTTTAGCTTGTTTTCTCTTTCCTTGGCTTTGGTCTCAGTTGAGTGGTATTAATGGAGTCAAATGTAAGAACTTGCCAGTTGCTGTTTTATATATGTAACAGGATGGTTACCTTGCCTTGCCTTAATGTTATGGTGAAAAAAGGGGAAAAAACAGTAAAGCCCTCCTGATAAATTAACCTCTTTGGTGGGTTCAATAAAACTTAGCTGTCCGCAATTTATGCTGCAATCTCATAAGACATCTCTGTTCCCTTTGGAATCACTACAGCAGGGAACTTAATAGTTAAGGTTTGGTTTGGATAGTTGGACTACGAGGATGGATATATTGGTATCGTCGTTTAGGTTGATGATTTCTAGATCTGATCACTCATCAGTATGTGAGATTCTATACAATGCCTGTCTAGAGACTGTGTTACACTATCTGTCGCTACGATTCCTCTTCCAAACGACCCTTAGAGATTTCTTTATGAACTGCACAAGGGTAAGGTCAAAAGCTTTGGGAACAGGTAGCACCGTAGCAGATCACATCAATAAAGTCCTATAAAATATACCAAAGTATCACTCTCTAAGTTGGGATCCTACTGTTCAGTTATCATCATAAAATAGCTAATAGTCAGACTAATTATGTACTTCTGACAAATTTTACAACACCAAAACAAGTCAATTGGAATCTTCATGTCCTTATTTCATCTTGTGGATTTAACCACATCCAGACAACACCATTTCAACCCTCCTTTAGTTTCTTGTCCCACAAGAGTCCTTCAAGGCCAGCTTCTACCAATCTTCTTACCGCCGTTGTTGTTAAGGTTCTATTCTGTTCTCTCCTCCTATGACTACTTGCTTTTTTCTGAAGGGCTGAAAGTCTGGTTCTTCTTGGTTGTGTTTGCCTTTTATGCACATGATCATCCTCCTCCGTAGCTACTATTATGATCCTCGTCTATAAGGTTGTCTTTAGATCTTGCTTTCCTGACAGCTTGTTGAATTTGTCGCTCGTGCTCCTTCAGAAGCTCTTCCATGTTGCCTCCTGCAGGCATCAGAGGGCCAGAGTAATGGATCCTGTTCTTCCTTGGAGGCACGTACACCTGAACCCAAAAAAATAACCCCAACCATCAAACATTCAAACACTGAATGTCATCACAGATAACTGGCACAAACCCATCAAGTCATTACCACTGAAGAGTCTTTGATGTTGAATGATGAGCCGCCATTTCTGTTACCGTTCTTCCTCCAGGTGACTGTCATGTCCACTGTTTGTTGGGACGCCATGGATTTCTGTGTCCTGAGCTCCGACATGGTGCTGTTGTTCCGGTTTCTCACAGTGCTCGCGGTGGAGAAATCGTTCTTGTTGGTAAGACTTGGATGGATCATGGAAGATGAGTGAGTGTAGCTACCACCAGCACCAACGTTTGGCCTGATCATCACCATCCCTCCTCCTGCTGCTAAAGGCTCAACCCTGTAACCGCCATTAGCTGCATCCTCGTAGTTATGGCTATTGCTGCTTGTTGCTTTCCCTTGCCCTTTACCAGGTAAAGAATCTCTATCATTTCTTTGGCCTTTAGCTGATTCAGGTCCCCTCATCTTGATGGCTTCTGCCATTTTTCTGCAAAGTCACAGCAAACAAATGTGAAAAGTTGATGACCTGGTTGGAACAGTTTGTTTTCTTTGGTAGAAGAAGTGGTTCAAGATAATAAAGACGAATTGGTATGAGATCATACCTTCTTGCTTCCTCTTCTCTGGTTTTGGCATCAAGTTCCTTGCTTGGAGGATACTTGGGTAGGCTTGAAGGTTCACAAGGGAATGGCTCTGTATTGAAGAACTGTAGACAAAATGCAACTTCTATTATTGCCAAAACTAATCATATAATGGCCACAAAAAGGAAAAGTATGAACATCGGAGTAAAAATGTTTAGCTGACCTGGCTTTCAAGGGCAGAAGCAGCCGTTCCTCGAGCTTCCGGCTCGATGGACAACAACTGATCTACAAGAGCCAGTGCTGAAGGCGGGAATTTGATGAATGTCTCTTCAACACAGCGCTTGTAAGGCTGTTGAGGCTTGAAACTTGTTGCATGTGGGAACTTTGTCTTCTGCCAGTACTCTTCTGATGGTGAGCCACACAGCTTGAATATCTTGTGCATTTGCTCCACCTAGAAAGTAAAAAAATTCATACAATTCAAGATGAAATCTTATGGAAAATGAAATTGTTACGTATTGTACTCGAAAATGGGTGATATCGAGAAAGTGATCGAGTTGTTTTTCTTCCATTACCTCTGTTCTTCCAGGCATGATGTGCTTCCCAGCAAAGAGCTCAGCAAGTATGCAACCAGCACTCCAGAGGTCTATCCCAACTCCATACTGTGTGGCACCAAGCAAGAGCTCTGGCGCCCTATACCACAGTGTCACCACCCTACTCGTCAAACCCTGCTGCTGCGAACCACGATAGAAGTTGGCCAATCCGAAATCTCCAAGCTTCAAAACCCCGTTGTTGTTGATCAGGAGGTTCGATCCTTTGATGTCGCGATGCAGAATCCCACAGTCATGGCAATGCTGAAGCCCCCGGAGAAGCTGCTGCATGTAACATTTTATCTGTTGCTCGGTGAACCTCACACCGGGTCTCGTTGCAAGCCCGGTAAGGTCGTGTTCCATGTACTCGAAGACGAGGTACAAGCTCTCCGACATCCTGGAAGTCACAATGCACTCAAGCCTCATCACATTTGGGTGGTCAAGCTTCCTCAAGATGTTGATCTCCCTCGCCATGAATCGAACACTTTCAGGGTCCATGTTCACGAACCGCACTTTCTTCATCGCCACGATCTTCCCTGTTTGAAGGTCTCTTGCCCTATACACTGTGCTGTAAGTCCCTTGTCCAATCTGCCAAGTTCCATTAACCTCTTTAGAAGCATAATCAAGTCACCAGAAAGGATGATAACATCAAGTTACAGACTTTATACCTTTTCTAGCTTCTCGAACGAGGTGGCCTGCCGCGGCAGCCAACCTCTAACAGCATCACCAGCAACTGAGGTCAGCCATTGAGGCCATCCTGGGTCGATCTCTCCATCACCATCACCTGGCATGCTGAAAGTTCTCGACATGCGAGGCAGGTAGAAGAAGTTGCTCCCGCTCGAGAGGTCCATCGTCGTGCCCCTCTGGTGATGTCGAGCTGATTTCGAGACGAGCTTGTTCTCATTGACGAAGATTCGGTCTCCCACGCTGCCATTGTTGCTGTTCTTGCCAATCCCAATGGCATTAGGATTGTAATGAGAGACTCTCGATGATTGTCGCGAACCGTACCTAGACCCTCTTCTGCTGGCGCTTCGGGACGAGTAGTTGGACGGATCATGATCGTGGTATGCTTCTGTCTTGCAAGGCGTTGGAGCAACGAGTTGGTTTGAGGATTTATCATTCAAATTGCTTTGATCCTTATCGTTGTTGTTGTTGTTGTTGTTATGAGAGGGGCTTAAATCTTGTTCTTGAGCTCCTTTGAAGCATATACAGCCCATAATCTCGCGCCAGAAACTTCGGAATCCGTATGAGAGAGCCAATTCTGATGATGATCAACCATTAATGGAGAAATGATGGTAGAAAAATATTGTTCTTCTTCCTCAACATTCATTATGGAAACCCCAGGTTTAACATTTCCTGAGGCTTTCCCTCCACTTAGCAATGGAATCTTGCGATCAGTATCACCTGGCAACAAGAGTCATTTCCTCCTTGTTGATTGTCTAAGAATTGAATTCACCCAATTTGATGTGATGCAAAAAAAAAAAAAATGTCAAAAGGAAGGAAAAAAAATAGAACCCAGAAATCACAGCATTGACCAAAAAAGACTATCTGATGCTGGTGACAATACAAAAGAACAATGATTCTGACAATGCAGGAATTCTGGGTGGCGATTTAGGGTTTCTCCTATTTTCGTAAAATATTTAGAGAAAATGAAAACTTCTTGAGAAAAAAAAAATCCTAAACGACTAGAATTTTGTTATAAAAACATCACTTAAAATTGAATTTTTATGAGAAATATAATTTTGTTGTTTGTTTTAGAAAGTTGAGAAACAGAAGAAGAATCAACTGTTTTTTTTTTTTTTATTGTTGCCTAAAACTGTGATACATTGAACAATTTTTAGTTCAGACAACTGCTTCTAGCTTTCAATGATATCTAATGATGGCTCGCAATTTGTCATCTTCTTCATTATGAGTATTATAATTAACTAGGCAGTGTACAATTTCTATGAAGCTGAAATTTCGTATTATAATTAACTAGTCATGATTTATGAATGGAGAATCAAAAATTTTCGGTTTTATAGAGTTACAGGGTTACATTAACAAACACAATTCATTAAGGTTTATTTTATCAATTTTAAGTTCGAAAAAAAGTGCTAAGCAAGACTATCTAACCTTTCTAGTCGCATGATGTGCACCAAATTTGCATACTTTTTTTGGAAGAATTATCAAGAAAAATGATATTTTTTATAATTTTCTACCAAAATAAATGGTCTACAAAAGCAACAACAATAAACTTTTCAAATGGCACAAACCACTAGAATTTTCACATGTACGTAGAAACTTTACATCAAACTCCAAGATGCCCGAGTTGGTCTAAGTGAGCTAGTTTCAGGTGCACATCAAACTTAGAAAACTGGACAAGTAACTAATTCTGTCACACTTATCCCAATTGTAAGATGTTTAAAAGGTTGCTAATCTCTAAACTTAATGCCGTTCAAATGTAAAATGAACAAGTCGATCCATGTATCCGGTACTCCAGGCAAGCACCAGTGCATGCAGTCGTCGTGCTTCTTTCCACCAGCATTGGCTGGGTGAGCGTCTGCTCTGAATTCACTCAAGTGAGTTATGTCTAGAATGTGAAAACTTGACCCGTTGATTGCTCTGAGCAGGTGCTGATTCACCAGCCGTGACTCGACATTTGTACCATTGTTTCTCACTTCAAAAAGTTCTTGGACCTGAGAAAATGAAGGAACATAGTAGAAATTAGAACCAGTGGGAATTTGTCAAGCACAGGAAATTCCAATTTCTCAGTCCAGCTTAGGGTGCAGCTATTCTTGCAAAATTTCAGACGATATGCTTACTTGGTGAGATGACAATGGCTGTTGACGCAGACAAGAACCACCTTCATTCCAGTCACCTCCTTCAAAATGCCTCGGTGATTGAGTCCGGAAGAACTTGATCCCACCTGGGCGCATCTTCTCTTCAACATAATGAATCTAGAGGTAACAAAAAAGGGGATAGATTCGCATTCTAGTTTAGCACACACACATGCAGGTAGAAAACAATGTACTGCCAACTCATTAAGTCGATCAGTCTTAAACACCTATGGCAGCTTCTATAGCATTTAGTATTTAGAGCAAAGTATATTACATAGAGGTCAATTGAGTATGGAACCACATGGAAACGGTCAAGAATCGATTCTTTCTAATTCTAGCAAAATGAGAAGAAAGTAAGCTAAGACAAGAAAACCGCACCATGTGCTTCAAAACAATGTCAAGGCCGACATCGGGAGGTATTGGAGGAATGATTGGTAAACCCTTTTCATAGAAGAGCATAGGTGACTTTACAGGGTGAAACTTAGAAGGTGCCCACCACCTGTTTTCAGACAATGGAGAAATGTTCACCTAGCTTGACTACCTCGAGTATGAAACCGGATAACCATAATTATTAATCAAGGAAATCATTGTAATTGGACAAAGAAATTACCAGTGCCCAGTGTTGAAGATCAGAATATCATGGAAGCTTGGAGCTTTAACCCAAGTGCCGTCTGGGATGTCAACATCAACCCTGTAACCCTCTTTATAACCAAGAGACTCCAGCTTCCCACCTTTTGGATCAGCTAACCAACTGCAGTAAATAGAAGGTTACACATCCTAAGCCTATGAGGGGGAGTAGACATCTCCGAATATGATTTTGAAATTAAACTGAAAGGATGGTATAAGTAACATAATTGCCAATGCATTGCCCAGAATGGCATATCAGACTATCTGGATAAAGTCAGAGCTTACCTACCATATCTTGACAACAGATTCGTGCGATGGTATGCAATGGTAAGGTTATACTGAAGAAAAGTAAACCCACGATCAGCACCAGCCGGTCGCCACTTCTTCACGTCAATCGACACCCGTCTCAGTGCGCAGAACAGGGACACAAACATATTCCTATTCAAGGAGTCGCCAACAAATCCTGCACTGTGGCACACAAGTGAGATCCTCAAACGATACTCAGCAAATGGTTCAACATGGCCAACCCCATTACTCTAGTAATAAAAACAAAGCATTCTCAATACAAGACAAGCATGTTCAGTGAGCATTTGTGCCCATGGAATCTAACAGCATTTCCACAATCCGAAAAAACCAGTGAGAGTAGAGCACGTTCTGTACACTTCGTTATGCAATGAATCATTAGCGATGACCCAAGACATCACCAAAAAAGTTACTTTCAGCTGCAATTATACCAGCAACTAAACAGGAAAATATGTGATTGCGAAAATAGCTAACAACAGAAACAGGTTTACCTATGTTAGAGTCTCGATAAGTTTCCAGGAAAGCCACCGGATCAAACGGGGGAAGATTACATCCCTTTGGCTGCCACCGCCACTTGAGTATGTCTGCCGCATTCGGTTTCCCGCCGGCAATGCAGTTCCAGCCTTTGAATATCTCCTTGCAGGTGCTATCGTACTTTGCCGAGCTGCGATCCGGGTCGTAGACCCACGACCCGTCGGTGTAATCGCAGTTCAGGTCGGATCTGAGTCTGGCCTTGACCTGAGAGGATCCCGGAGAGACTGGAGTCCTTCTGGAAAGGGAGAGAAGGAAGAAGATGGAAGCAAAGAAGACGAGCGAGAAGAGAGGAAGGAGCGGGATCTTCTTCGCCGTCTGGTCTCTCGTGGAAGTGGCCATCGCCGGAGGAAGGCGGAGATTGGATCTTCAAAATCCCCAATCTTTATTCCGAATTGAAACGATGGTTCGTGGGCCGGAACAGGCCCAATTATAACAATCACATCTGATCTGTTAGGCCCATTATAGTGAGTCGAAAGAACCCTCGAAAAAAGCAAACGCGAAGTCGGAAACACTCATGAGCGACGATCAGAAGCGCAAAAACCCGAAGAGAGGTGAAGAGATTACCGGAAAATGGCGGAAGCCGGAGAGAGGAAGATGGACGGAGACATCGTGCGCTGGGCGCTGGAATTCGTGATCCGGAAAAGCACCGACAGCAGTCTAGTGAAGAAACTCATCGCAAACGTCGGTCTCCCTTTCCCCGCCGACGATTCGCGCTTTAAGAAGACGGTGATACTTCGCTCGTTGCAAGACGAGATAGGTAAGGGTTCCGTCTCCGAAGACATGCTTGAATGGTTTGAGATTCTAGAGGAATTGGATAGGAGAGATGGAATTGCGGTTTCGGAATCGATGAAACTCGCTTACTGTGCTGTGGCAGTGGAGTGTACTGTTAAGCAGAAGTTCCTGGAAGCAGTGGATAGGATTTGGAAGGTTAGGTTTGGGGGATTGGAAGGGAAGAGTGAGCTGGTTACTGGGGAGGTGTTGAAGGTTCGCGGTTATATGGAGAAGGTGCTGATTGATCTGGATTCTTGTTTGGCTGTGATGAAGTGGAGGGACACGCATGAAGCCTTGAAATTGGTTGGGGAGTATTTGAAGGAGGCCATGGAGGCTATGGGGCCTTCGTTTCTTGAGCTTGTGGCGAGGAAACAGTTGGGGATCGAATGGGGCGAGAATCGTCGTAGTTCTGATGGAGAAGAGCGTCTTTGTGAAGATGGTGGGGATGGGGGAAGGCAAAAGAGTGAAGAAATTCTGAAGAGGAAGGATGGGAGTTCTGGTGAAACAGGTGATGGTTCTAAGGGTCGGGTTGATGGTACAGGGAATGATGAAGAAGAAGAAGAAGAGCAACTTTGTGAGAATGTTGGAGATGGGGCTAAAGGGTCTCACGATGAAGATATTCTGAAGAGGAATGATGTGGACTCTGGTAAGACAGGAGAGGTTTCTAATGGAGAAGAACATATTTTTGAGGATCTTGGAGGGGGTGAAGATATGTCGAAAAGGAAGGACGGGGGTTCTGATAAGGCAGGAGAGTGTTCCAAAGGTGGGTTTGATGGCAAAGGGAATGAAGAAGAGCATGTATCTGAGAATGCTGGAGATGGGTCCAAGAGAGCACATGGTGAAGATGGTGGAAATGAGCCAGAGGGTGAAGATATCCTGAAGAGGAAGAAGAGGAAGGACAGAGATTCTGAGAAGATAGGAGAAGAAAATGGCATGAAGGGGAAGAAGAGGAAGGGTGCAGCTGTTAAACCAATGCATCATCTCCCTCGCCGCAGTGCACCTGCGAAGATTGCTGATATGGATGTGGAAGAAGCTGCAATTGACGACCAGTCTATTCTAGGCAAGCATCTAGCAAAAGAGGTCGTTGATGCACAACCAAATCAGCCGGAAACTTGTTTGGAACCCGGCTCGGGAACTGCAACTGCAAATCAAGAGCCTGTGGAGGTGGAAACCCAAACTGGAAAACATAATACGAATCCAGAACCAGGAACAAGCACCACAAACGATGTTGCTGATGTGCCACGACCTACAACGGCTAGGAAACTGCCTCCCGGCTCCCCACCAAAGAAGCCTATCGACCCCAGCCTGCTTCAGAGGAGGAAGAAGAGGAAGTGGACAGTGGAGGAAGAGACTGCTCTGTACAATGGAGTGCAGCAGTTTGGCGTCGGCTCCTGGAAGGAGATTCTCAGTTCTCGGCGCCAGAGCTTCAACAATAGGACCGAGGTTGATCTCAAAGACAAGTGGAGGAACATGACGAGATGGAAGATTGAACGTTGACTGTGGGAACGATTTTGCATTCGGGAAAGAGACTAACTTAATGATTCTTCTTTTGCTTCTCTCGCCCAGTTGATCACTCTCAACTTGTTTTGTGGTAAATTTTTGTGCAGATAGAAAGTATGTAACTGTGGTTGTAACTGTATAGTCTTATGAGTTCCCACTTGCATCTGCGCTTTATGTTTACTAGCAACTTAGTCCGCGCTCCGCTGTGGATTCAGGGGTTGAATTAATTGCAAGTTAGTTTGAATGTGTTATTTTTGTATATTATAAATGGCCTGTATCATTTCATTAATGTGATGGAGTAATACAGTCAATAGTATCAATCTATTCAGCAAGCTCGATGCAGGAAAATGTCTCGTACATAAATAACACAAGAAGACTGAATAAGAGAGCTCTTCGCATACAAAATAAGAAAGCAAGTATCTTCGCACGAACGAAATAATGTACCTCGAAAGGAAGTTCCTACAAGCGGTAGCCATGGAGATAATCAAAATACCCGAGTTGTTTTCTAAATTGGCTTAGCTAATGATCAGTGCTATTGTGCTCCATAACTGTAGCGAGATACTCCTCAAGTGTTCTCTGCAAGAAATTATCGGGTTGGACTCCACTCAACACCATACTATCATACACTCCCATAGCTTCTCTTAACTTCCCAACCTTGCAATAACCACGAATGAGAATGGTATACGTCACCACATCAGGCAACAATCTCTTGTCCAAGGCGTATCTCAACACACAAGACGCTTCCTCAACCAGCCCTATCTTGCAAAGCCCATCAATGATGATGCTGTAACTGACAATGTTCGGCGCAACCTTGTTCTTAACCATGTCCTCGTAAAGTTCGAATGCACCATCCGTGTTTTGAGCTTTGAAGTAACCGTCGATCAGACAGCTATAAGTGACCTCATTGGGGTTCGGACCCTGTTCCAACATTGTGGAGAATAATGACACTGCATCATCAAGTCTACCTTCTCTGGAGAGAGCATGGATAAGTATGGTGAAAGTGATGGCATTTGGTCTAGACATTCGGTGGAACAGGCGGAGAGCATCGTCTACCTTCCTGAGAAAACAGTAGCCGCAGAGCATTGTATTGTATGTAATGGTATCAGGTTTTGGTCCACGCTTTTGAAGCTGGTCGAACAGATGCGATGCACTGTTCAGTTGGCGCTGCCGGAGAAGCATATTGATCAGAACGTTATATATTGCAATGTCAGCAGATATACCTTTTCTGGACATTAGCTGGTAAATCTTGAATCCAGCAGATGGGTTGTTCAACTTGCAGAATCCATCAATGAGGGTGCAGTAGGTTACAGCATCTGGCTTCAAACCTTTCTTCAGCATTTGAAAGTATAACAGTAATGCCATGTCCAAGTGGTGCGTGTTAGCAACTGCTTTAATGAGAGCGGTGTAGGTGACAACATCTGGTTTCAGACCTAAGATTTCAATCAATTTGCAAACCTTCACTGCACCGGTTAGCCATTTCAATCTGCAGCAACCATCAATTAAGGTGTTCAAGATCAAGACATTTGGTTTCAAGCCTCGTTCCAATGCCTGAAAGAAGAACCTTAAGGCATTCTTTATCTCCCCTCGTTTACATAGGCCATTGATTAGCACATTACAAACAACAACATCAGGTTCGAGTCCAATGCTTTTCATATCCATGTAGAAACGGAAGCCATCGGTCAAATTTCCTGATTTGCATAATCCATCTATCAGACTGCAATAACTGGAAACAGATGGTTCAAATCCATGTTTTGTGATTTTTCCAAAAACACCACAAGCCTCCATGGCTCTATTGCTTTGACACAACCCTTTGATAAGAATACTGTAACTGACCATGTTTGGAGAAACCTCTTCCTTCAGCATTCTCCTATAAACCTCAACAGCCCTTCCCAACTCTCCAGCTCTCACATATGCATCCATAACAGAGCTAAAAACAACAACATCCAATTTGATGTTATGATTCAAAGCTGCTGAGAGAAATCTATTTCCCTCGGCCAGTCTTCCTGCTCTCAATAGACCATCAATGATGATGCTGTACACAATTAGGTCAGGCACCAGTCCCCTGTCTGCCATTGTGTCATAAAGCTGAAATGCTTTGTCCAAATCTCCCTGTTTGCAGCATGCATTAATCAATGTACTAAATGTGATCAAATTCGGCTCTGGACCAGCCATGATCAGTTCATCAAAATATTCATTGGCAATTCCTGTCTTGTTCTGCATGCAGAAATCTTTCAGTAGCTTGTTACACGTGACAATATCTAGAGAAACCCCCCTCTGAAGCATGGATTTGTGAAACGCCATACCCATTTCAATTCCACCTTTTCCGATAATCCCAGCCATGACCAATTTATAGAAACTGTAGGAATCCCCATTTGTCAATACACGAAAGTCATGATGGTGATCTAAAATTTTATCCATAAGCTGCAACTCAATCATGCAATCCAAAAGTAGCCAGACCACCTTAGGTGACACTTGAATGCCCTTTTTGCATACATACACAAATAGCTGAACAGCAGTATCAACCATTCCTTTCTGACAACAGCGCTCAATAAAAAATCCATAGAAAGCACTAGTCCTTTCGGGACTGGAATCCCGAAAACCCTCACAGAGCCGACACCATGTGTCATGATTATTTCCATATTGCTCAATGAACTTGTCAAACACCCTGGAAGCGGGACCAAATAAATGCTTGTGAAGCAAGATTTGGAGAAGTGCACCGAAGGATTGCGGGGCATGCGGTGAGTGTAGGAACTTCTCAGTCCATTCAAAGAATTGAATGGCAGTACTTGGTTTGGAGTGGAGGGAAATAAGGATGGGTTGCACATCGGAAGGTACTATTTTGGAAAGAAGATTATGGTTCAGGTGCTCAGGGTTTATTTCCTGGTGAAGGGCATTACATATTTGGCATATTAAAGACCTTCTGCGACTGTTAGAATGAGATGAGAAGGATGAAGAGCAAAGATTGCCAACGGAAAACAAGAAGATGGGGCTTTTAATGCTGTACTGTATCTTAGAGGTTATGACAGAAGAAAAGAACATAGCATTAGCTGATGGTTAAGTTCCATCTCCAGGTATAAACATGTGATTTCTGGTGCAGGAATCAAGAGGGCAGCATGTGCAGAACTCTTTAATCACTGATTGAGATGACAATCACCAATCCAATATCTTTCTTAATGCCTGGCAGATAAAGAAATATAATTTAGATTAAGAAATTAAACCCTAGGATGTTAAGTTAAGATAATAACATAACACTCAGCTCTCGAAGAAAGACTAATTCAAAAATGAGCAGAGACTCCCTGCTTCCTGGACAAGGAGGACTTTCCTTACTGTTCCAATTGTTCATACCAAGCTGAAAATTAAAACGCATAGTCACTTTCATTTTCTAGCTAGATTAAGAGTCCCATAAGTTAACAAAGAAAGGAATGCAAAGGGAAAAGGGACTTCACTATAAACCAAAGAACATGAAACCAGAAGTGCATAACTTTTTACAATACCATAAGGTGAAAACTACAAGCATGTTGCGGGTTCAAATTCAAATCATTCCTCTGATTCCAATTGCAATGGCAGCTGCAATGAGTGAATTAAGAAGATATTCACTCTTCCTTATCAACTCCCATTTTGAAAAATGAAATTTTCTTTTAATCAAGACAGCAAGTCAAGAAACATAAAAAATACTTAGCAATTAGCACGCACATTATCCATATAACTAGCTCTCTAAGGCATATTGTCAAACACTTGGGGCGCGACGCCCCAAAGACAAGAACACAGTTTCCCCCGCTGAGAACTATCGAGAAACACCATGGAATAAAAGAGCCCACAACCTAATCGTCCACTACTGAGAACAATGTACAACAAATTGTCAAGTTCACCCATTAAAAACCTACTCTCCTAGCTTCCACTAACAAACTCGGAAGTTTCAGCCCAGAATCGCAGCCGCTTCTAAGAACAACTGCCATTCATTCGTCCTGTCCAGCAGCGAAAGAAAGAGCCGGAGATCACTAACCTGGTCGGCTGAAAGAAACTAGCGGCCAAATGAAGAAAATACTGCAGGGAAATATGGCTTCCCTCCGCTCCACGTACGGCGGCTCCTCTCCTTTTCTCCAAGCTTTCGGCTTCCCGTGCTCCAAAAGCATTTCAGAAACGTCTCGAGAGAGAAAAAAGGACACGTAGCTTGAGACCTCCCGAGGATATAACAGTAAATCCAACCCGACATCTACTTCTTAAACAGTTGAACTGTTGAACGTCTGGAGTCTGGACTGGAAATTGGATGAATTATTACTTAAATGGTCACTGAATTTAGACTCACTAACGAATTTGATACTATCCTTTTTCGTTTTAGCGAATTATCACCAAAATCTTGATCAGAAATTGGCGCACAGAAAATACTTCTCCGTCCTCTTCAGCCGTTCAATCACTCTGACTGTCGTCTCCACTCTTCTAGTGAAAGCTATGGCGGCGGCGGCGGCGATTGCTTCGCCAGCTCCGAGTGCCTCCCTCTTATCCTCTCGTTCCTCCCTTTCACTCTCCTGCTTCGGACAGAACTCCAAGTTCTCTTTGCGCGCCACTCCGGCGGCGCTTCCCGCGCTCAAGCATTCCTCTGGTGGGAAGAAATCCAGGAGAAATGACGACTGGGTTCGTCGGAATGCGAAGTCTTCCGCAGACCCAGATGCTAGTTCCGACGAATTCTCTTCCTTGGAAAGCAACGAGCCAGATTCTAGCGGCGAAACCAGTTCAACGTCGTCCTCGTCATCTTCACCAGCTGCGAGCAGCTTCCTTTCTGTCCTCTGCCCTCTTCTCAAGCTTTTCTCTGTGAGTTCTCCCCCCACTTCTGTTCAAGAATGTGTTGACTGTAAATTACAAAGCATCTGATTTTGGATTTTGCAGAGCGGAGATCCTTCTAAAGATCGCAACTTCACATTGGAGGTGACCCTTTTGTAATTTGCAGGCGTAATAATGTATGTCAATGGTTTCCATTACAAATGAGCTAGCAAGTAGACTTTCAGGTAACCTTTTCGATCTTTGTTTCTCAACTAGTAGATGTCTACCTCGTATTTATCGACCTTAGCACGACTTCCATGGGGATCGAAATCTATAGTAGCACCGAGTTGGGAGGATCAAGAGATTACTGGAGTTCCTCTCAAACCCTTGCAACTCTTTGAATTTGGTAAGGTTCACTTCTCCATGTATTCATTGAAGTTGGAAAGGTGTTGGGGACTAGCTTGCTTCTTGACTTACTGCGGTCTGGAATGGTCAAAATGTATGGTTTCGAGCAGAATCATGCCCGTTTTGCAGGAGGGTTCGAGAGGCCATGACCGAGCTAGACCTTTCTGCTGAGGTCGGTAACTAATGGCTTGCTGAAAGGAAAGCTGGCTAACCAACAATCATAAGAATGTATAGTAAACATACAAGATAATGCTCTTGAGATGTATCCTGCAGGTGTATCCCTGCCCAAAAGGGTCGAGAAGGCATAGAGAAATCGTCAGAAAACTTGGTGGCAAAGAACAGTTAGTGATTGATTCCTTTTTGTTGCAGTTTATGATTTTGTTTATCGCAATTCGTAAGTATTGGTACCACCGTAGAATAGGCCGAATCTTGCTCCACTGGAGTTGGTACGTAAACTGAATGACGAGCCAGGAATGACCTGTGTAATCTTAAACGAATGTGATGACTTCAGATCATTCTCCCTGCAGGTTTCCTTTCCTGGTTGACCCAAACACTGACATTTCAATGTATGAAAGTGGTAAGGGACTCGTCCTCCAAAAATCATTAGCTTAAGAGTATCTTTTAACAGCAGCTTTCTTGCTGCTATGTTTCCGGACAGGTGATGTTGTGAAGTACTTGTTCCAGCAGTATGGTCAAGGGAAAAGCCCTTCAATGGGTCTTTTGGAGAGGTACTAACAGCCTGATTAAGTAACCACTCTACTTTCTTGTTTCTGTTGTTTCCTTTTCTAAATTTCTAGCATTATAAGTTGTACAATCTTGCACTTCCAGCACATTGTTGACAGGATGGGTACCAACGATCCTTCGAGCAGGAAGAGGAATGACTCTGTGGGAAAAGGCCAGATCAGAGATGCCATCAATGAAGCTGGAGTTCTTTTCCTACGAGAATAATCCGGTGAGAGAAAACATCAGAACGTTATCCATGGGGTTTATGGCGTTCTATTTGGATTTACAGTTTCACGTTTCCTAACAGTATGCAAGAATTGTTCGTGAGGCGCTATGTGAGTTGGAGATTCCATACATCCTTCGCAATGCGGGGTCCGGATCTAGAAGCACGAAGTCCCTTCTTGATGTATATGGATCTCAAGAGGTGCCATTTTTAGTTGATCCAAACACGGGTGTTCGACTGGGGGATTACAAGAAGATGCTGGTTTACTTGTTTCAGACATATTCAGAACCAGCTACAGAGTCCTAGTGTGTGCTACAGCAAGGCATCTCTCTTTTCCGGATTCTTAATACGAAAGGTCGTCTCTATGGGAAAAAGTTGACTTCAGGAACGATATTCAGATCCTAACTACCAAAAGCTACCCAGGAGAGGAAGCTTGAGAGTGTTATCAGTAGTAGTGCAGGGTTTAGTTGCTGAGAGAGTGTAACATTTTGGCATTTGAAGCTCCATCCATGTACAATAATGATACAATTGACAATTTATGTTTGATAGTGAAGAACTTGAAAGGGTAGAACATCAATTGTTCATACTTATAGTTCACATAAAAAAAATTGGAACTATGGCCAAAAGAATACATCCTATAGTACAAGTTTGCTTGCTTCTAGTTAGAACAATAGGAGTTAAGATACTCTGTATACACAAATACCTGAAAACTGTATTCACGTATATGTTTTGATCATCATTCTAACTCTCAGAAGTTGACGAAGTGGTCAGTGGAATGGACTCTGCCTCGTGTGCTTGTGCGTCCTTGGAAGTATCCCGAGAGGTTTCCTTCTTCAACTTATGGTTGTTATATGCTGCTACACCCGCAATAGCTGCAAATGAAATAATTGAGATCATGAGAGGCGAACTTGAATGAGCAAGATAAAGGCAGCCGACTAGTTTAAATACTCACCAATGCCATAGCCAAACAGGTTTATGATCGTCAGCTTTGTATCAGCGAAAAGGAGTGCAGATAGCAAGACAACCACCCAATCCTTGACAACTCCAGCTACTCGAATGGTCAGTGCACTCGTATGTGAGATGACGAGGAACACCGATAGGTTGAGTGCAAAAGTGCAGAGAGAGTTGAGCATCAGGATAACAGGCTGGAATTCCCATGTCCCTTGTTCAACCATCCTTGGTCTCTCTAGAAAGATCCATGGGATGAATAAGCAAATGGCACTGCATAAGACAATAGCAATGAAATTGTGATCACTATAGTCTACCAGTGTACTACGCTGGAAAAGAAAACAGTATACATGCCTGCAAGGACTGACGTAGTACATAACAGATATGGGGTTCAACTTCAAGCCCTTCCTCTTCACGAAAATCTCCATGAATATAAGCCGCAAGGCCTCTCCAACAACTCCGCCCATTTGGTACACAACTCCAATCCAGTTTATATTAATTTCGCCATAAGATGCAACTAGAACCCCAAAGCTTATCACCGACATGATTAGGAACATTCTACAGCTATTCACTTCCAGTCCTGCGGCTACTCCGAGAACAAAAACAGCTACTGGCACTGAAATTTCACCATAGAAAGAAACCAAGAACCTCTGGATTCAAAAACATGGATTGTCTGTGAAGGAATAGCAAAAGCAGTAAAGGACTAGAACTCAAATAGCCATGATGGAGCACTTACTGATAGCCTTCAGCATCTGAGCAAATGCCACCGAAATATAGAGGTAAGCAGTGTTTCCCAGCCAAAGAGTCATCGCGAACATCGCGCCAATGGGAATGACTGAGGTCGTGTATCTATCATAAAGTATCACCATTCATTAGATCTCGAACTAGCAGTTACAAGTTACTAATGTAGCAAATGAGGAAACTTCATAACCATAAACCAGAAGTTCCCACTCGAACTTACATTTCTAATGTCATTCCTTCCTCAACCTTCAAAACCTGTAAAAGAGAATCAAAACTGACATTTATGATTGCCCAAGGTCAAAACTTGCCATAACATTCCTGAAGTTTGCAGTACCTTGAAAACTTTGGTGAGAGCAAAGCATAAAACAGATGAGAAGACCATGTGGAGCAGAGTCAATCCAAGAGGATAAGGAAAGTTTATTTCTTTGGATGATAACACCCACTGCAAAGAGAAACATAACCTTAATTAAGACAGCCATAAAATCTCCTCAATTGTGCAAAATGCCAATCGATGCACGACTTGAGGTACATTTGTAATCAAATTACCAGCAGTTATAGGGTGTGCATTAAGCCATCAATCGAATATTGCATGTTTATGATAACTAAGTGAAGCACAAATATCTACTTAATTAAGACAATGTGTATAGCTGTTAACACGACATGCAGCAAGCAACTTGCATCTTCTCAAGCATCCAAACATCACTTGATAAGGTCCAATACCATGTATTCAAATCAGAAGTACTAAATAGTTGCAGTAGAACCTCCAAGTTTTCCACCTTCCCCATTGACAAGACTATTATTCTAGCACACGAAGCTCAAGCTAATCAATTTGCATTATGAATCTCTCAACATGACCTTCTGATTGAGCTCCGTGAATCAATTTGCATGACAGATAAAGACATTTCTCAACAGACCAGTAGCAGATTTAAGATTTCCCCAATCAAAATCCACGAGCCTACTCCAGAAAGTGACAGTAAAAAAAAGGACTCCCCAAAAACCGATACTTTCCAACATGGTAGCAATTCCATTTCAGCAATACAAACCAAGGCACTCCAGAAAGCGAGCAATCCAGCTAAATCGACGCCCTGACCCAACCAGTCCCAAGAACAGAAATCCTTCACTCGTATTGCCACTTAACCAACACATTTCCCCAGGAAAACTACAAATTAATCAAACGGGAAACGGAAACGGTTGAAAGCTCGTTATCTCGCCGGCCAAAGGCTCCGGTGGTGCGGAAAAGCGACGGAGGGATAAAGTAGTAAAAGCGATCGGGGAAATGGAGAAGGGAAGTAGACGAGTTTGACCTTGTTGAAGAAGATCTGGCCGCTGGAGAGAGCTATGTAGAGAAGAATGTAAGCGTAAGTAAGGAAGCCTTCCTTTCTCGGATCCGCCATTATTGCCGCTGAGCAGCTTCTTCTCACTCGTTTTCTTTTCTTCCTTCGCGCTTTTGTTTGGCATTTATCGCCATTCGCCAACGATCCAATTCCAACGGAACGGGATGCGTACCCGATACCAGACCCGCGATAGACCCGACCCGGTTTACTTTACGTGCTACTAAGGTTTTGTATGGATAATATCCCTATAGGTACAAAATTGTTTTCAAAATTGTCATTTACTCAACTTCCATAAATCTTTCAAACTATGAATACCAATGTCATTTCCTTTCTTAAATGTCGTTTAGAAATTTTGCATCATTGAAATCCATCTGAAATCCATCGCACTCTGTCATTTTGCGTGCTTCGGAGTGATCACCGAGTTAATCCTTAGAATCCGAGCTAATTGTATTATCGTAAGTTTTTATAACTAGTTATGGTATGTGACATGCATGCTTCTAGTTTTAGTATATACCATAAATCTTAGGGCTAATACCACTACAACACCCGAACTATGACGAAAATGCCACTTGTATCTTATTCTTTTCAATATTCCATTCATGTCCTGAACTATTATATTTTGTGTCATTTGTATCCTGCCAATTTCGTTGACCGTTAAAGATAACAGTTGACCAAACGGCGGTCAACTTAACATTGACTTTTGCTGACGTGGCAATGCCAAGTCATTGACACCTCATATTTTTAATTAAAATTAAATAAAACTTCGAAAACAAAAATTTGAAAAACTTTAAATTCAAGAACATTACTAAATAATATTCTAAAACCCCAAAATTCAAAACAAAAAAAAGATCTCCATTGATTTGGTCGATCGTCTCTCTACTCTCTGCGACGGATTTAAGGAAGAGCGGGGTTGGGTCCTTGAGGGAGAGGGCGGCGGCGGATTCGGCCTCGACGAGGGCCTGATAAGTCAGGAATTGGGACTGGGAGGAGTTCTTTGCGGCAGCGGATCTTGCTCGGGCAAGGAATTGGGAACCTTGGATGAAGTGTCGATTGGACTGGAGGGCGGTATGGTTGTTAGCTTGCTGCCTGGATAGGAATAGCCATGGAGAGTAGAAAGATCTGGAGCCGCCGCCGCTTCCCATCGGCCACGTATCGATCGAGTCTCGCCGCCGCGAACTGGGCTTCTCATTCTTCGCCGGATTTGAATCCACCATCTCTTCGACAGCAACAAACAGTGGAGAAGATCTGGGTTGCAACGAAAACGACGACGGTGAGTGCGATGATCGCCACTTGGAAGGCGCCGTCCGTCGCCATGGAGAGTGGAAAGATCTGGAGCCGCCGTCGCTTCCCATCGGCCACGTATCGATCGGGTCTCGCCACCGCCAACTGGGCTTCTCGCTCTTCGCCGGATTCGAATCCGCCGTTTCTTCGACAGCGACGAACAGTGGAGAAGATTTGGAGCTCTCTGGTCGGCGATCGGACAGGGAGTAGTGGGTGGATGAGAATGGTGACTTCCAACAGAGTCGTCGATCTGAAGCTCGGAGAGGGAAGGGGATTCAATTGAGGGATTGAATCTGTCGATTGTGAGATGGGAGAGGGAGAGGGAGAGGGAAAGATATTGGGATTTTTCATTTTTGTTTTCCTTGTTTTTATTATTTTAGATGGAAAAATAAATAAAAATTGATAATGAAAATTCCACGTCAGATGTCATGTCAACGCTGACTGGATTTTCTGTTAAATACTAACGGTCAACACTGGTCAACACTAACAGAATAATAGTTCAGGACACAGATGGAATATTGGAAACAATAGGACACAAGTGGCATTTTCGGGATAGTTCGTGTGTTGTAGTGGTATTAGCCCTAAATCTTACATATTATATTGTAAAATGGTACTCCCCAAATTTATAATTCTTCGAGAAGAGGGGAACATATTAAGCATATCCAATTATATACCTAATGTCCTAATCTCTACTCTACATCCAAAGTCATCCAAATTATCAAGACTCAAAGAGTATATATTTTTCCACGCCAAAATTATACCCAATTAAATTAAAACTAAACAACCATACAAATACATGTATCTATTATTAATCTATATGCTAATAATTTTTTTTATATTCAACTTTCCACTATGCTCCCTTGAGACAGCCAATTGAGGAGTGGATATGCATAACTGTTGCCGGTGGTTGATGATAGTTTTTTTTTAATTAATAATAGTATCGTTGCTTAATCATTAATAAATAGCGTTAATTAATAATATTTGTTCTTAATTATCATTCTCCTCTAGTTGACCATTCATGAACGAGCAGCTAGCTAGCGCTAAAAGGGACATGGTACCTGAATTGTACAGGGTTGGTAGCCCTATAGGGAAAGGGCAATTATAAGGGTCACCGGCCTATATATCTTGCTTATATGGCCTTAATTATTATATTTCTAAGGAATATTACCAACATAACCTATCACTCCTTGAGAAGAGACAAAGGTCGAATTACATTATTACAACAATAGTTTCTTTTATATATAGATAATGTTGGTTACAAAAGTTTGAACCTCATGTATGGTCAATATCTTCAACCCTATACCAACCCTTCATGGTTCTGGATATCGTTGTCGATTATCACATTTGCGAGAAAGATAAACACAATAAAAACAAAAAATCTCGCTGAAAACTAGAACGGTTATTATTAGTTCTCGTCTGGTCGATCCCCGTTGTGTATAATTTTCACATGATGTCTTCGTAAAAACACTTTTTGAAGCTCTCCATGTGATCTTCACGCAAACTTATGGCGACGACCACGGACCCGTCGCCATTCTGGCTAGCCATGATCAAGGAGTCGCCATCGAAATCGTGGGACGCGGGTCCCATGTGAATTTCCTTCCCCCACCCGAAATCCATCCCGAACAACGGCAGCCTCAGCCAGCTGATCACACTGAGGTTCGGGTACTCGAAGAACGGCCCGGGCGACGACCCGAAATCCTGGTACTTCCTCAAGTCGGGCTGCGACTTGAGGAAGTCGACCGCCGAATCCAGAAACTCCTCGTCCACCTTCTCGATCGCCTCCCTGATCCTCCTGACCGCGTACTTCAACGGCCTCGTCGTGAGCTCCCCCGACAGGGCGAGAGCCTTCACGTCGAGGATCGCGTTCCCAAAGTACCCTCTTGGTAGAGGAGGACTCGTCCTGCTCCTTGAGTCCACCGACACACCCAGAGCAGTCGGCTGCTCTGGGCTCAGGTCGCGTGCCTTGCACGTGCACTTCCACACGTGCGCGGTCAACGTCTCGTACGTCGAGTACGGACGTTGTTCTCCTCCTCCCTCATGGTTCACCATGTCTTTCAACATGGCCACCTTGGTCTTGGCCAACTTGAACGTCATCACCACGTTTTTTGATCCTTCGTCGTCCTCGCCTCCCTGTTCGATCTTCTGATAGCTCAGAACATCGGACAGGAGCCCCGGAGGGCGGTCAAACTCGGTGTGAACGAACTTGGGATGTCCTCCAGGAGGCATCCCTGCTCGAAGCACGGTCCTATCCAAAAACGGCATCGTTTTTATCGGCTCCCCTCGGGCAATCCTCGCCCACTCCGAAAAGAAATGGAGAGCACTCAGACCATCCACAACAAGATGAGAAATACTAAAACTCAAACTGATCCCACCACACTGGTATCTAGTCAACTGAAGGAGCAATAATGGCCATTCATGGATGGGAATCTCGTCGTAATCGAGCTCGGGAACGAGCGACTCGAGCTCGGGCGAAGGCGAGAACTCGTCCCCGAAATCCTCCAGCCTCCAGTCCGACTCGGCCTCCACGAACCGAACCCCACGCGCGTTGCACTCGAGCTCTAGCCTCCCGCCGGAGGTGTGGTGCACGCGCCCCGCCAGAGGGTAGAACGGGACGAGGGCGAGGCGGAGGGAGCGGACGAGGGTGGTGAGGATGAAGGAGCCGTCGTCGAGCCATGGTGCGGAGGGTTTATTGTAGAAGTAGACGGTGGGGACGTGGGTCATGGCGCCGATTTGGTCCCACTCAGCTAGGGCTTGGCGGCCGGTCGGTGTTGGACCGGCTGGCTTGACCGTGAAGGTGTTGGTTATGGTCAGGTTCATTTTCTTGGTGTGGTTCGATATAGCCATTGGAGGAGAAGATGTTTGGAAGAGATTGGTGGAGAATTTTGTGATGCTGCGAATGGAAAATGGTGGGATTTATATATAAAGGGAATGTACTTAAGAAATGGAGGGCATGATTGGTTGGTATTCTTGTAGAATATTGGAAGTCAGATAAACGAGGCATTTCGGTGTGGGTTTAGATAGAATATTGGCTTAGGTATATAAAATTTTATATAAATACGTCTTTTGCTTGAATTATTAGTTAGGTTTCAATTATGTTTATTTGTAAATTTAAAATATTGGATCCCAATTAGTGACAAAAATATTTGTGTGTACACAACAGGTGAATGAATCTTAATTGTTTGTTTTTATGAACCACAGGTGAATGAATCCTACTAAATGATTGATAAATCTATTATTCGGATTGTGTTGCCTACTATAACCCAACATGGCAACATATAAACCATTCAAGTTTTGTACCTCAAAGATATAAGCCAATATATTTGTTAGAATAATTCAATTAGTTGTTTGATAATATTAACACACAAAAAAAACTTACATTTGATTATAACCAAAACTTAATTTAGTATAATCCATCGTTGTTGAAAGACTCCAATTAACATGAGAGTTAAGTTTTAAAGGATCAAATGCATAACAATGTTTGTCTATAATCAAATCTACCCTTTTTATTTTATGGCGAATAGACCTAATGGTTTATATTAAATGACATTTTAATCGATTTTATATTCATGGTAAATCAGATTATAAAAAAAAAATTGCACAAAAAATGAAATCTACATAATTATGTCCATTTTTTTATATACCGTCGTATGCCACTTCAATACTATTATAGTATACTATGTACCGTGAGAAAATATTTTCATACTAACATAAATTATTTTTTGTATCACCATGATATATATCATGGTAAAGGTTTCTCCACCAATTAGCGTGTTTTTATGATGCAATTTCTTATATACAAAATTAAATGTCACTTTACAAAACATAACTAATCCAATATTTTAATAAATAAAAATTCGAAAAACCCAATTTAAAATTAATAGATATAATGGGTCAAAAATTGATGAAATAATAGGTATACGTGGTCCATAACTTAGATCATTCCATTCCCCTCGCTATTTTCCAAAGACTGGGCAAAGCTTGTCTAACACCAAAAAATGTGTGCTCTACCACGAAAAAAAATGTCAAATATAAAACAAACCCAATCTCCATAAAAGGAAAGGGGGGAAAAAATGTGAAGTCTAACTATATTGCAGTATTAAAAAATGATGTAGTCAACTGTATTCCAAATGGGAAACAAAGCCGGATGCCTTGTTCGGTAATTGAGTTAAAAATCAAGCTTGTCTATAAACAATTGATATATATTTAACGGTGTGCATGCACGATTCCACTAATCAATTTGGTTTCAACTTCATTCTCCAGCTTAGCCCCCGTCTATTTACAAAGGAAAGTTACAGTAGCAGAACTGTCCGGCGCCGGCCGAAGTAGTTTGTATTGTAAGAGAAAGTCGTCGATCGTCGGCAGCATTTTTCAAGGGGTACAGTATATAGTCGGGAATTGGTTTTGGGAGTAGGGTTTAGTTGAGTAGTTGACTTTACTCTCTCTGTATTAACTACTTTTTGTGTATATTAAATTATTAACAACGTAATCACATACTGGTGTACCGACAACCTCAAAGAAAACAAATCGTTAGGCGGCGAGCGAGTCGATCTACCAGTGACGTCCAACAACAACTAACGTAATAGGGTGGCTATACGGTCCGGTCCGGTCCGGTTAAATTGATCCGATCCCGATCCGGTCTTTTCGGAAATATAAGGACTAAAGATTGGATTGGATACAATCCGGTCTTAATTTGGTCTTGATTTTAGATTGAGCTTGTGGGGATTTGAGTGGCCTGAGGTCTCAAACTCAAAGGGTGAGGAGTTGGTTAAGTTCTGGGTGTTGGGGTCTCTAATCCGGTTTTCGATCCGGTCCCAAACGGTTTTTTTACCTCAAATCTAAGCCCGAATATGAGATTGGATTGTTTGCTATCCGGTCCCGATCCAGGTTATACGATCCGGTTTCTAGTAAAACCAAACAGTCCGAACCAAATAGCCAGCCCTATAACGTAACGTGACAGGTCAGTTCGACAGGTTCGTTGGCTCCTTCGCAGTGACAACATTAACTCACCACACACATCAAGTACTGCTGCTCTTAGTATAGCATATTACAACCGCATGATTATTCTCTTGGCCACCGTCAAGAACCGCCAGCTGATCTTATTCCTCAACACAGGATCCAACCATTTCGCCGCCTCCATCCTTTTCACCACCAAATCGGCCTTAAATCCTCCTCCTCCTCCATACCCTTCATGTTTTAACATCGGGAATGAGTGATAAGAGCGCGTCCAAAGTTTGTGAAGCGACAAACCACCAAGAGAAGAAGACTGATCAAGGTCAGTTGTAGTACCACTGGATGACATTATTGACTTTGGGATTCGGCCACTTGCATCATTCCCCTACAGAAAAATCGAGAATCGTAAACGTGAATCACATAATATTACGCAAATAATTAGCATATATGTCAAATATTATTTTTTATTATTTTTTGTTTAAATTGTAAATAATAAGTTTAGGTCAAAAGTTTGAATTCTGATTTCTTAATGATTAATAGGCTGACAAGGCGTGACATGGCAATGACATGGACAATTGACTAACGGTCAACGGTGTTGACCGTCCAAATAGACGGTCAAACCACGCTCCAGGCCAATTTTGTCTATATGCTGCATAGTTCGGGCCAGGATGTTAATTTCTCAAACCACTGGCCAAAGTTGATTACATGGTCATAGTTCAGGCCATAACAAGGTATTAACCCTTTTTTAATTAGAGAGTACGTAACAATGTGTTGAGACGAGTAATCAAGTACTATAACGTAAACGTACCATAACTTCTCGATAACCCTACTGAACTTTGAATGAACAACTTTACTCCGGGAAACCTTCAACGGTCTGATGACCAAGCCATGCAACGAGCAATTGACATTTCTGTCTGATTCCCTGGGAATACAATTTTTTAGTTCAATCTTATTCGTCTGTCATGCCATTTACAATACCAATCAAAAAGATCGTTGTCGCGAAGGCATCCGATATAGATTTTGAAATTTATGAATACTCGTTAAATGGATGATGTTTGCAAGTATAAGTTATGATTTAGCAAAATGGATGATGTTCAGCCTGTGCAAACCGAAAGCCCTAAATTTAGAGTAGACTTTCGTCTGAGAGGATGTGTAAAGACAGAAAACAAATGACGTATAAAACTCGTACAACCTGCATCTCCTAACAAAATGACGCATGAAACTTGCATATATAAAAACCGTTTCATAACAAATTGAGTTTATTATTAAGAGGGTATTATTTACCAGGGAAGAACGGTACTCTCCTTGGCCCCGAGAACCCTATCAACACGCCTGTGCGTGTCAACACAGCAAAACAAACACTTTAGAAAGAGAAAAAAGCTGTTGCATGTGCACTCTGTATGTCATACGTTACGAAACCATTACGTACCGATTCAAACAAGTCAAAGGCAACCCGGCTCCCTCCAGCACATCCTCGACCTGTTCGCCAATGCTCATCGCCGCCGTCGACTTCCACTTCTCCTCGTCGGACGTCTCCACCAAGTAACGGAGCTGCGGGCCGGACTTCCTTCGAAACACTTCAAGAATTAACAAAGAAACAGTGAGCCTGCCGATTTCCTTCTCACGAGAAGCACAAATGGCATCATCATCATCATCATCATCCTTCGTCCTTGCTCGGCGGCACTGCAGGTCGGCGGTGAAGAAAGCGAGCCGGCCAACTAGCACTTCGCGGAGACAGCGTTTCCAGTGGAAGTACCTCCGGCAGCGGAAAAACCGCCGGTTGAACAGAACCAGCGGCGGCCGTTCATCCCCCGCGAGCAAAACCCATAGCAGCTTCAGGGCATCCCCGTCCTCGCCGTACTGGAGAACCTTCCGGCGAATGGGACTGCCCGGCAGGAGGCGGCTCAGCATGTTCACGGTGTTAACCCACTTGAAATTCTCGGAGATCCACTGCGGCAACCCCAGGATCAAGTCGGAGAGGCTACGCTCCTCGTCGGCATCATCAGCGGAGCCAGATCGTTTTGGCTCTGTCACAGCGTACAGGTAAGTTTTGATTAAAAAAATGTATATGCACGTAGGAAATGTCAACGCAGGGGTTTGGGCAGATACACGTAGGTCACTAGCTCGGGTAATTTATCATAGAGCATGGATTGTGACGGATGGACCCTCATATATATATATAAGCTAAAAGGATGCAAAATACAGTTTTATAGTCATAACTTTATACTTTGTGACAAATATAGCCAAATTTTGAAAAATAAATAGAAATAACCATTCCGTCCATTAATGTAACGGAGCTGTAACGACGACTGACTGGACAAACGATCGTCTGTGTCGGTCGCGACCGCTTTCGTCTACGTGGCATGTCAGGGTGAAATTTATATTTAATTATATTTATTAAAAAAATATATACTTTACCAAATTATCTTGTCCTTTTCATCTTCTCCATCCGCCCCTTCCCATTCTTCTCTTTTCCTCTTCCCAGAAACCCCACCTCCATTTCACTTCAACTCCGCCGGCCACTCTCAATCGATGAACGCAGCAAGATGTAGATTATCTTTCCCAATTAAGAACCCCCAATTATCCAGTCATGGCCGAAACCCAGCTGCTCAAATTCCCCAATTACCCGGTCGTAGACTCCACACCACCTTCTCAACTTACCATCAATTCCAATTCACCACCATCAATAAACAATATTTTTAATTTGACATGGCAAGACATGTGGCATGACACGTCGACTAAGAGTTGACGTGGAAGCTGACGAGGTGCCATCTCAGCTTGTAGTTGATGGGCGTTAACGACAGCTAAAACTCCGTCAATTTTTCTAACGGAAATGGCTATGGCTATAATTGTCAAGGTAGTTTCAAATTTGTGGCTATTTCTGTGTATTTTTCACAATTTAGCTATATTTGTCACAAAGTGTAAAGTTATGGCTATGAAAGCGTATTTTGCCTTCGTTAGAGAAATTGAATTGTTAGATATAATTAAATTGTTAGAGAAATTGAAATTCTCATCTATTTACGACTGCGTTAATTTTTTTTTATGAATGATGAAAATTTTGTAAGAAACTAACCAATCCAAGAAACAAATCATACAAAGGTTAAAAACAAAAAGCGAACAGCTCAACCAGCAGTAGAGCGAGCAAGCAACGGAAGGGAAGGGGAAAAAACAAAACAAAATCAAGCAATGAAAAAAAAAACAACCAACTCCAGAACAAAAAGAAGAAAGAAATTAGTAAGGGTGAAATGAGGTGCTTCGTCTCAAACGCCGTCCACGGGTGGAAGAGTCTATATGATAGCGCGATAATAGTAAAACTAAGTAATTTTGGGAAAACTGGCCAATAATGAAACGAATCAAGACAGATCGAGCAGAGTATTCATGCCCGTCCCACCCCTCCTACATGACGGACATTACCCTCCCAAAACACGTCAAACAGATCAAGAAAATGAAAAGGGATCAATCTCATCGCCAACATAAAAGTAATTTTTTGACACTGCACTAAAGTTTTACTTCTTGCTATTTGATTGTCATAAAGACACTTACAAATAAAATCAACATTTAGAAATACAATAATTTAAAACATACATACCTAATTTCCGCTTCTGACTTCGCCACTCATCGGGACCACCCAGTGAAACGGCGACGTCGAGTGCGCACTCCGTGACGCGGGGGGCTGATCCCGCCGGGAAATCACGAGTGTGGTCCCAGAACAACGAGAGCAGGCCGTGGAACCGGTGCCGTGCGGCATCGTTGTCGTCGTCGTCGTCGTCGTTGTTGTCTTTCAGTCGTCTGATGCGAGAGATCTGGTGTTCTAAAAGCGCGGTGATGCAACGGGCGGCTTGAAGGCGGATCAGTTCTCTCGCGACCCATGGCCATGACGGCGGGCGCCTAGTGTTCAGAGAGGCCAGAAAGGCTTCCACGTCTTCCGGGTCGCCGGGGTTGGGCCCCACTCCCTTCAGCGGCAGCGGCGGCGGCGGCGTACTGATCTTCTTCTTCTTCTTCTTCACAACACCACCCGCTGCGGCCATGATCAGTTGTGTCTTCAAGCCAACTCCCTTCGGTGATGGGCGAAGGAAAGTCCTGCTGTTGTACGTTTGTTATAAACTCGGGCGAAGAAAAACTGGGCTGGGCTGGGCTGCTATGGAATGGGCCGGGCTGCGGTTGCTGAAGAACAAGTGGAATGGGCCGGGCTCTGACGGAGGACGGGAAGCTGGAAATAGTGACGACCCGTCAGTCCGTCACGTTCCAGCAGATGACGGTAATCCGAGTGACGAAAAAAATTGTGTTGTGGAAAGAAAAAATTTCGATGCCCCTACCGTAAAAATCCCGTCTCCGTCCTTGTACACCGACATTGCTGGATTAGACGATTACATTGCATAAATCGCACCTTAAACAAACCGAGATTGTCAGCAGTGGAGATTCCCCATCTTATATACTAGCGCAGGGCCCGGCCCGTTGGGCGGGTAAACTAAACATAAGCGGCGCATTTGACAAACGTTGGAACATGAAATCAAATGAAAACGAATTCATTTTTTGGTCAATTTAAGTTTCAAATTGTTCAGTTAAAATGTTTAAACGAATATATGAAATTTAATAAGTGGGCTGTAATATTTGGAACATAATAATAAGCATCACATTGGTAAAAACCACAGGAGATAGATGGAGCAGCCAAGTAATAATCTATTCGGGGAAAGAGTTCAACATTCATAATTGGAACAACTATACAGAAATTATCTTTGAATTAAAACATATAGTCCATTGCTAGGGAAATTGCCTTAACAAAAATAAATAGCCAAACATGACGCCTAACAGTTGTCCATAAAAAATATAAACTGTAATCATAAGTTAAACCTGAATTGAAGTTCATATAAATCAATCAAATATTTCTGGGAATACTATGTTCACCATTGAAGTGCCTTCCTCTCCATTCTCATTGCCACTCAAAATCTTCAATCCTTGCCTTGTAGTAACTCTTGACAATGCAACATATAGCTGACCATGACTAAAAACTTGTCTTTGAAGACATAAACCAACATTGGCTAGTGTTTGACCCTGACTTTTGTTAATAGTCATGGCAAAACAAAGAGCCACAGGGTATTGCCTTCTAATGAGGGTGAAATTAAGACTCTTGTAATGGGTTGATAATGTCAATCTGGGAAGGAAGACGCGATCACCGATATTGGTACCTGTCAAAATCTCCACCTCAATGAACCATTTACCCAAAGTCTTCACAACCATTCTAGTACCATTACAAAGGCCAACAGTTTGATCCATATTCCGTAATAGAATGACTGGACACCCAACTTTTAGTTCCAACTGATGGTCTGGAAAGTTTCCAATCCTGAGGTTGTTCAAAAACTCGGTTGAATAATCAGCATCCACAACTCCCTCCTTCCCAGGGTCCATCTCAATAGAATCTGCGCTGTAATATACCACTGCATCTCCTGGGAATTGACTTAGAATATACTCATTCACTGCAGAAACCATATCATGGTGTGGAGCCAAGATAGCTCGATTGACTAAATAATTATGATCTCCTGCATGACTACTAATATCACTGTATATAGAGGTGACAATATCAATGACAGGATCACTCTGTCGAGGAATTACTAATTCCTGAGGTATGCGAATCAAAGACTCACCAAACACATCTGAATCTACTCCGTCTCCTACTTGCAAGAGCCAGTTCTGGAAAGTAGTTATCTCAACAGTTTCCTCCGGAGAGCAATTAGATCGTGCTAGCCACATATTTTCAACTAACTTAATTACCCTCAAATGGGGCCAAAGGTAGGACCTCTTTATAGATGAGTTCACAATATCACCTCGTGAAGCTTTCAATACTATAGGCAAAGTTTGCCGGAAATCTCCTCCAAAAACAACTGTAAGACCTCCAAAGGGCTTACCCTGACTGTTTTCATACCGAAACCGCAAAATATCCCGCAATGATTTATCTACAGCTTCCACTGCATGCTTGTGTGACATAACAACTTCATCCCAAATAATCAATGAAGCACGTTGAATGAGCTCTGCTAATTCACTACCCTGGTCAATATGACATGTCGATCTACCATCAAGGTCTACTGGAATGTGAAATCGAGAATGAGCTGTTCGACCCCCATCCATTAAAAGGGCCGCAATACCAGAAGAAGCTACACATAGAACAATCTTATTTTCCGATCGCAATTTCAAGCAAATGACTTTCCATAAGAAGGTCTTTCCTGTCCCACCACATCCATCAATAAAGAATGCATTTCCCTTATCTGCATACACCGATTCAGTAATTTCATCAAAAGCTTTTTTTTGTTGGGAATTGAGCTTGGAAATCATACCTTCAAATTGCTCACGAAGACTTGCAACATTGTAATTAAGTTATGCAGTGATCAATCGATTAGATGAAGATGACATGTTACCAGTATCAATAACTGGTAATCCAGGAAAATCAGATAGAGTTTTGCAATTTCTTGCAAGCAATTTATCTATCTCCAGCAAACAACATTCCTGTAACTGGAGATCAGACATTTCTAAAGTAGGCATATTTAGTTCCTTCCGACGGGCATACAAAATATCATAAGATAACAGTGCCCAATTCTGCTCCCATAGTTTCCCAATGTCTGAAACTTGACAGAGGCTGATGATAGTAACAAATAAAGTTCTAAGCTTTTTACCGGATGCCCAAAGAGCCGCTTCGGCCAAACAGTCATTCCATTCATTATCTTCTGCCAATAGACCATGCGCATAACATGCTTCCTTAAAAGATTTATGCAAAACTCCATTCACTGTCCTGATGTCCTCAAAACTTTGAGCACCACGAACAATATGTAGAAGCATACGCAGATAGAACCTATCATTTGTAGGCGAAGGATGACAATAATACAACCGCCCAATACTGAACATGGATTTCCTCTTGTGCCACGCCTGCTTTGTTTTATCCCAAACATAATGTTGCGGAAATTCTACAAATGTATATTTCCTTGCTTCTGGAAATAACTTATTCATTTTCATCCATTCCAACAGCATAGAGGTTTGAGCACGCTTAGACTGGAGCACACCTTGAGGATTTGAATGCTGCCTTGAGACAACTACATTCTGCCCAGGAAGATGATAAGACATGCGCAACACTGATGGGTACTGTGAGTAGACATCAAACTTGAACAACCTCCAGCATGCTTCACCAGATGTGATATACCGACAATCAAGATATGCTTTTATCTCATCAACCCGTGGTGTGGGATTTGAACTTGATGCACCAGATTCAATTCCAGTATTAGTTTCATTGTCAACTAATGAAGCTTTTGCTCGATCTTGTGGTTTGTTGATATACTTGAACAAATATTTGATTGCCCTACCATGTCAAACAAAAATTGGACACAACAAAACTAATGAGTAGTAATGCAACAACCAAACTGATACGTTTAAACCAATAAAAAAAACACACCAAAAGCTACCAAATTTGGCACTTTCCATGGAAGGGAATAAAAAAGTAGTGTCGAGCATAAATATTATATGTGGTATGAAAAAGATACCTGGATTTATTGCAGAACTCAACATTTATATGTGCATCAAATCGCAATAATAAATAGCGATTGTACGGCACGACAAAACGATTGTCCAATGACACAGAGTTAACTTTAAAAGATATTCCACTGTCACGTCGTCGATACTTGGCAAAACCATTATCATCAATCGTCGTTTGCTCACAAAACGGCTTTGGAAAATGTTTAGTACACACACCACCTTCTGTGCAAGGAGCATTACGGCCCAAAAGACCACATGGACCATGCAGCATAAAAGCAGTTACAGCCCTATAGCCTTCTGGATCAATATCAGAGTTTGGAATTTCTGCGGATATGACGGAATCAATGGCCGTCGGCCCAGTTAGTTTACATTCCGAAGCTAGGAAAACCAGCAAATGAGCATGGGGAAGGCCACGCTTTTGAAACTCAATTGCCAGCACAACTGCAAACAAATACACTATGTATTAAGTTGGAGCCTGCCAAAACCTTATTAGGTAAAGGACAACCTGACTAAAATAATTCAACCATATGAAACAAAAGTATTGCTCAAAACTAAAATAACAATTATGGAGCATGTACGACTTACATCCAGTGGTAGTCCCAAATATTTTCTTATCTCTTATCTCAAACATTAATTGCTGCAGTTTAAGCTTGAAGACCCGAGCAATAATATCAGATCTATTGACATCTTTCCGACCATCTGCGGTTACCAAATCAACCATAAACTGGATTTCCGGCCAATTTGCATTACAGGTGAAGGTAATAAATAAATCTGGGTAGCCCAACCACCTACAAATAGCCATAGCATCCTGGAAGTTTTCATACTTGTACCGTGGACTTCCTGTGTGGGAAGCAGCCAAAATAACATGTTTTCCAGTCATTTCTAAATCAGAATCACCACGGAGGAATGCATCCACTAACCCACTCAGATAATGGGAACGAAGTTTGGCTTGGTTATTTCGGATCCAATCAAGCCGCTGTGCCTCTACTAATGCATACGCATTCACAACATACTGCTGAAATAATTTCCCAGATAATAAAACCGAATTTGACTCCTGAAATCTACTCTGTAGGCGGTATGCATAATAATCACACTGGGACAGTGTCTTGTCATTCCAAAGATTATCATCATCATCATCATCACAGCTTATGTCCGGATGCCATCCATCCTCTCCATAAGGAAATAAAATTGGGTATTGTAAAGCCATTAATGATGGATGATAATAATTAATTCTCTCCAATTCAGAACTCTTATACTGAACAATAATATCTGGCTCAAATGTATCTTGCCCTGTTTCATCAACAATCAAGGCTGCTATGTCATTCCCCGTCGGTAAATCATATTCTCTCCCATCATGAGCACGCTTGGCAATTAATTTGATCTTCACCTCTTTCACATTGCCTTCCTGTATCTTTTGCCTAGCCATTCGAAAGGTTTGAACCAGAACATTGTTTCTATCAAACATTTCTTGCAATCGTTCAACAATATCTGATCGCAATGAACTGGAGGCATCATCAACTGGAAATAGATGCAAACGACTCTGTAGTTCAGAACTTGAGTCATGAATGTATAATTGGGCAAACCTCGGTGGCTGACCGTCTGGGGGTAATAAGCTGCCTATAGAGTGATAAATTTGTCCTCCTATAGAGTACACATACACCCCTCGACCATCATTTATACCACGATCCACTTTCCCGCCCAGGGAGATAAAGCAAAACACAGCATTGTATCTACGAATGGCTTCCCGGAAATGACGGCTCATAGGTGTAAAAGAATGTAACAATTCATTCAAAAACTCTGGTGGAGCACGTCTAGGGGGTAGTTTTACCTTTCCAGCCTTGCAACACAATGAGAAAGTGGGGTTAACACGACTCCTAGTAGGAACCGTACTTTCTTGCACCCACATAATTGCTGCACAGTATTGACAAATGCTTGTAGGCTCGCCCAGACTAAAAAGTTCCACAACAGGATATCCTACAATCAAAGTAGTCACATAAGATAACTCACACATGATGAATACGCATTTACAATGTACAAACATAAAATATGATGCCACAAACCATGAGAACGGGAGAACCCCCTCGGTACAGCATTAACCATCCGCCTTTTGTACAAATGACTCGCTCGCATTAAACGTGCCCTTTTTGTCCGAAGGTGGGAGATACATGAACTATAATCTGTGGTAACAAAGTTAATTATGCATGAACTAAATCCATTAGGACGACATGGAATCCTGCTCCGTGACATATACAACGCAATGCACATATGGACTATGGTATGCATATGCAAAATAGTCTAGAACACACCTTACAAAATAAAGAAACGCATTTAAAAGATACTAAGCTTACCATGTGGAATATATTCAACAGTACGTCGCAAGCGCGCATTCAAGATCTCCCGTCGTCGTTTTCGATAGGATTGAGCTATCAAGCGATCAATATGCTCAACTTGTGATTGAAGGGTGAGTATTTCTGCAATTGAAATATACAAATCAAATTATCCTGATTTTGTGCCAAAGTAAACTTTAATTTAATGTACCAACAAATGAATCGCGGAACTACGTTGATTAAGACGATCCCTTTCAGCAGCGGTTTGTTGATTGGAAGGAGGTTTTGGCGGGTTGAATATAGCTCGCATGAACCCTGCAAAATACGACAGAATTAAGGCAGCGGGTATATGTTGTGTCCATTTTGAATACGTACAATAACAGTGGAACATGGAAAAAACCAAAGAAATCAAATTACATTTGCCCTTTGAATTCCGACGGTTGGGAGCACTGGTTTGCACTGAAGAGCTTCCACCAGGTTGTTGATTTCCGGACATTATCTTGATTGCAATCACACTTAAGCATGAACCAGCAAGCTCTAATTGATCAAAAATAAAGGTTTACTTAGCGGTTTGTTGATTGGAAGGAGGTTTTGGCGGGTTGAATATAGCTCGAATGAACCCTGCAAAATACGCCAGGAGGAGTTGGGGAATTCAATTGGAGGAGTAGCAACTCCCACCGCCCACGCGTCCCTCACAATTGCATATGTAGTCTTGAAGTGCAGGGCTTGAGACCGAAATCGATATGGAGAAAGAAATTAACACGGCATGGACTGCCACGGCAGCTGAATATGGGTTCCGAGAGATTTCGATGGAAGCATTTCACCAGCAGTCTTTGGGCCGACTACGTCAAGGGGGAAGAGTTTGGGCCGGATACTTCAGGGGGCAACAGCCCGGTCCGACTATATAATAAACTGGCCCGGTCCACCGGCAGAATGTGTTGGAGGTGAAACGCACAGTTTTATTTAAATGTGAATTGACTAAAGTGCCCTTCCGACAAACCCTCTGCGGGCTGGAAATTTGAATCCCTGCAAACTAAACACTTGTTTTGGCTTCATATATCTTATAGATTTGCATTTGTACTTGTTCTTTTTGTGGGTGTATTACAGAGATATCTTCGCTATGGAGAGAGTAGTAACAAATTAATTTCTCGTCACGAATGATCGTATGTAAAGCAATAGTTATATATCTTATACTAATAAACTAAAGAGATATCTTTGCAATCGAGAGAGTAATAACCTATTAATCTCTCGTCACGAACGATCATACATTATAAAGCAATTAATCGTCATATATCTTATACTAATACACTAAAAAGATCCATGACTATGACACTACCAAGTACGCTTTCAATAGCATTTCTACTATGCTATATAGTATTGGTGCTTTAATGTACAACTTAAAGTTGTACCATAACATGAAATGTATAAGTTTAGATTGTACCATAAAAGAATTTGTACCATTATGTTATGGTACAATTTTACAACTTGAAGTTGTACCATCACATAAAGGTACAAGTTCAAGTTGTACCATAAAAGAATTTGTACAAACAGTATAGGTATAATTCAAAGTTGTACCATAACGTTAAATGTACAATTTGTTAAATGTACAATTTCAAGTTGTATCATAAAGGTAAAAACCTATAGCACTAGCACCAATACTATATAGCATTGTAAAATTTCTCACCCTTTCAAAGGATAAACAACCCATAACCAACTAGTGTATGTTTGGAACAATTGGGAACTTTTTTTAATTGTATGAAATATTATATATTTTTGGCGACTAACATATACATGCAATTTATTTATACATGGATTATGCAATACGTCTGAGATTTCCTCCCACATCATTACATTCATATATATTATTATTGCAACATTTTCTAACAACTCCTTGTTATTTTATTTTTAATTTATTTGTGCCCTTTTATTTTGTGTTCTTTTTTGTGCAAAGTCTTCCATCCCTACCAACAGATATGCCCTTTTCCTTCCATGTGGAAACAAAGAATACATGCCCATGTGGGATCTCCAACCTCTCCAACTACTACTACACATTTTCCCTTAAGAAAACCTTAGTTTACTTGAAGTAGTTAAGTGATGGAAACATAGATTAGGAAGGTGATTAACAACAGGATTAGAGAAAGAGATCAGCCACCAAACCATGATCATGATGTTTTGTTTCTGCAACCAACCAAAGCCTTTGAGTTGTCTTTGGTTTGCTTCCCTGTCCCAATCAACAACTCCTTGTGACCTCCAAATCTCTGCCACGTTAATCTTTGCTTTACTTCGAAGGAGAGGTAAAAAACCAGATTTATAAATAAATAAAAAGTTCACACTCATTGTTTGAGGGGTTTCAAACAATAATCATCTTGAATGATGATGTTGGTATAGCTCTACTTATCGATGTTAACCACTTTTTTACATGCTAAATTCAATTTATGAGTTTGAAGTTTGCACATATTTGCTATACTATGTGTATTAAGATAATAGTTAATATTCATGGTCGTAAGAAGTTGAGTACGTGAGCTCAATGACAAACCAAATATGATACCGTTTCATAATCCAACTGATCTCGATAAGTTGAATTGTTGAGAAAAATAATAACTTCAATACTAATATCCACCTCATTTTTTTAAAACAAGTCAATTATTCCAACATGTTGAAAAAGATCAATATATCATATTCAGAGATTTGGTATAAAATAAATACATCACATACCATGAATTAGACTTCATCCTGCAATTTTTACTATTAATTATTTCCCTTAAGTTGAAATATTTTTTTTTACACATTATAGTAACTTTATAAAACCCATATATTTTATTACTACAAAAATCATATCTCACATTTGACATATATCCAAACTTTATTCTTCATAAATTCAATTTTCTTCCTTTTCTTGAAAAATAAAAAGATATTGTCACGACTGTTTCTATGGATCGGGAAATCGAAGGGTCGACAAAACAAGAAAAACGAAAGCAAGAAACTAACAAGACACACGGATTTACATGGTTCACTAACACAATGTGTGTTAGCTACTAGTTCACGGACAGGAGAGAGCAAGTTTCACTATACTTCGAGAATATACAGATTACAAAGAAATATGCAAAAATATTTATAGCACTTTCTCCATATGATCTAACTCTAATCCAATCCGAAAAAAGAATAATATTACAACTAAATCCTCTTGACTTATAATCGTAACCAGATAATCCAATTCAAATCACATCAATTACAAATCCAAATCTCCATTGATCAGTCTTATGAGTTACGGCAGAACTGCAAGTCTGCAACGGTACCTTTACCGTAAAACAATAGTGCCCGTCTTACATCTGGCACGATCGTCCCCTCTCTTTCTCCATCATTTCCCGCTGCAACAGCCACCACTTCAAAACGAAAGGAAGAACCTTCCTAAACCCATAAATACCGCAACTCTGTCAGTCGTCCCTTTCCCCTGCTCCAACTTCCAAACCACCAAACGTCTCTTCTTCTTCTTCTTCCCCCAATTTCCTCCTCTCTCTCTCTCTCTCTCCGAAACAATGAGGCCGTCCAAAACCCAGCAATCCGCCATCAACGCCAAGCTGATCTTCACCTCCTTCTTCCTCCTCTGCATCCTCTGCCTCATCCTCTGGTCCACCTTCTCCTCCCCCGCCGCAACACCCGCTTCCACCCACGTGACCACCGATTCCCAATTCGACGATCAATCCACCAAACCCTCCTGCCCTGAAATCACTTCCTCCTCCTCCGCCGCCGCCGCCACCTGCTCGAAAGCGCCGCCGTCCCTCGCCAACGCACTGGTCCACTACGCCACCACCAACATCACCCCGCAGCAGACCTTCAAGGAAGTCTCCGTCTCCCTCCGCGTCCTCAACTCCAAATCCCCCGCCAATTTCCTCGTCTTCGGCCTCGGCCACGACAGCCTGATGTGGGCGTCGCTCAATTACGGCGGCCGGACGGTCTTCCTCGAAGAGGACAAATCATGGATCGAGCAGATCCAGGGGAAGATCCCGTCCCTCGAGGCATACCACGTCACCTACGACACGAAGGTTCACCAGGCCGGCGGCCTGATGGAGGCAGGGATCGGAGACGGCGAGTGCAAAACGGTGTCGGATCCGAGGGAGTCCAAGTGCCAGCTGGCGCTGAAGGGTTTCCCGGCGGAGATTTACGAGATTGACTGGGATTTGATTATGGTGGACGCGCCCACAGGGTATCACGATGAGGCGCCCGGGAGGATGACGGCGATTTATACGGCGGGGCTGATTGCGAGGAACAAGGAGGCAGGGGAGACGGAGGTTTTTGTTCACGATGTGGATCGGACGGTGGAGGATCGGTTCTCGAAGGCGTTTTTGTGTGAGGGTTACTTGACGGAGCAGGAAGGGCGGCTGAGGAGGTTCACGGTGCCGAGCCACCGTGCTCGCCCCGGCCGGCCGTTCTGCCCTTGATCGGAGACAGAAACAGAGTACAGAGGAAAACAGGGGGCGAGGGATTTGTTTTGTTTATTTTTCATTTTAAATCGAGTTGGTAATAAAGTTTTTTTTATCTTGTGGATGGATCATGGAAGATGGGATGTTTTGGATTAGCATATTGATATTCTACATTGGTTCTTGACGGTTTCAATATAATTCGTTTTTAATTGACTTCGATCATACTCGGTTAGCGCGTTCAGATATGACACATAAGATGAATCGTTGCTTATACGATTTGAATACAATCCATTTTCAATTGATTTCTTGGTGACACTTTTGTCAGGATTGTGTAGATTTTGAAGCTTTAAGTTGAAGTATAGAACTTCTATTCAATATGGGGTTAACGTGAGGAATACTCCACCTTGCTTTGAAAGGAAGTCACTTACCTAAATCATGGGTGTTAGGTTCACTAATTTGATTTCTATACTGAACAAACATATACTTGAATAAGAGTAAAACTGACACAGAACTAGACAGCCTAACTATTTTCATGTATATTTTTAATTTTGTAGGGTCAGTACTCACCCTTAAAAAAAAAAAAGAGTACTCAAAGTTCAAGCTAAACACCCACAACATTCAAATCCTTCCTTCAATCACTTAATCCAGTCATAGAGATAGATGACCTAGAAGAGAAGGCTTTTACAAACCACACTGAATAAGAAGAACCCTTCCTCATAAAATTTCATAAATTATGACATGAGTTTGATCTCAATCATCCGGCCATTTATGTTGCACTCACACTCAAGCAATTGCTGTTTTTTCGAGATCCATTTTCAAATCACAGGCAAATAAATATTGCGGATACTCTAGAAACATAGGGTTGATAGTAGTTATCGATGGATGGATGATCGAGTAGATATGAAGTGCAAACGACTTGGAAGAGTGGAACATATCAGCCCAAGCCTGGAGTGGGTGATGAATGAAAGAACTTCCTAACCGAGTTGTAGGCCATGTTTATCCTCGTTACCAAGTAGTTGGGTGGTCATCTCAATTACCATGGGTAAAAATTTATAAGAAACGAATAAATTTTAGGTTCATCAACAAATAGGTCACCAAATTTACACCAACTTAGATTATCTTTATCTCTACAGTTTAAAAACGAATATACCACACCGTCCATTATTTATTAAAGAAAAATTCCGAATAAGCATGTTATCTCACCCAAATAAAATTTCAGAAAGCCTTACAAACCCTCCAAATGGCTATTATGTAAAGAGAGGAAGATATTGAAGTGGTTTGGTAACATTAATTTCAGGAGTAGTTGTTAGTATACACAAAAGTTTGTGACCATTATTGTAATTGACCACCCTGTTATCATCTCCTCTGCTTCGGTCTTCTTATCTCGCTGCAGTTCTGGTCGCACCTGAGAAGTGAGAACAGACGACTCAGAAGAAGAAAAGATGGCGAAGGGCAAGAAAGAGCTGCTGTCGAAAGCGCCGTGGAGAGGAGACGACGACGACGGCGAGGCCGACAAGTTCAAAGACGCTGAGCTCAAAGTCACCAAGCAACCTGGCTCCGACGCCAAAATGCACCTTCCTCGCAAGAAGAACGGCCGCCCCTCCGACTACGATGAAGACGACGACCAGCTCGAGATTGACCCGGAGCTTCGTTACAGCTTCCACCGCAATTATCAGGTCCTATTGGAAATTCCGCCCTTTCAATTTTGAGCTATAGCTGTGTTATTGGGTTGCTTCTGGGTTCAATTTTAGTTCAAATGGAAGTGCAATGATGGAATCACTAAATGGGTCTTTCAGGGTAGCTGCTCAATTGAGGAAAGCTTGCTGCTTTTCTGCATATCTATGGGTTTGATTCGATTTAGGGGTGGAGTTTCTAGGTTTTCTGCATTTCTGCTGCTTGATTCGATTCAAGGAGCTTATAATTATGATGGGAACTGGCATTGGCCTGCAACTTAGCTATGTTCATGTTGTGTGGTTTTTTTGCAGTTCCTTCAGAGAGTATTTAGCATTGACACAATAGTGAAGCCACTCCCTCCTGCCATGGCTTACAATGCCTCCCGTAACTTGAGCTTCTTCACTCGCATCTTCACTCAATTCTTTGGTAAGTCTTGGACTTGGTTTCATATATTATCCATTAACCATGGATAATAATATAGTGTGTTGATCCTTGTAGTTACTTCATTTGCCTGGCAACACTAACAACCTCTTCAAAATTTATACTGGATTAATGATTAGATGGAGCTAAGGCCTGATTCTGGGATTGATCTTTGATTTACAACCGCTCTCAACTAAGCTGGGGGATAAATTTTGGTGAAAGACAGCACCTTTGTTACTATTTGTGCGATGGAAAGAGTCAAAGAGTTGCTTGCTTGATTATAACTTAGGGTACTACATTGTCCACTAAGGGTGATCAACATGAACTTTGTTTTGCATGAGATTGTGACCAGTCAATCACATTGATGCGATTTTGGGTTTTTGGTGTAAGCATATCTTTAGTTTCTGAAAGAGTTTGATGTTGATGATCATAAAGGCGAAACTTGTTGTAATTTGCAGACCCTGAAGGTATTGCAAATGCCCAGAAGTCGCTTGGGTTAGGCCAAGAAGAGAAAGCTCGCAACGTCCGTTGACAAGTGCGCTCTATTATCTTCCAGTATTCCCTCTGTTCACCATCTGTAATTTTCAAGCAAAATTAAGTAGTTAATTTTGTGCTCTCAAAGAGGAGGGAGGTCCAGAATACTATTCTATCAACTTCATGCTTTCTGAACAGAGTTTTAAAAATGCCATGTTCTTCTAGTGCCGGATTGAGATCGGATTCTTCTTGTTGTGAATTCTTGTTCCTTGGCTTTGCCTTTAGCTACCATGAGCAACCCCAGATTTCATTTTTGGGAGGGGTACATCTTTCTTGCTATAACCAGCCTTAATGAGAGTAGAGCCATGTAGGAGCCAAACATTAGAACTGGTCTGGTTGGTTCTGGAGTTCAACATAGGCTTGGAATCGACTCAAAGCAAAGTAGGGAAGGAGAGTTGTTTGAGACCGCCATAGATATGGCTTGGGATGTTTTGCGTTTTGGTCGTGTTGATTGCTTGTTCATGGAGTTTTTCTTTATACAGTTGGCTGCAGCTGCAGCTGCACTGCATTAGTTATGCCCCTGGACCTCTTGCCTATGTATCATTCATTCTCCTAACAATCTAAATCTTTTCAATTAAGATTCATCATTCAAGCTTCGTACTCGAATATCGCCTCACCGTTGATTGATCGTTGTATGATTCTATTGGTGATTTTTTGTTATTTGTTTGATTGACGAGTAAACTGTAAAAGATAATGGTGCCTTCACACCTTGATTTTTTGTTGGGTTAGACTTTTATCCAATTTGCAATAATATTCGACACGCTTTGATTCAACGAATCGGCGAATCGCTGAGGACACCCTCAACATATCGATGATAAATGTTGAAAATTATGTCATATAGTATTTTCTTATGCAAATCTGATAGTAAAAATCCCCTGAAATGAATCTGTCATCATCATTTTATATCCTGGTCAAAGGAAAGCCCGTCACCATATTACCTGTAATTCTGCTAAGTATGAACAATCTGTGTCCAGCTGTGCTACAAGACAGACATGTATATGAATATGATACATCTTCAAACCATCATGTTTGATTCTCATATTGTCTTGTATTCATAATTCGTTTTAAAATAATACCTCTGTCCAAACCAATTTCATTCTATAGTAATTCCCTCCTCTTGTACTATTGCCCCACTGATTTTTCTTCTATTTGGCACATTCCTTCGTCTTAACCGCCACAATTTTGGGTTTTTTTTTTTGCCGTCAATACTCCACTTGAACTGTTTCACACATAGAATGGTATCTTAACAAAATCAAAATGAGAAATATAATGGATGATCCAACCATATTCAATCATAACGTTTCTCACTTTTAGTTCATTCATGTCTGATTACGTTGCGATTTGTGAGAGTATCGTTAAGTTTCTTTGAAATTCATTTTACCTAGTATAATTTTCATCGTCAATTACAATGAGCTCATTTTCAGTGTAGGAAAGGTCGAAAGGAGTTGAATTGTACTCATTTCTTTCAATTTCCCAAGTTCCATCCGTTGGACTTTGGGACTTGGGAGGAAGACAGGAAAAATGAAAGAGACTAGAGAGAAGACTTTCATTTGACAAAAATGGAACACTTAAAAGGTGAAAGAAAAAGAACAGCAGCTTAAACTAAACACCCAAAAACAACGGCATTAATTATCACCATATGCAAATTTTGGCTATGATGATTGATGAGATCTTTGGAAAAAGGAGAAATCATTTCCCCATTTTTCCTTTCTCCTTTTACTTCCCTTCCATTCCAGCTCGTAATTTTTTTTTCCTTGGCATTTATAGCTGACGAAGGAGCCAAAAAGAAAAAAAAAGGAAAAGGAAACCCTGCTCCCACTTCCCCTCTTCTTCTGCTACTCCTTTCTGCATCTCTTTTCCACCTAATCGCTCACCTTTTCCCTCGACCCTCATTTCCAACGATCAGAGGAAGGAATTTTTTTTTCTGGGTTTTGTAGAGGTAGGAGTTTGCTGAAATGGGTAACCTGATTTGCATGGCGAAGAAGGATGGTGGAAGCAAAGGCAACAATGGATCGAGGAGCAGCAGGAGGATGGGCGTGAACAGGTCGCAGAGGAAGTTATTGGCTGAAGAAGAGTTGCTCCATAGGCAAGCTCTGTCCATGGCGCTTCACCAGCATCAGTTGTCTCAGCGATTCGATAACGGATCCATGTCTAGAAGGATCGGGTCCACTAGCTCCCGCAGGAAAAATCTGCCTGATGCTGATGCTTTGGCCAATGGGGGGAAGCAGGTTTGTGGGAGTTGGAATTAATTTGAACCTTTTGCCTTGCTATATAATTGAACTGTTTTGCTTTTGTGTTGCTTTCTCGTGAAGTTGGAAACTTTAGCTTTTTTGATGATTTGGAGATCTGCTTATCATGAACTCGCTGTTTTGGGGACTGATGGGGCAGAAAGGGGGATGAATTTTTTTCAATGGTTAAGCTTGGAAGATTCACATGAATAATTAAGTGGAATAAAGTTGGACGTTGTTGATTCTTAAGAGTGGAGACTGGTGAGGAAAGGAATGATCTTGAGAGCAAGTAAAGAGCTACAGTTAGCATTTAGTTTGTCAAACAATAGGCAATAGCTTATGGTTCTCCAATCTTAATGGAAAGATTCCAATTTTAGAGGGAAAAAATGAAGAATTTGTTGTGGGTGTGTAAAAGAAGTTGCACTTTTTGGATGTGGGTAATAATAGTTTAATGTTGAAGAAGCCATAAAGTGGTGGATCTAGGTCTTGGTGCATTCAAGCACTTTGTTTGCTTTTTTCATGGTGGTGAATTTTCTCCTTTTTCATTCCAACTTTCTAATGATTGCATTGAGTATTTTCTGTGGCACTCCTGGGGAATCTTCACTTTTGAGTACATTCTGATGTTCCGAAGGTGCATAGACATGGAAAAAGGTCATATGTGAACGATGGTGACTATCCCTTTTTGTCATGAATCTTTTGAGTTGGAATACTGTTGGAATCTTCTGCAGAAATGATTTTCAATTAGTTGAACTTGATGTAGAAATAGAATGTATCGGGTCTATATGTGGAATAGGCTAGTCAAATATATAAACTGACAACAAAGTATGTACCAGTGTAAAATGATTCGTGGAACTTGCTGATATGGTTTCTGTTTATGGTGTGATCTTTGTTTTGCATGTTTCATTAACTACTTTTTGTTCATCAGTTAACTTTTTTTTTTTGTCTGAGATTATGCTTTTCATTTTGTGAAGGATAAGGTGCCTGAGAACCTGGAGAATATCAAGATAAAGAAGTTTGTTCTGATACATGGAGAAGGTTTTGGCGCCTGGTGTTGGTATAAAACCATTGCTCAATTGGAGGAAGTAGGTCTTGTTCCAGTTGCCTTAGATCTGACAGGATCTGGTATTGACACCACAGATACAAATTGCATTAAGACATTAGCAGAGTACTCGAAACCATTGATTAGCTATTTGGAAAACCTCCCAGAGGATGAAAAGGTTAACTCATATGAGCTATTTGTCTAGTTTATAGAAACATTGAGATATTTTGAGTTCTGCAGATTTTTGAAAGTTTGAATATCTGACCTGCAGGTTATTTTGGTTGCTCACAGTACTGGAGGTGCATGCGTCTCTCATGCGTTGGAGCTTTTCCCTGGAAAGATATCCAAAGCTATCTTTGTCTGTGCTACAATGGTGTCTGATGGTCAGAGACCATTTGATGTGTTTGCTGCAGAGGTAAGATTATGGATCTTTGAATTACGAAATGTTAGCATCCTTTCGATAACCATTAGAGATCATTGATGTAAGAGGTCGTTTCGATGATTGATTTTGGCAAAAGATTGTGCACCACTATCATTCTGTGAGGGACTGGTCAAAATAATCTGTTTGGATGTGCAAAATGGACGGTTTTCAAATCTCTTCAGATTTGTGAAATCTTGCTTTTAGTGTTGACAATCCACTTCTACAGATCACTCATCCAAATAAAAATGTTCCAAACCTATCTATTTGATACCCATTGATTTCAACAATCCATCTACTCTAAGAATCCTTCATTCAAATGCCCCTTAAGAATGTCAAGGTAATTCGTCATTAAATCTTTATGGCAAACCACCTCATTAGTCCATTCTTTATGGATATGCATTAGTAGTTAATCCCTCACTCCATTTTTTGGGGCTTCCCAAGTAAAATTCTTAGCAATCTCGGTACTAGTACTCCTCTTTTCTTTATGCCTTTCTATAGCCAAAGTCTTGATACCAAATAATGACTGAAGTTCCGCCATTGCAGCTTGGTTCTGCTGATCGCTTCATGCAGGAGTCGCCATTTCTGATTCATGGGAATGGAAAGGACAATCCTGCCACAGGCTTCATGTTTGAAAAACAGCTGATGAAAGGTTTATACTTCAATCAATCACCGACGAAGGTATGATTTTAGTATCATTTATTGACGTCAAAAGTTTCATTGGATGATCAACCACTACCAGCAAAACATAACTCATGGAGTTCTTCTTGCAGGATATTGCTCTTGCAATGGTTTCCATGAGACCCTCGCCCCTAGGTCCAATAATGGAGAAGCTGTCACTAACACCGGATAAATATGGGACTTCTCGACGTTTCTATATTCAGACGCTTGATGATCGTGTTCTCTCACCAGACGTTCAAGAGAAGCTGGTGGGGGAAAACCCGCCGGAAGGAGTGTTCAAGATCAAAGGAAGCGATCATTGCCCATTCTTTTCCAAGCCTCAGTCGCTGCACAAGATATTGGTTGAGATTGCTCAGATTGAGTAGGACTGCTGGTATAGTAAAGAAGAAAGCAAAGAAAGGACCTCAGGTTAACTTACAAGTAGACAGTTAGTTGTCTTTGTAGATTGTACACAGTTCCTTTGCCTTTATACAAATACTCTCTCTATGGGTTGTTCTATTTGTCATCAAAGTTATGGATATAGGAAAGAAAAGGAAAACGCATGATGTGTCAATGATTTTAATTGGTTCAAGAGATGACACTGAGTGGTAGATTACTAGTAGATATTGGATTAGGGAGTGTTTCTCCTCCTCGCTCAAAAACTTGAGATGCTGTCAAATAACAGAAGAGCGCACTTTCAGCAGGTCACTGCATGTTACAGTTTCGTTTTGTGATTAGCACGAACCGATATCAAACCTGGCAAATGGCAATGCTTCAATGCGGAAATGAAGTCTATAGCTTTATCAGTCAGAGATGTGGTACATCATTTACCAGTCAATAGCCACAAATGGAAGAAAGAAACCAAAGCATTTGTCTGGCATTACAAGCTCCAACTTAGGTATGTACTTCTACAAATCAGTGAAATCCCCACTCAACATCAGCTATCTAACCTTTTCTCCAATTCAACAAATGTTACTAGCATTACCTCTAGATACAGCAATACCAAAAGCTAATAAGTTCCCAGTTCTAGAATATCTGAAAAGTGCCAACACCAACAATAACAACAAAAGGGGTCATTGATTTACAAATTACAATCTTTGAACGTTTCTCCATCCAAGGAAAATCAATGAAGGAGATGTCGATTTCCGTTCATATCAAGGCTTACTAAAATGGCAGATACTCCCAGGGCACATTGCAAGATTGGAGCCATGTGCAAGTAAAAGGCAGCTAAACAAGGTAGTGATTTGATTCATATAAGATCAATGCATTTACTCAATTCTTTAGAATCTTCCCGTAGCGAGGAATTATATCTCCCATTGATTCACTTCAGACGTGCAGAGCATTTCACTGCCTTCTGCGTAGTGTGTTTGTGACAAGAACTGCCCTGGGGTTCACTTTGTTCCTCGGGAAGCTTGCTCAGAATGCATACCATTTCCACAAGGCTTTATAGGAATACACAATGCATCAACTTAAAGCCGTGGCAATCTGAAAAAATCAGTGAGCTTTGATTGGTAAGGGCATTGAACTTTCAGAGAATTTTCCTGGAAAGAATGAAAATTTGCAAAAGAGAGAGTGCAAGCAACCACATAAGTATAATTACTTCATAAATTTGAATAACAAACTTCTATGTTGTTAATTTGTGGAACATAAGAAGTGCATTGTTAACCTTGAGATAATAGCAAGACACCATACCAAATCAAAGTGCCTAAGAAGCTGTGCTTGACTTCGGAACCCAAACTTGCTTCTGCAAACAACACAAACAAATTAGAGTAGGTAAAGCAATGCTGAAGATGATACCTAAATAGAAGAATTTCCAGACCTCAAGACCAGGGTGGCCAGTACCAACTCCTTTTTTCGATGATTTCCCCTTAGCTTTACTTGCGTAGGATACATCATTCTTCATAACTTTCGCAACTTCATGGGAAACAACTTTTCCCCCTGCACCTGGAGAGGTTCGAAAAATTAGATAAGAATTCCAATGGAACTGCTCATGAGGAGACAGAGGAAAACAGCAGATCAATGTACCATTAGCATGAAGCTGATGGGACTCATTACATTCCTTATCAACGTGTTGTTGATTAGATGGAAGACCTGGACTCGGGACACCAAGTGTTGGTTTATCAATTTTTCTCTTGTTCCTGGTGCGCTTTTCAGTTGAACGTGTGGCCTTTTTCAAAGACTGATTGTCTGTAATTCTGTTTTGATCAGAACCACTAATAGTCGGATGGGGTTTCTTACGCGGGCTAATGTTGGTTGATCCTAGTCCCATTGGTGTAATCTGGTTCTTTTCATTCTCGCACTGCTGTTGATGATATCTCTCTTGAGGATAGGCAGCTGCTAAAGGTTCCTTTTGACGTGATTCACAACTTAAGAGGATGCGCTTTATCAGCTTTTCACTAGAGTCATTCCCATGGTTCTGTTAAGAAAAAGTAAAACAGGTGAATTTGCATAATGAGAGGAGTGAAAGGACTACGATATGGATTATCACACAAGAGAATAAAGGATGGATGCTGGAAGTAGGTGAAAGAAAAAGAAACATACAAGTGAAGTTTTGTGCTTCTTTCCTTTATCCTGCAGGGTCTTCTTCTTTCTAGAATCAGCTGTCTTATTTATCGTCTTTGGAGAAGCTCGAACTCTAGGAGCTGGAAAAGAAATGTAAACACATTAAATCTAACAGTTTCCTTTCCAGGAGAGAAGGATTAAGGTTACTTGAATAGGGATAAACAAATCATAAATGCATACTGGACGTATTTTGTGATCTTTCTTTCTGGGTGGAAGGGGGAGGTTTGGCTTCTACTCCAAATGCATTATTGATGAGAACCTTCTCCTTACCACTGGGCTTCTTTGGGTGGACCTTTGTAATATACTGAACATCGGAGGTGAATGTAATGAGAAGACAGTAAGAGAGGATGAGATTTCTTCAACCGAAGGCTAAGATAGTAAACCCGGGGTTCCTACCTGTGCTTCTCGTTTCTGGCGCACAAACTCCATTAAGGGTGTAACGACAATGCTGCCCTTCAAAGTCTCTAAGAAAGTATGAAACAAGAAGGAAAAATCAAATGAAAATGAGAAAGTTGACGCTTGGAATGAGGGGAAAACAGTTAACACTAGTTCTTCACAGCTACTGACCTGATTGTTCAGCCTCTTTTCTTTCAAACTGAAATTCAGAACTGCGAACACACTCCACAGGTTTTGCAATCAGCTTGAGGAACTCCAGATAGTCCGGATCTATTCTCAGAGAAGAACTACAATTACTCCAAAAATATTTGGCAATAAGAGAAGGTACTGTGATGCATATGCTAAACTCTAGTTAACTTCCAGTAGATAGACAAATAAATAATAATGGGTAGAATGCGAAGAGAAAAGGTAAAAAGAAGACTCGAAAGTACCTCTGAGAACGGTCCCTTCTCGACTATCATTAGCACACTGCTTAGGAACACGCTGAGATGGAGCGTATTCAACTACAGCACAGAACTGAGCACCTTCAACGACCATTAAGTTCTAGTCTCAGAAGCAATGATCACAAATTTTGATACTACAATACCCTACCAACATTTCCCAATTTAAGTTCTACAGCGAGAAACAACATAGTGAGCAGAACATAAGAAGGGTTCACTATCCCAATCCATGAATGTACAATCAAATACCCTGGATCCTGATAGCAATTAAGCCAGTAAACTGGATAACAAAGAAACCCTTCAATTACAAGGCACAGAATCTGAGTTTACCCTTTTCATTGACAAATCTATGGCCATTGAAGAACTGTGCAAACTCCGTCACATCCCCAGGGCTCTTGAAGTCAATATAAGCACGAGAATGCCTCTGGTTCCGACTCTTCCTACTGAAATTGATAACCCAAAAGTGGTAACAAAAGGAAAAAGGACAAAACTTCATCAAATCCCAGTTACTCAAGGACTAATCGAAACGAGCCCAACAAATATATATACTTTCTAGCTCGTTTTCCCGAGAAAAATGAAAGGGTAAAGGGGGAAAAGAAATGCCAGGGGAAGCCAAACCTGGTGTTTCCGGGGCGGAAGGAGACCCAATTGTAGCGGTCGGAGAAGAGATGATCGAACTGGGAGAAGAGGTCGGAGCTGGAAAGCGTTGGAGGCAAATGCCTAACGACGACTTTGGTTCTCACCTTGTTTTCTTTCGACATTTCCCCTCAGCAAAGCAAGCAGAAAAAAGATTCGTGCTTTCTTTCCAAGCTCTTTGATTCAAAACTCTATCTCTCTCTCGGCAATGAAATTCGGATCTCTGAGCCTCAGGAGAAGAAAAGGGTTGGAGTGAAGGTTGAATTGAACCAAGAAGTTGGGGAAGTTGGAACGTTGGCAAATTCGACGATCTTCTTCTTCTCCTCCTCTGTATTTTTCCCTCCCGAAAAATAGAAAAGGGAAAATTAAGGTACAAGTGCATAGATACATTGGCAAAACGCTGGGTTAGCCATGAAACTTATGATTAATGTACATAAAACTCATCAAAGTTTTTCATTGGTCGAAATTTGGCGTTGGTCATTTTAGATTTGGCCCCGCGTGGCGCGTACCACTCCCGCGCCGCTGGCGCGCCAAAGAAGATGTCTTCCTCCGCGCAATTCGCACGATTCCGTAGCGCCCTCAACCACTCTTTTAATATTAAAGCCGACCTGACCAGCTTCTTCTGCTCTTTAGTCTTTTCCCCCTTTCAGTAGTTTGCCCGACGGGAGACATCGAAGAGCGATCGAGTAAGCTTTTCTGAATTCTAACAAAGGCGACGCCTTTTACAGGTTTTCTGTGAATTCTGGTTTATGGGTCTCTGCCTTATAATTTCTAGCTTGTTGGGTTCGTTTGCTGGTTCTTGTTCCCTCTCTCTCTGGGGTTTTGTGACTTTGATATTGTGACTGGGGTTTTTCCCCCCTGTATATCCGTGATGGGTAGTCTTAGGATTGGAGCTTGATTTGCTTGATTTGGTGGGTACAAGTTGTGACTGGAACTGTTTCTACTGCTGTTGCTCAAGATTTTGAATTGCTAGACTCCTGCTGCTTTATTGTGTATACTTTGAATTTGGGAAGGATTTTGGTTCGAACTTAGGATTAGATGGGATTATAGCTGATGTCCGGCTTTTCTATACTGGTTTTTCAACTCCCTACACTTCATCAGTTGCAGTATTTAAGAAGCTTTGTTTGTTTCGGTACTTACTGTTGGTGGTGCCTAAAAAGCAGCTGATGCCTTAGATGAATGAAAATTAATATTTTGACAGGTGATCGATCATCTGTAATTGGTGCTAGGATGAGTGGAATCGCAATAGAGGATGACTGGGAGTTTGCTTCACCTTCTACCGAAGACCCTTGGTCGATCGTTCTAGTTGGACGAACTGGTAATGGGAAGAGTGCAACAGGTAATAGCATTCTGAAGAAGAAAGCCTTCCAGTCCAAGAATAGTTCATCTGGGGTAACGCGGTCCTGTGAGTTGCAGACGACTCTGTTGGGAGATGGTCAGATCCTCAACGTCATCGACACTCCTGGTATATGAGAATCTATGTAAAAGTTTTTGATTTTTCAATCTTATTCCTTTCTTTACTTCTTTTCGTGGGTGCGCATGTTGACAAGTAGATTTCTTTCTCCAGGGCTTTTTGATTTCTCTGTGGGAGCTGACTTTGCACACAAGGAGATTGCCAAATGCATCAACATGGCTAAGACTGGGATCCATGCAGTGGTCCTTGTGTTTTCTGCGAGGAATCGGTTTACAGAGGAGGAAGAAGCTACAATTCGTAACTTACAGTCCTTGTTCGGAAAGAAGATCATCGACTACATGGTTGTATTGTTCACTGGTGGAGATGAACTCGAAGATAATGATGAGACTCTAGAGGGTTATTTGGGCGATGATTGTCCTCAACCTCTAAAGGTAATTTAAAACTTGTCTTGTACCTTTAAAGTCCTTTTGATTATCATGCTATAAATGGTTCTGATTAGTTGTTGATCTTCTGTAGGAAATTCTGTCATTGTGTAAGAATCGGAAGGTTCTGTTCGATAACAAGACTAAAGACGAGTTCAAGAGAGCTAGACAGGTCGATGAGCTTCTTGCCCTTGTTAACAATGTTGTAATGCAGAATGGTGGACGACCATACACGGATGACATATTCGTCGAAATGCAGGTATGTATGTGTTTTTTGTGAGTAATAAGATATCAATTAATGGTAACTCGTAGTTTGTCAACAAGTTTCAATCTTGATTTTTAAGAAAAATCTGCATATCATAAAAGTGGGTAAAATTGCGATCAGACTGTATATGAGGTCAGTGAAATCAAACAATCTGGGATGGAGGTTGTTTAACTGTGGTCACTCTCCTTATGATTACGCTTTGTTTTGTGAAAAGGATGGCCTTTTCCGTCTAGCTTGGCCATGCCTTAATGTTTTAGAATGATTTTAATATGTTCTATACTTCTTTTCTTGTAATGATTGGCCTCTTACCTAGTTTGTCTATAAGCTGTCTTGCGTATATTATGAGCTTTTTCTAGATACAGATTACTCGTTGTGGTATCAGATGTAATTAAGTACGTTCAATACTGTGATGTGTTTTATAAAACCTTACATCTTATGATTCTAGTCCGCGACTCTGAGTTTATGCTAATTGGGTTTACTTGATCGACGTTTTGCAGAAACATACTAAGATCATTCGTAACAAGCAAGCCGAGCTCGAGACCCTTCAAGTTCAGCACCAATCTTCTCAGGAAATAGCCGGTCTGAAACAACTGATGCATGATCTATACCAAGAACAGCTCAAACACATAACCGAGATGGTCGAGTCGAAGCTTCACGAGACAACAGTCAAACTCGAGCAGCAGCTGGCAAAGGAGCAAGCCGCACGTCTCAAGGCAGAGGAGTTCGCACAGCTGGCTCACTTGCAGTCGAGCGACGAGATCCGCCAGTTGAGGGAGAACCTCGAGAGTGCCCGAGCGGAGACTGAGAGACTCCGCAAGCAGGCAGAGAGGGAAACTGCGATCCTGTGGCTGAAACGAAGTCTCTTGAGGGCCCAGATGGGGACGGGGGAGATCCTGAAGAGGGCCGAGTCCCATTCTGCTGTACTGTGGCTCCATAGGAGTTTGGAGAGAGCTGAGAAGGAGACTGTGGAGTTGTTGCATCAGGCTGAGAAGCATTCGGCGGTATTGTGGATTAGGGAGAGTGTGAGGAAGCTGCAAGGAAAGCTGAATATCAATGCAAATCAGGGTGTTTGAGAGGCAATGTTTGTGACTTGAGGGAGAGATTAACCAGTTTACTGGTTTGAATATGTACAGAATTTTCTTACTGGAGGTTTATTTTGGGGATGTTTTAACTTTTAGATAATAAGCATTTGTGAACTACCGGTTCAACCGTAAAATATTTTATCTATAGGTGGTTGAACTATGATTCAACTATGCTTTATGTACAAAATGTTCTACTGCTATCTTTTTCCTTACAACCTTTAGTTTGATTTCGCAATCTATCCTAGTTAATATCTAAAACTTTTGACAAGTTTCTCTTATCAGAATGCAAACCAATCTATAGGCAAGAACACTTCAACTATATTAAAAGAATTAAAAAAATTCACATATTATAACTGAAGATTTATCTAATTTCTTCTTTTTAACTTGCAGAAAAGAATCAGCGAATTGACAAATTTAAGAGTCGATATGGGACTTATCTAAACTTAGGGGACTTAAATGTACTTTACCCTGATCCGATACCAATTCCCAGTTGCTAGTCTACTAGTCTTCCCCGCCAAGCAAGCAAAAGTATATTTGTCTAAGCAGAGTCCAAGTTTCTGCTACCTCCGAACGTTTCGTTGATTCTAGGTTTATATTTCCCGGGCAAGTTCGCCGCCTCCCATCAAGTTCACCGTGAAATACTAGAGGTAAGAGGCAGCTTCGTTTCTTCTGAATTTCTGACCAGTTCTTTCCGCCGACTCTCGAGTTTTCTTCCTGAATCTACGCGGTAAAAAACTGGGAAATTTTCTGATGGGGTTTCATGCGATTGTCTATGTTTATTGTTCGATTTGGCTTTTAGCTTCTGGGTTGCTTTAGTATGGCGTTTGGCTGAACGATTGATGGATTCTGTTAGCTAGCTGAGACCAGGGTTTTTTTCTTCCCTTTCCTCTCGCTTTCCTTCTTACTGTTCTTGAGAATCGATTACTGATCGAAGGTTTTGGTGTGTTGGATGTTAGTTTGCTGGGTTTTTTTTCCGTAGAACTTGATGGGCAATTGTTCTTCTTTGCTTATGTTCTAGAACCTGGGGAAGCTTTGCCAGTTTCCCTTTGGATGTTGGTTTTCATAGTTTCGGATTCAATGAGGGATAATCGATAGTGTGTTAGGCCCTGCTGATGATGAAGGCTTACTGGGCCTCTGTGGTTGTTTCATGTTATATGGTCAAAGCAAGATTAGGAGTGTTTGTTATAATGGTTGCTGTTAGGTGCATGTTTTCCTGCCCTTTTTATTGCGTTTTTCTGATATATCTTTTGATGGATGATTTGAATTGCTAGAACGGGAGGATCATCATAATTGCTTAGAATGGGAGGTTCTGCAATAGAAGATGAGTGGGAGTTGACCATGCCATCTAGTGAGCCTCGAACAATCGTCTTGGTTGGAAAAACTGGCAATGGTAAGAGCGCAACAGGCAACACCATTCTCGGAGAAAGAGTCTTCAAGTCGAGGACTAGTTCGTCTGGTGTTACAAGCAGTTGTGAATTGCAGACAACCGTCCTGGGACATGGTCAAATTGTCAGTGTTGTTGATACTCCTGGTATGCAATCCCGATTGTTTGCCTCCAGGATTTTGTGTTCAACAAATCACTATGTCCGGTTTATATTGTGCCTGCCTTTACTTTCTAGAGCTTGAAATTGACATTTGTAATTTCCGCCAGGACTTTTTGATGCTTCCATCGGATCTGATTTTATTGGCAAAGAAATAGTCAAATGCATCAATATGGCAAAAGATGGGATTCATGCAGTCATACTTGTTTTGACTGTGAGGAATCGCTTTTCGGAGGAGGAAGGAGCTGCAATTCGGAGCCTACAATCTTTATTCGGGACGAAGATAGTCAACTACATGGTTGTAGTCTTCACTGGTGGGGATGATCTGGAGGAAAATGATGAAACTTTAGACGATTACCTGGGTCGTGATTGCCCTCAGTCTTTGAAGGTTAATCGTCTCTTACGATGTCTCAATTCATTACAGTAGGACGTTCTGCTTGTGTTTTCCTTTCTGGTTTCTTGCACTTTCTGTTGTCCTCTAAGATTCTCTATAGTGCCATGTAGGGCCTGTTAAGATTAACTTTTTTTGCATCTGAATCTTTGGGGTTTGGGTTGCAAACTCTAATGACTTCAACGGTTGGAGCCATGAGGATTTACAGTACTTGCTCATAGTTGTTGTGCTTCACTGAATATGAAATAATGATTTGTTTAAGTTATTCAACTCATGCAGGAAATCATGCAACTATGCAACAATCGAGTTGTGCTTTTTGATAACAAGACTAAAGATGAACTGAAGAGGGTTGAACAGGTCAAGCAGCTGATGACACTTGTGGACAGTGTCATATCACAGAATGATGGAAAACCGTACACAGATGATATCTTCATCGAGATGCAGGTTTGTCCCTATTCTTTTCTCTTAATACGATACATCAGCATTGGCCTTTGATGCTGCTTCATCCCGTGCAATGTTGAAGTTAATGGATGATTGATATTTGCAGAAGGCGAAGATACTGCGTGATAAAAAACATGAGGTCAATGCCCAGAACTTGAAGGGTGCCTCTGATCAGGAACTGGTTAATCTGACAGCAGAAATGAACAAGGCATATGATGAACAGCTTAAACGCATTACTCAAATGGTACTTCTCCCCTTTCCCTGTTCTTCTCCTTCTCTTCACATGTTCATCTATGCCTTCCTTAGGTCAGGTAAATACATCAATGGCCATTGAACTCATAAGCCGCTAACAAACTGTTTGCGGAATTTTGAACTTTAGAGTAACTAAACAATCAAACATTCCATCCATCTCTGTGTCTTAGTTATCCATTGCATGTGTCGACTCGAAAACTTGGAAATGGACAGAGTGGCTGTCTCTTTTCTCAGTCCAAATGCCACAAAGTATAGTAAAAGATGTGGCTCTGAAAGCCAGTGGCCATTTATGTAGATTAACCTTGCTCTATATCTGTCCCTTGAATCCTGAGCTTGCTGATCGTGTGAAATAGGTTGAGGAAAAGCTAAGGGAGACGACGAGCAGGCTGGAGCAGCAGCTGGCAGAGGAGCAAGCTGCACGACTGAGGGCAGAGGAGGTCGCCCAGATGGCTCAGTTGCAATCCAACGATGAAATCCGTAAGCTCCGGGAGAATCTAGAGAGAGCTCAGAAGGAAACCGAGGAGCTCCGCAAGAAGGCTGAGAAGGTGTGCACAATCCTCTGATGCAGCTAAGAGCAGCACACATTTTGCTCTGTGGGGCTAAATGTGCTGGTAGATCTTCTGTTATGTGGCCATATTGTCGGACTCCAGGGAAAATTCGGACTCGGTTGAGGGATAATGACGTGACGATGTCGAGATTTTAGTTCTGGTGTAAATATGACTCTTCCAAATTTCTCGGTTTTACTGGATTTGGAGTATTGAACTATGCATGCATGTCATATATGCGGTTTGATGTGGTGGTGATTTGTACGTTTTAAGCTTATAACCACAGTCCACATGTCTAGTTTGTAGTTAGGGGTAGGAGTCTTGGTCCATACTGGACCACATCGGACCAACCGACGTTTGGATCGAATTATATCGAACTGAATATGAATGGATGTAGTCTTTAGTATGATGAATTTGATACATATTGAAGAAAATGGTTTGAATTGACATTTGGGTCGGACCGGCCACCTCGAATCAAAATGCAATATTGATCAGACCCTGTTGGTGCTAAGACGTCTTTCACTGTTGGATTTGAGAATTCTTATGTATTGGCAAAAAGGCAAACAAATCGCAGTTCTCATTCGGATCGAAATGGTTGCACACCCCCTGATTAGGAACAGTGGTGTGGTGACAAACGTTGGTATTTGTATCAGATCAACCGCCATTTGGTTCGAATATGCAAATTGGGATATCTGGATAACTCCGTTTAACCCTTATAAATAGCATAATACAAATGAACACAAATGTCTCATGGATCAAGGCACACCCAATAATATTAATTAATTAACCATGTCACCACCACAACAAGACCTCTTCAAACAACAAATTAAACACACAAACACAGTAGTCACCATCATCAAACCACATAGGATATATTCATCAATTAACACACACACACACACCACAATCTTACGTACGTACGTATACCTCACTTGTTCTTAAAAATCTCGTCCACGTACCATAACATATATAATAATCATTTTTTCCATGCATGCATGCATCATCAGCCAAGGTGGAGGTGGCCGGACTTCTTGTCGGCCGGAGTTGGAGACTCGTCGTGGTGGTGGTGGTGGCCGTGGTGGCTGCTGCTGCCGGCGCCGGGGGAAGAGAAGAGGTCCTGAGGCTGCTGATGCGGCGGCGGATCCATCATTTGTGGAGCGAAGAAGTTGCGAGAAGCCGCCAGCGCGTGGATTGCATTCAGCTCGGCTCCGCTCACCATGTTTGCTTCGTGAACCCTCTCCACCTCCGCTATCTTTAATCCAAATTTTTTTTTTTTTTGTCATTAGTCAAACACAAACATGGCAACGGAAAACAGAAAAGAAGCCATTAATCAGTCTTTGGTTTGGTTAATTATTAATCAATTAGTTAATACTGCAAATCATAACTCTTAACCCTGCCTTTTAACTGATCAGTTTATAATATTGGAGTATTACATGACACCGGTTCAGTACGATAATAATGACACGATTACTTATTTTGTTTTTTAAATGTTTGAAATCACAAATTTAACTAGGGTTGGCTATTTGGTCCGGACTGTTTGGTTTTACCCGAAACCGGACCGTATAACCCAGACCGGGACCGGACTGGCACTGGATAGCAAACAATCCAATCTCATATTCGGGTTTAGATTTGAGGTAAAAAAAACCTGGATAAAGACCGGATAAGAGACCCCCAACACCTAAAATCAATATCAAATTGGGACCGGACCGGATTGTATCCAATCCAATCTTTAGTCCTTATATTTCCGAAAATACCGGATTGAGACTAGATCAATTTGGTCCAATTTAACCGGACCGGACCGTATAGCCACCCCTAAATTTAACGAAGACTATTTGTTATTGTATCACTACTTGAACGATATAGCAGTTGTTTTCATTTAGATCGTATCTTAAAACCTCTAAAATACATGATTTTAAGTTCAAAATGATTGTTATTAATTAACTTATTATTAATGCATTATCAATAATAACTAATGTCAGTGACATTAATATGTGCACATACCTTGGTACGAAGACAGACACTTTCATTCTCCAGCTCAATTTCCTTCACAGAAAGAAATTATTAATTCCATTAAACAAAATTAATATATATAAATTAATTTTAGATGGGAATTAATCAACTAGAAATTATAATTTTGTGTATTATAGTTGTTACCCTTTTCTGCAGATACTCAATTTCAGCTAGCAGAAGCTCATGCTGTTAAAAATGTCACAATAATTAACCAAAGTGATTATCAAATTTTTTTAGTAATGTAATATTTTCAATATAATCAATTAATTTATTACCTTCTTGGACCTGATTCGGTTGATGCCACGGTCGAGCCGGTTCTCGAGCTGCTTCAGCTCCTTGACAGACAGTGAGCCCAAGGATTCCCCCATGAGGTGCCTGCAAAGCATGCTTAACATTCCAAAACACCCCCAACATTTTTATGGATTCTCTTCTTTGGTACCCAAAAGATGAATATATTCATTCAACTCCCCACTAGGAAAGAAGAATAAGAAGAAGAAAATATATGGGGGTAGTGAATTCACCTATTGGAATTCTGGAGCACCTGAATTTGTTGACGCAGCTTTGCTGACTCCTGCTGGTAATACTGCAATGACAACAGAAACAAACATATATGACATTTGTCAAATTTTTATCATATCATCCTCTATATTTGGTAACATTTTCAATAGAGTCCTTCGAATTTGAAAGCAGCGACTGATTTGTTTTCTTAGAAAGAAAGATAGAATTTACCACCACCACCCACCATAATGAAACATGAATTATATTTAGAGCATTGTGAAATGAAACAAGTATAAATAAATTAATTCATCATCTAAATTGTGTATTAATCTCCTTAACAATGGAGGTTAGTTGTAATTACCTGAGCGTTGATTTCAGTCACGGATGCAGTATGGGTGCTGTCTGAGTTCGCCTTCTTGTACCTCTCTATGGTGGACTTGATGCTACTAATTAATTTCAAAAAAAGGAAAGGAAAATAACATTGAAAAAAAAAAATCTCATGTAAACATCTAACAATAAGCATAATAACAAAATTAATAATATTTCCAAAGAATAGAATGTAGTTGGCATTGGGCCGGGTGGTCATGGTCACGTATGTACGGTCTAGAATCGAATCAAATCGGGAGGGTTGAGATATAATTAGAAAGCGAAAAAATGAGAATTAAAATCGGATCGAAACTAACATTTCATGTGATTCAGCTCAGTTTGATTTTAATGAACGACAAATTTTTTTTTTCTTTATCTTTAAAGAGAATTCACACAGAGAACACGAAACCGAACATATAATTATATTATATACTACACAATTCGATCCGGTTCAAACCCGACCAGAATCGTTGCACAACCCTAATCATTACCATTTCTGAGCATCAAAAGAAACGATGGACAATGACTTTTTTTTATTATAGTTCGAAGGCGCTATAGACAGAGAGACAGCTCCATGAATGGTTCTTGTGTGTAGAGAGATGAAACCGTGTCCATTTGTTAAGTTGAATCAAAGTTTCCCTTTCCATGATACATTTTGTTTAACTCTCGAAGAGGACTAAAGCAACAAGTAAAGAAACAAAGGAGGGACACAGAAAAAGCCATGACAGAAAGAATAAGAAGGAGGAGAAAAAAGTGAAGGAAATTTCAATAAATATGGGTAATCACTAATCAGAAAACCCTAACTAATGTTATAAGCTAGGAGGAAAGATGACTAATTTCAAAAATCTGTGAAATTTTGCCCATCTTTTTATTAATGAGGGACACCAATCCCATCCCACCAGAAGTATAGTTCTTTACAGAACTGCAGGCAAGAAATGGAATGTTTCAGAAGGGCAAAGTACTTCCAACTTTTCCTTCTGTTTTTGTGAAAGAAGATCATCTCTTCACCAATAGTTCAAAATACTTCATATCTCTCTCTCTCTCTACAGCTCTTCTTTTCCATTTTATGGGTTTTTTTTTCTTCCTTTTGGTGGATGGTTTTGTATTTTACATTCAACCTTGTTTTCTGTTTTTTTCTTCTTCTTTTTTACTGTTCATCTGAACCTTGTTTTCTTGTCAATGTCAGTGTGGGTTGGAGCAGCTGTAAGAACCCCAAAATAGTGATTAGGTAAATAAATGTGGGGAAAAGTCACCAGTCTCCCTCACATAACTAGAAGTGGAAACCCTAGAGCTATAGCTAGACAAAAGTTTTGTCCAGATTACCAATGTATAGCCTTGTGATAGGGTTTATCATAATAATATGATCAGCATAAGGTCATAATTAATATGTAAAACCTCTTATAAATCAACTCATACATCATACATGCTGCAACAGTACTAAGACTTCTCAGAAGACAAAAAAAAAAAAGAGAGAACTTTACTATGTAGAAAAAGGGAAGAGACCAACTGACCAAGAATCTCAAACTTGGAAATGGACAGAGAGAGAGAGAGAGAGATGTTCTTGGTTGAGGTTTTGGAAGCCAAAAGTGGGAAAGGCTAACTATGAGAAGAAACTCACAGAACCTCCATATTATGATGTAGTAGTAGTCTAAGATTGCAACACCAAAAAGGGAACTCATGTTTTAAGACTTTATTATGTATATAGAAGAGTGAAGATCAGTGGGTGCTGCAGGCTAGCTATAGCAATGTAAACAGCAAACCAAAGTGTGCTGAACATAGTAAGTTAACCAATATGCAATGGTTGACTTGCCTTTTCCTTCTTGTATAGCATATTCTCTCATCATCATGCAAACAGAAAACTGACAAATTTGGATGTTTATATACAGATTAGATGAGGTAAAAAGGAGAGAAGAAGGCTTGGTTCCTGTCAACCCACATTCTTCATCAAACCATTTTCATCCAGACTCAATTGGATGAACAACAACAGTACCATGTTCACAGAGTGCACTGAATCTCTTGTAAAAATTTCAGACCAGGCCCCAATTTCACTCCAAAATGAAAATGGTGCATCTTTTTTTCTTTTCCCCATGAAGCTAGAGCTGATTAGGTCAATCTTTTTTCCTAATTATATTCCTCCATGATGAGATTCAAATCTAGGGGTGTAGGTGAATGTTGTCCTCCAACCTATTACCATTAGATCAACCCTTTAGATTAATTAATAGTTTTATGCTTAACTTTTTTTTTATGAATGCTTAACTTTATTATTTCACATAATTAAGAACCCAAAAGCAACAAAAAAAATTTATTTGCAAGGAAATTGATCCTTCTCACAAACACACTTCACAATTTGGGGGAACTAGAACTAGTAACCTTAGGTACTGCATTAATTAAATACACACACCTCCCAACTAGAACTAGTAACCTAATGATTTAACTAGAACTAGTGGTTTAAGTACAACCCTACAATTATTACACCACAATTCTACACCAAAGGTTAAAAAAAACCCATTTATACATAGATCTGGATATATAGATCATCCACATATATATAGAACTAAAACATAAACAGTACTAATTAATTACTTAAGCTTATTGATTCTAAGATGAGCTTACTTGTTGTTGGAGTACTCATAGAGGCGGCCACGGCTGGAGAAGACAATGAGGGCAACCTCAGCATCACAAAGCACAGACAGCTCATAGGCTTTCTTCAGCAGCCCATTCCTGCGCTTGCAGAACGTCACCTGGCGATTCGTGGTGTTCTCGATCCTCTTGATCTCGATCTTCCCCCTCCCCATGCTTCTGGTGTTGATCTCTTCTTGATCTTCTCCAAACTCTACAAAAATAGCATAAAGTTAGCATCTTTGTGAGATCTACTTCGAAGCAAAGGTAAAAAAAAAATGAGAAAAAGGGTTTCAAAGTTTTGGACTTTTCTCTTCAGATCTTGCAGGAGGAGCCATTTTTTGAGAGAGCTCTAGCTTAGCTCTTTGGAGAAAACAAGAAGAATGAATGAATGAAAAAGAGGGTGGTGTTGTAGTCTTATTATAGAGCTCTTGGCCTAGAGAGCTTGCTAGGGAGACACAAAGTAACAAAGACCCATTTCTCTAGTACTGTCCTTTAACTGTTTTCATGGAGCTAGCTTAGACTTGTATGTGAAAAAAAAATGGTGCAGTGATTGTTTTTCATTTTTTTGGACCCAAAATACCAAAGGAGAAAACTTTCCTCAATTTGGACAATCAAGTAGTCGTCCGTGTATTTTACTTCGTCTCAGTTGAAATGGATAATCAAGATCAATTTCAGGCTTGTTAGCAAGCTTTGCTCCACATTAGTTAGAAAGCTAGATTAAGAGGGTATAGCCAAAAATGAAAAGCAACCCTCTTGATTAAAGAGAGAAAAGATTGAACCTTGCTCTAGTTTAGGAGAGTTTGTGTATGGGATATCCATGGAAATAAACAACTATATCATAAACAACAAAGAAAGTAGAGATCCCAAAGAACAACAGAAACAAGAGAGAGAAAGAAGAAGAGATTTTTAGAGACTAGAGAGAGAGAGAGAGAGAGATCTTGAGGAGGAAGAAGAACTAGATTTTGTCTCAGAAGGAGCTAACTTCTTGCTCTTTTTTTAGCCCTTTTTCCTCCCTCTCTTCCTCCCTTCACAAGCTCTTATTCCTTTCTATGTTGGGTTATAAATACAGGAAAAACCAAGAGAGAGCTGAAAATTAAAAAGGAAAGAAGCATGCAGAGGAGAACCAAAGCCCAAGGAGAGAGCTAAAAAAGGATTTATTATTCTATAATGATGATGAATTGATGATGATGATGAAATGAGAGACTGATCAGAGAGTTCAGAGAGAAACCTGCAGCTGAAAGAGAGAGAAAGAAAGAAGAGATCAGATGGCTGGTGAGAAGAGAGGAGGGGGATATATGAACTAAATGGAAAGTTTAGAATTCCAAAGAACAGATACCTCTCTCTCTCTCTCTCTTGCCCTTTCACTCTTCTTCTTCTTCTTTCTTTTATTTATAGCTCTGTATTTTTCTTGCAATTCCTTCTATGCTTTCTTTTAATTTGCCTGTATGACTAGCTAACCCAGCACTTATACAAGCAAAGTTGAGCAAAAAAATTAGAAATGAAGAAGTGGAAAAGTAGAGAAAGCAACTTGTCCACCACTGCTGATCTTTGCAATAGGAATTGTCTTGTTGATTTTTTCATCTTTGTTTAGTTAAGTTTTCATTTTGTGTTTGTTACAAGGGATGGACTGCAAATTGATAATGAGTTAAGTTGTTTAATTAAGTCGTTAATCGATCTCGTGGTTAAAATTAAGGCCAAGCTCGGATCGTTTTATATATAAGTATGGTAGGTTGAAATCAATGGAGTATGCTTCCACATCTGATCTAGTCAATTTTTGATCGATTTCGACAAGATTATGTAGTGTTTAGTGCGTTTACTGATAATCTTGTGTTAAATTTTAGATATGAAATTCAGTTACATACTTACATATATGATTTCAACGCTAATTGATGATTCAGTATCCCATAAGTGGTACATTTGCTTTAGTATGATCTCTCTCAAGATTATCATTTCGTTAAATGTTTAATTACTGTGATAGTCGAGTGGTTCGTACCGCATGCATAGTAAAAATTTGTTAGCAATGTCTTTTTTTGCTAGTTGGAATCTAGCTTGACCCAAATAGTTTATTGATATTTTGGATGAAAAAAAGAAGTAAATAACACATAAATTGATGAGATTCTATCAAATTTACTTATGCATGCATTGTATATTAATATAATTGAGCTCATTTGAGATGGAATTTTACGAAACAATTTTAATAAGCGATATTGATCTCTCAATATTATCAAGTCGTTGAACTTTTTAGTTGTACAACACTCAAACTGTTCATGCCTGGGGCATGTGTATATCTTAAATTCCTTAACAATATGTTACGAGAGATCGAGTGCTATATTTACTCAAAGAATTCGTAAAAATTTATAGTCGGTCTGCAATCTAGTAAAAAGAATCTACTAATGAAATTCAAGTTGGAGTGATAGGAGAGGAAAAAAGTGAACTCGAGCTCCATAGAAGAACAAACATAGATCCAAAAATAGACTACTTTATTTCTGAAGTTAGCTTTTGGCAAGGAAAGAGAGGTGATAGGGAAATAGTAGTGAAAGAGTGAGTTGTTGCTTTGCCAAAAACAAGCCCTAGATGTTGTTGTTTTAGCTGAAAGTGAACATCTTTTCCAGGTGTAAATTCTCACCATATTCTGCAATGCTGGTTAGGGTTCTTAATTATCATTTCCCCACCCTCCATAGACCCTTATTTTACCGTACTACCCCTATGGCCGCCTAGCTAACTACCTACCTTTACCTTCATGAATCCAAAACTCAATTTCTTTGGCCAACTAATTATAATCCTCCACTTGATTGACAAATTGAGAAAAATAAAACAAATGGGTGGGGGAGATGGTAAATGCGCAGGTTTGGATTCAGGAGGTTATGTGTTATCTTCTTGGTTGCCACCGATAGAGCTGTGTTCTCGACTTAATTGCTTTTATGGCTTTTTCGAGTATTCATAGAGACCAAGGTTTACCATCTTTGACGGATTTCCCTCGTAACGAAAAATGAAAGAGAAAAATAGAAGTGGTCGGATAAACAAGAAAATAGCTAGGGCACATTATTTTGAGTGTTTGTGAAATCTCTATGTACCCAAATCAATCGTGAATGTTGGATGTTATCAGACTGTGAATACATTATCTATCCATCATTCTAAAATCCGATGGCATATCACAATCACTTCATTTCAATATAAATTGAGTTATAGTTAGGACTTAGGAAGAGCGAGAAATACATTTCACATACGCCAGTAAAATTTTATCACATCAGTCGACCAAAATTTGGATGCCATTTACTGGCCTCAACACTTGAAAATATCATCATATATATATCCCGTGCTTTAATGATCAAGAGGCCTAACATGAACACCTAATTAACGGTCCTATATGTGTGTTCTAATATTATTGACTGAGCATACGGTAATGATGGATTTGTGCAGCGATTCACCAATGATCGATTTTTCTTAAAGCGGCGTGCACAAAATTAAATTTGATATGCATTCTCCCATCTCTTCTAATTATTTGAGCTATTGAGATAAATTGATGATATCGCGATTTGTGTGGCAGTTGTTGATTTTGATCGGTTGCTTCTTCGAGGATTAGCTAATGGAGTAGTGTCCGTCAAGTAATTAATCTGATAGCATAAGGCCAGCACCTGCGGGGAATATTTACCTTTTGGTGACTTTCAACTATTTAACTTATTCGACGCTCAGTTACGTAGACGGAAAACACACTTCGAAGTTGTGTTTCAAGTTTCAACTATCAGCAAAAAAAAAAAAAAAAAAAAAAAACACGAAAGGAAAAAGAAAGGAGACAGTAATGGCTTCTTGGTTGGAGCATTGAAGTTAAGAAAAGGACATGGCCACATAGGCAATTGGTTGTTAACATTCAGAGACAAAGGTGCTAGCCTGCTAGGGTTTGAGGGGCATCAAATGATCCAAATTTGGTGGTGGGCTTTATGTGCAAAGAGTTGGCCTCAAGTTGGGAGGAAAGGAAAGGACTTGGATTGATGCTAGCTAGAGCCCAACCTCGTCTTCAAAACAAAACTACATGATAATCTGAAATTTTTTTCCGACCAAAACATTGTCTACTCATCATTTTTTACTTGGGGCACATATCAAAGTGACATCTCGTAAGGTTACTTATCATTGCATTATATTGCTCCACAATAAGTACGATCAAATTTAAAGTTTGTAGAAGAACTCTTTCATCTCACCATAGAATGTATCTTGTCAGTTAATGTATGTTTTTTTTTTTATAATGGTGAAAATTTATTAGACTAAAGTAAGAAGCTAAACACAAAGAAACAGGATCAAGAGAAATGATCCAGAAACAAAGAAAAAAGAAAGGAAAGAGAACAGAAAACAGAACAGCTTTGACATAGACATTGTCACCCGAAAGGAGACTTGAAACCCCCAGCAGAAAGCAGACCCCCCAAACGAACAATCAACACACCCCACACCCAGCTAAAACCGCTCCCCACAACATTCCTCTGTCCTGTGACCCAGTAAAAGAGAACGAAATCAAAAGAATCTCCCCCCCGGTCGGCCATCAATAAACACCGGGCCCAGCAGCAACACCAGCAGAGCACCCACGCAACCACTGGAACCAAACTGACTACAGCCTTGCACGATCCACCACGGGACACATCAACTCACAACCTCCCCCTGCCAGGAAACCCCTCAACCGGGTAATCTTGCTAAGCAAATTCTTACTTATATGAATCATGGATCTCTCCATACTTTATCGATGTGGGATTAGTCTAGGATGTTAAAAAAGACTATTTAAGGTTATTTTTATTATGAACATTAACTGTATATCACTTTGTGTGACCACTTAAAACGAGCAATGAATCGTTGATCTTGATGTAAATGTTATGTTATTAAACCAAAAACTACACGATGCTAGGATTCTCAAACACAAATTAGAAAAAGTTTCATCGGATACGTAGTTAAGTAAAAAAAAAAAATTCCACCAACACAAGGTCGGGAATTCTTGATACACGAGTTCAGGATTCCAAATCCATTGAATTTGGATTCTCAAAACACATGATAAAAACGATGTTTTTATAACTATACGAACAACAAAATAGTCTTACGAATTACACCAAGTACTGGTGCATCTAACGATCTGAATTTGAATTCATCGCATCAGCCAAGCAAGTCCTACTCGCATTCGTCGAAAGGAAAGTCTATACACGCAAGAACATAGAACATACACATATATCATTTTCCATACCCCTCCGAAGGGTCCAAGATTTGTTCAACTACAATTTAACACATACATACTTCTACCCACTAATACATGCAAATTGGACAATTTGAGACACTAGCTAGCTACCAAAATTTGAGCCTAAATCCATAGAAGTGAGGGATGGCAGCAGCGATGGATGTGAGAAACGCATAAGCCAGCAAGATGGACAGAGCCACCATTGGAGATGCTGACTTGGTGTCCATGAACATGTTTACAAGACCCGTCAGCACATTTGCCTGCAAAACCATACCATTTTGTAGAATGAGTTAACACGAGTAAGGTACATTTGAGGGAATTAGCATACTTACCACAAGAAACGTGGCGAGCAGGCTTCGATTGACCGCTTCTTCGAGGATTGAAGTTTTACTCTCCATCAAGGAATCTGATACCATTAGTATCGCTAACACCTGCGACGGATATATATACAAATTATTGCAAAATCGAACATGTTGAATGACGAATTTACCTACGAGATGTGTGCATATGCATGAAAGAGTATGAACTATTATTGCAGAAATATAGTAATGTTGAATGATGAATTTACCTGAAGATTCTCTGCCAGAATCAGGGTGACATAAGCAAGATTGCACTGTCATAATAAGAACAAAATAAACCTTTGTTAATTGTACATATTATATTCATCATTCCACTTGCTGATTAGTGATCTAACGAAACTATAACGATAGATTTTAGGGTTTCCGGGAGCGATGTCATAACATTATATGGACGTCGTCCATATGATTTTATTGTACGTTTTTTATTATGAGAGCTCAATATCTAAAGACATTGTTCCACGTCGATTATACACACCCCATTCAGACGACATTGTATGAAAAAATTCAAATATTGTGTAACCTCGTACCATTCTGCGAGATATGCTTTCAACATGCTTATCCAAGACAATAGTTATCAGCCTAAAACGACACAACTTAATCGTATTAAAGAAAAAATTTATAATAATGTTTTAATGAAACAATAAGAAATTAAATAGGGAGCTACCATTTGGAATGGAGATTAATAGGTACCAAAAAATAACAGAAAGGCATGAGACTTTGATCTTGATCCACTTGTTGCTTGCTGCGAGCTCGTTATTAATGGAAGGCAATTGTCTTCCAAAGAAGAGATAGTTCCCCAATTGGATACCAATGAGGTACATGCCCCAAAACCCTAGTTATGATCAATTAGTATAATTACCCAAATAAATTTAGTGATTTGAACTTGATGTTGAATCTTTATAAATTTTAGCATAGTACTATAATTAATGAGATTAATTAACCTTACCAAGTAAACTGAACAATCCTTCCTTGTTTTGGCTAACGATATCGTCTCCCCTCGTATTAGAAAGCAAGTACGAGTTTAATCCTTTACTTAACCAACATTGATAACCTGCTCAGTCAAACATACTATTATAAGATTAAATTAAGGAACACAATCTCTAAGTTAAACTTTTTTTTTATCGAAAATAGTAACGGTCAATTACCTATCAAAATCAAGAGACCCGAAATCGCAGAGTACTTGGTGGGGATTCTGATGAAGGATGCAAGCATTGCAAGAGCTGCTAATGTGAAGAAGAAGTTCCAATGCACTCCATACTCACCAGCTGGAACCTAATTCATTGAAGGCCAATTTGGGGGGGAAATGGAGAAGAAAAGATTAGTTCAAATTGGAAGATTAATTCATTAACATGCACATAGATTTGATGACTAATGTTGGACTTAATTGGTACTTAATTCCTTAAGTCAAAAGAGATTCTGTCATTTACCCCATAATGCACACTTTTTGTCAAAATGAGTCGCCCAAATCCTACAGCCAATGGAGGGATAATGGCGCCACTTGCATCCTTCAAGCTCCTTTAGACAAGAAAGAAACAAGTTATTACATGGAACATTAGTTAATGATATCTTCTACTTGGTGGTTTAGATTTCAAAACTTTGATTAAACTAAAAAATTCTCTACTCGATGAATAATATTTTACGACTTCAGTAACAAAACAACTCGTGCATATGATGTTTCCTTCAGGATCGTGTGGGTTCGATTGTACCATGTTGATAGCTAGAAACATGAAGGCATAACGATGAAACCAAACTCACAACGAGGAAATACCACGAGCTTGTTTTGACACGACTGCATTAGCCAGTGCAAAAGAGCCAACCCCAAGATCCATCTAATGCAAAATAAATATCAAATCATAAATATGGTAATTTACAAACTCATATTTTAATGACAGCAAAAAAATGTAGCTCAAATGATTAGTGATGATTACTTGATTAGTAATTGGATTTAGGGTGGACATCAATGGTGCTTACCAAGCTAATCCCATACATTCTTGATTTGGCATGTCTTCTTGGAAATATTTCGAAATCAACGGCCAAGATGCACAGGCAAGCCACCTCCATCTGAAATCCACAAAATCATATCCATTGTTTTGGAAGGAATGGGCTTGGATTTGGTAACTAAAATAACATTACTGTTGGGCCAGGCCTAACAGGCTTGATATGAATTTGCTGAGTGGGCTCATTATTTTGGACCGAAAGCAAAGAAGGGAGAAGAACTTTCGTTTCAGCTCTTCACTATATTTTCTAAATTCTAACTCAAAATTAAGATTTTTAATTGAATTTATACAGATAATAATATGGAAGAAAATTTAAGTGTAGAGTATTTACCACAATAACTCTGTACGATGTAATGTTTGCTCTAAAAGATTCAGAAGATTTTGAATCCGTACTCGAGTCAACAAACCTAAGTAAAATCGATTCGGAATTTGGTTAGTTTGAAATGTCGCTAATTTTTTTTTAATGAATAGAATGCAATAAGACTATAAGAGCAAAAATATCTTAGCTAGTTACCTCTTCGATATACCAAAGAGTAAGAGCAAAACCCCCAAAATGACAGTCCATGTATATGTTTGTTCTTCTAAAACCTGTGCATCATTCAAAAGTATATATCTTTAGGATTGGTAATCAATACACTAAGTAAAATTAATGCATCCCTAATTACACGGTGACAAAATAAAACATATGGAAATAAAATAAAAAAATCGTGGTATAATTTCCAATCAACTTGAGACGATCTCAATAAAATTACTTTTAACCCAAGGGGACTTACAGTAAAAATCAAAAGCATTGGAACAATGAGGAACACGAAGTCCATAATCAGTCTACTGAAGTAAATCCAAAGAGCACTACTCCTGAATTCACCACCTGTAAATTAACCTCATCAATCTAGGGTAAATTCTCAGATCTCTGAAATGGGTTAAACTCCAAATTGAATTTGGAATTCACCATATATTCTTAAGAGAAGACTGAAGAGCAAAGTGAGGAAAATAATTTACCATTGTGATGATGATAGTTGAAGCCCAATGAGTGTCTCATAACAAAGAGCAACTGAACCCACAGTAAAAAAAAAAAAATTACAAAGAAGAATCAGTAGTACTCAAATCGACTATAACTAAGATCTAAGTTAATTTGATGAGGAAGTTGGAAGGTGAAAATGTCTCAAGAGGGAGGAAAGTAGTACTGGGACAAGGGTTGACAGTGCAAGGATTTCAACTATGGAGGACCTGAAAAAATATGGAGAGCTAAGAAACTGTATCGACTTAATTTATTTCTTTTTCTACGAATGAAAGAATACGACAGGAAGACACGAGATCGACGAGCCTGCAGGATAATGAAACTTACTGTTGATGGGCATTCATATATGGGTTGAGAAACATTGAGAAGGAATCCATGGCTGAATTGAAGAAGAAGAAGAAGAAGAAGAAGAAGAGAGGAGAAAAGGGAAAGAAGAAGAAGAAGAGAGTGAGACTTGTTGGTAACTTTTTTTCTAGCCTTTATGAATGTCTGGTTGTAAAATGTAATTAGCTGGGGTAAAAAAAAGAAAAAGTTACTGCTATGCGGTGGTGGTGGTTATTGGAAATAAAGGAAGAAAGACACATATGGAATGATATTCATATGAAGAAATATATGGTGGTTGGAATTGTTATTGCATTTGTTTCCTCAAATTTCTGATTTGGGATTGTTGCCTTTTGTGGGAAACGTCTGCTGGACTTGCATTATAACCGTAGTTATTATGGCACTGTCAGAGTGATTTTGAATTTTGAAACTTCATTCTTAGTTACAACCACATGTAGAAATGTTATTACATGTGTCCAGAAAAGGGGAAGAAAATGGGGGGTAGAGATTAGTTGTTTCTTTTTGTACCTTAGTTCAATAGAGACTAGGATGGCAAAACATGTGAGTGATGCAAAGTTGAATGCCAGCTTGATGAGTTCTTAATTATATCGGTTGAAAACAAACTCAACGTCATTAACTTTTTCATGAGACTGAAAAATTCATTATTATCACTTTGATAAAATTTCAGATGGAGACGTGTGAACGAATTAGGAGGCTATTCTCTTATGAATTCAAATTCGTGTTGTTGAATTGGACGACGCATTTTTCTCAAGATCAAGATGGTAGAGCTAGTGATGACAATGGAGGAGAATGTGGCAGCTACCTTAATACTTATATACCAGGAGGCATGTGGCCTTCTTGATCTAGTCTAGCAACATTTCATTCAGTCCCACGAGCTACTTTGCACGTAATTCAATTCCGAACTAGATTTGCAGGTCAAGGTTCAACGAATGCTTTTGAGTATTTGAAGACTAGAAGATCATTAATTGATCTTGGAGGGATACAGAAAGAAACGTTGCTAAACACATAAAAAAAAGCGATGACTTTAGAAACTATTCGCTCGGGTAAGACGACATATGTTTTGATGGATGGTGTTACATTCCAATCTCGAGTCTGTCATATATCGTTATATTATGGATCTTATATCGTTTTTTAACTTCTCAAACAAAAATCAATACATGGGTTTGAAGTTTGTACAAGTTCATCATACCTTTTGCTTAGATGTATAAAGTATAAACTGGACGCACAACCACTTGGAATTGAAGTTTACTATTTTTGACATGTCCCGACCTGCTCTGCCTCAGGCCTCAGCCTTGACCCTGTCAAGAACCAGTTGATCCCAATAACTCGAGTTGTTGGGAGAGGTTCAATCGTGGATCATATACCACAACACTAACACGCCCCCTCAACAAGGGCTCAAAGTTTGAGCAGGCCTGAAGACAAGAATACCACGTGCTTAACAAATGGGGGTCACCAGGAATCGAACACAAGACCTCTCGGTCACAGAAGGCTCTGATATCATGTCAAGAACCAGTTGATACTAATAACTCGAGTTGTTGGGAGAGGTTCAATCGTAGATCATATACCACTAACAGACTACAGACCCGCCCTATCTCAATTTTCTTCCTTTTTTCAATCATGGTTTAACATAATAAAACTTTAAATAAATGCAAGACTTGGTCCTTCAATTATTTAGACTCAATTACTCATTCTATTATTATTATTATTATTATTAATTTTTCATTCATAAACTACTTTTTCCTTTATTATATCATAAGAAAAAATTATTATTTTATCTATTTTCTTCAAATAGATACTCGCCTCGTTCCACCAGTTTGCCCTACCTTAATTCATTCACGCCTCCTTTCTCATCTCTGTTTTTTTGTTTTCTCTCCTTCACATAACGCCGTAATAAATGATCGGCGATACAGCAGAGTTAGCTGCTCCCATCGCAAAACTCAGAGACGATCTCCTCTCCGAAGTCCTCCTCCGCCTCCCGAACCCTAAATCCGCCTGCAGATGCAAACCCGTCTGTAAGCGATGGAGATCCCTCATCTCCACCGCCTACTTCACTCGCCGCTTCCTTTCCACCTCCACCGCCGCCGCTGCCGACTACGACTCCGACGAAGAAGAAGACGAAGAAGAAGGATCGTTACCAGATCACGAACATTTGATCGGCTCGAACGCGGTTCCAAAACCCATCTTAACCTTTCTCCCACTTCTCCCAGATAGAATCCGAGACGGGATCAGAGTATTGGACTGCTTCAAGGACTGGCTTCTGTGCGGGTTCGTGGAAAAATTCGACACCCAATCGTTTTGCTCGTCAAACTGCTTCTTGATCTGTAATCCGTTTACGAAGCAATGGATCGCCCTTCCCCTCGCGCCTCCACGGTCCGTGCTTGCCGGGTTGGTCTCAAGGTTAGCCTGCCAGCCGTGCGATGATGATCTTCATTTCGACGAGTATCGGTTTCGAGTGGTGTGTATTTATGAATGGGGAAGAATACTACCGTAGACGTGTTTTGTTCCGAGTCTGGAGAATGGACGAAGGGGGACGATCCTGTTCTTGGCCGCGTTCTAGGAGGACCGAAACTAGAACGCGGACCGAAGAAAGTGGTTTTGTGGAACGGGGAGTTGTTGTTCTGGTCGCGTCCGAAGAAGAATGTTACTACTACTACTACTGATTCTCCCATTACACTCGTTAGGGTTAATCCTTTCTGTGGTCGTCACCGTGACAACCTACATCTCATGACTTCGGTCGCCCCTCCTGCAGCTGCAGCAGGAGGGGCGACCGGTGGTGGTGGTGATGATGATTTGTGGGATATTTCGGTCTCGTGAGGTCGTCTGCACGTGATTCGACTTGAACGCGAGACCACCGACGAGGACGATTCGAGGAATGCCTTGACCGTCTGGAGACTGGAAGAAGATGGACGATCTTGGAGGAAACTGTACGAGGTGTTGTTGTTGTTGTGGGATGACGTCGAGTACTTTAGAGTTTACTCTGCGCTCAAATTGCACCCGAGGAAGCCGGGAATCGTCTTCTTGGAGCGCTGTCATGATTGGCCTGGTCATCTCGTCAACTCCACCATCTACTCGTGCGATCGGAGGACGGGGAAGCTCGAGGTTTTCACGGAGATAACGAAGCGTACTTGTAACTGGAATGTGTTCCAGCCTTATCTAGTGGATAATTCGTTTCCTACTGCAATTGCAAGGTATAGGGAATTGAGGAGCAAGTACGATGGAAGTATCGACTGTTTGGTTCAAAGCTAACCAAGCAATTTCGACTCTCCCTCTCAATAACGGGTAATCATCAATCACTTTCTTCTGCTTGTTAATTATGATCACTATGTGATTTAGGCTGTATATGCATTTGTGACTTCTGTTAGGGTTTAGAGAGCAATCTTGTGTGTGCATGCTTAGTAAACTAATTAGCGGTGTTTGCGACATCGTACTATATTGCATATTGGTTGAATCGAGTATTGGATGGTCAAACTCGATAGGGTTTTTGCCATGATTTCATCGTGGATATCATCTAGTCTTTTCACAGTTTTAATATAATGAATAGCCTTGATCATCAACTTCGCTCTGATCTCTCTAGTTTGATGTCGAGCGTACGGTTTCACAAATGTTGTTAGTTGAGTAACGCGTACACTTATTTTGTTGTGTTAGTAGCCTTGCACGCGAGGACGATGTTGGATTCGATCTCGCATTATAATTTCATTCTTAGTGTATGGTTTCTGATTTTTTTTATTTATTATTTTATATACCTCATCTTTCATTTTATGTTTGTTGTTGGTTTAATTCCTAGATCAAAGAGGCAAAAAGAAGAATGTCAACCGGCTGATGGAGTTGAATTTGCTCATCAAAACTCAACCCATGAACATCACAAAGCAAAGCGTCATGTTAAGAACAAGTACGTGCATGCAAGGTGGTGAAGATCTCGTTTGTAAGGTCTCATTGGAATTTGGAAGAGAAGTATCTATGGATCCAACGATTGTTGTGACATTTTAATTATATCTGCAATTTTGGGTCTTATCAAATAAGAAGGCAATCGATTAATAAGGTTAGAATATGTTGCACAAGAAAGGTCGGTTTGTAACGTCAGCTTAAATCTTGATACCTTCGAAATTTTTTATTACATTAATGGTCACTAATTTTATACTCTTATTTCATCAATGGTCACTCGTCGTCCATCTCCATTATGCTCTTCCTATGTGGCAATCAACTCTCATATTGACCGTTAAATGAGTAACGTGATAATATATCGGAATTATAACTAGGTTAACTAATAAATTGGCGATTACCGTTATTGTTATACGAAAATTAAGAATAATATTAAATAACAACATAATAAGTCGTTAATGAGGAACATGAACGTATTTTTTTGGATTTTGTCTTTAAGCTGCTTTCTAAAGCAATTAGAAAAACATCTTATAAATCTACTTATAACTAGTACAACTTATTTTGTTAGATGATTGTTGGCAAGATCATCATCATGGGTAGGCACCAAAAATTAACCCAAACTAGTAGAACCAAAGAGGAAAAAACAAAAGGTCTTCAAAGTAGCATACTTTGAAGTTTGATCCCTGCACAGAGAACGTCGTGTTTCTATCTCCAGAAAGCTGAAGACAACTGCTGCTAGCCTATTCGATACTTGCACCATAAGTAAGCCATTGAAAGCTCCAAATCATGAAGGCAGAGGAGTTGTATTTACCATTTCCACTGTAAACCATAGCTTTGTTGATCTTCAAAACTCGAGCCACTTCTGGAAGTAGACACAAGTACTGGGAGAGACGACACCATCAGGAGTACAGCTACGTATCCTTGGACATACCCCACAAGGCATGGACGCCATCGCCCCGATCCTAGGCTCTGCAGCAGCTCCAACTCTTTGCTTATCAAAAGCCTTGTAGCAAACTTTCCCCTCCGGTATAGCACCAAACTCCCCCATCCCGTTGCTCTTCACTTCCATCACCTCGTTGTCCAGAACCAGAGCACCCAATATCTCTTCAAAGTGATGCTCCTTCAAATCGGCCTTGAACACCCCGCTGGTCTTGAACAGCTGCAGCACAGTCTCCAGTGTAGCCACCTTCAGCTGTTTGATCTTCTGCAAGCAACACTTTTTCACAATGTTGATGAACTCCACATGGAGGTTCCCATCGTCGTCGTACCACGCCCCACCTGTAAGTTCCGTGGAAGGTTCGAACTCGACTGCCATGTAGTGCTTCTTCCCCTTGTTCTTGACGTTGACCACTTCCTTGATCATGTTCTTGGCCTGGAGGGAAATGATGGATTTGTTGACAATGGCGTCTTGGAGATTCGAGCGTCGCTTGATGTCTCGCAACCACATTCCCATATTCTCTTTTTCGTGGATCACCTTGTAGACGATTTGCTCTTGATCGGTCAAGCCCTGAGAGGTTGAGTCCGGGCGCTTTCGTTTGAGGGTGAAAAGTGATTTGAATCGACTCATCTCTGGTCAGAGAACAGCAAAGTAAGGATCTTCAACGAAAAACTAAACCCAATCAAGTATGAATCCACAGCAAACGCCAATGTATCACCTAGCAGTTAACAGAAAGCTATCTATACTACTGTAACCAGACCCATTCTTGACAGGGGCAAATCATCAAACAGGTTATGTGCATCAGAGAAGCAGCAAAGCGGAACAAGCCTAACCCACCAACTAACATCAAAGTTATCCAATTTCAACGAAAACAATACGAGGGAAACGTGATTTGAGAGAAACCCAACCGAATTCCGATACACATTTACCTGCACTCTCCTGCACTTAAATCACCCGCCAAAGCCGCGCCGAAGAGCTCTTTTCCTCCCACAAATCTTCTTTTGAAGTTTTGGATTTAGAAGATAACGGCCGAGCCAGAAATCAAAACCGGTTATACCAAACGAAATCGATTCGTAGGGTTCTTCTGCTATCTTGCACCTATAGCCCAAAACTTTTAGCGCGGCAACGGCGGAGGGAGGTTTAGTATTGTTGATTGAGTAGCCACGTATTTACATCTGTGGCCCTCAAACTTTTTCCGGATTTCATTTTGGTACTCGTATTCCCACTATAGTTCAAAATTTTACATCAAATTTTGGGCTGAATACGTTGGCTCTCTTCTACTACTCAGTCTCCTACTACTCCTAAAACCCCATTTCTCAACTGCAATCTTTCTCCCTTCATCAGTCACCGCCGCTTCTCCTCCGACGTTCCTCTCGATATCTCAGGTACGCCGTCTTTCTCTCTTCTTTTGTTTTAGGACTTGGGTCGATCGGCGTCTTTCTTGTTCTGTTTGTCTCCGTTTGGTTCAGAATTCCGAAAATCCTCTGTTTCTGGGTTTTCGATTTCGTCCTTGTTCTGTTCTGGGTCTCTGCGATTCTTCAAGATAAATCTTGAAAGTTCTGACCTGATGATGGGGATTTGGTCGTCGTGATCATCCATCCTACTCTAAATATGAAGAACTGAATTTTGATATTTATTTTGGGGTTCTTGATTTCTATTGTCTTGCAATTATGATGAAGATCGATGGAATTAGTGAATCAGAGATGAAAGTAGAACTGATTCCTCTATTCTGACTGTTTTGTTTGTTTGGTGAAGAGAGGGAAACATGAACGAACCAATGGGGAAGAGAACCAAGTTGTCGGAGTCAGTGAAGGAGAGATTAATGTCTAAGAAGGTGGAGGATGAAGGGAAGGAGAAACAAATCTCTTACCTTGACAAAGATTGCATCTCAAGCATTCTCATGAAGCTACCACTCGAGTCACTGCCATCTTCGAGGTTTGTTTGCAAGGCATGGTACGATATCATCAACAGCCTTCCCTTCATCAATAACCGTCTTGCACAGTCTGAATCCGTCTTGATATATCTGAAACCGATCCCAGCGAGTAGCTCCCACCACTGTTCCTCTCCGACACCAGCACCTTCGAACCGAAGAAACATGTTTTCAAATGAACGGGCAGTGTTTCAATCTCAGCCCCTCGACATGTTTGCACAAAAGTTCGGCAATAGGTCTTCCAAACTGAGCATTAGCTTTGTTGAGTGCAGAGAAGGGAAGGGTGTTGCTCGAGATTATGGGATCGAATGCCTGGGCAGCATTAGGGCAGCATGCAATGGTTTCATCCTGCTCAACAACAGTCACAAAAAAGGAGGGGTTTTGGTCATGAACCCTGTCACAAGGAAGCAACTTGCACTTCCTGTGGGTACATTGACCCGACCTGACTGGGAATCGTACGGATTTGCCTCGACCGGTGGAGGATACAAGGTGGTCCACTTGTTCATGGACGACATGAAATACGTTGCCTGCGAGACACTCGACCTCGGGTCAAGATCGTGGAAGCCAGTGAACGGACCCCCCTTGGGGGTGCTTCGTCGTTTTGGTTTCAATCCTGTCTCGGCCATTGGAGCTCTGCATTGGCTTTCTCGCAGTAACAACTGCATAGTCTCGATGGATCTGGAAACTGAGAAGTTTCACGTTGTACCGCTCCCCAAGATTTGTGGGAAGCACGATAGGATTCTCGAAATGGGCGGCCTCTTGGGCTTCGTCACTCACGAGGATCGCCACATAGATGTATGGAAGCTGAAGAGCATTGCAGGTCAGGGTGATGATGCTGTATGGACGAAGCAGCATACGATCTCCAGAGGTAGGTTGATCAACTTGGTCCCCTTGTTTTGCTTGAGGATCAAGGGAGATGTGATCTTCAAGAGGCTTGACGCTCGTTCAGTATATTCGTACGATTTCGGGTCTGAGAGGATGACTAAGGTTGTGGTGGATGAGGGGTTTCGTTTCTTTGGCAGTTTGCTGCCTCATGTCAACAGCCTTGGCTCTTGGACTGCTGCTACTCAGAATCTGATGTGAATGGGATTGATGATGATGAATAGGGTCTTTGACATGCATTGTTTTGCTACAATACTAGTCATTTCGACATGGTCTGGTTTATTTATAAGTCAATTTGTTCGTTTCCTTGCTTTGTGATCTCTTGGTTTGGGAAACTTGAATTGTTTAATTTTGAAATTACTATAATTGTATGGGGGAGCGGCAAGTAATTCAAAATGACTCATTTCAAATAACTCGTGACAATTGATCATATTATCTCGTCTGTTTCTCAAGATCATTTCAAGAAATTATTGAAGTCGAATGTAAGAGCTTCAAAAGGATACTCCCACATTACTTAAACTGAAAGGTACATCCACTGCAATGAGGGCACAATTCCAAACCTATATTAGCTAAAGAAGACGGGGCCTTAAAACCCAATGAAAGGCTATCCTTCCTAAAATTGTACACCAAAAAAATCTTATTTCACATCAGCCTTCGCCAATTCTTTCAGTTCATAACAAACCGGAATATGAGCATCTCCTTTCTCCATCGATTTCAAAGATGATTCAAAACTGTTCTTCTGCCAACCTGTAGATTGCGAAAAATGTATACCAAGAACCACCATTTTCTGAAAGTTGCTGCTAACTGAAATACAATAACCTTCAGGGGGTCGATTTACTGAACTACGAGTGGTGTTTCGACTGAAGCAGCAGTTGCTGCAAGTTGAATGTTTCATAGGGCAACTGCAGGAGACCTTCGTGTTGCCGCCTTTGCATGCAGCCTCTCCATGAAAGCTGGGTTGGCTTTCAGTCTGCCCTTGACATATGCTACTCGGGCATCCTCTGCCATCTTGTTTGCTTTCCCAGCCTCCTCGATTATGGAAAAGAGCGTTCTCAGGCAATCTTTCCTGTTTTCTTCACGGTGTTCAAACCTGTAAGGAAGAAAACTGACTATATTATAACAGGGGTAAGGTAAAAGTGGCATCTACTAATCTGATGCACAATAAAACTTAACCAACAAGCAAAAATATTAGTTGTTCCACAGAAAGACTTGGATCAGGAAGGTTTCCATATAATCAATTGCCAAAAAGATGCTTCTAGTCGGCAAGTTTTTCTTAAGCCTAGCTTTCTAAAGCAAGTTCTTCTAAAGTTTACCCTGTCCTGTATTTCTTCTTTCTCCCTAGAGGTTTAATTTGTACAGGATGGAAATAATGCAATGGTTTCAAAAAGAACAAAGAACCACAGGCAGTAATCGATATACCATATATGAATTACAGACTCAAATAACAGTTCAGAAACTAACCTTTCACTGGTAATTGTGAGTTCATCTTTGCCGGGGTGATAACGTTTGCCAACCAGTTCTCTCATTCGCCGAAATTGATGCTTCGAAAGGCCGAGCTCCTTGACTGTAACCGACATTTTGACTTTCCTGTTTTTCGGATGCCATGCATCACCACCAGGAGCAAAGACTGCACGAGTCTGCCACCTGAGAATTGGACCTTCGCCTGGTGGGTCGTCTGTACCTTTTTTCTTGTCTGGCACAGTAGTTTCGTCAAACTGATTGGTGCCCTCAGTTTCCATTCTCTTTCCATAGTCAATCACAATTTGATCCTCAAATTCTTTGAAAAGTTTGTAGGCATCTTCAGGCTCAAGCTCCCCATTTTCGCACATATCCCCCAACTCATTGAATTTCTTCTCCACCTTCTCCTTAATGTCAGCTGAAAATATATGTCAATAAAAATATAATGCATAAATCAGAACGAATTGAGCATCATAGTAGGGTTTTATGGTTAAGCAAAATCTCACACTAGATAGACAAACTATCAATATCAAAGTCTAATACTTTTGATGAATCTTGCAACTTCAAGTTCTTATGGAATTTTTTTTATCATGGATCAGAATAAAGCCATAAATTCCTCATAAAATGTTTATGAGGGCAAAATGTCAAGCATTAGCACTGAAGAAGCCATTGCTATAATGCAGTATCCCTGAACTTCCAAGTACTACCAAACCACTTCAGCAGTGAGTGATAGATGCATTTTGAAAGGTTTGATATCTCATTAAACCATTGCTAGTTTAGTATCCCTGAACTTTCAAGTACTACCAAACCACTTCTTCGTCCGTGGCCGTGGGTGATAGATGCCTTCTGAAAGGTTTTGTATTTCACCAAGAGTTCAACACTGCAGTATACTTGAAGCAAAATGAACAGGATAATTAATGTCTATCCTCTTTTTTACAACGAACCTAAATGGATCATGAAACTCCTTTCCACAAGCTGTCCATATTTTTACAGCAATTGAAAATTCAAAATGTATCATCCCAAACATTAAAAAAAAAAGGTGAATTTGACTCAAAGACGATATCGATTAGTACTATTACGCTCCATAAGAGTTTGCAAGGTTCTATTAGCACCCCCAATCTTTGGTAGAATGCAGAAATGCAATGTTCTCAGAATGGCAAAACATACACAGCTCAATTGAATAAGCAACAATGGAAATTTTGAAGGGTGAAACAACTCTACCTGGAAGAAGATTGTCCCAGTTAAGCATGTCTTCTAATAACTCCTCACACTCCCTCGTATCTCTTATAACTCCATGCGTCATTGCCTCATTCACCATGTCGTCCCACTTCTTATCATCCATATTAAAGTACTCGTCTTTCATCATTCTCTTAACTACAATGTCCCTCGCGCTGTACAAATCATCAATCTCGTCATCCGTCGGGTGCGTATCCTCGAAATCAGATTCGAACTCCTGATCTTTCACATCGTCCAATGGCTTCATCTGAAGCTCCTCCATCAACTCGTCATCGGTATCCTCGTGCTTCCCCGACAGTCTCCTCTTCAGAATCGATTCCATGATAGCAGGAAGCACGTCTTCGTCCCCCGTGAAGTACTTCTCCATCATTTCCTTCAAATCTGAAAACCAAGTCCCACGAGATCCTAACTCAATACACCTGCTATTCCTTTATGTTCAAACGAATCAACCAATATAAAAAAGGATCGCAATAAGAGATTAATTTCCTTTTCACCTTTATTGCTCACATCCTCTACTTCCACAGACTTCTCTTCCTTGCCGAGCTTTGCCACCGCCGACGATGTCTCCGGAGCAGCGCCCGGCTTCTCGCCCGACTCGGACGAGTACATTCGGCAAGAGAAGTTTCTTAAAAGAGAATGCCGAATCTTGTCAACGGAGGAGCCGCAACCGGAAGAGTACGACCTGAGGGAGGAGCGAACGGAAGCAACCGGAGAAGGCGACGTTGCCTCGGAAGGCCTAGAGATCGGGCAGCCAGCATTTCGCGCCGGTGTGAGGAGCCGGCGGGTGAAGATTCTGAATTGAGACGATCGCATTTTGCATTCTCCTTCTGCGTCTCTTCTCCGATGAGATTGTTAGGGTTTTAGATTCTGCAAAGGTTTCCCTTCCTTCTAATTTGTTTTTCAATCTTTTTCCACTTTTGACGCCGGAATTTCTCTGATGTGTCTGTTTCAACCCGAAACTTCTAATTTTCTCCATTTAAACCCCAAGTTTCAGTGGTCCAAGTTCCTGATCATGGGCCTTCAAAGTTTGCCCAACACAGCACTATGCAGGTTGGCCCAACAGGCCGGAAAGAGAGGAAGAAAAGAGGCCCAATTTACTGTCCCAATTTATTTTTTCTTGTTCTTTGTTCAGTTGTCGTTAGAAGACCAAGCCGCCATCTGAGAAGATCCCCGTTTACCGGGGAAGAACACACTTTCTTCCAGATTTGTGGCCGTTCAAACATTTTCCCGCGAGCGCTCAATTCGCCGAGTTCGTTACAGAGAGAGAACGGGAGAGACAGATGGCGACAATGGCGGCCACAGCTACCGCTTGTTGTGGCAGCAGCTCCTACAATTCCAATTTGAGGGCAACTCGGAGAAATGGAACAGAATATCATCCGTCGGCCACTTTGGCCTCGCCGTCGTCACGATTATCGTTCTCTTCCAGAGTTTCCGGTTGTTCTCTCCGCGCCCAGCGCTCCCTTCCTTCCCTTCGGATGGCGAATTCCGGGAATCCGGCTCTGGTAATGAACTGGGTTGGGCGCGGATTGGTTAGGGATTTGGAATTTCGGATTGGGATGATTTTCGGATTTCATTGGTTCTTTTGGTGGGGGGTTTTTGGAATTTTTTCAGGCTGTTTTGGCTTCGGCGAAGGCGGATCCGCCGCTTAGAATCATGATTTCAGGTGCTCCGGCGTCGGGTAAAGGGACTCAGTGTGAGCTCATAACTAAAAAGGTAGGCTCTTTTTTTTTTCTGACTTCTCTTTGTTCTTTGGGTTTTTGGTTGTGGGTAATGTGCGTTTCAAGTTGTAGGGTGGGTCACGAACTCGCCTGAACATTTTGTTTGCTCATTAGTGTTTGTCATTAGATGGAGGTAAGATGGGAAATGAAAATGGTTACAGTGACTTATTAGGATAGGTTTAGTGTTTTACTCGTCTCGATAGCTGATTTTAGGTGCTGAATGAGATGAATATAAGTTGATGAATCCGTTGTCAAACTGGTATTAACCCGTATTGATGTAAGTTCGGTTGGGATTGCAATTGGGCGAATGCACACTACATATTTCTTTCTCAGCATATCCTGCATCAGTTGTGATCTAAAGTTAGTCACTAGAGACATATAGATTGATTCATAGTCATGCTCTCACATGTGCAGTATAACTTGGTACATATTGCTGCTGGAGACTTGTTGCGGGCAGAAATCGCTTCTGGGAGTGAAAATGGCAAGCGGGCAAAGGAGTACATGGAGAAAGGACAACTGGTTCCAGATGAAATAGTTGTGATGGTGTGAGAAATGAACTTGGTGAAATGTTTACTGTCTTAATTTCTGAATCTTGAGTTGTAACTTGGTAGTATGCTTTGCCTTGTAGATGGTGAAGGATCGGCTGCAACATCCCGACTCGCAAAAGAATGGCTGGCTATTAGATGGATACCCACGGAGCATGTCTCAAGCTACTGCCCTCAAGGGATACGGCTTTGAGCCTGATATCTTCATTGTCTTAGAAGTAAGAACTTGAGAATCATTGCAGTTCCTCTTGTTTTCACTGAAAGTTGAAAACTTTGCAACCGTATATGCAGGTCCCTGAAGATATACTGGTTGAAAGAGTTGTTGGACGTAGGCTGGACCCTGTTACTGGCAAGATTTACCACATGGCCTACTCTCCCCCTGAAACTGAAGAAATAGCTGCGAGACTCACTCAACGGTTCGATGACACAGAAGAAAAGGCACGTCTTGGCTTTAGTATTGTGATGAATGTGTTAGAGAGTTAATTTTCTCGCAGTTGATGAATGGGTTTCTTTTAACATGACAGGTGAAGTTAAGGTTGAACACTCATAACCAGAATGTGGAGGCCGTCCTCTCAATGTACGAAGATATTACTTTGAAGGCAAGTCTATCCATTTTTAGTTCCTATTCTGGTGATTAATGCTTTGTTGCATAACTTTCATATCCTTTTTACTTTAGTTTTGATAGGAAAATTAGTAAGAACTTTATTTTCTCATGACATATTCCAAACGTGTTAGCTACCGAGTACTGGAATTCTGGAACTTAAGTTTCAGCAATCTGGTGCTTTAATTGCGGTAGAATATGTGCCTAGTTTTCCAATATGAATCATGTAAAGAACTCCAAACTGGTTATTTCACCCTGTAGTGTTTCTGAGATTTCTGAATGAAGGATTTGAAATGTTGAGACACTGGAATCAATACCGTTAACATTCAAAAAGAAGAATCAACAAGAGTAGTTTGTAGAAATAGGAACAACACTTTCATTTCTGACAAAATTTGAGGTATATCATCTTACCCTCAGTGCAGTCAGGCTATAGGAGGAAATTCATCAATTTATCTCATGCACAAAGCAGAGTTATTTACATTTAGCATGATTAGCTTTGAAGAGTTTCTCAGGGAACTTAGGAATATGCATGACTTGTTATGAAAAAGATAAGGTGGACTCTTTGTTGTGATATTTAATATTTACCAGTTGTATTCATCGAGCATAGGTTTTGCATGAGAATGGAGGATAACATTTCAGATGTGACTCTTTCTGTGTTTGATAGAAAAAAGTCTTTGAGCATCTGACTTGGGTTTCTTATTGTCCTTCTCAATTTTCAGGTCAAAGGGAATGCGCCAAAAGAAGAGGTTTTCACCGAGATCGACAATGCTCTGTCGAAATTGATTGAGAGCAGGAAGGCAACTTCAGAAACTCTGGCTGCTTGATCTGAAAGTATGTTTGCCAGAGCGCCTATGTTGTATTAGTAACTGCGAGTAATAAGTTGGTTTTTTTCTAGCACATGTAATGTTGGGTTGTAATTCTCGTTTTTTCTTCCACTTTTCTTCTTCTTGACAGCATGCGGTTTGATAATCTTGTACAGTAGCATTTAAAACAGATAGAGACATTTTAGAGCTATGTCAAACTAAAATTCAATCATGGTCGTCTTAATTATGCACTCTCATTTAAATGGGGTTAATTGCATTGTTGGTCACTGAGATTACAAAAAACGTTCATGTTTGGTCACTCGAAATATTTAAATCCATTCATGGTCACTACATTTAGTAAAACATTCCAAATTTGGTCACTCTCCGTCCAACTCCGTTAACTTTAGCTGACATGACAATCAACTCTCATAGTTGACCGTTAAGTCTGTGATGTGGCAATTAAAAATTAATTTTAAATACCTTAAACGATTCATAATATTTCTACCCCAAACAGCAACAGCAAGCAAAGCAATACCCGCCATTCCGATTCACCTCCGTTCTCCGTCGCCGGCAAGGAAAACACTACAAAACCCTTTTATATATCAACCGTCAACGGGACAAAGAGTGATTCTTTCTTTTTTACCCTGAGAATCAACCCACTCACCAAGGGCAAAAGACAGCAAAGCTATGGTTCCTCCTCCCCCGCAACCGCGCCGCCGTCGCCTCTCCGCCAACAAATCCGTCTTCACCATCCTCTTCTCCCTCCCCGCCAAATCCCTCATCCGCTTCAAGTGCGTCTCCAAGACATGGAACGACGCAATTTCTCATCCCCAATTCCGAGACACGTACAATGCCTGTAGGGCATCTTCCTCTGTACCCCGCTTCTTCTTCTTCCAGGGCTCCGACTTCGAATCTCCTGGCATGGGTGAAATTAGATGCTGGTGACGAGTGTGACGGCGGAGCCGCAAGAGGAGGAGAAGCAAGCTCTCCTCTCTTTCCTCTCACAGGTCCCACACGAGAATCGTCTCCAATGGAGCACCAACAATTCCTCGGTTTGCAGCTGGGTCAGAATCGAGTGCGACGCGAATCAGTCCTCCGTCCACTCCCTCCGCCTCCCTGGCGTCGGGCTGGTGTGCCGATTCCGATAAACACGACGGAGCTCTCCCTCTTTCAGTCGACGGTGAGAAAGAGGGGTGAGATTAGTTCATTAGGTATTTAAAAGTAATAATTAATAATTTTTTAATTTTTAATAGTAGTGATAATGAGGTGGAATATTTAAAATTAAATTTTTATTAATTTTTAATTGCCACGTTACAGATTTAACGGTCAACTATGAGAGTTGACTGCCACATCAGCTAAAGTTAACGGAGTTGGACGGAGAGTGACCAAATTTGGATTGTTTTACTAAATATAGTGACCATGGATGGATTTAAATATTTCGAGTGACCAAACATGAACGTTTTTTGTAATTTCAGTGACCAACAATGTAATTAACCCCATTTAAATGTCATTTTGGCAGTAGATATGATGAGTTAATGTAAACATCATTCTTGCTTTCGTTTGAGGAGCTTGCAATAGGATAAGCGAGAGTATTGATTGAACATCTTTGTATAACTCCAGTAATTTATATGAACTGAACGAGGATTTGTGTTTAGGTAAAATTGTACTTTTAGTCCTTGTTCTATGTTGTTTGAACATATATGCCTTTCATACTATGATTTCTAAGGAACACGAGATAGTCAAACGCTTTAGGGGTTTTCAGTCGAATAATAAATAAAAGAAAGCAAAGAAAGGAAGAAAGAGTAAAGTTGTTTAGGTTTTTTTCAAGTTATAGGTGCATAATAGTAAAAATACTTTATAAGATATATCTCGAATATCATTATGCATACTAAAGCTCAATCATAGCATGCATCAATTACTCATTTATAGCATTACTCTATCCCTTTCACTAAAGACATTTTCTACTCGTGCATTCGTTTCTCGGGATAAATCTCTCATTTACTCTCTCTATGATAAACTTACCAATAGGATAAGGTTTCGTGAGATTAAGGTTGTTTTATGCGGGAAGCTTTGATTTGGTATCATTGATCATCTATCCGACTACTTAATGCAGGTTGCATATTTTTTCCCCTTATAAACCAGCTCTGATTTGGTAGCATTGATCATCTAAATAATAAAATCATACTCTAATCGCGGCATTCTCCTATAAACCAGGAACAACAATGATCCACCAAACTAAAAACTCTCAGTAGCTTCTAACAACTTTCAAGACTCAATTGGGTAATTGACACAAAATACAAGTTCAGGATACTCAGCATGAAATAAATCAGACGACGACGTAGTTTTACTTATTGACACAGACTTCATTTAAATTCTAATGTTTTGGCGCCATCTCTAATAATTATCTGCATAGGACAGGATTGTCCTGTCTTCCCAACTTCACCTTAATTTTTATCATGGTTCAAAAATAGCGCACTTAAGCTAATGCTTAGGCACGCTTAGGTGTTAGGCAACGCCTAGACGTTTGGCAAGCAAATTAGATATTGGGGAACACACTAACGGAGTAAAGCGACACTTAGATGTCTTCTATGGATAATTAGATCGAGCTAGACATTCAATATATCAAAAAAATGATTAGGATCACCCACAAAACTAGATCTTTTGTGTAAAAAAATTTGATAGCTTGAAAATTTTGTAAGCTATTGATCTAAGATCTATGATTCTATGAATTTGTGAGCACACTTAAACAATATCTAGTCGCTAGACAAGATCCTCCTAGCAACTTCTGGAATGAAACAACAGAGTAACCACAAAAGGATGTCAATGGGAGTCCACACGGTCAATACGCAACGCAAAACAGAGTGAACGGCTCTCAACATGATCAATCCCTTCTCCTCCGTCGCCAACACCACACTTCCGGCCGCCACCCCTTTCCGCTGGAACAATTCCCAACCAATCTCCGCCGCCGTCGTCGTTCTATCGGCAGCGCGCTTCTCCACCTCCACCAGCCGAATCCTCCCCGACTCGTCCGCCCATCTCACCACCAGCGACCCCTTTCCGCCCCGCAACTCTGCCACAACCACGACGCCCAGAAATCGCCCCCGCGGATGAGGCAGAGCTGACAGAATCCTCCTCCTCTTGCCGCCGCCGATTCCGAACATCATGACGTCGCCGTCCTCAAACAGGCAGAAGAAATTCCGGTCCCTGTACCCTATCCCCTGGCAGAGCCGGTCTCGATCGTCCCAGTAAGTGTACTCCCGCCACCGCCGCTGGCCGCGGCGGAGCGTCCGGAAGCTGCGTGGGCCGTCCACTAGGAGGATCGTCCAGTCGCTGCCGGTCGGCGGGGCGGAGAACGCCGCGAATACCGTCCCGCTGTAGAGTTTCGATTCGGGGAGGCGGATGAAGCCGGCCGGCCAGGGAAACAGGGGATTGTAGCAGCCGAAGATTCGGCGGTGGTCGTGTACCAGAAGACACCACCCGCTCGCCCAGCTGTGGATGACCAACGCGCCGTCGACGGTCGATCTCGACGGAGCATTGTCGGGGATTTTGAGGCGGGAATAAGGACGAGGAATCATCGCTGCCGGCGGCACCTCGAATTTCGAGGCGGAGGCAGGGGAGGACTCGAGGTCGATCCGGCGCCAGTTCTTGCAAACGGATCGGAACTCGATATCGCCGGCGGGGACTGGAGGGAGCTTGGCGTGGATCAGGTTCAGCACGTCGGGAGTCAGATCGGCCCATGGTCGCTTCCTGCTCTTTGACATGATAGGGAAGATCATATCCGCGAAACTGATCGATGTGTTTCTCGCCTGGATTGAGATGAGAAGAAGAAGACAGAGGAAAAACTAGGGGTTACGGTAAAGGCTTTATATAATGTTAGAGTTTGAGCCTTGTTGTAACTCATTATATGATTCGAACTGGATCAATTACCGGATATAAGTAGAACATCGAATCAATTACAAAATGGTTCGATTCTTTGCGATGGTTAGGGATGGACGGCACGGAAGTATGTTGGATACAAAATTAGATGAATCATTCTGATTTGGCTCGTTTATTATTTTAATCACAAAAAAAAATTAAGAAACAAATATATATATAAACTAAGACCATCCAATCTAAATGGCTAATGTTATATATCATTTCTCTTCTTTGTTTCCCGACCATCCTCTTGGCTTTACGTGATCCACTATTGAATACTATCCTAATTACTAACTTGAATTTAATAATAACAAAGAATTTATGATATCTTTTGTATGACAATTTGAATGATTTGTTAGAAGTTTTTGGTGATAGATGATATGAATTTGAAATTGTCAGCGATTATTTCAGTTCTAAATTAATTTTATTCTAAATGTCTTCTATATTATAGCCCATGAATGATTCTATCAACGATTAACCAACAGTTAACCATTAAACCATACACCATTAATTTTTTCTGTTCAACGCGTCGGTCCAATATTGAAAACATAAGGTTTGAGTTGAAGAGAGGAAAATCTAGTGTTCATAATTTAAAGCTACTAGAACTTTGTTAGTTTACAGAAGGGATTGCTGTGTTGGAAAGCTTAATTTGTATTCATGTATTACAAAGGTTTATATACATGGAGATTACAACAACGAGAAATGGCTACAGTAGTGATACATTGATGAGAAATGGGCAAAGAAGATGATGAGGGTTGGGAGCTAGCTGGAGGGATGGAGGAAGATAATAGTTGAAATAGATAAATACATTTATTATTCTAACAATAGGATACCTCAATTTGACAATATTAGTGAAACCTCTTAAAAGACCTCAACACTAATTTTACTATTTTCAGGACACCATTTCCCCATATCTAACAATTGAATCGCTAATTATGTAACCCACTAAAACAACTACTACCAAACCCAATTTCAAAAACCCAAGAATTTTATTTAAGTACATGCTTGTGATAGTAACCATTCCCTACATCTTCCACATGATGAGTACCTACATCAGCAGACAAGGGCTCAGCATCCACGAGCAACCTCACCACTTCTCGCATCGTCGGCCGCAGGCTCGGCAGCTTCGTGGTGCAGAGGAGCGCGATTTTCAGGACTCGTAGGATGTCGTCTCGTACGACTTCATTGGCCGCCACCGAACCGTCGAGAACGTTCCTGACGACATTATCGTTGTTGGTGAGATGACTGGATACCCACGAAACAATGTCCTTGCCTTCCCCGTGCTCGTCATCGTCCTCGATGGGTTTCTTCCCCGTCACGAGCTCGAGTAGCACGACTCCGAAACTATACACATCGCTCTTTTCTGTCACTTTTAGCGAATAGGCCATCTCTGCCAAATGAAGTAATGAACAATTAGTGACAAAGTTTGTAACTTTAAAAGAAAAAATTCACAATTTTAAGACAGAGGATGTAATATAGGGAGCTTACCAGGAGCAATGTAGCCATGAGTACCAGCAAAGCAGCTATGATCACACCCTTGCTGATCACGAGTCACCTCGGCGAGCTTCGCCACACCGAAATCCGCGATCTTCGCCTCGTAATCCTCGTCGAGCAACACGTTGCTCGACTTGATATCTCTGTGAACAACAGGAGGGGAGCAATCATGGTGTAGATAGGAAATCCCTTTCGCAGCTCCGAGAGCAATTCTGTATCTATGAACCCAATCCAGCTCCGGCAGCTTCCCGCCTTTGATCCTCCGATGAATCGCCTCGAACAAGTTCCCATTCGGCATGTACTCGTAAACCAAGTAGCTGCATCCACCCTTCAACAAGCAAGCGTAAAGCTTCACCACATTCCGGTGCCGAATCCTCCCCAAGATCTCCATTTCGGCGGTGAAGAACTTCAATCCATCTCCTTTCCACAGCTTCTTCACTGCAACTGTGATTCCCTTCTTGTTCAATTCCAAGCGGTAGACTTTCCCTGCACCGCCACTTCCGATCACATTGTCTTCTTCCAAATTGCTGATCTCGTTGGCTTCGATTTCGACTTGGTGAAACGACGAGACGTTCCATTTCGCCTCTGCTTCTTCTTCTTCCTTCTTCTTGTTTCTCTCTAATCCGAGCTCCGAATCGGCCAATTCGTGCTTGAAGTTCATGTAGCTCGCGAATAGAAGCCAGGCAAGAGTGAGAACTAGAGCGACTGCAGCGGCGGTGAACAATACGAGCTTCAATGAACCAGAGCTCTTCCCTTCTCCTCTGTTTTCTTTCCCTGTACAGACGCTGATCATCGCCGAACCACTTCCCGCAAAGGAATTCTCGATGCAGAGTGCTCTGTTTTCGGCGAAAGATTTTTCACCTGCCATGGAGAGGAGGGAGGGTGGGATTTCACCTGTCAGCTGATTTTCGGAGAGGTCGAGCAAGCTGAGCTTCAGGGAGCCGAGATCGTCGGGGATCGGACCGGTGAGCTGATTTCGGGAGAGGTTGAAGGAGTTGAGAGTGATGAGGTTTGAGAATCCGTTTGGGATTCGCCCGGTGAGAGAGTTGCCGGCGAGATTCATGTCTACTAGTTTGGTGCATTGTACGATCTCCGGCGGGATAGAACCTGTGAGCGAATTCTTCCCCAGTTGGAGCGATGAAAGCTGTTTCAGCTTCCCGATTGATGAAGGAATTGGACCCGAGAAGTTGTTGTTGTTTAGATAAAGCCTCTCGAGGTTGGCTAGATTCCCAATTTCCGATGGAATGTCGCCGGAGAATTTGTTGTTGAACAGGATTAGCTGGTTCAAGTTGGAAGAGAGGCCGATTTCAGGGGAGATTCCGCCGGTGAAGTTGTTGCCACTGAAGTCGATAATCACAGCGAATGGCATCGCCCAGATTCCGTCGGGAATCTTTCCTGAGAATCTGTTGTTGTTGATTCGGAATCTCTGAAGTGATTTGCACTTGGAATAGGAATCAGGAAACTCGCCGGAAAAGCTGTTCTCCAATGCCAGCAAGTACTGCAAGTTCCGACCTTCGCACAAGAACTCTGGGAAGTTGCCGGAGAATTGATTCTCAGAGATGTCGAAGCTGTTGAGAGGAGAGAACCTGCCGAAATCCGGTGGGAATTCCCCGGTGAAGTTGTTTCTGTAGATGGAGAATCCGTTCAGGCTGCGCATTTCTCCGAATCCAGATGGAATTTCTCCAGTAAAGTGATTCTCGTAGGCTTGAAACACGGTGAAGTCCAGTTTCGCAAGGCTCGCCGGAATCTCGCCGTGTAATTCGTTGGCGGAGATGTCCAGCTCTTTTAAATGTGTCAGGTTTCCGAGCTCCTCCGGTATCTCTCCGGTCAGCAAGTTGTCGAAAAGCTCGATTTTAAACAGGCTTCGTAGCTTGGAGATCGATTTCGGGAACTCGCCTGAGATCTTGTTCCGGGATAGATCCAGCGTCCCCAGAGCTTCCAGCTCGAAAATCGCATCGGGGATCGGACCGACTAGATGAGAATTCGCCAGAAAGAGATAAGTCAGATTCTTCAAATTGCCAATGCTCGCCGGAATTTCACCTTTCAAGTACTTGTTCTGTCCCAATGCCAGCATTTTTAGGGAAGTCAAATTCCCCACCCACGCCGGAATCCTGCCGGAGAAGAAGTTGAGTGATAGATCCAGAACCTCCAATTTCGTGAGGAAAGATAGATCCGGGATTTCGCCGACCAGATTATTCCCTGTCAAATTCAGCACCCGGAGATTCTTCAGCCAGGCGATCTCCGGTGGAATCTTCCCCGAGATCGAATTACTCGGCAGCCAGAGGGTTATCAGGCCGGAGAGCGTCGAGATCACCGGAGAAATCTCGCCGGAGAGTGCCTTATCATCGAACGAGATCCCTGTAGTCTGGCCGGAGACCTGATCGCATGTGATGCCCGTGAAGTTGCAGCGAGATTCGGAGTCTTTCTTCCATGAGCTAAGGAAATTCAGGGGGTCCTTGAGATGAGACTTGAACTGCAACAGAGCTTCCGTTTCCGTTATGGCGGTTGTGGGTGGCGGGAAAATTGAAGAGATGATCAAAATCGAACTGAGGAGGAATTGGAGGGAAATGTTTAAGGAGTGTTTCGTCATATTGGGATAACTTGAGGGATTAAATGGTAATTTTCCGCCTTCCGACCACTCTCTTTGGCAAATGGATCTTTCCCCTTTCTCTCCTAATAAAGGCCACTCCAAAATAATTGAGGATTGCCAGCCTGAAAAGCAGAGATATATACACAATCAATAATTTTGGAATTGTTTCCACATTAAGAGAATGTATTTGGTTGGGAAGATTTAGGACAAAAAAACAAGATCAGTGAAGGATTAGGGAAATAATAGCACATGATCAATGTTGCTTTAGGTTTTCAATCTCTTAATATTAGTAGGTAATCTTCACAACTAGCTAGCCATTTTATCTTTCTAGTGGATAATAGAGTTTGTCCATCTCACTAATTGAATTGCACATTAGGGGGGAAAATTAAAATTGAAAATATTATAATTATGGTATAATATCATATTATTTGTGGCGATAATTTAGATTGTTCATCAATAACGGTCTTCTGAAATGTTTAGAGTTTAAACTATAATTTTGCAAACCAATAAAATCTAGAGGACTGAAATCTCTTATATGAATGAAACCAATAGCACAATAAGCCATATATACGTGGATAATGAGAAGACTCGTGTCGTCTTCTAATTGATCTCGTTCGAAAATTACATGATTATAGATAAATATGATTAATGAAAATGGTTTAATTCGCTCATTAATAGTAGCTTTCGAAGAATTTCGAGTTCGAATAAATAAATTATTAGTGTTATATGTAATTTAATATGTTCGTTAACAACTTCTTTTGAGAAGTTTTGAACTCGAATCGATAGAGACCTAAAGTTACATCATTTAGTGGGTAGAATGAACAAATTATGTGTGGATAACAAGGAGACTCGTAGAATGGGTAGGCATCAATAAGCAAAACAAAAAGTGACGAAAGGTCACTAATAAAACAGAAAGATAAACGTTTTAAAGAGGTGAGCTGACGTTTGTCTCTTGTTAGAAAGCTTTTGATTATCCTTCGAAGTCACTCCATGGATTTTTCTTCTTCTTTTTTGCGTGATTTCCCCTGTTTTTCTATGATTAAAGTGGAACCCAAAACAAAACAAGCTTGATATTAAAATCCCATAAACTAATCACATCACAGCAAGAGGAATCATAACAGCCAAAAACAAACCCAGCTAATTAACTACAATTGATTAATCACGTAATTGTCGTCATCATCATAAGCTAATCAGTGTCCATGAACAGAGTAAGGAGATGAGTAAAGAAAGCCATACAAAAGAAAGCAAAGTAGTGAACTTTATAGGTAAATTAACTTACCCAGAAGATGAATTCCGGTAGAGAAGGGAGAAGTCTCTGGAAATTGCTGGGGGGGAAGAGCTTATTTTCCGGGTTTCCCTCTTATGGAGCAGAGTAAAGAAAGAGACTTACTGGTTATGTTTTTTTGCAGGGGAAACAGAGGACTTGGGTTCCCATTCTTTCTTCTGGTTTTTGTGGTCGAATTGGGAATTGGGCTAATGGGGAAAGGCGAGGAAGGGGAGAAATCGGGCCGTATTCCCCAGAAGAAGGGAGGAGCTAGTTGGGTTTTTTCTCGAGAAGAGAGAGAAAGAGTGGGGGGAGAGACTAGAGAGAGAGAGGGAGGGAGTCAGAGTGTTATGGAGGATTGATTGTTTCGTTTGAATTGATTAAGTAAGAAGAGAAAGAGAAAGGAGGGGGGAATGGAGGATGATAATATGTTCCCGAGAGAGAATTGATTCAAGGGTTGTGAACAAAAGATGGTGACAATTAATGGATAATAATGACATCGAAGAAGAAAGGAAGGACCAGAAACTAACAAATAAACCAGATTGGGGAAGTGAAGGAATGAGAAGTTTGTTTGTTTTTGCTCTCTTTTGCTCTTGGGGGTGTGTTTTGGGAAAGAAGATTGGGATAGGGGAGTGTTGTGTCGGTTGATTGTAGTAGTGCTATGATAACCTAATAGATAGATAGAGTAACAAAGATCGATGATATGAATCCAATCGTGAAATCGAAGATGTCAAAATTTGATTCTTGCCATCAACAGTTAATCAAAGAATTCAAGCGGTGTCATCAATAAAAATAAATAAATATACGGTATGAAGAAGACAGAAACAAGATTGGAAATGCCAAAAAAACCTAGTCTACAGTTAGGAGACGAAAACAATAAATGAGATGACTCGGTCGTCAACACTCAGACAGTTTGAAGATGGTTGTCAGCGACCAACACATACAATGGGTCAAAATCTTAGCAGCTACCCACAATGTATTGAATAGTAGTTCAGAAAGGAGAACCATGAGTTCCACGCCATGGCACATACATGTACATATGTGTTGGTAACTATATCCCCCACACGAATACCAAACTTTTAGTTGGATTCTACCCGACAGTTAACTTTGATCGGTGTCAAAGTTGTTGCGAATGCACTTGCATATTACGTGCTCTTGACTACCAAGAACAACACAACTCTTGAGATGAAATGAAACGAAACCTTGTTCACATATGGTGGGAAGTTTTTTTTTTTTGTAACTTGTGGTGTGTTTTCTAGCCAAGCCATTTTTGTTGGGGACTTGGCCACAATTGAATAGGGAATTCATCGTATTTGGTCTTTGAGGGTCGTGAGCAGAGACAAGGCAATCAAGGGACAGATAGTACAGCATGGGAATGGGAAAATGGCTGGAGCACTACAGAGTATTGCGGTGGGAGGCCCCAATTATGTGCGGGGTGGAAGTTTGGTATCAGTATTTGGGATATACCGAATATCGTACCGAATTTGTCTATATTTGGTATTACCGAATATACGAATTATTTTTTGGGATTGGGATTGGGATTGAATTTCATTTGTTATTCGGTATTAGGGATTACGGGATTGGGATCGGTATATGCCGAAATACCGATCAATACCGAAATATAAGCTAGTGTGTATTTTATCTTTTCAATTAGACTTTCTCATTCACTACTACACGACCCTCAACCACCAAAAGTGTCATTTAATTATACATAGATCATTTCATCACTATTAATAGTCGTCTGTCAACCTCCAATTCGTCAAATTAAAGATTACCAATGACAAGAACTCGAGATGTCTCCCCTCCACCATTCTCCTTAATAATATCCTAATTCAAGACTCTTTGCTTAGTCTTTTTTCCCAAAATGAAACAATAAAATCTAATTTATATATTTAATTATTAATTATAAAGGTACTTAATTTCGTATTCGATAATTTCGATTGGGATACCGAAGTACCGATTGGGATACCGGTATATTTAGGGATTGGGATTGGGATACCGAAATTATTTAGGGATTGGGATTGTGATTGACTTTAGGGTGTAATTCGGTATTTGGAATTTCGGTATTTGGTATTGGGATACCGATACCGTACCGATTTCCACCCCTAGCCTTAGTGACTTATCTTGTTGTATCTACGCCTTCCCTTAGGTCGTGGAGATGATGATCTCTTCCTTTGTATCCTTTTTGCATAGTAAGTTTTGAGTCTTCCAATCCTCACATTATTGTCCATTCTTTTTGGGTTCCAAGCTTCATTTCCATCTCTAACTTCCGAGTTTGAAGGATGATCTTTGTATGGATATTGATGAAATTCATGAGAAAATTAAAGGAAAATGTAAACTTTAAGAAAAGAGATGTTGGTAAGAATTATACATTCGACTCGATTGGATAGACTCACATGTCATATAAATATGATAAGATCTATAATAAACCTCTTTCGTTCATGTCTATCAAATACACTCAAATTTGCGATCTTTGAAAATTTATTCAATGTTTTGTTCAGGCCGTCTACCATGCATGACTCCTGCAACATCTTGAGATATGCTATTATTACAAAATGGGTTTTTTAGTTTTATGATTCTCAGCATGTGTTTGGAGCATAGAGTCATTTTCGTTTATGATAACTTAATATCCTCTCTCTCCAAAATTTTCTCAATACTAACTTCATTTAATAATTTCATAGTATATTGTCCCAAATGGGAGGATGCTTAAGTACTCCCTACTCAAGTTAATTATCTTCCTTATCCATTATGACAAAGCTAAAATGCTGCCTCTCATGATTTTTTACCATTGATAATAGGAGAGGCACTAAGGGAAAGAACTTCATGATGAATGTTAATCATGCTAACCTATGTTTCTCCTTTTAGGACATGATCAATTTCAGTTCCTTCCTAGGCAAGGCACCTTTCACTCAATTTGATCTCAAACCTTCAATTGCTTTTATTTATCTATTTTGCTCCAGCCATTGATTTTGAGAGTTCTTGTTCGTGCGTGGTTTGGTGCATCGCTTAGCTTAAAGGATTCCTGATCCTATTTTTTCCTCAAACCATAATTATGAACATATTATTATTATTATATGGTTTACAGATTAGCGTCAAACTTATAATGTAATTATATGTAAAGAAGAACAGCAGGTAAGATGCTTTTGGGTAATTAGCCATAATTATGTTGCTGGTGAATCATATGTATAAAGACAAGATGTGTATGTTAGTGGGGCGGGTAAGTAATTTCACCATTTCATAATTAGACATTATGACTAATTATGTAAATAATCCAACCAACCATGCAACCTCACTATTGAAAATTTCGTTTGTATATGTAGAGAGTATAGTTAGGACTTAGGAGGACAGATATAGGACTTGTTGAGACTAATGAGCAATGACTGATCTATTTGTTTCTATCGTTCTTAGAGAGCATATAAGAAGTAGGTAAGACTATTAGAATTAGTTAATTTAAGCTTAAAAAAAAAATTAAGAGTCGAAATTTGTTAAGGAGATTTCATGAAATTCAATTAGAGCCCAAAACAAGCATTCAATATCTCGTTGATTATAACTATAACACCTTCAAATTAACCCTCTCGAGCAAAGAGAAAAATTAACCACTTCCACAAACACAACTCCTCCAGCGCGCTGGGGTAATCTTTATGACCTTTATATTTCTAAAGTTCTTTGTATTTTCTTTGCATACGATCTTTTACATCATAATCTTGACCATGCAGATACGAAGAACCATCAATTCAGCTTCACATGTCGATTGCTCTCATCCACACGTAGAAGGTAAATCAGTCAAATGGAATCCATACCAAAACTTAATACCTCAATAATCATTCCATCCACATATCTCTTGGATAACCCCACATTCCGATGACTCGAATTATCAAATAATAGTTCCCATAACAAATCTTGGGAAGAATCCTTGAAGTGGAAAACAACCTTTGACTATAGAACTATATGATGAGCAAGCAACACGAGAAATATAAGTGAACTTTCTCATTAGATCAAAGTAGCTAGGTAGCAACATCATACCCACCACGGGAGTAATGGGGAAGTAAAGTACAAAGTACGTACATGCATCATCAAGCTAAAATAATTACTTGCCAAAGCTCTTCCTTGAAAGCCTTGGTTCTCTTTTAGGTGAGATCGCGACGGCCAAGATCTATAAGATCGAGGAGGAGCAAATCTAAGTATATCTCATTCTAGAATCCGCCCCCATTTCTCCCTAGTTTATTGCTTGACTTGCATGATTGTTCAATAATCTTCACAAATCGTAACGTCTTTTGTGATTTTTTTACGAGTTTCATTCATTCCAATGAAAACTAAACTACCATGAAATCAAAATTATAGTCTATAACCTCTCATTAGGGTCCAACTACAAGCCATTTGAAAAACTAGGCATGAAAGCCATCTATGACTATAACATCACTTATTTTTGGGGAGAACGAAAGAGGCATAATGTTGCAATGGACAATGCCGACACATGCAAATAGTCGGGCATTTTATGTACGTGAATTATAATTTGGAATGTGACATGTTGCGGCTAAATTGGCACCACAAGACCAAAGTCCTAGCGCCCTAAAAGACAAACAAAAGCCAATGCTTTTAGTTATAGAAACTTGACAAATCTCCCCTTCAACAAGAGGTCCTTCTTCTAGTTTCATGGCAAAATACTCGGCATTGATCACAAGAGAGTCCCCTTTAAGGAAGTGGTTAAGTACCATACATGGGTCTTTATAAAATCCAATATAACATTCTCCCAACAACTCGAGTTATTGGGAGCAACTGGTTTATGACATGATATCAGAGCTGGTTTGTCTGTGAGGTCACGTGTTCAAGTTCTCACGACCCCCAATATTAACCGTTGTCTTTCAAGCACATGGTATGGCGGGCCTGTGCAAACTGCACATCCATTGCACGATAGATTTCCACACCACTATCTCTTGCAGAACGTTCTAACATACACGAAATCACAAGTTAGAGCACAAGATGGATAATATCTCGTAATTTTTATACTACATGTAGCTTTGTCACGGTAAGCTAACGGTTAGAGGTGTGCAACGTTTTGGTTCGAACCGGATCACACTAAATCAAGTTGACATAAGGATCGAATCATATCGAATCGAATATAATGCGGGTTTTTACTAGTTTTTTTTTGGAATGTTCTTATTCATCGATTTTGAGGGCAATCCATCACAGATTTTGGCAAGTTTTTTTTGGAATACTATTATTCATCGATTTTGAAGGTTATCCGTCACAGATTTTGATCGGTTTCTTCAGATGATATTAGTCTCCGATTTTGAAGGCTATCCATCACAGATTTTGACCACTTTTTTTGAATGCTATTATTCATTGATTTTGAAGGCTATACATAACAAACTTTTTTTGGACGATATTTTAGAATGAAATTATTCATCGATTTTGAAGGCTATACATAACAAACTTTTTTTGGACGATATTTTAGAATGAAATTATTCATCGATTTTGAAGGCTATCCATCACAAATTTTGGCCAGTTTTTTGGAATGCTTTTTTTAATATTTCAATAAAAAAAAACTTGCATAAATGACCCGGGTTTTAAAGGACAAACCCCTAAAGTATAGTGAGCACTTGTATAATTGACCCGGGTTTGTGTAGTGGGCTAGTGGGAGAGGAGGCTGGGAGCACTTGGGGGACTTTTAAGTATTTGGGCCTGGAATGAAAAGCCCAACAAGCATTACAATTGCATGGAAGCTGCAAAGCTCTGGGGAGGCAGGAGAACTGAAACCGAAAGTCAGTGACCAACTTCCTTCGCCTAATCGCCGACGAGTAAGGTTTCCTCCTCCGCCATGGATCCCGTCTCCAATTCCTTCAATCCTCACAAGCTCCTCAAGGAACAGTAAGGCCACCCAATCATTTTCGCTGCCTATTCTCATTTCTCCCTCCCCGTATCTGATCTTCCTCTCTCTCTGATTTCCCCCTTTTCGATTCAGATTCGTGAGCAATTTGAATGGCTCGTCCATGCTTGAGATCGCCTCGCTTTCCACTATTGTCCCTGTACGTTCTCCCTTTCTTCCTCTCGGTTTCACTTGCCATCTCCTTTTTTCGTGTCAGTTCTCGCTGCAGTTTCAACTTTTCTCTGATGTTTTCCGTTTTTGGGTTAGGCTCTGTTCCTTCTGCGACGCGCGTTCTGCTTCAGCTACAAGAGCGGTAAGTCGAGCGAGAAAAATCTTGTGCTGTGAATGGGATTGCACAGGTTGGTTGCTAAATTTCGTGTCTTTGTTTGTTTATGAACTTCCAGATGCAGCGAAGAAAGATGATGATGCAGTTGCTAAATCTAGGAATTTGGGAGCATACTTGGCAGTGGTATCTTTGGATTTCCTGTTCCTCATTGTCCCAACTCTTCTGGTTCTCACTGTAAGTAGTCTCTTCTATGCACTTATGCTGCTTTCCTGGACACAAATTGTGGTCATAGTAGATCATGTGATTTCGATATGATCTCGTTGTAGCATAGTTAAGTTGAGTGTAGTCTGGTATTGAAATCCAAGTAAGGTATCTTCTGCGTTTGCATCGGTGTTTGATCATTGAATGACTGGTTTGGTTAGCAATTGAAAGCAGTTGGTTCCTTGGTGCTTATATCATTTTGCAACTTGTAGCTTTGAAGGAGCCATAACCTTTGCATCTGATATACGTGACAGGTTCTAGCAGATTGGGTGAATGTGTTGGCCATCGTATTGGCGGTACTGATTTTATTTCTGGCCGCTAAAAGGTAGAACTTGTAAGTCCTCAGATTGTGCTCAATGTTATATTTTCAATTTTTGGTATTCAAGAATACTCATATGATTATGACAAGTTTAGGTTAGAACTGAGAACTTATTTCCGATTGCTACTTTTGAATTTGTTCAGGCTTGCTTCATTTGCATCGAATTCCGGGTCCGCCTCTCAGCTTAGGACAAATATTTTATCGTACAGGGTCAATGTGGTACACAACCTAAGTCTAACAGCTTTTGTTTTAGCTGAATTTTTTTTTCTTAGCTTTACCCCTTACGAGATTGACTGCTGCAGATGATCGTGACTTGCTTGTGTATATTGGCTGTTGATTTCACAATATTTCCCAGGAGATACGCAAAGACAGAAACTTATGGTACTAGCTTGGTAGGTTTTTCTCAGATTCTCATATATTCATATGATAACTTTTTTCTGCCTGATGTAATTTTGCTTGCTCATTGATTATAAGTGCCCGGTGATTCTTTCAGATGGATCTTGGGGTTGGCTCCTTTATAGTGACAAATTCCCTTGTGTCACGACAAGCCCGCGGTATATCATCCATGTGAGTGTTGATGGCTTTGTTTCTCTGACATTGTTTGCTAACTGGTATTGACGGACGGTTTCTAACTGAGACATGTGAGCCTGATTGGTTGATCAATTAGTTGACTGAACGTTAGTGCAGAAAGGGTTCATGATGACACATTGGCAGATTTTAAAGGTTGATGTATAGTTAGAGCCTATTTGATAAGAATTTACAACCATGTGGATAACGTGTTTAGATGTTTGTTACTTGTCTTTTCTTTTTGCTATTATGCTACTACTCCAATTAATGATGATGTGTTTTTGTATCTTTTTTCTATCAAGGAGCTGGAAGGCTGCTTTTAAATCCTCCAGCCCACTACTAGTACTTGGATTTGGTCGTCTTCTTTCTACGAGAAGTGTGGATTATCAGGTAAAAATATAGCATGCCACATCTTCGAGAATTACTGATCTGCTCAATGGGGAGGTTCCAATAGATAAATAACACATTGAGTTCTTCTACCTGCAATTCAGTTAATAACAGACTCCACTGGACTGAAATAATTTTGGCCTTTCTTGCTGTGGCTCTGTGAAAACGTTTTTGAATATAATGAACAGACAAGCCTACTTAGTGTGAGATGATGATGCTTGAGATATTCGCTCTGCTGGCACGTGGAAACACTTCATAAGTGGTTAAAACAAGGTCATTCGTGTTCGTAGTGGTGGAAAATAGAGTCAGCAACTCTTCATTTTCCTTCCAACGACATAACACTTAGGTGTTACTTCAGTGGAACTGTTATTTTTTCCTTATCAATAGTGGAACTGTAATTTTAAGTGTGCCTTTGAGGTGAATTTTCTACTTCTTGTTTCATGCAGGTTCATGTTGCAGAATATGGGGTTCATTGGAATTTCTTCTTCACTCTTGCAGCTGTTACCATCCTCACATCCATAATAAAGATCCCCCCTAAGTACTCGGGCCTCTTTGGTTTATCACTTCTTGTAGGTACTTCCCTACTCCAATCTAGATAAATTACCAAATTACTGTCTTCTATTTTAGCTGACCTTGTTTATGGCATGCCACTTTTTTCTTCAGGTTATCAGTGGTGGTCAGTAAATGGACTGAACTTATATTTGCTCTCTAATGAAAGGGGGACAGATCTCTTGAGCCAAAACAAGGAGGGTTTATTTAGCATACTTGGTAAGAGAATTTAGAGTAGTCCAATGACTTCTTTTACCACAATTTGTAGTTGATATCAGCATTGGTTGTCGCCCTTTTTCTTCCATTGAATTGTTTCATCTGGTTGATAAGTTTAATTGGTTTCTGGAACCATATAATTCCAATTTGTATGCCCTTCCCTGAAATAGGAAATCCTGCCTTTCTATATCCAGTCTCTCGTAAAGATAACAATATTTTTCCTTCTTCCCATGAGGGAAAAGTTTCTAGATTAGCGTCTCAAAATACTATTGCACCATCTGTTATAGCGATAAACATTATTGTTCTTATCAGCGTTTCATGGTGGTTAGCTTGTTATTCTTGACCTTTTTCTCTTGAAACTATTTATACCAAAAACATGCTCAAGTTCTTCGTCTTTGTTATATTCAGGATACTGGGGTATCTATCTTCTTGGCGTCCAGTTGGGCTACCATCTTTTCTTTGGTGACCACAAACCTGAATTGAAAAGCAAGAAATGGGCAACGATCAAAGTCTCCTGCCTTTCCATTATCTTCTGGTATATTATATGTTTTCCACTTTTCCCCCGTATTGCTTCCATTCAGCATACTTTCAAATTATCAATTTAGTTGAAGTGTTCTCCTCACCTCTGCTTGGTAATCTTGCTGCAGGTTAACAACTGTGGTTCTAGACAGCCATGTCGAAAGAGCTTCACGAAGAATGGTAATGTTTCCCCTCCCTTAGTTATCAGCAATTTTGGATTGGAGTTTCTACTGTTGCTAAAAAACAGGAAAATCTCTTCTTTGCAGTGTAACTTAGCTTATGCTACCCTGGTGTTGGCTCAAAATCTTCAGGTCATCCTCCTCACCTCACCTCACCTCCCTTATTATTACTGTTAATAATATATTTGTTTTTGTTTTATTATGGTTCTCACCTCCCTTATTCAGCACAAAGTGGAGAGTATTTTTCTAAAATTTCGGAGTCCTATCCTTTTTCAGGTTCTAGCAATACTAATGCTTTCGGATTGCATTGGCGTAAGTAGCATCTCCACACTTGAAGAAGCAATCAATCGGAATTTGCTCGGAACATTTCTCGTGGTGAGCACACTGCTAACACTATTAATCCAAACTGCACTCATCAGTATTTAAGGTTCAGCATGATCTGGTCCAGAATTAGGAGAATAACCATAGGACCGGGGCGAAAAAAGACTGGACCTGAATGAAGAGAATTGGCATAGGACCGGATCGAAAAAAAGAAGGAAAAACGAGGTTCAAGATAGGATCGAAAGCACATTCGATCCACCTGGGTTTTCTTTGTTTAAAAAGGATCATGGAATTGAAACTAGGGTGGACGACAACTTTTGGCATCCACCCTACAGAATAGATTCAAATCCGACCAGGCTGAATATAAACCGATTATGCCTGATTTCATGGATTGTCTTAAAAGCAAAGGAAACATGGACCATGTTTAAATCGGCGTGGAGTACTGAGTCGGACCAATTATGCTATGCATCCATATAATCCTCTCTTTCCTTTATTTTTTATCCGGTCTTATGTCGATTTGGACCGGGCCGGACTATTTCCACCCATAATTGAAATAAGGAAGGAAAAAAAAGTGTTGAACTTGGAAGTTGATACTGGATCGAATCCAAATGTCATTGCTGGTTGACAGTCTGATGCTAACTCTTTTATCATTTCTCAATTGCAGGCAAATGTTCTTACAGGGCTGACAAACATGTTAGTCGATACAATCTTCTCAACTCCGCTCTCTGCCCTTTCAATCTTGGTCACTTATGCTTATCTTTTGTCCATTATAACTGGAATCGCAGACTTCTACGGGATGAGGATCAAGTTTTGGTAGTTACAGGTTCTTTCAGCATACTTTCTAGGACTAAGTTTGTTCACAGAACGATACTCTTTTTTCTAGTTGGAAACCAACGGCTCTCTGTATTATTGTACCCAAATATGGCAATGCAACTTATCAACCTTCCTTCTTTCCATTGGGAGTCACGATCATGAACATCAGTGCAAAATAGGGGCATCCCCAAACTGACTTTCCCACATGCAATTTTTTTTACACAGGTCATAACTTCTAGGCAAATAATTGTATTGTTTTCACCGCATAGCTTTGTGTTATTTCCTGTTGCATTACCCTAAACATGCATAGGGGTGAGTCATCATCATCAGAAGAAGACTGCTAATAATGCAGGCAATCAGACAAAAGGAGTTCAGTTCTGGGAGGATGACTGGTATATTGTACTTTTGGGAAAAAGGGTAGAAGAGATGAAGGGTCATCACATGGATTCTGTGCAGTTCTGCAGAGTGATGACAGGCTTACTGGACCACGAAGTCCCACGGGAATCAAATCCATCGCACCACCAACTGTAGGGTCCCCCCCGTTTCCCTGACGAGGTACGCAGTTCTGGTTTTCTGGGTTTTTGTTTATTTTTCAACGGATACTAGATTTTTCTGTCACCCTCTTTTCCTTCTCTATTTCGATTTGCTGCATGGCCAGTTTTGTGGTTCATCATAGTTAAAAAAACAGAGTGTACAATGTGTCTTCACTCTTCAAATGTGTTTTTACTTTCAAGTTTTATAGACTTCCTGGCAATAGGGGGATATGATGCAATAGGAGAGGAAGCTCTTAACCAGTTCATGCTGCTTGTTGTAGTCAGGAAAAATGTTGTTGAGTCATGAAATGGGTAGGGTTATTAGGTTCTGAATGAGGTAAGGTCTGGCTAACCCTGTCCGGTTTAGATGGTTTGAAACGATTCTGTCCACATCTGACCGATTCATATTGAGGTAGACATTCGGTTCAGATTGAAGTATAATTGGTTTCGGTTCTCGAATCCATGACTTTTTTTAAGCTTCAGTTCCATGAACTCTACTTAGATTCCTGGCCAGGTCACTGCAAAGTTTGAGTCTTTCTATTGCAATTTGCATGGCAAGGACATAGTTGCAGGCACTGATGCTCTTGAAAAAAGCTTCTGGTCTGTTGTTTCTTCGACTGTCCTATTCCCCAACGAAGGGGAAAACCACAGTAGTGAGAGAGGCAAGACACCCTTCCCAATTCCACCAACAGTTTTTCTTCCATTTTCTTCCACTTTTTTGAAGAGCACTTGGTGTTATTTTCAATCATTTTTACCCTGGAAAATGATAACATTAATCTCTGCCTAATAAACTGTGTTTCTGGGGTCTTGAAATTGTCAGAGATGTGAACTTCTGTGTCTATATCATTGCGATTAGTCTGTGAGTAATGTGGGTTTCTGTCAGTAATTAGGATTATATATTCCCTACCAATCTTCTGCAGATGCTCTTTGAATTCTTGCATTTGTTCTCTTATGAGAATGCTCCCAAGCAAGTCATGACAATTTACAGCAAGAGGATATACGCTAGACACTAGGCACACACCTTTTCACAGATTTCTTATATAGAATCCATTTACTACATCTGTCCTCATTTAACTTTTCTTTTCTACTGCGCTCTAGATCGCGAAACCGTGTCGAATCAGAACGAGAGGGGGTTTCGATTTAGGGTGGTGGTCGAATTACGATAACAACAAGGTGTGCAAATGCTTATAAAACCGCGGTGAAATTGTTACAGGTTGATTACCGATACATAGTTTAACCGATACGATAGTAAAAATTTCAGAATCTTGTAATTGCTAAACTGGATTTGTTGTTGATCAACTTTTAACCATATGGAAACGTTTCCTTCTTAAGTCCTTCGTTCCTTATTATGTTACAAGGTAGGCTTTATTTCTCCTAGTACACAAGTGAGGTAGGGTACTCCCATCGTGAGGGCACAATACCGGCCGTCGGATCGGAAAGTGGTGAGATGAACGGTTGAGATTGTATGAATGGCCTCAAGAGAGACAAATGTTGACACGTACGATTCTGTGGCCTATGTGGCTAACGTGGGCTGTTAGTCACATACTCACATGTGAATTGAAGAAAACCCTTTGTTGTTCTTGTTGGCTTAGAGAGAAAGAGGTTTTTATTGTCATAGTATTTCCAATAGAAAACGTTTAAGATACGAAAATATACAAGATTTTGTAGGTCACCATGTCACATAACGAGAAAGAGATTCATTTCACTGAAATTGAGGTGTTTGTTTTATACGTCAACGTACAACTGCATCGATCACTCGAGAAATTTTGTTACGTCTTTTTTTTTTATTTATGTGCTCGGATTCCACATCCATGCCTTTGAAGCATTAACTTTGTTTTGAGCCATTCGGATGAAAGGCTGGCTGGAGATATTTAAGGGATCAGACACGCCAAATACTTTAGATATTTCCTCGAGAATTTGGATAAAGAAAAAATAAAAATAAAAACGTATATGAAGACTTAGAGAGGCCGTCTTTAATACATTAAGAAGAGATGTTTACACGACCATAAATACTCGGGTTAATACCTTAGTTTGGCCCGAACTATACACATACTTTCTACTTTGGCCCGTTTTATTGAATATTGCTACTATGGCCTGAACTATGTAGCAAACTTCCTCATTTGGCCTGGAGGCGGGTTTGACCGTCAAAACAGACGGTCAACCAAGTTGACCGTTAGTCAATTGCCACATCACCTGCCACGTAGACATTAAAAATTATATATTTTTTTTACAAAAAATAAATTAATAACTCTACAAAAAAAAGGAACGAAAAATAAAAGAAAAAAAAACCACAGCCACCCATCCCTATCTTCCACGCAGATCTTGACCGTCGGTTGGAGATCCTCCGGCGAAATACTCTCGATTATCTCCGTCGAGAAGCTCTCCCTCTGCAGAAACCCGAAGCACGGCTCCGGCTGCAATTCCTCCTCCCCTCCTCGTCTGGGAGAAGGCAAGCACGCCAATCGCTGCAATTCCCCGGATATATCGCTGCTACACCCGGAGAAATCACTGAATGCCTGCGAGATATCCAAAAACTCCTCCGTCGCCGCCGCGGAGGAGGTCAAATTCGCCGCCGACGATTTCTCTGACTTGCCGGAGCAGTTGAGGAAGTTCCTGGAGGCGAGCTCCCCGAGGCGCATGTCCACAACAGAGTCGGTCAAGTTCTCGGACACAAACCCGTGGTCAGGCGAGGCGGCGGCGGAAGCGAAGGAGGAACAGCTGTCCTCTCCGGTGTAAAGAGTGGAGCGGATCGTGCGCATGGAGCGGCCGATTTGGCGGTTGATCTTGGTGGTGGAGGCGGAAGGAGAGAGCAGGGGAGAGTAGAAATTCGTGCGAGGGAGAGGGAATCGGCCGGAGCTGGAGAGGTGATGGTGGTGGTGGGAGAGGGAATCATCGAAAGACACCATTTTTATTGCTTGGAGTGGTAAAGGAAGGATGAATCGGAAATGGGTAGTGTTTGGTTTCCGGAAAAATCTACTCTCTCATGGTTGCAGAGACAGAGAGTGGCTGGAGAGGAAGAAAGAGGGAAAGGGAAAGTGAAGATGAGAGATTTATAAATAAATAAAAAAGGACTGTTGCTGTGGGTGGCTGTGGTTTTTTTTTCTTTTATTTTTCGTTCCTTTTTTTTGTAGAGTTATTAATTTATTTTTTATTTTTTGTAAAAAAAATATAATTTTTAATGTCTACGTGGCAGGTGATGTGGCAATTGACTAACGGTCAACTTGGTTGACCGTCTGTTTTGACAGTCAAACCCGCCTCCAGGCCAAATGAGGAAGTTTGTTATATAGTTCAGGCCATAGTAGCAATATTCAATAAAACGCCCCTCGTCATTGCATTCATTCATCACCCCCATTGAACTATCTTTGGTGTATGTCTCATTCTGTCCTTTCTCTCTCACTTTTCTCCCTTCTCTTTCCTTCTTCTTTCCCTCTCTTTCTCGGATCACAAACAACACAGAAACAAAAAAGAAAAATGGCAACGGAAAGTGCAACAATGGCGCCGCCTTCCATTTCCAACAACGACCTCTTCAACTACATTGTCATCTACGACACCATCTCCGCCACTCCCTCCACCGCCGCCGCCACCCCACAATACGACTCCTCCTTCTTCTTCTGTCCTCCTCCAACAGCACCACCACCACCGTCTCCTCCGCCGCCTCCACCGGCGGCTACAAAACCAGCACGTGGCGGCGGCGGCGGAAGCAAGAAGAGGAGGAGGAAGGCGAGGGTTTGCAAGAACAAAGAGGAGGCCGAGACTCAGAGGATGACCCACATCGCCGTCGAGAGGAACCGCCGGAAGCTGATGAACGAGCACCTCGCGCTCCTCCGATCCCTCATGCCTCTTTCCTACGTCCAAAGGGTACAATAGTCATTTTACTAACAAAATTTCCCTCTCTTTGGGGACAATCATTATTATCTTCTAAATTTTCAGTAGAAATTTTCTACTAGCTAGTATCGTATAAATTATTAAGGAAGGAGAGGTGAATGGAGTCTCTAATTCGGTGGTGGAGTCAGAAATTTGAACAAAAGAGATAAAACATTAGAGAATTTCAAACCGGTGAGGCTAAAATCTCACCAACTACTATATTTCCCGACATCAATGTTCCGTTCACAAAAAAAAAAAAATAATTCGTTACACCATTAATCATAATATCAGTCGTGAATACCCTGATAATCGTCCATCCGAATTTTAAAACAAGTATCACATCATGAGATGATTCAATTGCTCATTCACATTTCAATAATTTAATTAGGGTTATTTATGATTACATATATTATGTCTATATAGGGAGACCAAGCATCCATTGTGGCCGGAGCAATCGAGTTCGTGAAGGAGCTAGAACACTCCCTCAACACCCTCCAAGCTCAAAAACTCCAACTCACGACAACAACAACAACAACAACAACGGAAATCGCCACTCCATTCGCCGACTTCTTCAACCACTACGGTAGTAGTACTGTTCACAACGAGAATCTCCAGTCCCATCACGGCCACATGATGAACAGGGCAACAATCAGCTGTACCTCTTCTTCATCGTCCAGCTACAATGAGGAAGCGATGAACAGTAACGGCAGTACTAGTAGCGGTTCGAGTGGTTATAACAACAGCAATGGGAATATCGCTGACGTGGAGGTGACGCTGGTGGAGAGCCACGCGAACCTAAGAATCCTGTGGAGGAAGGAGATGAAGGCGGCGCCATTGCAGCTGTCGAAGCTGGTGTGTGGGCTTCACGCGCTGGGGCTGGGCGTGCTGCACTTCAGCCTGGCTACTGTTCACCCGTTTGCCCTCTACTCCGTCAGTGCCAAGGTAAAATGTTATGATCGTTCTTCGTTGATGATCAATTATTGTACGTTGCTTTTGTTGTTGTTGTTGTTGTCATGTACGTGAATGTGTGGGGGAAAGATGCTGATGATCACGTGAGTTGCCAAAAGGCCAAAACATGGAATTTGAATACATGTTACAAAATCATAAGACATAGTGTCCAGAACAGTTTAGTCCGAATAACTCGAGTTATTGGGATTAAACAGTAGTTTATGACAACTAGAAAGTAGGGTAGGTGAGAATCGATATCACTCGGAATTGGATTGGGACTAGGTTGGTTGATGTTCGAATTGATCAGCTTGCAAAAGGATTGATATGGTATTCGATTCGGCTTTGATTCTAAAATCGAGACTCTTTATTAGTATTGATTCGATTGGACTTCGTGGAAGGAAAAGGAATAATACATTTGATTTGATTAGGTCGTCATTTCGCTCTAGTTAGGGAACTAAGAAAGTATGAGAACTGTAACGGTGTCAGATCCTGTATTAATTTTGGTTTGGTTTGAAATATAACTCCACAGAAAATTCGTTTTGTGCATGTTTTTTTTAAGTACATAGACATAGGATGAACAAATCGTTCATCCTATATATCGAATAATCTTCGAGCCTTCAATACCATTGAAGTTCTAATACAAATTTGTGTTGCAGGTTGAAGAAGGATGCCAGGTGAGCTCGGTAGAAGACATAGCTGCAGCAGTTCATCACATGCTTAGACTAATAATCGACCAAGAAGCTGAAACCCACCAGCAGCTTCCTTACACTAATTCCCTTCTTCCCTTAATCACCTTATAATAAGATCACATAAAACCTCTCTCTCTCTCTCTCTCTCTCTCTCTCTAGATATGCACTTTGTTCATTCCTTCTGGAATCTTTTCTGTGAGTCATTTGTAGTGTCACTATCTGCGTTTTGTTCTGTACATATAAGTTTTTTTTGGTTCCTGTAAGACTGTAGCAAAAGAGTTAGATCCTCTATCCAACATGCATTTCCACCTCTTCTTTTGACTTTTGAGTGGTCTGTCGCACGTTACGGTTTATTTTGGGCCGCTGTGACATTGGGCCGACTCGTTGGGTAGGAAGCTAGCTAAATGGACCCAAATATTACTTCTTTTTTTGGAATGGGTTGGGCCAGGTTTAGAATGGGCCTCGTTTGGGTCCATCGTGCATGATCAGCATGAAACAGCTTATTTGATAGTTGATACAACTTATTTGAGAATCAGAAGCAAGGCAGTACATAAGATTTAGGAGTACATGAGCAGAGTAGTATAGCTCATAATTATTCAAGTTCTTGAGACCGTTACAAGGGTGATGCAAAAGTGACCCTAGCAAGTTCACTAACCCCCCCTGTAATTTCATGGCAAATGGTACCTGCATAAATATACCGATAGCAGGTACCGATACTCTCTCAATATATAAAGATATACCGATCAGTGCAAGAGGAACTTCTTGTACCAATAAGCCGAGTACTTGAGGTATCTCTTGAGATGGTCCTTGAAATCGATGTAGATCAGACCGAATTTCACCGTGTAGCCAGCATCCCACTCGAAATCGTCGAACAAAGACCATGCGTAGTATCCTTTCACGTTCGCTCCGTCCCTGCAGTTTGCATTATTACCATTCATAAGTTCGATTAACTTGCATGAGATTAGAATGTTATTTACTCCACTAATTTTTCTTTATTTGTAGTTTGTTTACTTGATGGCTAGGAGGAGGTTCTGGAGATGTAAATGGAGGTATTTGATCCTCATCCCGTCCTTGATGAACGCGCTCTGGGGCAACGTGTCGTTACTCGCATCGGCCAGACCTACGAACAAATACGTATTAGTATATATATATATATATATATATTTATATTTTGTTAACCAAAAGAGGTTAATTGCATTTCATGACTTTCAAACTAGAATTTTTTAGTACTAATCCGTTTTATCTTTTCTCCCACCTTCAGAAGAAGAAAGCGTAACCGAAATAATAGTAATTAGTGAAATAAAAATACTTGTACAAATTAAGGAAGTAATCCCGTCCCCAATATGTAAAATAAAATGAAGTAAATAAAAAAAATATATATATATATATATAGGAATTATATTTGTATGTACCATTTTCGGTGATGTATATTGGGGGATTCTTGTACGTGTCCTTCACATGCATCATTAGCGAGTGGATTCCCCTCGGATAAATGAAGAGCCAATTCAGACCAGTCTGCAAAGTAGCATTCCCATTAAGAAATGGATGCATTTCAATGAATCTGAATTGTCGATGATCGGTTTTAAGTAAATTGGTCTTACAGGGATTTAGAGAATTATTAGCTCCTAACTTTACTCAATAAGATTAGGATATAGTAATATATTCCAACTTATTATTAATTTAAAATTTAGATATCGTTTTCTCACTTAAAATATATTGTACCCTCAAATTTACCCCGAATAAACAATAAAAACCTCATCTATATATCGACATATATGTATATATAAACGTACCGGGGTACCGATAGGAACTCCCGCCTTGGAAGCTGCATGCATGTGGAAATTAAATTACTCACTCAAAGAGAAGCTAAAATACATATATATAGAAAATGCCGATTAAAAGCCAAGTATCTAATCAATAATAATAAAGGAAAGAATGTTGCAAAATCAAAACCGCAAAACTTACAAAATTTCGTGTCTTACCTCTCTTGATATGATGGTATCATCGGGTAATAAGGCACGAATTTTGTAGAATTTTGTAGACACTAAAATTTTTGTACCGTAACCAAGACAATTAGATATGAAGTAGGTATGTATACGTACTTGTGAGAATAGTCTGAGAATCAGCGTTGTAGCTAGTGTTAGCACCATGCAGGACCGGATTATGCGCCGCGAAATTCGTCGTGTAGTAATTGACCCCGAGGAAATCCAACGACCCCCGCAGCATGCGGGACTGCTCCGGCGTGAACTTCGGCAGCCGGTCGCCGACCAGCCGCCTCATGCTGGCCGGGTACTCGCCGTAGGTGATCGGACTCACGTACCACCCGAAGAAGAAGTCAATCGCCCTGCCGGCGGCCTCCTTGTCGGCCGCCGATTTGGGAGACTTGGGGACGAACCAGTTGGTGACGATGGTGACCCCGATCTCTCCCTTCTGGGTGGGCTGGTACTTGGACTTGTAGAGGCGGACGGCGGCGGCGTGGGAGAGGAGGAGGTTGTGCGCCACCGTGTAGGGCTCGGTGGCGGAGTTGCCGACGGTGCAGTTGCCCATGTAGCGGGAGCAGTGCCCCGGGGCGAAGCTGCCGCCGTTGTAGCCGTTGATGCTGTAGGAGTAAGGCTCGTTGAGGGTGCACCATTTTTTCACCCGGTCGCCGAACAGCTTGAAGGACAGGTCGGCGTAGTCGCGGAAGTCGTCCCTGCATCGAGAGAGAGAGAGCGGTCCGCGCGTGATGACTTCCAGTCCACGACAGATAATCCGAATTCAAGCGATAGAGTAACGGATTATAAGCGGGTACTGATGGTTGCTAGTAGGGCTACTTACACGACTTTGGAGCTGAGGAAACCGGAGTATTCGTCCTCGAGTGCCTGTGGGAGGTCCCAGTGGAACAACGTCACGAACGGTTTGATTCCGTTGACGAGGAGGTCGTCGATCAGTCTGTTGTAGAATTTCACTCCTAATGGATTCACCCCGCCACTCAGTTTCCCCTCTAGAATGAAATTTAAATTGTCACCATACAGATATGTCCCAAAATTAGATTATAGTTATATGTTTTTTTTTAATAATATATTTTCTTACAATAAAAATAAAGTATGTCCTTGAAAGGGCACAAGGAGGACTAGTGACCTTCTTTTTTTTGGTTCACTACGATTTGAACTTGTCAAGAACCAGTTGATCCCAATAACTCGAGTTGTTGGGAGAGGTTCAATCGTGAATTATATACCGTTTACTAACATAACTTACTCGGCAATAGTCGGGGCCAGGAGATGGAGAATCTGAAGGAGTCCAATCCCATTTTTTTCATTAACTTGATGTCCTCCTTCAACCAGAAAAAAATATGTGTAGGTAAGCATTAATATACAGCTAGAGATAACGCTCCGTGACCACATTCATTAATGGTATTAATAATATTAGTAGACAATAACGGTTGATTTTAAAATTCCCTTTTTATAGAATTGTGCAATGGCAATTATTTATTGATATTATGTGTGGTTGTTGCCCTAGCTACTTGGAGGCTGGCTAACCTTGAAGGTTTGAGTACCATTCTTGGTGGAATGCCTCCTGATGAGGCCTGGACACATCTTTTCTTCTCCATGAACTTGTCCAAACTTGAACTTGCTAACATTGTTTTCATTCTTTGGAGAATTTGGAAGGGACGTTGTTGGGCGGTCCACGATCACATTCAGTATCTCCCTCATGCTTTATTTCGACAGTATCGACGCCAAGTGGACGAGTGGAGGGAGGCTACCCAGGCACCTCCACCTCAGTCTCATCGTAGGGCTTCTCCTCTCCCTGCCGCATCAGCTCGTGTTGGGTCATCCTCTGGAATTTCTCCCACTATAAATGTTTGGTTTGATGGGGCAGCCAAGCGTGGCCAAGGAGGTAGTATCGGTTTCGTAGGTTTTCATGAGACAGGTACTGTGCTCTTTGCATTTGGCAAATTTTATGATGGAATTCAGGATCCATTTATTATGGAATGTTTAGCCTTGCGTGATGCCTTGCAGTGGTGTCTAACCCATTCTTTCCTTGTTGTTTCTTTGCATGGGGACTCTCAACTTTTAATCCGGCGGATGGTTGGCGGTGATTTGCATCATGATCGGGGAGGTGCTATTTTGGCGGATGTTAAGAGCTTGGCGTCATCGTTTAGCAGCATCTCTTACTGTTTTGTGTCCCGTTTACATAATAGGGCTGCCCATCATGTGGCACAAAAGGCCCTCTCATCGAGAGTTCGACTATTGGTCGACTCTCGCTCTTTTCTTTCTTCTTCATTATGACTTTCTTTCAACACTGACTTTGCGAAAAAAAAAAAAAAAAAAAAAAATATATTATGATGTGTTTTTTATATTTTGAAATCTCTAAAATACATGTATATTGTAAATAATGAGGGATGTCCTTTTTAAAGTACCCTCTACAAATAAATCATTGATTATTTCATCACTCATATATAATTTTGAAGTATTTTTTCACGTTGTTCATTGTAGTAAATGTTCTTTCAAACACTTGCATTAATGGCATCGGGTAGTAGTAATTAACACCACTAAATTTGAGGTTTTTGTTTATATCAAACTCAGCTGCAAAATATACTGATTAGAACCTAAGCATAGATCACAAAGACCCTTGTGTTCAAAACCAGTGGCGTAACAAGAATTTTATCCAAGTGGGTGCATTAAAATTATCTTTGAACAATTGTCCAAATTATCAAATTTGGCTCTTAATGTTATCCCACCAAATAACCATTCACATTTCTTTTCACTTAAATGGAAGGCCGGTCAACTCGTTTCATTGCAAAAAGCTTTATATCAACATGTGTATTAACAATTTCTTTATATCAAAGGCTGGTCAGCTCGTTTCATTGTGGTTGTTGGATTGTAAATTTTGAGAATTAACATTGAGATTTGGGGTTCAAATTTCATTATCGACAAATTAATACCACATTACTACTAAGTTTTGTGTATTTCTCTAAATCAAAGGGGTGCCATGAAATCCCCTCCTCATCCTTTGGCTCCGCCCTTGTGTTCTGTCCACGATCACATTAAATTTTTTACTGCTGCATTTTATGGGGCCAAGGTTGGTACTGCAAATGACCTCTCCTTTTACCTCCAGTGGTTCTACCACTACACGACCATCGAATAATTTTTCCAACTTATATCATAAGTTAAACGAATTTCCGACCATAATACTATACCCTAACAACGTAAATTCCTTGGAACATATACATATTTGTGTAGTACGACTTACCGCATACCGGTGGTAGAAATCATCGGCTACATCTCCATTACTATGATCCCATATTTTATCTGAAACAGATTAAAGTCCACAATTACAAACTTTATAGATATGCAAAATAAAGCTAAAGATGATAGATCTAGAAATCGATCAGCCGACCTCGATGCTCTCGAGTGAAATTGTCCCAAACACTTGCTCCCCTCCCATCCATATGTGCAGCTCCTTCAGACTGCACCATCCGATCCATTGCATGTAATATCTTTAGGTATCCATAATACGTGTGCATATATATCACGGTAAAAAAAAAAAAAACAAGACGTTAGATGTAAAGCGAGCGTTGCGGTCTTGTCTAGTATACCTGGTAAGCTGCTGAACCGGCTCCGAATATAAAGCCTTTGGGAAAGCTGCTTCTGTTGAAGGAAGAGGTAATATGCTGCCGATGGACTCCGTCGGCGGCGGCGGCGGCGGCCTCCGCATTGCCGGTAATGAACAGACCTGCAGCAGCTGCCAAGTAGCCAAACAAAAACACAGACACAAATGGACTACCAGCCATTCTCGTTTCTTAGCTATATTTGTTGAACTAAGCTACCTTCTTCATTATATAGAAAGATGAGAGATAACCAAGGTTGTCAACCCGCGGGTTGACCCGGACCCGGTCGAGCAAGTGGGTCAAGGGTTAATGGGTCAACCGTTTTAGCCCGGAAATATAGAAAGAGTCATTATATTGCACTTATCCTCATAAATTATATCAAATCTTATCTAACATATGAGTTATAACATATAATATTACACCAAAATAACATATCGTACTTAGATCCAATATATAGTGAAAATTCACACACACTTATATAACATAAATATTCAAATGTTCAACTTAGTATTCCAAATACTGAGTTAGGCGAAAAGAAAAATTGGAAAATAGGCGTATTTCGCAAACTAAAGAAAAAAATGACACAATTTGACCTCCAACCCGGTACCTAATAACGATCGGCCCGGCGGGTACGTGCGGCCCATTTTTCTCACCGGGTCAGGGTCAAATTGGGTCGACCCGTGGGTCAACCCGCGGATTGACAACCTTGGAGATAACTAAGGCAGCTGGCAGAGATGACAGGGATGGCTACCTGCATCGTGGGCCTCATATTCAATAACGGGATGGCTCTCCCTTATTATCAAGATCAACTAATCATTTGCGTCTCTTCTATACAAATTCACCCTCCTTTTTTTTTTTTTTACTTTCCTTTGGGTTTACCACTAAAGATTAACTAGGTATAAGATTGGTTAAAGTAAATAAATACGATGGATGGTGGAGGGTGTTTTATAAGGCCAACTTAACTACGATGATTGAATGGGTTTGATTGAGAGATTGAGTTTTGAGCAGTAGAAGAACGCACTCGTGAGGATAGTTTTCGAAGTACGCTAGCTCCTTGACTCACCCGGATAGACCGTACATACCCTGTAGTTCCGATTCCATCAAGCATGAAGTCAGTACTACTCCCGGGAGGTCAGCACGGAATTTTGGACCTCTTTATGAATTTTTTAAATACATATGAACAAATGGTGATTTGAAATTCCTCAAAGCAACATATTGGACCTCTTTGTAAACTCTTAAAAGTTATAGTGCAAGGAAACAAATATGAAGGTACTAAAACCAAAATTATGTCCCTATTTGTTAAAAATTGAAGTTTAAGTACTAGATTGCAAGAAAAAAATTGAGTACCTAATTGTTATTTTCCGAAAATTCAAAATAAAAAAATTCAAAATAAAATCAAAAAGTCATAAAATCCAAAATACTAACAAGGTACAAATGAGCATTCAAATTTGTTATTTGGAGGCTCATTTGTCATGCATTTCAAATACATTGCATTTGAAATATACCTATCTTTTTTTTATAGAAAAATACATATATATTTAAACACACACTTATGACATTATTTATCAAGGTACTTCGCAAGTTGACATAAATCATGTAAACTATTACGAACAAGGGCTTGGTCAAGTGGAAATACCACTAGCCTAGAACCTGGAGGTCCCAGGTTCGAATCCCTTAAGTAGTACCTTAATAACAACAAAATAAAACCTATATCACCCTTATCAAAAAAAAAAAAAAAAATCATGTAAACTATCATGAACTAAAAGTCAAATAAAAAATGAAATTAAAACTAAATGGTAAAATTCCTCTTACTGTGCTCTAAACGACCCAACTTTTTCTTAACTTTTGTGATCGCGAATTCGGATGATTTTCACTTGTTACCATCAATTATGTCGAATAAGGTGCCAAATAATAATAACTCCATCAATCTATATCTTATCTACGCCACCGACAAACGTGTTTCTCGCCGGTCACCAGGACTTCCCTCAATCATTTCCTTGTTGGATGGTTTTGTATTTCTGACCATATATACTGATTGGATCAAATCTTAATTTTGCCAATGCCAGCCACGAGATTCATTCTCATTTGGAGGGGAAAAAATTGCATTGATAACAATTCTTTTCCCGACAGCTAGCAATGTCAGTCATTTGCAGTCAATTCGACATTAACCTGGTTCTAATAATTCATGTTTACTGCAGACGGATTTGATCTGTGAGCAGGATGGGCTGATAATCAATTAAATCATGCATTGCCACCAGAGGATAAGATACCACATCACTTCTTCAAATGACACTTTATTTTTTTCTTCGTATGCAATCGAACTACCGATTAACGAGTGCGTAGATTACGAAAATATCATCGTAACTATTGCAACAAGCTACAAAATTTATTCATCCACGACAGTGCATTTCCTATTCCTCAAACAGTAGGATTCAGCTCCAGAAACGGATAATCCGTATACCCAACAACACGATCCGACGTGTAGAACGTGCTCCTATCGTACTTGTTGAGAGGCGCATCGATCTCGAATCGCCTTGGCAGATCCGGATTCGCCAAGAACCAACGACCATACACCACGAGATCAGCGCGGTTCTCTTCCACGGCATTGTTCCCATCTTCCCTGCCATAGCCTCCCGCTGCTAGGAAAGTACCATTGAAAGCATTCCTCATTGGCAACAAGCTCTTGGGAGTTTCGATTTCTTCTCCGGACCTCTTGATCCTCGGCTCGACCATGTGACAGTACAGGATCCCATACTTGTTGAGGGATTGGACCATGTGCAAGCCTAGAGCTTCTGGATTTGAGTCTCCACATTCACCATGGTCAGCAAAGGGAGACAGTCGAATTCCAACTCTGTCTGCTCCTATTTCTTTACTGACGGCTGCAACTATTTCCAGAGCGAATCTGCAGCGGTTCTCTAGAGACCCACCGTATTGGTCTGTTCGATCATTCACTTCATCTTTCAGGAACTGGTCAATTAGATAGCCGTGAGCCCCGTGTATCTCAACTCCATCAAAGCCTGTGATGGGGGAGAAAAGAATGAATGCTTGAGTTGGAACTTGGGCAAGGAGTTGCTTTGGGGAAATCTCTGGAGCATAGGAACATTGTTCATATGTTGTCATAAGATTGATTTACCTGCTTCAACAGCATTCCTTGCTGCGATTCTGAAGTCATTGACAACCTGAGGGATTTCTTCTGTTCCCAATCGTCTTGGAGGGCTGAATTTATTAGTATTTACTCCATTAGGACTAAGCGAGTGCAAGGGCTTGTCTGAAGATGAGATTGGAGCCTGCCCATTCGGCTGGAAACCTGCAGAGGGGAATGATCAATGGAAGAAAAAAAGACCTAAACACAGAATAAACAGTTCAAGTATGATATAAAGAAAACCATTCAATGTCCTGAAAGAATAGTGAATGTAAATAAACTTGCAATTCACCTGTATTTGAAACCCTCCCACAATGCCAGATTTGGAGGAAAAATATACCACCTTTGGCATGAACAGCATCCACAATGGGTTTCCATGCCTCAACTTGCTCTTTGGTCCAAATGCCAGGCGTGTCTTTATACCTTGAATCAACCCAAAGGACATTCAATCACACACTTGAGAATTTGGAAATTGTGAAGTATGAAAATTTCCAGTTCCATATGCCAGATAAAGAAGAAGGAAAAAGAGTATGGTAGCAGAGATGTGCAAGTTACCCTTGAGCAGTGTCAGAAATTCCAGTGGCTTCAGCTATGAGAAGCCCGCCTTTGGTGGTCCTTTGGGAGTAATACAGAATAGCATGCGGCTGCGGTACGTTCCCATAAGATCTCTGTCTAGTCAATGGCGCCAGAACAACTCTGCAAACCAACCCATCAACAGCATCAATACCATACACAATTTTCATTCAGCAGAAAAAGAAGAAGAAAAAAAAAGCTCTTCCTTTGTAACTATTATGAGACAAATTTCAGAGACCCACAAACGAGAACGTCCATACAAACACAACCCAGATGGGATTTCAAGCACCAAAACACAAATTCCACCCAAAATTAGACTGTTGCAGCGTGCACGCCAGGTGTTCGAGAAAATGACCCAGCAGAGAATGGTACTTACCTGTGAGAAAGATCGAACTTGCCCATCTTGTATGGGGTTAGAAGAGGAAGGGTACGCTGCTCAGTTGCCATTGTCTACTTCTTGCTGTTGCAGTTCACGATGATGATGATGATGATAAAGAGGGGGAGTCCTCTGTTTCTTCGCCATTTATGGTAGAGCCGGCGAGGTCAACAATGGCAATTTGCTATTTCGTGCGGTCGTGATTGCAGGAGAGAAATGGAATCCGCCGGCGGGTCTCACTAGGGATAAGAACTGGATTTGAATACGTAGACATCTGGGGATGATCCTTCATTATCGATGTATGTGGACACCTTTTGGCGGGTATCGTAACTGTGTTCTTAATTTGGAGGCAAATTCTTAACTTACTACCGGAAAGTTAAAAAACGGGAAAGAGAAAAATGTCAGGAACAACACCGAAACGCGAAACGGAAGGTTCAAATGCTCACTAAGAAAAGCAATTATGCAATCCAAAAGACCGAAACGCGTTTCCATCCAAGTCATTCATGGCTCTATACTTCTACTAGCGCAGGGCCCGGCCCGTTGGGCGGGTAAACTAACCATAAGCGGCGCATTTGACAAACGTTGGAATCATAAGTTAAACCTGAATTGAAGTTCATATAAATCAATCAAATATTTCTGGGAATACTATGTTCACCATTGAAGTACCTTCCTCTCCATTCTCATTGCCACTCAAAATCTTCAATCCTTGCCTTGTAGTAACTCTTGACAATGCAACATATAGCTGACCATGACTAAAAACTTGTCTTTGAATACATAAACCAACATTGGCTAGTGTTTGACCCTGACTTTTGTTAATAGTCATGGCAAAACAAAGAGCCACAGGGTATTGCCTTCTAATGAGGGTGAAATTAAGACTCTTGTAATGGGTTGATAATGTCAATCTGGGAAGGAAGACGCGATCACCGATGTTGGTACCTGTCAAAATCTCCACCTCAATGAACCATTTACCCAAAGTCTTCACAACCATTCTAGTACCATTACAAAGGCCAACAGTTTGATCCATATTCCGTAATAGAATGACTGGACACCCAACTTTTAGTTCCAACTGATGGTCTGGAAAGTTTCCAATCCGGAGGTTGTTCAAAAACTCGGTTGAATAATCAGCATCCACAACTCCCTCCTTCCCAGGGTCCATCTCAATAGAATCTACGCTGTAATATGCCACTACATCTCCTGGGAATTGACTTAGAATATACTCATTCACTGCAGAAACCATATCATGGTGTGGAGCCAAGATAGCTCGGTTGACTAAATAATTATGATCTCCTGCATGACTACTAAGATCACTGTATATAGAGGCGACAATAACAATGACAGGATCACTCTGTTGAGGAATTACTAATTCCTGAGGTATGCGAATCAAAGACTCACCAAACACATCTGAATCTACTCCGTCTCCTACTTGCAAGAGCCAGTTCTGGAAAGTAGTTATCTCAACAGTTTCCTCCGGAGAGCAATTAGATCGTGCTAGCCGCATATTTTCAACTAACTTAATTACCCTCAAATGGGGCCACAGGTAAGACCTCTTTATAGATGAGTTCACAATATCACCTCGTGAAGCTTTCAATACTATAGGCAAAGTTTGCCGGAAATCTCCTCCAAAAACAACTGTAAGACCTCCAAATGGCTTGCCCTGACTGTTTTCATACCGAAACCGCAAAATATCCCGCAATGATTTATCTACAGCTTCCACTGCATGCTTGTGTGACATAACAACTTCATCCCAAATAATCAATGAAGCACGCTGAATGAGCTCTGCTAATTCACTACCCTGGTCAATATGACATGTCGATCTACCATCAAGGTCTACTGGAATGTGAAATCGAGAATGAGCTGTTCGACCCCCATCCATTAAAAGGGCTGCAATCCCAGAAGAAGCTACACATAGAACAATCTTATTTTCCGATCGCAATTTCAAGCAAATGACTTTCCATAAGAAGGTCTTTCCTGTCCCACCACATCCATCAATAAAGAATGCATTTCCCTTATCTGCATACACCGATTCAGTAATTTCATCAAAAGCTTTTTTTTGTTGGGCATTGAGCTTGGAAATCATACCTTCAAATTGCTCACGAAGACTTGCAACATTGTAATTAAGTTCTGCAGTGATCAATCGATTAGATGAAGATGACATGTTACCAGTATCGATAACTGGTAATCCAGGAAAATCAGATAGAGTTTTGCAATTTCTTGCAAGCAATTTATCTATCTCCAGCAAACAACATTCCTGCAACTGAAGATCAGACATTTCTAAAGTAGGCATATTTAGTTCCTTCCGACGGGCATACAAAATATCATCAGATAACAGTGCCCAATTCCGCTCCCATAGTTTCCCAATGTCTGAAACTTGACAGAGGCTGATGATAGTAACAAATAAAGTTCTAAGCTTTTTACCGGATGCCCAAAGAGCCGCTTCGGCCAAACAGTCATTCCATTCATTATCTTCTGCCAACAGACCATGCGCATAACATGCTTCCTTAAAAGATTTATGCAAAACTCCATTCACTGTCCTGATGTCCTCAAAACTTTGAGCACCACGAACAATATGTAGAAGCATACGCAGATAGAACCTATCATTTGTAGGCGAAGGATGACAATAATACAACCGCCCAATACTGAACATGGATTTCCTCTTGTGCCACGCCTGCTTTGTTTTATCCCAAACATAATGTTGCGGAAATTCTACAAATGTATATTTCCTTGCTTCTGGAAATAACTTATTCATTTTCATCCATTCCAACAGCATAGAGGTTTGAGCACGCTTAGACTGGAGCACACCTTGAGGATTTGAATGCTGCCTTGAGACAACTACATTCTGCCCAGGAAGATGATAAGACATGCGCAACACTGATGGGTACTGTGAGTAGACATCAAACTTGAACAACCTCCAGCATGCTTCACCAGATGTGATATACCGACAATCAAGATATGCTTTTATCTCATCAACCCGTGGTGTGGGATTTGAACTTGATGCACCAGATTCAATTCCAGTATTAGTTTCATTGTCAACTAATGAAGCTTTTGCTCGATCTTGTGGTTTGTTGATATACTTGAACAAATATTTGATTGCCCTACCATGTCAAACAAAAATTGGACACAACAAAACTAATGAGTAGTAATGCAACAACCAAACTGATACGTTTAAACCAATAAAAAAAACACACCAAAAGCTACCAAATTTGGCACTTTCCATGGAAGGGAATAAAAAAGTAGTGTCGAGCATAAATATTATATGTGGTATGAAAAACATACCTGGATTTATTGCAGAACTCAACATTTATATGTGCATCAAATCGCAATAATAAATAGCGATTGTACGGCACGACAAAACGATTGTCCAATGACACAGAGTTAACTTTAAAAGATATTCCACTGTCACGTCGTCGATATTTGGCAAACCCATTATCATCAATCGTCGTTTGCTCACAAAACGGCTTTGGAAAATGTTTAGTACACACACCACCTTCTGTGCAAGGAGCATTACGGCCCAAAAGACCACATGGACCATGCAGCATAAAAGCAGTTACAGCCCTATAGCCTTCTGGATCAATATCAGAGTTTGGAATTTCTGCGGATATGACGGAATCAATGGCCGTCGGCCCAGTTAGTTTACATTCCGAAGCTAGGAAGACCAGCAAATGAGCATGGGGAAGGCCACGCTTTTGAAACTCAATTGCCAGCACAACTGCAAACAAATACAATATGTATTAAGTTGGAGCCTGCCAAAACCTTATTATGTAAAGGACAACCTGCATAAAATAATTCAAACATATGAAACAAAAGTATTGCTCAAAACTAAAATAACACTTATGGAGCATGTACGACTTACATCCAGTGGTAGTCCCAAATATTTTCTTATCTCTTATCTCAAACATTAATTGCTGCAGTTTAAGCTTGAAGACCCGAGCAATAATATCAGATCTATTGACATCTTTCCGACCATCTGCGGTTACCAAATCAACCATAAACTGGATTTCCGGCCAATTTGCATTACAGGTGAAGGTAATAAATAAATCTGGGTAGCCCAACCACCTACAAATAGCCATAGCATCCTGGAAGTTTTCATACTTGTACCGTGGACTTCCTGTGTGGGAAGCAGCCAAAATAACATGTTTTCCAGTCATTTCTAAATCAGAATCACCACGGAGGAATGCATCCACTAACCCACTCAGATAATGGGAACGAAGTTTTGTTTGGTTATTTCGGATCCAATCAAGCCGTTGTGCCTCTACTAATGCATATGCATTCACAACATACTGCTGAAATAATTTCCCAGATAATAAAACCGAATTTGACTCCTGAAATCTACTCTGTAGGCGGTATGCATAATAATCACACTGGGACAGTGTCTTGTCATTCCAAAGATTATCATCATCATCATCATCACAGCTTATGTCCGGATGCCATCCATCCTCTCCATAAGGAAATAAAATTGGGTATTGTAAAGCCATTAATGATGGATGATAATAATTAATTCTCTCCAATTCAGAACTCTTATACTGAACAATAATATCTGGCTCAAATGTATCTTGCCCTGTTTCATCAACAATCAAGGCTGCTATGTCATTCCCCGTCGGTAAATCATATTCTCTCCCATCATGAGCACGCTTGGCAATTAATTTGATCTTCACCTCTTTCACATTGCCTTCCTGTATCTTTTGCCTAGCCATCCGAAAGGTTTGAACCAGAACATTGTTCCTATCAAACATTTCTTGCAAGCGTTCAACAATATCTGGTCGCAATGAACTTGAGGCATCATCAACTGGAAATAGATGCAAACGACTCTGTAGTTCAGAACTTGAGTCATGAATGTATAATTGGGCAAACCTCGGTGGCTGACCGTCTGCAGGTAATAAGCTGCCTATAGAGTGATAAATTTGTCCTCCTATAGAGTACACATACACCCCTCGACCATCATTTATACCACGATCCACTTTCCCGCCCAGGGAGATAAAGCAAAACACAGCATTGTATCTACGAATGGCTTCCCGGAAATGACGGCTCATAGGTGTAGAAGAATGTAACAATTCATTCAAAAACTCTGGTGGAGCACGTCTAGGGGGTAGTTTTACCTTCCCAGCCTTGCAACACAATGAGAAAGTGGGATTAACACGACTCCTAGTAGGAACCGTACTTTCTTGCACCCACATAATTGCTGCACAGTATTGACAAATGCTTGTAGGCTCGCCGAGACTAAAAAGTTCCACAACAGGATATCCTACAATCAAAGTAGTCACATAAGATCACTCACACATGATGCAAACGTATTTACAATATACAAATATAAAATATGATGCCACAAACCATGGGAACGGGAGAACCCCCTCGGTACAGCATTAACCATCCGCCTTTTGTACAAATGAATCGCTCGCATTAAACGTGCCCTTTTTGTCCGAAGGTTGGAGATACATGAACTATAATCTGTGGTAACAAAGTTAATTATGCATTAACTAAATCCATTAGGACGACGTGGAATCCTGCTCCGCGACATATACAACGCAATGCACATATGGACTATGGTATGCATAATAAAAGCGTTTAAAAGATGCTAAGCTTACCATGTGGAATATATTGAACAGTACGTCGCAAGCGCGCGTTCAAGATCTCCCGTCGTCGTTTTCGATAGAATTTAGCTATCAAGCAATCAATATGCTCAACTTGTGATTGAAGGGTGAGTATTTCTGCAATTGAAACATACAAATCAAATTATTCTGCTTTTGTGCCAAAGTAAACTTTAATTAAATGTACCAAAAAATGAATCACGGAACTACGTTGCTTAAGACGATCCCTTTCAGCAGCAGTTTGTTTATTGGAAGGAGGTTTTGGCGGGTTGAATATAGCTCGCATGAACCCTGCAAAATACGATAGAATTAAGTCAGCAGGTATATATATGTGGTGTCCATTGTGAATACGTACAATACCAGCAGAACATGAAAACAACCAAAGAAATCAAATTACATTTGCCCTTTGAATTGCGACGGTTGGGAGCACTGGTTTGCACTGAAGAGGTTCCACCAGTTTGTTGATTTCCGGCCATTATCTTGATTGCAATCACACTTAATCATGAACCAGCAAGCGCTAATTGATCAAAAATAAAGGTTTACTTAGGCCACCACGAAAGGCTGTAGAAGCTCTCTCCTCCCACGCATCTCCAATCCCTCCCCTCTTGACACACACCCTTCACACTTACAGCTGGGGAGGAGTTGGGGAATTCAATTGGAGGAGTAGCAACTCCCTCCGCCCACGCGTCCCTCACAATTGCATATGTAGTATTGAAGTGCAGGGCTTGAGACCGAAAGCGATATGGAGATGTAGTATTGAACTGCAGAGATTGAGACCGAAAGCGATATGGAGAAAGAAGTAAACACGGCATGGACTGCCACAACAGCTGAATATGGGTTCCGAGAGATTTCGATGGAATCATTTCACCAGCAGTCTTTGGGCCTACTACGTCAGGGGGGAATAGTTTGGGCCGGATACTTCAGGGGGCAACAGCCCGGTCCGACTATATAATAAACTGGCCAGGTCCACCCGCAGAATGTGTTAGAGGTGAAACGCACAGTTTTATTTAAGTGTGAATTGCCTAAAGTGCCCTTCCGACAAACCCTCTGCGGGCTGGAAATTTGAATCCCTGCAAACTAAACACTTGTTTTGGCTTCATATATCTTATAGATTGCACAGTTCTACGACAATGGGCTTAAATGTTAAGCCATAGTGAACGGATTTTGAGAAGACTAAACCCAGCCCATTTCAGACGAAATTAAATTTTAGCTTTCATGCACAGCTTCATCCCATGTTTTTAAGTCATCGGCCTATATCGACTAGTACTGGTTACAACAAAATACCACCATATGTGTTCATATTCTGAAAGTCGCCGGTTCGTTGGTTAGTGGAGTCGAGCTTCGTACTTGAGGATTGAGCAAAGTCGAGTGCACACAGGCGGACGATGGTGACACTAAAGAGCTGGAACCTGGAGGACTGGAGAAGCTGAAGCTACTGAGCAGAGGCTGACAATTGGCAGCTAAACTAGAGAGAGGTGACACATGAACGGTTGAAGAAGAGGGATCATCTACTCTCAGACTGTTTTGCTTTCCACTTTGACTCTGCTTTCTCAACATCAAAAGAGTTGATAATTTGGAATTTAATTTTTAGAGTTTTTTATGAAAATTGGGGAAATTGAAATTTAATTAGACTTTGTTCTAACTTATAATTACTTTTGTGTTTGTGACATAACAATAAATGATTTGTTATATAATGGATAATTTATTCTCTAATATCTGGAGTGTCATAGATTTGAATAATGTATATTATCATTTTCTCCCCAAACACAAACTGCTATGAGAAGTCAATAATTTTCTTCCTGAAATTTTGTCATGGGACCACCCCTGAGGAGATCTCTGGAGCTAAGTAACTCAAAGTTGTTGGTAGAGATGCGAATATGAATCTTATATCGTTGAACGAGCCAAAAAAATCAAACCAGGTAAGAATGATGGTTTTGATAGGATTGATCCTACTCAACATGTTTTGGGTTGGTTCATGAATGAGTGCTCTTCTCGATCTACCTGCCCCATTATCAATTAGTTTGTTTCTTGATTTTTTTTATTAAAAAATCATCAATAATTCAAGTGTTTTCCTTTAAAATACATACAACTTTTGGATCGAGATGTATCGACTCACATCACAAAATAAAACCTCAATTTGAATTTGGATCGATATGTATCGACTCACATCACAAAATAAAATAGTCAATTTGAACTTGCCTACGACAAAACAAATATGAGTATTGAGATACCTATTGTCAGCTCCTGCAATCTACACACATTTTCTTTTGTTTAGGACTCTTTGTTTGTTTTTTTTATATAAATTTTGTCTAGGACTCTAAATAATGTTATATAATTTTCGAAGAAGAAAAAAAGGACTTGGCTTAATTATTTCCCTCTAACTCCACGTAAGAATTTCAACTACTTTGACTTCATTCAAACCTATTGCTTATAAAAATACCCAAAATTAGCCATAAAAGGGTTTCTTCCTACGTCATTCATGACTGTCCCAAGGTATGGCCACTTATTAAAGTACTACACCTTCTCCAAAAATCTCGCTAGTCATTCATGAGCCAACTCTTCTATTGTTTAACAATGCAATTGAGATCCCAATATCAACTCCTCTCTTGGAGGGCTCACTCCATCACTAGCTCTCCCTCTCATTGGACAATCAACACTCTCCTTTGCAACATTTTAATAAGGTGTCAACTATCGAATCTTGAAGCGATTTGATTTCGTGGTTCAATTTCATTTTTATTTTACACATTTTGATCTTTTGTTTACTAATAGCCTCCTCGAAATTATAACAAAATGTATTTGAGTTTGTGAATCAAAATCTCATATAACTATATTCGATTTTCGGTGATATGACGATGTCCAATTCATATGTAGATTTCTTTGGGATGAATATAGATCAAATAGTTACCCTTTATGAATTAAATTTTCATTTTAATTTAATCCAGATTCCCGATATAAAATATTTCTCGGTGAATTATTGGCATCTTAATGTTTGTCAGAAGTTAAAATAGTTAATTATGGGCACTTAATATAAGTAGCCAAACTTCAATTTCTACTCTTCTATCAATTCAATAAACAGAGAGATCAGACCCAACAAGAGGAAAATACCCAGCAAGTGCGTTGAACAGATTCAATTCATCTTTCCTCAAGCCGCCTGCCACTCTCTAATTTGCTGCTGACCATATTAATCATTCAATTAATGGACCAACAAATTAGTAAGCTAGATTATGACCCTCTAAAAATAAATCATAATTTAATTCAATAACAAAAAAGAAAGAAAACCCATTACCCTAAAGTTGGAGGGTCCTTTGTCCTCCTTTACTGCATTATTTAATTTTGTCTCTAGATAGTATAAATAGGCTATTGGGTTGGTGCAGGATTTGCAATACTTCATTCTTGCTTATCATTTCTCTTCATAGCTTTCCATTGTCCATAGTGAAGTAATCAAAAGCGGAAAAACAGAGAGCAAAGAAATGGCAATTCCTCTTCTCACCCCGCACAAGATGGGCGACTTCACTCTTTCTCACAGGCACGCTCTTTCATCTTTTCCACTCTCACATAGTTGCTCTTGTTCAAAAATTTACATAACAACTTTATAAAGCCGTGATAAGTTCGTACAAATTTGATCTTTTAAACGCATTCGCGTCTAGTCTCATGACTTGTAGCATACGGTGTCACGAACATTGATATTTAACATAACGATATTGTTTTTTTTTGATGAATTAACATAACGATATTGTTGATTGCAAACTTTTTATTCTATATGCATTTCCGTCGTTTATCTCTTTAGGCAGGGTTAGTAGTCAGCTCTTGCTTTAGGTAAAGGTCATGATAGAAGTCCATTTCAACTACGATAGATTGTGTTGCACTAGCCTTTGATTATTTGACAGTTTTATGTAGACTTTCTTTTTTTACCGCTTTTGCTCATTAAAAGCTATGTTTTCTTGAGAAGGTTAGGAGAGTCGATAAAATGTACTAAACCTGTGACGTACTTTCGCACTACCTTTTATTAATAACATGTCACTTCCTCTCAAAGAAAACACATAGTTAGAAAGTTAATTGTGATTGGCTCCTTGCATATTATTGAATATAAGTCCAGCTAAACAACCCCAAATCATATGTTTAGTGAGGAAATTTCCACCATTATTGACTTCATTGATCATATTGTCTCCACTGTTGAACAGGATCGTGCTGGCGCCACTGACTCGACAGAGATCTTATGGGAATGTGCCACAGCCACATGCCGCCTTGTATTACTCCCAGAGATCCTCCAATGGCGGCCTTCTCATCACTGAAGCCACTGGGGTTTCTGATACTGCTCAAGGGTTAGTCGAGTTCTTATGTCAATTTCCCTATGTGCAATTCCTGTTAATCAAAACTAATTTTGGGGGTGTTTTGTTTCAATTGGAAAAGCTATCCTGAGACTCCTGGGATTTGGACTAAAGAGCATGTGGAGGCATGGAAGCCGATTGTTGATGGCGTTCATGCCAAAGGTGGCATCTTCTTCTGTCAAATTTGGCATGTTGGCAGGGTTTCCAACACAGGTACTATTGCATATAGTTGTCACTTATACCCCTTCTTCTCTTAGTACCTCAAAATTCGATGTCGATATAATCGGAGAACGGGCTATGTTTTTTGTAAGGAAAATTAAGATCGATTATGTTGCTGAGTAGGTCGGTCATTTACTCGTAATTTCAGTAAACACATCTATGATGTCGAATTGTCACATTTAACGCATGCATGTATTGATGAGAATTCATTTTTTGTAAGCTGAGGCAAACCATTTCTCTCGTTGATCCTCATATTCCGAAACCAAGATTGGAATATGTGAACATGATATTGATAAGTTAGAGTGCAATCTGGAATGCCCAAAACATAAATTTTCAACCGTCAATTATTCCTATCACGACTTGTAAATTGGGTTATGATTTTTTTTTTTTTGGTTTAAAATCGAAAATCGAACCGATAAGAATTTTATTGGTTTCAAGGTTTTGGTCCCGAATTGGTTTGCATTCTAACCGTTTCGGTTAAACTTCCTATATATGTTTCCTAACTCAAATTTCCTATATGATGCCGATTGGTCACATTTAGACTATATGCATGTTAAGAATCCATCGCGTGTCAGCTTCATTATCCATTTCTTCTCATCGATCCTCATATTCTGGAATGAAAGATGGAGTATGAACATGTAACAAGATGTGGATATATGATAAGTTAGAGTCTAATTATCTAATTTCAAATGACAAAATTAACATAAATTTTCAACATATGTGCATACACTACAAAAAAAGTTGGCTATAACGACCGGAAAAACTGACGAGAGGATCAAATCCCATCGTTAGAGGCATAAAATTTGTATGGGTCATCTTTTACTGAGGGTCACATTTTCCCCCTCGTCAAAGATGTCAATCTACCCTCGTTATTGATATAACACATATATAACGACAAAACCATCCCCTCGTAAATGGTATTGAAAATTTTGCCTCCTGTGAGTCCGCCAAATTATTTTTCGTTTCCCGGGCCTTTTTTTCGTACACCCACAAAAGAATGGGTTTGAACTTTGAACCCTTTAAAAAACCCAATTGGTATTTGGTAAAGTTAAAAGGAAAGTCTGCCTTTTCATATACGAATTACGAAGTGGTTTCTCTATGCTTCTTCCTTTGATGAAAAAGCTCACCCTTTCCATTCACTCTCTCTAGAGCATTATACGCCGCTCTCTGGAGAATGACCGATTCCGACGGAACCGCCACCGCTCTACAGCCGACGATCCATAACCACCCCACCGCCGAAGCAATCCGAATACAAGATGATGGTGCCACCAGCCTCAACACCACCCAGAAGCAGCAATCTCAGCATTTGGCCCCTCCACAGCGCAACCGCGACGCCGTGATTTCTCACCTAATCGAGACCTTGCCCACTCCCTCTGTCCTCTCCAAACGCTACGACACGATTTCGACCGAGGAGGCTGCGGACGTGGTTGGCTGCATCGAGGAGGAAGCTTTTGTTGCTCCAGCCACTCCACTTCGCCCGAGGATGAAGGGTTCAAAATCCTCCACAGCTTGAACTTGTTAGGAACTTTTAACTTCATGTGGTATGCGTTCTTCTTTGTTATATGCGTAACTTTGCCTTCGAGATTGAGATCTAGGGTGCATGTGGCAGATCTGAAAGTTTGAGAGTCAGGGGAAATTGCTACTTCCATTTGATTCTTCTTTGATATTTTCTTTCAGCCTGTAGAAGTGATTCTCGGCTGGCTTGTGAGAAAGATGAGATTAATCATTCAACAATATCATCCCAAAAGGTAATCTTTTGTTTCTTAGTGTTATTATCTCCATTTAAGAAATTGTGATTTTAGTTCAAGGGCATTTGAGATTTGTTTGTGATATTAGACCATTGTCCTATTTTGAATGCTAATCGATCAATAATTAGACATAATGGGGAAGGGCATATGGTGGCTCAGAGGATACGTTGTCTCCTGTTTGTTGCTGCTGTTGTGCTCTGTATGGCATCCAGTTTTGCATTTTTTTGGCTTTCATCATCAGAGGATGCAGGTTGGTGCTGTCTACTTTATGTTTTGATGTTGGTCTGTTTGTGGTGGTTGTTCAAGTTTCTTCGCTGCTTGTTGGTGGTCTGTTTATGGTGGGTGGTAAATGGACAACTAACAGTTGCTCTGCTGCTTTTTTTGGGTCTGTTTATGGTGGTTGTTCAAGTTGGGCTTTGCTAGGTGTTTGCGTTTAGCAAAGAGTATATTATTGGTGGTGTTGCTACTGTGAATTATGGGTGAATGGTTTCTTCTTCTCAACTTCTGTAAGTTATTGAATAACATCACTCTATTCTAATTTCTCCAGCAAGGACTTGGAACGACATAGTCAAGACCAAACGGGTCAAAGAAGAGTGTTTCTTGAAGCTGAAGAAAGGATATGATTGTTGTGGCCACTAAGAAAGCTAATGAGTATATCTCATTTGTATTATACTATATATAGCTTATATATATATATTAAGAGTCCAGAATCCATATTACTTTTGCCTTTTATTTTACTAAAGCCTAAGCACAAACATGTTGTACTCCTTGACAATTATATACTCGTTATTGAGATCAGATTTCAAATGGTGAATATTAACAGTAGTAATTGTTATGGGTATTTTCTATGATCGTATCTTTCCTCAATGAGCAGAGGAGTTGGGATGCTTTTAGTGTCGATAACGATAGGAAATTACATACTAGGTAACATATTATTGAGGGTAATCATGTTGTTAATGCTTACAAATCTAGGTGGGGAAAATTAATATTTAACGACCGGAAAAGACTACTCTCGTTAAAGCTTTTAACGACCGGGTGGTGTTTTACCGTCGTTATTGACTTTTAACGGCCAAGCCTATAATGAGGGGTTCTATCCCGTCGTGAATGACTTTTCCCGACCGTTTTTTGACATGTAACGACCGTTTTCCCCCCTCGTTGAAGCCTCTTTTTTTTGTAGTGATACATGTCAATTATTCCTATCGGGCTAGTAATTTGGTTTGTTTTTTCTTTTTGGTGTAAACCAAGACCGAATCGATGATAAGAATCTTATTGGTTTTGAGTTTCTGAACCCGCTGCATCGTTTTGCATCTTAACGGTTTTGACTTCGATTTAAACCGAAACCGGACTTTTGCTTGAACCGAACTATTACAAAATGTGTAATTTTTAAATTTACATTAGCTACATATTTGATATTTCCCAACTTAAATTTCCTATATGATCATCACACAGGTTTCCAACCAAATGGTCAACCTCCAATCTCATGCACGGACAAGGGCCTCACCTCCGACGACATAATGACATTCTCACCCCCAAGAAGACTCGCCACCGACGAAATCCCCGGTATCGTCGACGACTTCCGCACCGCCGCCAGGAACGCCATCGACGCCGGCTTCGACGGAGTCGAAATCCACGGCGCCAACGGCTACCTCATCGACCAATTCCTCAAAGACCAAGTCAACGACCGGACCGACCAATACGGCGGCTCCTTGGAAAACCGCTGCCGTTTCGCCCTCGAGATCGTCGAGGCCGTGAGCAACGAAGTTGGGCCGGGCCGGGTCGGGATCCGGTTCTCTCCCTTCGCGAGCTACATGGGTTGCGGGGACTCGAGCCCGGAATTGTTGGGCCTGTACCTGGCCCAGGCCCTGAATAAGTACGGGATCGCTTACTGCCACATGGTCGAGCCCAGGATGAAGCTGGCGGACCAGAGGTTCGAGACGCTGCAGAGTTTGGTTCCCATGAGGAAGGCTTTTAAGGGGACTTTTATTTCGGCCGGTGGGTTCAGTAAGGAGGAAGGGAATCGGGCCGTGGACGAGGATCATAGCGATTTGGTGGCGTTTGGGCGGTTGTTCTTGGCGAATCCTGATTTGCCGAGGAGATTCGAGCTCGGTGCGGCGCTGAATAAGTATGATAGGACCACGTTTTATACTCTGGATCCTGTTGTTGGGTATACTGATTACCCTTTCCTTGAGGAGGGTAAGTCTTTAGGTTAAGGGCAGGGCGGAGGGAGACTTTGTGTTGGGATTTTTTGGAGATGGTTTTATGGGTTTGTTTGTTTCCTTGGTTTTTTGCATGTTTGTTATCGCTACTTCAATAAAATTGGGCTTTTGTTGCGTTTGTGATGAACTGATGATGAATCATGTATGTTTGTGGGATGTGGATGTGATTTTGAAACATACTACTTGCTTGCCCGGGGACTGCAAATGAACCGAGCGATTGGATATTTGATTCGTGAAAAATACTCGTTGGACACTTGATATGTAGCTTTTAAAATACAAGGGAAAAAGTTCTTAAGAAAAAAAATCAACTGAAATCTCTGATGGTATCCTTTTGGAATTTGCAAAAAACTGGATTCGAAAAAAAAAATTAATCAGTGCTTAATAGACTTAATCTTCCCTGAATGATAACCTCATCAGGCCGAATCCATGATCTGTACCCTTCAAACTCTAAGGAAAATGACTTTTCGAAAAAAATAGCCAAAAAACAAACGACAATGCCCTTCGAAAAAAATCCGCTCAAATCGGCGATTAAATGACTTCTTCATCGGTGGAGATTAACCTCAGTCCAAATTCGTGATCTGTAACCTTCAAAATCAAATGAAAATGGTCTTTCATAAAAAAATCGCTCGAAATCTATGATGGTACCACTTTGGAATCGTCAAAAATGGACACGGAAAAATCCTCCCAAATCGGTGTTTAGTAAACTTAATTTTCGTGTAGAATAGTTTCAGACCGAATATGTGATCTGTACCCTTCAAAATCCAAGGGAAATGCAATTTTGAAAAAATTGCCGAAAAAATTACGAAAATGCCCTAATAAAATCCACCCAAATCTGCGATTAAATGACTTCTTCATTGGTGGAGAATAGCCCCAGGTTGAATTCGTGATCTTCAGCCTTCAAAATCAAAGAAAAATGTGCTTCGAAAAAATTGTCTAAAATCTGTGTTGATACCCCTTTCGAATTTGCAAAAATCGATCCGAAAAAAATCCACTCAAATTGGTGCTTAATAGACTTAATCATAGGTGAAGAATAGTCTCAAACCGAATCTGTGATCTGTAGTCTTCAAAATCCTAGGAAAATAGTCTTTCGAAAAAAGTGCCCAAAATTTTTCGAAAATGCCATCCAAAAAAGTATTCCAAATTTTGGTGATTAATAGACTTCGTCATTGCTAGAGAATAGCCTCAACTCAAATATGTGATTTGTAGCCTTAAAAATCCAAAGAAAATGGGCTTTCGAAAAAATTGCTCGAAATCTATGATGGTACCCCTTTGGAATCTGTCAAAAATCGATCGGGAAAAAATTCACACAAATTGGTGCTTAATAGACTTAATTATTTTGAGTCTGAGGCCAAATCCGTGATTTATAGCCTTCAAATCGGCTATAAATATTTACGAAAATGGCCATTCTAAAAAATCCACAAAATATTTACGAAAATGTCATCCGAATACATTTTGCCCAAATCGGGTATCAATACACTTCTTCATTAGTGGAGAATATAGTATCAGACCAAATTCGTGATCTGTATCCTTCAAAATCGTATATCACGACTACTCTTGGCATTTATTAACTGCCATATCTTATATCATCAAATGTGAGTTTTAACTTTTGATGCATGGTGGTGTTTTTTTTTTTTGTTTAATGCATGCCTTTCGTTTTCTAGCTAGCATGCCTCACGATATTTCTTATATAAGAGCACAAATAACTCATTTTTTTTTATAAAAGATAATCGTATATTAATTCAAAGAATAGACAGTTACATCCTAGAGTTCAGCCAGGTCTGGAAATCAAATAAACGACTATATAAGCACAAATAACATTGAATCACACACAAATACAGCTTTTATTCAGTCATCTTGGCCACATGCCAATATGACTAGCTTATTACAATCTCTCCAAAAGAGTGCATCACTACAAAAAAGAGGAGGTTTGGGGACGACAAAAATCGTCCCTGGAAATAGGAAAAATCGTCCCTACAGTTTTTGGGGACGACTAAGTCGTCCCTAATATGTGGTTCCCTATACTCTTGTCCTCTATTCTTTTGGGGACAATAAAAATTAAGGTCGTCCCCATTAATAGGGACGACAGTCGTCCCCGAAACATTCAAGTCGTCGACTCATTTTTTTCCGTGAAAGACAACATGTCGTCCCCATAGCTATAACTATAAAGACAATAAGCCGTCCCCTAAACATCATTTTCAGGGACAAATTGTTGTTCCACATATTCGATTTCATGATTCTTTTTGGCTTATATGGAGATAATATATCGTCTCCTTTTCTTTTTACAGGGTCGACATGTCATTCCTATAGGTATCAAATTGGATTCCAACAATCGTCCCCAAAAGCTTTATTCACGGACTACGAGTGATCTTTTATACTATATCATTAGAGACGACAAGTTGTCACCTATAACTTTTAGGGACGAACAATTGTCCCATAACTTGTGTGTTGGGGGGACGAGGAGTTGTCACTTATGCGTCTCTTGGGAACGAAAAGTTGTCACCTATGTAACTCATATGAATGACTTGTTGTCCCTTTGCATGTGTCTTTGGGGATGACTAATTGTTACCTTATCACTAGTGGGGGACAATTAATTATCCCTCACCTATATTTCTGGGGACGCCTAATTGTAACCTATTTAACTGGTAGGGACGACCAATCATCCCTCAAGCAGTGACTTCAAGGGCGTCAGTTAGTGACATATATAATTTGTAGGGACAACCAGTCATCTTTAAACTTTATCTTTCGAGACGATTAATTGTCACATTTGAAAGTGTACTATAAATCATCTCTTTAAAAATTATAACAAAACTACTACAATGTCATCCCACCCAATCCAACAATAGAAAAACAACATTAGTACGTATAGCATCATTTCAATCCAATAATAGGAAAACCAACATTCACATTCTGAAAGGCTAAACATTCTCTGGTGAAACATAATACCAAATATAAATAAATAAAAAAATGGATAACAAGTTCCATCTCCATAATTTATTCTATTATCTATCTAAAAGAAAACGTCAATCACTTATATCCACAGTACCGCAACATATTCTAACCGAGAAACATCATTCTTCTCTTAATTCCTGAAAATGTAATGAAGAGAAAATTTAAATGACATCAATTGAATCAGATTAACAAAAGAAAAAAGATCAGTAATGACACAAGAGATGTAACATTTGAATAGTAAGAAATCAACTTTTTTTTCCTTCTTTGATTTTGAAACCTACTTAGCCGGCGCAAGTTGTTTCATATTCACACGTCCTCCTTGTACATAGTATTTGAACAAGGGAAATCAGAAGACACGCACCCCTTATATAAGCATCACGTTCGTCTTGATAAAAGAAGTGCTATCGAATCCCAATCCGAAGCAAACACATCACACAGCCAATATATAAGAAATTATATTGGTTACACAAGCCATTGTTGTCAATTTCTGTCTGTACAATCAGTAGCTACTAGCTAAACGCAACGTTCATCGAGCTACAAGGAAGGATTATTTGAATATAGATATATAGATAAAGATATATATACAGATAGGCAAATACATGTTTGCGAAATAGCTGTGGCTGTACAAAAGACTAGCAGCTGAACCAACTATCCAACTGTCCCAAAACAAAACAAAACAACAGATCAATTGTGAAAGCAATGCCATAATAAAAGAGAAGCAGGGGAAGGGGAAGAAAATCCAAAGAAACAAGAAGCAATTGAAGGACAATCTTTCTTCCATATACCCTAAATAAAAGCAATTCAATTTCTTCCATGTACACAGGGGCAACATCACAAAAAGGAAGACTATAGGCCCAGGTGCAGAAGCAGCAAAACAGTAGTCAAAGAAATCACCAGAATAAAAGATGTCAGAAAAATCAAAGAACAGTACTGCAGGAAAAACTTGAAAACGAGAAAGAGAGTAGGATAGGCGGAATATATATTAGCTTACCAATAATCAACTTCGACGGAATCAAACGGCAGCTCGGGAGAAGAACTACGGAGAGCGGCTCGGCAACTTAGGCAGAATGAATAGAAACCCTAAACCTAAAAATCATTGGTAGAAATAATTCCTTAACCGGGAAAATATAATAGAGCGGAGCCCAGTTTGCCGCTGAAACTTTGAATTTTACCTTTCAAAATTTTGGCTACAAAGGGCAAAGGCCCGCCCATTCTAATTGGTAATACCCTAGAGGCCTAGACTCTAATTTGTGTTTCAGTATTAAACGTTAATGTTTATTAGTTGGCTGGAATGATAGGTTACAAATATACAAGTGTACAAGTCTATTTAATTTATAATAATATTAGGCTATTTTTTATACTATTTTGCGTCAATCTCCAAATCTTCTTCTTTGCCTCTCATGCCATACAAAGTAATTTATCAATCTATCCATATCGTCAAGAGTATTTTCAAGCGTAGAATCCTCATTCAGCTATGGGTTAGTGGTAGACCCTATAGTATTACCGGTACCTTCTCCATGGAAGTTACAAGTTCAAAGTAATAAAATGAATTGCAAACTGAATTTGCTCTCACAGTAACATTAATTCATTATATATAATCTATACTTACCCGATAAACGAAAAAATCTAACATCACTCACGTGCGGAATGCCTGCTGTCTTTACCTATCTAAGAAGAAAAAGGAATGTGAATGAGCCTATTGGTGCTTTAAAGTACAAATTGAACTTGTACATAATGTTAAAGGTATAAGTTCTTTTTTTACCATAAATATTTGTACAATTATATTATGGTAGTTCAATTTATACTTATACATAAACGTACAAATTTAGTTCATACTATAAAGGAATTTGTACAAAATAATATAGATACAAACTAAATTTAACCATGACATTAAATGTACAAATTCAATACAAGTATACAGATTTTTTAAAAAACCTAATTTTGATACTATAAAGCATTTAAAACTTCTCAGTACCAATAACAAACTTATTAGTAATAATAAGTTAATAACTACTAATTAACTTGGTCCAATAAAAAACTAAAAGGAATACTAAGCAAAGAGGATTGGGACAGCCGAAGAAGGATTAAACAAAAGCCAACGAAGTCCAAGATGGATACGAGAATGATTTTTCTTTTTTCCTTTCCAATTGGGGACAAACAATTTTAGGAAGGACGGAAATTCTTGAATTTTGAAATCACGTTGGTCATCCTCCGCCTTAAATGAAGTTTTTTTAATTTAAGTTCTAAGCCCCCAATGTGCATATTTTTCTAGGGACGGTTTTGAGAAGGCTCATATTCAACAAATTACATTCAGGGACAAGTTTAACATGGACGTCCCCTATTTGACTAAAGTTATATTTCCGGGGACAAATAAAAAGGATTGTCCCTTATGGTAGTCCCTATAGTTCATTAATTTTGTAGTGCATCAGGCCGCAAATAGATAGGGAACATGCATCATGTCTTGAACGTGCATCATTTCTTGGCTGCTCTTTGACTTGAGGTAGAGGCAGAGAAGGAACACTTCATGCTCCATCATAAATACATAGATAAGGATGATTGATCAATCCATTATTGATAATAATTGAGACCCGCCACCAAATGTATTGTTTGGTGATAAGGTACTTAGTATACGCATTTTGTCGATCTGAACTTAAGATATAAACACTCTCCAGCTGACACGTGGTCGAGCCCGATTGGGCGAGATCGATCCGTAGTGGACAGGCTTCCCCGGCGGCCTAGCTAGTGGGTTCATCTTCATCGTTGAGCTTGATGATGATTTTGATGGATTCTGGATCATCCAAATACTTCTCCAGCGCCGTGTAGATTGCCTCGCTGCCATCTCGGATGTCGACTTGGTACCCGCACTCCTTCGTCTCCTCATTGTACGCCAGAATCCTGTTAATCCCGGCTATGATCTCCTGTGTATTTCATACATCCATTCATAAAACGAAAAGCAAATCAACAACTGATCAGGGCTTTCGTTTGCACAGATCCTTAATACGAGAATATAGCATGTGTTTCAGAAGTAAAAAAGTACGTAGTAATTAGGTTATAAATAGTACCGGTTTCTTGGCCTTCTCCAGCACAAAGGGGAGGTCCGACTTGATTTTGACCCTGCCATAGATGCAACCCACCATCCTGTTTCCAAACAGGAATTTTGGGAAATCCACCTTCAGCATGTCGTCCGGGTAGATTCCTGCTCCACAAATTACTGTTTCGGCTTTGCCCTAAATAATCCGCGTCCCGCGGATGGATAGCATAGTTAGTAAAATATGTTACGAGTAAAAAATTTTCGTATTTGAAACTGAGTTGACTGGAAGATATATATATACCGGGAGAGCAGATTTCATGGCTTCGTTCATTAGGGCGTCGGAGCCGGAAGCTTCAATGCAGCAATCCGCACCCTTCCCGCCGGTCAGCTCCATTACTTTGTCCGACACCGACATCGTACCCAACCCCTCGGAGTTGATGAAGTCGGTTGCGCCCAGAGATAACGCCACTTGCCTCTTCCGCTCGTTCCTATCTATCCCGATAATTCTCGTCGCTCCGAGATCCTTCGCCGCTATTACAGACTGTATAAGAATACACAAAATTATTATGTGGTCAAAAACTAACTGAAGTCCAAATCAAACTGCTGGTCTCAATATCTCGAAGTGTTGCGCGTTTTATCTATGATGCTAAATTATTTTCTTTACATTCTCTGCTCAAACGAAAATCAATTCACGGACTTGAAATTTGTACATGTCCACCATATATACCACGTGGTTTAATTAAGAGGACGGATAATGTTCAAGTCACGAGAATTTGAATACGTGACATCAATAACAAATCAGTTTTAATATCATGTCAAAAAATAATAGTTATATAAGATCCATAATTAATCAACTTCAACGAATCGAGTTATTGATCAGGACCAGTTGATTTATAGCATGGTTATCAGAGCCAGATTTTGACCAAACAGTCGTCTCCACAAACCCAATACGACAGTTGATGCGCACAATGAATATATGGTGGATCTTGTCAATAACCAGTTGGTCCCAATAACTCGAGTTGTTGGCAGAAGATTATGCTGGATCTTAAACCACTATCTTACACGCCCCGTCAAACGAAAGCCAGCCCATGGGCTTGAAGTTTGCACAGGCGATCACCATACCTTGTGCTTTAAGAAAAGTGTTAATATTGGGATCGTGGAAATTCGAACACATGACCTTTTTGGTTCTAGACTCCGATACCATGGCAATAACCAGTTGGTCCTAATAACTCGAGTTGTTGGGAGAAGGTTATGCTGGATTTTAAACCACTCAATAACTCGTCAAAGGAAACAGATCAAAAAGGCTGGCTAGCTTACCGAGAGACCAACGGAGCCGACGCCAAAAATGGCGACGGTGTCTCCTGGCCCGACGCGGCCGTCGAGCCAGGCGGCGCCGTAGCCGGTGGTGAAGGCGCAGGACAGGATGCAGCTGTGTGCTGTAGGGAAGTTGTATTCCGTTAGTTTGACGGCGTAGTTGGAGTCGACGACCAGGTATTGTGTCCACGTGGAGAGGGAGAGGAAGTAGTAGAGGAACTGCTTCTTCCCGTTCTCGTCGATGTAAGAGAACCGTGAGCTGCCGTCGGGCTCCAGCGGCGGGTCGTTGGCGCCGTAGATCTGGCAGACGTTGGTCCGGCCCGATTTGCAGCTGCTGCATATCCCGCACTCGCCGTACGTCGGAGCCATCACCACGTCGCCGACTACGAAGCCTTTCACTTCCGGTCCCACGCTCTCCACGATTCTTCATGCACAGAAAAAAGAAGAAAAAAAGTCAACAAGTCAACAATGTAAATATAGCAGATGGACAGTCATATATGTTAGTTATATTCTACTTTTCATTTTTATATATACTAAATTAACAATCGGTATACTTTTTGGAGTATACAATGTCCCAAGTGATTTGGATATTGTTGATTGTAGTTAGACAAATTTAAAAAAGGTGGATTATCATTTTTTATTAAATTCATCTTTAGATTTGCGTCGAAGACCAAGAGTTTATCAATTGGCTATAAATCTCATAGGATTAGGTACATTAAAATAATGTGATAATTGTCATCTTACCCAACACCTTCATGCCCCAGAACTTTGGGGAACTGATATGGCTGCAATTATAAAAATGGACCAATTAAACAAAGAGGTAGACGTATATATCCCATCATCATACGCTCCTTATAGTTCATAATTTAATTATAATAATCAGATAGCCTATGTATTAATACCTGGGCCATGAAGCCCTCGATGTTTGAAATATCGGTGTGGCAGACACCGGCGGAGAGCATCTTGACTCTGAGCTCCGTGTCCTGCGGCGGATCCACCTGTATCTCCATCACCTCGATTACATCTCTGTAGGATTGTCCCGGCTTTTTCACTTCCTTGCACACCACCGCTGCATATATGCATATAATACATAAGATAAAAATTAATACGAAAGTCTTATGTAATGCGTGTATAATGCAGGTGCGCGTACCCTTGCAAGTGATAACGCTAGCAGGAGGTTGGGAACCCATAATTGGCTACTTTTTTTTTAACAATTGGATACTGCTATCTGTATATGGTTTTAAAGAAATGGAAAATGCAGCTCGGAAGACTCAGTTTATATACAAAGAAATTTACCAAAATTGGATTTTTGAACCGCCCATTTGTTAGGTATGAAGTTGGCTGGTTTGAATAGTTTTGAGGAGAAATTAATTTGGGAATTGATGGGATGCCTGGACCATGGGGAGTTAGGCTTGGCCGGTTGGGTAGGTGAAAGTGAAAGGGACGATCCTATCATGGTTTCGAGTCATTATGATTAGGAGTGGAATTCAAACATGGTTCGGTTCCAACCGCGAACCATCACGACCCGATTAGCTGTTTCGGCTTTTTTTCTTCTTCATAGCGATAGTAGGAATTGAAAATCGAATAATCGTAACCGGACAAAACAATTTTAGTTCGATCTGACTTAAACCCGAGAATCAGAATGAATGCGCGAGTAGTGTTTTTTATTGGATCGGACTGAACCGGTTCGAAAAAATCCAGCATTATTTTCCCCATTCTTTTGGTGATTAATAACACCTATTTATGAAATAATTAAACGCTTTCAGCAAAAAAAAAAAAAAACTCTAAACAAGCGACATTCAACTAAAAATAATAAAGTCAACGCATAGTCATAAACAATTACACCTAGTCCATTTAGTGGAGGCCAAAAACCAGCTGATTACCCAAAAAAAAAATAACTAGTGCATCATGGCTCCAAAATATGAATCGGAACGGAAAACTTCCATCCAATCAAAAAAGATTTACCTGATGATCTACGCGATCCAACCTGTCTCGACTTGTTTGGTGTAAGTATTACCTAATTCGTAATAGCATGGGACGGTATATGAATACTACTTTTCGACCTGTCTTGCCCCATCCTTTTTTCGTCCCATTGTGTCCTGATGAATGAAACCTATAAATATCTACTTGACAACAAACATGCGAAGATGTATACCATCTCTTTCTTTCCTTAATTTAGGGTTTATCACTAAAAGTCAACTTGATATTAAGATTGGTTGAATACGATGATTGAGGTTGAGGGTGTCTTATATATATGGCCAATTGAATTCCTTTCAATCTCCATCTTAGCTACGCCACCGACGATAGACGCGTATCCTATTCTCACCAGTACCCGCCTGCCTCTGCCTGCAATTAATTAGTACTCTTTCTTTCTTTCTTTCTTTCACAACAAATTTCTCTTTGGTTGGTTTCCATCTATGTCCATTTATGGACCATTAATTCTTTGTTGCCAGCCACAATACTCACGTGGAGAAAAAGAAAAAAAATTGCATTGATAACCAGTCTTCTTCCTACAGCTAGCAATGCCAGCCATTTGTACGTAGTAAATTTGACATTGACCTCCTGCCTCTTATAATTAATTTATGTCGTTGGGGGCTTCTAATTGAGAAAGGCTGATCATCTTACAAATATCTGATGCGTAATTTATAAATCGTTTATTAATATATATTCAAAACATTGTAACGAATTATGAACACATAACAATGATGCATATATATGATCTCTTTGTGCATAGTTCAATTAGTGGGCTTTCATCTAAGGAAGTGAAAGTGTGTTAATAAATAAATAGTCTAAGATCAAATTATTCAACCTAACATAACAACTTCATTCAACCACGCGAATGGCCGGCTAGCTAAATCATGAATAATTGTTTAGTATACATATAGAGTAATAATAATTTGGGTAAATACAATATATTAGCCACAACTATTACGAAGCGGGGAATTATGGCCACAACTATGAAAATTCAAATTATTAGCCATAACTATTGTTGCGAGTCAATATATGGCTGACCGTCCGTTACTGTTATTGAATTTTTTAACGGAGAAGGCCACGCGGCAGCAGCCACGTCGGACTGCTTTTAATATATAACTTTAAAACATAAAAGTTCGGTCAATATTACTAACAAAATTGTTAACATATAGTTAACGTTTGGCTAATAATTCGAATTTTCCATAGCTGTGTGCCTATAATTCCTGCCGCTTCATAATAGTTGTGGCTAATATATTGTATTGACCCTAATAATTTTGACAGTTTCAGCTACCAATATTATTTTTTTAAACAAGTCTGTTTCCAAATATAATATTAATAAATCATGAATGATTAAAAAATTTAACAAAAAATATTTTATCATTTGTATTTTTTCTTCTTCTTAAATTGGACCCACTTTAAAAGAAATTTCTGGATGTCCCGCTGATTATTTGCCACAAAGGCTAAGCTTGCAAGAACACAACTAACCCACAAAATAGATTACAAGCAAAAACGACAACAGAGAAACTGAACCACAGAGGCCTTTATTTTACGTTTACATTATATTGTTCATGTTAAACTACTTAGTACGTACGCATTTTCAATCTGACATATCGTACGTAGAAAAGTTGCATTATATTCTCCAAGCTGATACGTGCATGGTCCAACCGCCTGGGGCGATGATCGATCAAAAGTGGATCGGTTTCACCGGAGGCCTCTTGGGTTCATCTTCATCGTTGAGCTTGATGATGATTTTGATGGCTTCTGGATCTTCCAGATACTTCTCCAGCATTGTGTATATGGCTTCACTGCCGTTTCGGATGTCCACTTGGTACCCGCACTCCTTGGTCTTCTCGTCGTACGCCAGAATCCTGTTAATCCCGGCTTTGATGTCCTGTACGTATTCATGCATGCATTCATCCAATAACCAGTTAATCCCAGTAACACTGATTTTTGAAATAGTATCAGAGCCTTCTGTTCTAATCTTAACACTTCTACGAGTATGATAATTTAGGAATATATATCCCTCTGTCAATTACATAACAATACTCGTACTGTCAATTACATAACAATACTCGTACGTAATAGAGTAAAAAAAAAATGTAATTAAGCAAAAATACGTACCGGCTGTTTGGCCTTCTCCAGAACAAAGGGGAGGTCGGACTTGATTTTGACCCTGCCATATATGCACCCGGTCATCTTGTTTCCGAACAGGAACTTTGTGAAATCCAACTTCAGCATGTCGTCGGGGAAGATTCCGGCTCCACAAATTACTGTTTCGGCCTTGCCCTGATTAATTAATCCGTCCGTCAATAGTCACCGTACGTGAGTTAAAAAAGTTGGAAGAAGAATTGGAGGACAGTAATAATAATTAAAAAGTGGAATTACGAAGTAGTACTGTTGCTTAGGCGTACCGGGAGAGCAGATTTCATGGCTTCGTTCATTAGGGCGTCGGAGCCGGAAGCTTCGATGCAGCAATCCGCACCCTTCCCGCCGGTCAGCTCCATTACTTTGTCGGACACCGTCATCGTGCCCAACCCTTCCGAGTTGATGAAGTCGGTCGCTCCCAGAGATAACGCCACTTGCCTCTTCCGCTCGTTCTTATCTATCCCGATGATCTTCTTCGCTCCAAGATCCTTCGCCGCTATCACAGACTGATCGAATGTGGTGTAAGAAAGTGGTTAAGTAACATATACAGATATCTCCCAACCAGTTACAGAGAGACAGCGTGACAAAGAGATGGACCTCGAGATTCATCTTGACAAACCTTATATTCAAAAAAAAAATTACCAAAAGCTTGTGTAAAATTTTCTTTAGTGATTCTTGATGAAATTTTTGGGTCTTGCCAGTATTTGAGTGAAAATTTTTACTAGGCCACTACTCTCTAGCAACTCGAGTTATTGACACACGTAGATTTATGACATGGTCCTAGAGTTATTTTTTTTCTTCTTCCTGAGGTTACGTGTTCAAGTTATCACATGGTAATGGTAAGGTTGTGCAAACTTCAACCTCATCATAAATTGATTTTCATTTGAGATAGCGTGTAAAAAAAGAGATCAAGTACCATAATAAATCTACCCTAACAACTCTGAGTTAATTATTGGGATCCGTTGATTTATGGCCAACCGTCACAAATGTTTAATTTTCGAAAACTAATTGAAACCAAAAACTTAACATATCATATGGGAACTCGATCGCAAGCTTACCGAGAGACCAACGGACCCCACACCAAAGACGGCGACGGTGTCTCCTGGCCGGACGCCGCCGTCGAGCCAAGCCGCGCCGTAGCCTGTGGCGAAGGCGCAAGACAGGATGCAACCGTGCGCCGCGGGGAAATCGTAGTCGTTGAGCTTGACGGCGTAGTTGGAGTCGACGACCATGTACTGTGTCCACGTGGAGAGGGCGAGGAAATAGTAGAGATACTGCTTCTTCCCGTTCCCGTCGACGAAAGAGAACCTTGAGCTGCCGTCGGCCTCCATCGGCGGGTCTCTAGCGCCGTACTTCTGGCAGACGTTGGTCCGGCCCGATTTGCAGCTGCTGCATTCCCCGCACTCCCCGTACGTCGGAGCGATGACCATGTCGCCGACTTCAAAACCTTTCACTTTCGGCCCCACGCTCTCCACGATCCTTTCATGCAAAATTAATGAAATTGGAAATAGTTAATTAATTTACCATCAATATTTAGAAGAAACGTAGAATCAATATGTTGATTGATTAGTCCACTATGTAAATCTAATTGTAGTCGAGTTATTGACGATGAAAGGGCATCATTTTGTTTAGAGGTCGAAAACTATATATTCATGTCGGTCATACTAGCTAGGAGCATTCATGTTGGTTTGTAACTGCTGGTACCATGTTGTATCGACTGACATGTCATCGTTTTGACAACTATGACATTTTCACATAAACAACGATATTATTTGCTTCAATCAATACATGATTTTTTTTTGTAAAAAAAAATACTACTTTTTTACCACTTTCTTATTATTTTTCTCTCTTCCGGTTTATGTTCAAGAGATAATACATTTTGTAGTTATTTTCTTATCATTTCATACAGTAATCCATCCTTCGATCGATAGAATTTATGGGTCCATCAGTGCTGTCAAATATTCTATAATGAACTTTATATTTTCGATATCTCGAATACGATACTGAATTGTATATTTTGTGTGTCTTATATATATTTGATAACACTACTTCTGTAAAGTATTTATAGAATTAGAGAAAGAATTAGAAATTTTGAAGTATGGCGGTCTTACCCAACACCTTCATGCCCAAGAACTCTTGGGAAATGATATGGCTGCACGTGTAAGAATGGACCAAATAAACAAAGAGATAAATCATTAGACAATCATTTGAGGAATGTAGATATATAGATTATGAAATACCAATTATCTCTTATTATGTAGACTAAAATTAACAAGAATGCAAAAATGGAGCTTAAATAACAATAATTCACTAGCTAGCTTATAATTCATGTGTACATATTTTTACATATATATACCTTGGTCATGAACCCTCTGATGTTTGAAATATCGGTGTGACAGATACCGGCGGACAACATCTTGACCCTGATCTCCGCGCCTTGTGGCACATCTACCTGTATGTCCATCACCTCAATTACATCTCTGTAAGACTGCCCCGGCTTTTTCACTTCTTTACACACTACCGCTGCACATGCATATATACTAAGTAGCGTGAAAAACTATTACGAAAGTCTTATGTAATGCGTCTATATTAGGTAAGAATGGTGCATACGTACCCTTGCAAGTGATAACGCTAGCAGGTAGAGAACCCATTGGCTAGCTACTCTTAACAATTACTTGTTAACTATCTCTCTATAGATATGTGTGAGTGGAGAGCAATCGTTTTGCTATATTTGTGTGTGGTTTGATGAAATGAAAGATGCAGCTGGGAATCAGTTTATATAGTAAGAAGAAACTTACCCCAAAATTGGATTTAAGCGTCTCCAGTTGTTAGGTCTGAACTTGGCTTTAAGACATTATTGCCAATAAGTCCATATTGCAATAACGCGGCGAGAAAATAATTGATGGGATACGTGGACCATGCATGACGATTTTTATGGTGTTATAGGCTTGTAGCACCAAAGATGTTCATGAACGGTTCGGTGTTAGATCTGAGTAGATAAGGTTACAAAATGCACCAATGTAATGGATCCACGATATGAATCGAGACGGAAGAGATTCATCCAATCAAAATTGGATGGATAAGCCAATCCAATCCAATCCAACACCACCAGCATTTGGTGGATTTAACAGTTACTTTGAAGGTGGTGATTTTCACCATACTTGTATTTTCGATTCTGGCTTAGTCCAGTTGAGCTTAAAGAAATTTGCAACTTATCGAGAGAAAAAAATAATGAAATAATTCGAAATTTTAAGTTAAAAAAAGTTAAGCGATCAACACAACCTAAATCATATTTAAAGTTAAACAGTAGCCAATGTAGTTAATCCTATATCTCCCAACCAATCTATTTTGAGTGTAATGATTGGTTAGTATAAACAAAATGGGGTGAATTGCAAGTTTGGTCACCCATATTACACTTTTGTAACACGTTAGCCACCCGAATCCATTTCGCTTCAATTCAGCCACTGATAATACACCTTTATGTCATTATTGGTCACTCGCCGTTACACACCGTCAACGCCGTTATACTTTTGCTGACGTGGCAAACGGGGTGCCAAGCTGGAACACGAAAAGCTGTTTTTTAGTCCAACTAATCGCTGACATGGCTTGGGCGGGAAAAAAAAGTGGGTTTCCCTCCCATTCTTCCATCTATATTAGGGTTAATTTCCCCAATCAAAGCCCCCTTCGACAGAACCTTCTTCTTCGAGCTTGAGAAATGGCCGGTCCCTGCTGTCATTGTGGAGATCCAGCCGATCTGAGAACGAGTTGGACAGATGCAAATCCGGGCAGGAGGTTTTACGGGTGCGCAAAGTTTGGAGTAAGACCAACTCCCCGTCTTCTTCCTCTCTTCTTCTTCTTCTTCTTCCTGTGCTTTTCTTTCTTCTGCTGCTCTGTTCAACCGCTGCTGCTCTATTCAATCGCTGGGTTCTCAAATTTCTTTTTCCTTGTTTTGCGTTTGTACAGAGAACGGGAGCTTGCAACTACTTTAGATGGCATGACCCGGCTCTTGATGAGAACGTGAAGTATTTGGTTCTCCACCTCCATCGTCGGCTGCGCGAGCTGGAGAATAGGCAGCAAGGGAGGGTGTCGACTTTTAGTAGCAAAGAAGTGCTACTCTTCCTTTTCTCTGCAGCTCTGTTCTTTTGTCTTTGGAAAGGGATATAAGAATGGGTGAGTCTGATGGGGGAATGCAATCTGTAGTCAAATTTGATAGGGAATTAAGAATGGGTGGGTGGGTCTGATGGGGAATGATGCAATGTGTATTCCCAGCTGCTGTAGTCGGATTTGAAATGTCGATTGTGGTTGTTATTAATCGTAATCAAAATGTTAATTGTGTTTGTGTTTAACTTGCAAGGTGTAATGAGTGTTGTGTGTGTTGTGTCATGTACTTTGAAGTTGAGTATCTGGTGATGGAAGCTGAATGTCATGAAAGAAAAGAACATTATCATTGTTAATAAACCTGCTTGGCAATCAAAAGAACATTATCATTGTTAATAAACCTGCTTGTTAATAAACCTGCTTGCTATCATTCTTAATAGTCATCTGATTAGATAACAGCCTAGAAGGATCACAAAATGAGCAAGTCATCATCATCATCCGATTTACAAGATCAATCAAAGACTGCATCAGTTCACCAAATAGGCAACTGATTACCAAAATGAGACTAATATAACTACAACTACTTGTTCACCAAAAGGGATGATTACCAAAATGAGGCTAATATAACTACAACTACTTGTTCACCAAAAGGGTACATCGTCGTACGATTTAACCAAACTACCTAAACAACCACTCCTACATTAACTGCTACCAAGCTTCAAGGATTCCTCAGCTGAGTCAATTGGCTTGCTATCTGCGAGCCTTGAGTGCCTTGAGTGCCTTGAGTGCCTCGACTTCCTTGTTGGGATGCCTCACCTAATGGCCTCCTGGTAGTTCCCTGCAAAATGAGTGAGATTAGGACGTTTGTCTATATTAATGAACTTCAAAAAGAACAAATCAAAGACATACATCAGGCATCACTTGGACAGTACAAGGCTGACTTGGTGCTTGTCTCATTTCCAGCTTCCTCTTCTTTTGCTCCAGCTTCTGTAGGGCAGCAAGTCGATTACGTTCAGATCTTTCTTGTTGCTTCCTCCTTTGTTCTTCCTCCCTCTCCTTCCTTTTTCTTTCTTTCTCCATTACATCTTCTGTCCTCTTTGCAGCACGAGCTTGTTCCTTTCCAGCTTGATCGACATGAAAAGACTTGTTGTGACCAACCAGCCCACATGTAGTACACCTGTATGGTCTCCTAGGTTGTTTCGACACTTCCATTCCATCCTTCTTTTGTTTCTTACCTTTGGCAGCCTCCTCCCTCTCCTTCCTTCTTGATTTTTTTGGCCTTCCTCTCTTCTCTCCCTCTATAGGAGCAGGCACTCCAACCTCACCTAATTCAGAAAGACCCCAATGTTCCTTGCCAGCAGTAGGTGAAATAGAGAATTGGTAAATTTTGGCTGCTGTTTCCTTCAAGTAACATGCTGCCACATAGTCGTGGAGTTTCTTATTTGCCTTCCTAATTGCTTGCATAGCATGTTCACAAGGAATGCCAGTTAGCTCCCACTTTCTGCAGGTGCAAGTCTTTTCTTTTAAGTTCACCACAAGCTGCTTGTTGTGCCACCTAACCTCAAACTCTCCATTGCCATTTGATACTGCAACCCACTTGAGAGCCTCTTTCTTCTGTCGCAACCGTCCCTCCGGGGGTCCGATGTCGTCGCGTCGGCATTTTTTGGGAGTCGCCATCGATCTTACTTGGAGTGGATCGAACACTCTTTGAGTCGGCTCTAAAATTAGGGTCAGAACCGAGACATGGTCTGCGAAAATAAAGTTCTGGGTTCGGGAGTACGGTTACGTGTGGGGAAGTTAAGCAACACCCCCACAACGCCCTAAATCGGTACTACTTAAGTTTGATAAGTTTTATATTAGTTGGGTGTATTTTAATAATTATTGTGATTTTAGGTCCCACTGGACCATTTAATGATTTTATCGTATTAGTTGAAATTTAATTATACGTCCACTGACGTAAAATTTAAAGATAAAGTTAATTGGTTAGTTGGACTCGAACCTTATCGGTTGCCTACGTACCCGTTAGACGGGATCAAAGTCCACGTAGTTCGTTAGGGACCTTGATAATTTAATTGTAACTTTTACCACGTTCCACTGAACGTAATTCTCGTAATAGAATTTTATTGTTAAAATTTAAATTTATTATTATTGGGATTTTAGTTATTAGGATGTATTTTGGTGTATTAGAAAAAAAAAAAGAAATGAGACAAACATAATCCGCATTTCGCATTTCGTATTAAGGATTTAAAACAAATAAAAATGAATGGGTAACTATATTAAAACATGATGGGCAGGCAGCCCAACTGGCGAAAACGCCAGACCAAACTCTCTTTTGACCCGAAGGACGCGGGTTCGAAACGCGCTGGTGGAAATTCTTTTTTATTTCTCGTTTTGATGTAGAGAAGGGGGAAGGGCATTCTAGTAATTTCACGAAAACGCGGTGGCAGGAGTGTGTAATTAAAACGAAACCCTAAGGGTAAGTTGGCCTTTTTCTGCTGGGTATAAATTCATCCTAAAGGCCCTAATCAGACTAAACCCTACCGCCGCTCTCACCTCTCGCCTCTCTCTTCTCTCGTCTCTCTCTCTCTCGTCTCACCTCCTTCCTCTTCCAGGGATCAAACAAAATGAAACCCTAGCCGAATCCAACATGCCGCCGCTCTCCCTCTCGTCCCTCTCTCTCTCTCTCTCGCTCAGAGAAAACCTAAACCCTAGCCTCGCTCAAAGCCGCCGCCGATATGACGAAGGTTGCTTAAAAAAAATCGAGCGGGAGACCTTCGATCTAGGTAAGATTATTGCATGCAAGTTTGTTTTTTTTATTTCTGGGTTTTTGAGCGAGATTCTAACCCTTTTCTTGTTTTTCTTTCGGAGATCGATCTAAAACCGAGGAGGGACTCTTGATTTACCTTCTAATAATCTTGATCTACCCCCTTCTAGTCGGAATAGAGGCGACGACGAGGAGATCTTACCCTCTGGTAAGCTCTTTTCTACATGCATGATCATTTTCATTCGATTTAATGAATAAGATCGGGATTTAACTTGTTTTGGTTTTTGATTTAGTTTTGTTTGTTTTTGGGTTTCGGATTTGGACGAGGAGGAGAAGGAAGCAATGGGGTCGACAGGAGGATGGAGGAGACCATCAGCTTCGACCAGGCCGAGGGGAAATCGATGGTAGGCTCGGTTCTAATTTTTGTTTTTAGGTTTATGTGATTTATTTGATTTGTATTTTGGTTCTGATCTTATTTTATTCTCTTGCAGATTCTCTAGGATTGAAGAAACTAGGTGATATCCCTCTAAATCTAGATCTTTTTTGCTCGATCGGCTGCTAAGAACCTATGATTTAATTATTTAGCTAAAAAAAATAGTTTTATTGGGATGCCTTGAAAATTAATTGCTTTGTTGGACATAGCTACTGCTCATGACCATCAGCTTGATGGGAAGCTTCTATACGAATTTGGGCCATAGCCACTGCTCATGACCATCGAATTGATGGGAAGCTTCAAATGTGGATTTGGGTTTTGATAAAAACGGGTTGATTTTTAAAAGGTGATAGTTGGTTAAATCTTAAATTTGCAATAGTGTTGGGGCTTTTGTTGGATTGGGTTGAAAAACAAAACTAGATTAATACCCAGCAACCGCTTGTGGTCTAAAGTTTTAGTAGGATTAATATGTTTGGTATTTTTCCGAATCCGAGTTTAGATCTAAAGGATCTAAAAAGAGTAACTTAAACAAAAAGAGGTATTTCAAAATACCTCCATGGGTTTGATCTTCTTACTTGTTTACATAGCTAAGGTACTAAATCAAA